CATATGTTTTTTTGTTTGATCATCACACCCAGTTTTTGTATATTTACAAACTTGTAAAAAACATTTTACACGTCAAAGATTTTTTTCTGAACCAAAAAAATTCACTGTTTCAAAAAATTCTGAAATTTTTTTCTGAATTCGGATTTTCTATTAGAATCATCTATGTGTACTAATGGCGTGGAAATCTACAGTAACCAGACTGCAAAAAATAGAATTACTGTAGATTTATAACTACAGTACCTGAAAATTTCAAAGGGTTACTGTACTTTTTTGAAACTATTTTGAAAAAAACTTCACTGTTTCAAAAATTTCTGAAATTTTTTTTGAATATGGATTTTCAATTTATACCAGATAAATTCTTTGTATATTTTTGGTGACGTGTAAATCTACAGTAACAGTAACCAAACTGCAAAAAAATAGAATTACTGTAGATTTATAACTACAGTACCTGACAATTTCAAAGGGTTACTGTAATTTGTTGAAAGAAAAAATTCACTGTTTCAAAAAATTTTGAATTTTTTCTTGATTTTCGATTTTCGTTTCACATTCCTTACCAACAAAAATTTGTTTTATGGAGTACTGTAGATTTTTTTCATCACAGGGATTTTCATACAGTAACCCTATCGTAAAAGTACTGTACAATTTATTTTTGAGAAAAAATTTCTACAGTAATGTTTATGTTGTTGGAAAAATTCACTGTTTCAAAAAAATCTTGATAATTTTTTTTGAATTTGGATTTTCAATTAATACCAGAAAAATTCTATGTATATTTTTGATGACGTGGAAATCTACAGTATCCAGACTACGAAAAATAGAATTACTGTAGGTTCATAACTACAGTACCTGACATTTTCGAAGGATTACTGTAATTTTTTGAAATAAAAAAATTTACTGTTTCAAAAAATCTTGAAATTTTTTCCGGAAACAATTATTTTATTCTCTTCGGCTTCCATTTCGAAAAAATCTACAGTAACTCACAGATTACTGTATTTGATGACGTGGTTTCCTACTGTAGAGAAGAGTACTGTAGATTCAAAGCTATCTGGGAATATTTTTTGAAAAAAAATTTCAATTTCTGCTTTTACGAGGTCCCATAAATCTCCAAATGTGCTCATTTTGGCGCCAAAAATCCCCCAAATTTTCCGATTTTTTTTGAAAACCTGTTCAATTTTGACCTTGGTATTTGATCGATCACCGGGAAAAAACAGTTAAAAATAGAAATTTTTGGAACAAAAAATTCCAAGGTTAACATTTGATACTGTAGGTACAGTACTCCCAAATTGTCCCCTAAATGATCTACGAAATTCTTCTCGAGACACAAAAAAATCCAGTTTTTTTTTCTCGAATCATTAGATAAGAAGTGAAAGTTCCAAAAGGGCATTTTTTTTTCACTTTCGAGAAAATTTGTTAGTTTTTTTTGTTTTTTTTCGCGCAAAAAAAAAACCAAAACCAAAACGAAATTCGTGTGTTTGTTTTGAAATAAAAATAGAACACACACACACACACACACAAAGTCCAGTGCACGGGTGGTCAAAAAAAGTCGTGTCATTTTAAGTATCATGTGTGAGTCAGGTTTGTTTTGTCTGGATTACTGTAGTTTTTGGAGTTACAGAAACTCTGGTTTTTTCGGATCAGTTCAAATTTCATGGGTTACTGTAGTAGTTTTCCCAATATGTAGTTTTCCCTACAGTATTTTTTTTGATTTCTAGAAATTATTTTGAAACTTTTTTAATCATTTTGGGTACTGTAGTGTAGATTAAGACTTGACCTACAGTACCTCTTGCAGTTTTTCCTGCCCAATTAAAAACTGGGTTTGCTGTCTGGGTACTGTAGGTTGTCTTGGGGGCTACATCATTGTGAAATTATGCAGTTTGGGGTACTGTAGAACTTGGATACAGTAGTCTTAATGTATCTGGTCTAGAAAGTTCCGCAGTATCATTAAATCAAAATTCAAAAAAAAAATCATAACATTTTTTTGAAACAGTGAATTTTTTGTGAACCAAAAAATATTACAGTAACCTGTGGCTACAGTACTCCTTGCAGTTTGGGTTACTGTAGAAATCCACGTCATCGGGAAAATTACAGTAATCTTTGGAACTATCTTAAAGCAATCAAAAATCCAAATTTAAGAAAAAATTTAAAACAATTTTTGAAACAGTGAATTTTTCAACTGAAAAAATTCAAAAATTAAAGGAATTTTTGATTTTGATCCCAAATTTCCAAAATTTTTGCACCCAAAAAAAATGTTTTTTGGGCCAAATAAATGTGTGAATTTCGAAATGTTGTTTCGTGAGACGTTTTTCCTCATTTTTTTTCCGCGAAACCGGTCCAACATTTTTTTATTGTGTAGAACACACATTGGAAAAATGTGGAGAAAATTTATATATGTATATAAAAATACAAAATAAATAAATAAATAAAAGATCTGTTTTGCGGTGCGCGCAAAAATAAGCAAATATAGGCTCGATTCTCCTCTTCGTTCTTCTTCTTCTTTTTCATTGTATATTGATCGCCTTCCCATTTTTTTGTGGACAAAATTTGCGCAGCATTTTGTGAGAACTGACCGTTTCGCGGTTTATTTTTGGATTTTTCGATGGGATTTTGTAGATCTTGCAGCTTTCTAGTTACTGTAGCTTTTTAGATTACTGTAACTTGACATATTCTTGATCTCCTGTTTTTAAATGTATTCTTCATACCTCCCTCGGTTACTGTAACCTGATATTTTCGATCTATCGGATTTTTTTGAACCGTTTTTAAATAACTTGCTAGGTTACTGTAGCTTCTTAAAGTACTGTAGCTCGACATACTCTTGATCTACCGGATTTTAAACCTATTTTTATACCTCCCTTGGTTACTGTAGGACCTAGATTACTGTAGTTCAATATATTCTTGATCTTGCAGATTTTTTGACCATTTCTCCATGAAGTTCCTTGGTTACTGTAGCTTTTTAGAGTACTGTAACTTAATATTTTTGATCTACCGTGTTTTTTGGAATTTATCTTATTGTTTTTCTAGGTTACTGTAGCTTTTGGAGTACTGTAGCTCGACATAATTTTGATCTAACGGATTTTTTGAACCTTTCTTCATACCTCTCTTGATTACTGTAGTGTTCAGATTACTGTAGCTCAATTTATTCTTGATCTAGCAGATTTTTAAACCTTTCTTCATACATCCCTTGATTACTGTAGCATTCAGATTACTGTATCTTGACATGTTTTTGATCTACCGTATATTTGGCAGACTACTGTAAATTTTATCCAGTATCACAGTAATGTTCAGGACTACTGTAGTTCTCAAAATTTGTGGGTACTGTAGTTCAATTTTTTTCCAACTTGAAATTTCAAGCTACAGTAACCTTACAGTATCTAGTTTTGGGAAATTTTTTCTCCAGAAAAAAAATCACTGTTTCAAAATTCTAACAAATTTTGCGCGATCTCAGAATTCTTTGATTGTAGGCACAACACTCGCTCTGAATAACTTCAAAAATTAGAATTTTGGCAAAAAAAAATCCACGTGGCAACTAAAAACATGACTAATTTGATTACCTGGTTTATTTTTCGATTATTTTTTTCTTATCAGTAACTTTTTAACATTTGTTTTCTACGGGGTTCATGGGTATTTTTATACATTTTGGCGGGAAAACTGCTATTTTTGGTGGGAAAATGCCAGTCACACTCCCCAAATTTGCAGACAGCTTTTCCTCTCTCATTTTTTTGACCTTGGGACGAGAAAAAGTGTCCTTCTCTATTGTCAAACGAGTAAATTAACTTGATTTTTGTGTGTGTGAGGAATTGATAATAAATAGTAAAAGTTGTAAAAAAAAAGAAAAATGTTATGTTATGTTACACAAAAAAACACAATGAGGTGATTTTTTTCTCGTGAATTTGCAGGGTTTTTTGGGGCTTTTTTTGTTGGGTTACTGTAGGTTTTGGTTCCCAGAAATCTTTAGGGTTACTGTAGGTTTCTGAAGCTTTTCTGAAACCTCTAGGGCCAAAAATTTGAGAAATGCTCGAATTCCAGGCTAATTTGCACCAATTTTGAAGCTAACATGAGCAATCCACAAAAAAAATCCCAAAAATTCCCCGAACATCTCCAAATATTTTGCGAATGTTTTAATTGATAAGAAAAAGGCAACAAAATGTTAGCCGCCCTCTTCTACGAGAAAAAAAGCGACGAGAAAAAATCCAGTTTTTTTCTTGTCTCGCGCCGAAGGCGGGACAATGTACAATTGTTGAACGTTTCTTTTATTCTACATTTATCATTTTTTCTGTGGGCGCGCGGGGAATTTTGGCGCGAATTTTGGCGGTTTTTGGGTGGATTTTTGGGATAGGAACCTAGTTACCGTAACTCTGAAATTACAGTTTTTCAGCCTAGAAAAGTATGTTGAATGACCTTAAACCTTAACTTATTTAGGCTCAGAAAAACTCAGAAATTTTAAGTATACAGCTGTTTTTCCTAGAATTTTTGGATTAAATTTTTTTCTAACAAAATTTGTCACGAGGAAATCCCGAACCTACAAGCAGATCAACTGGAGCTTCGAAAACTCTTGAGAAAAATATTTCAAAACATTTTGAAACAGTGAATTTTTTCGCATGAATTAAATTTTTTTTTTCTGAATTTTTAGCACAAAATTTGCCACGTGGAATTTTATGCTTTTGAATTGAATTTTTGTTCCAATTTTTCTAACCCGTTTTACTACCAAATTTTCCACGTGGATTTTTCCCAGATCTTCCATTAGTGAAGCATCGTAAACCCTCCAGAAAAATGTTTCAAAAAAATTTTTAAACAGTGAATTTTTTTTACATGAAAATTTGCCTCGTGTATTTTTTAACATGATGTACCTCAAAATTTCGAAAATTCTTCAGAAAATCATATCAACAATTTTTGAAATAGTGAAATTTTCTGTCAAAAATCCCCCCAATTTCAACAATTTTCCTCATTTTCCCCCAATTTCCCACCAAAAACCCACGAATTTTCTTCCAGCTCCCCCTCTCCAAAAAATGGTAGATCTATTATCAGCTGTCGAAGGTGGTTCACAAGGCGAAGAGTTCCAAATCGACGCCGATTTCTGCAATTTTTCCCACATTTCCGAACATCAAATCGATGAATCAGCACTGGATATTGTTTGGTATAGTAATGTGATTGTTCTACCGCTGATTGCTTTTATTGGATTGTCGTGTAATCTACTGAATATGACGATTTTGACGAGTAATAAGGCGGCTAAACGGATACCTTCTTGGTGAGTGATTTGTGGGGTTTTTTAAGAACGGAAATGGTGGATTTTGGTGAATTTTTGAAAATTTTCGAGACCAAATATGCCAGCAAAAATTCACTGTTTCAAAATATTTTCAAAAAATTTCCGAGAAAATTCGAGAAGTTCGGCAGGGGCATTCACAGAATCAAAAAAAACTTAGAATTTGACTGAGAATTTTCTGAAAAAAATTACTGTTTCAGAATATTGTGAAAAATTTTCCGAAAAAAATTTAAAACTAATCGTCCGTTCAACTCATGTTTCAGAAATCCAAGTTTCAAATTAAAAAATTCCTGAAATATCCAGGTTTGTAGCAGAAAAATATTCACTGTTTCAAAATTTTGTCAAAAAATTGAGAGATTCAACGACGGTATTCAGATGATTGATAGAATTTGACTGAAAATTTTCTGAAAAAATTTATAACTAATATGTTCAAGAAATTCTACTTTCAATTTCAAAAGTGCCAGTGAATCAAAAATTCACTGTTTAAAAATATTCTCAAACGTTTTACTGAAGAATTTGAGAAGCTGGAGATGTTATTCTTGCAAAGCAAAAAAATGAACTAAAAAATTTTCCACGTCCGAAGTTTTTTGATTTCAAAAACTCAGATTTTTCGGTGCCAAATATAAGTTCATTTGAAATTTCAAAAATTTACTGTTTCAAAATATTGTGAAAAATTGTCCGAGAAAATTTAAAACTAATCTTCTGTTCAACCGATGTCTCAGAAATCCCAGTTCCAAATTCAAAAGTTACTTCAACATAGAGGTTTTGTAGCAGAAAAATATTCACTGTTTCAAAATTTTGTCAAAATCTTTTCGAGAAAATGTAAAACTAATCTTCTGTTCAACCGATGTCTCAGAAATCCCAGTTCCAAATTCAAAAATTCCTTCAACATCCAAGTTTTGTAGCAGATAAATATTCACTGTTTCAAAATATTTTCAATAATTTTTCGAGAAAATTTGAGAGGCTAAAGCAACATCCTTTTGAGAAGTTTTAAAATTAATATACAAAAAAATTCCAGTTCCAAATTCTCAAATTCCAGTGAAGCAAAAATTCGCTGTTTCAAAAAATTGTCAAAAATTGAGAAGTTCAACGACGGTATTCAGATGAAGGATCTCAAAAATTTCTAAAAAAAAAATTACTGTTTCAAAATTTTGTCAAAATCTTTTCGAGAAAATTTATAACTAATATGTTCAAGAAGCTGTAACTTCAAATTCAAAAGTCCAACAAAAATTCACTGTTTCAAATATTCTCAAACGTTTCACTGAAGAATTTGAGAAGTTTGACTATTTTTTTATAGCAAATCCAAAATTTTATAGAAAAAAATCCACTGTTTCAAAATTTTGTCAAAACTTTTCTTGGATAATTTCAGGTGTTAATAGATTCTTGCTCCGAAAAAAATGTTCAACTTTTTAATTCCAGGAATCTCCTCTTAGCGCTCGCAATTTGTGATTGTCTATTCCTGATTTTCGCAACACTGGATGTCACTCCTCTATCAATTCCATCCTTGGCTTTTTCGATCACATTCAATCACTATTATACACGAGTCGTGCTGTATATTCGAACTTTGGCGTCGATTTTTTATAAGAGCAGTGTTTTGTAAGTTTTTTGAGGAAAATTTGGGATTTTTTGACACCAAATATGATGGGTGAAAAATTCACTGTTTCAAAAAATTTATGAATTTTTCTAGTGTTTTGAAATATGCTTTCATCTTGTCTCCTGTTGAAAATTTTGAAAATTGAAATTGTAAAAGTGAAAATTGAAATTAAACTAAAAATTGTGGATTTTCCACGTGGATTTTTTATTTTTTTACCAAAAAAAATTCACTGTTTCAAAAAATTGATAAATTTTTCGCAGTTTCTCGATTTTTCATTCATTAAAAAATGCGTCCAAAAATTTATTCCAAAATTTCTCAAAGAAAAAATTCACTGTTTCAAAAAAATTTTGAATTTTTCTAAGATTTTCAAATATAATTGGAGAGTTTTTCCCACATGAGATGCATAAAAATTAAAAATGGGCGCCGAAAATTGTGAATTGCCACGTGGATTTCAGGGACAATTTTTCTAAAAATTGATTTGTTTCGCACCAAAAAATTTCACTGTTTCAAAAAATCGATAAAATTTTCTGGGAATCTGATTGTGATAATTTGTAATGGCTTCTGTATGCTAGAAATTCAAATAATTTTTTGTGGGTTGAAAATTGCTCTTGACACAATTTTTTAAAAATTCAATTTTTTTCACGGTTTCAAAATTTGTTTGAATTTTTCCAGGGTTTTGAAATATGCTTTCATTTTGTCTCCTGTTGAAAATTGAAATTTAACTAAAAATAGTGGATTTTTTATTTTTTTTACCAAAAAAAAATTCACTGTTTCAAAAAATTGACAAATTTTTCGCAGTTTCTCGATTTTTCATTGAATTTAAATGTGCTGGCCAAAATTTATCCCGAAATTTCTCACAAAAAAATTTACTGTTTCAAAAAAATTTTGAATTTTTCTTGGATTTTCAAATATAATTCGAGAGTGTTTCGAAACGTTTACAACATGAGATGCATAAAAATTAAAAATGGGCGCCGAAAATTGTAAATTGCCACGTGGATTTTAGGCATAGTTTTTCTAAAAAAAAATTTTTTCATCAAAAAAATTCACTGTTTCAAAAAATAGATAAATTTTTCTGGGAATCTGATTGTGATATTGCATGCTGGTCTATGTTTGCTAGAAATTCAAATAATTTTTTGTGGGTTGAAATTTGTTGCTCTTGGCACAATTTTTCAAAATTCAATTTTTTTTCACTGTTTCAAAAATTTTCTGAATTTTTCGAAGTTTCTCCATTATTCATTTTAAAAATGTGCTTCCCAAGATTTATTCCAAAATTTCTCACAAAAAAAATTCACTGTTTCAAAAATTTTTTGAATTTTTCTAGGATGTTGAAATATGATTCCGTTTCTTGCTTTGTTTGATGTGAAAAATTGAAATTTTTCTAAATAATTGTGGATTGGATTTATTAGCAACAAAAAATTCACTGTTTCAAAAAATTAATTAAATTTCTGAAGTTTCTCGATTATTCATTAGATGAAAAATATGTTTATCAAAATTTATTCCAAAATTTCTCACAGGAAAGTTCACTGTTTCAAAAAATTTACGAGTTCCAATGAAGAACCCAAATATTTCCAGAATCGTAGTCGCCTTCAACTTCGAGCGCTACATCTGCGTCGTCCATCCCCTACGCTCACATCGACTTATCACAAATCGAAATTCACGCAACGCAATTTGCCTCGCGTTTCTCATCTCATTTTTGTGCTCAATTCAATGGCCGCTCGCCTACAATGTCAACTATTGCTATGAGCACAATTCGCAACAATATTTCTATGTGATTTTGAAGACGACGAATACTGCGCTACAGGTGAGAAGTTCGACTAACTTTTTGTTGTTGATTTTTTCTCGAATTTCAAACAATTGGACATAGTTTGAGAGAATTGGTGAAGATCGAAAGTTCGGCTAAATTATACGTGATCCAAAAATGAAGAATTGCAAAAAAAAATCAGAATTTTTTTATGATAAAATTTTGAAACAGTAAATTTTCGGGGTTTCAAAATACTCACATAATGAGTCTAAAATTAGCCTAAGCCTAACCTTAGCCTAAGCGTAACCTTAGCCTAAGCCTAACTTGGGCCTAAGCCTAAAATAGTGACTAAGCCTAACCTTATCTTAACTTTTGAACTAATTGTAAGTCTAAAATAAGCCTAAGCCTAACCTTAACCTAAAAAAAACTTTAACCTTAGGTCTTGTAAGTCTAAAATTAGGCCTAAATATTTGTCTTTCTCTCAAATTACCTACAAGTGTAAATTAAAACAATGAAAAAAGTTACAAAAAAAGAGTGGGTGTTGGGCAAAGTAAATTTTGAAACAGTGAAATTTTCAAGGGGTTTTTTTTTTTCAAAATTTTATTTTTCAGATCTACTACAAAATCATGGATTACGTCACACTTTTGGCCTTTAACATCTTGCCAATTTTGGCTCTTTTATACATGAATTGTCGAATTATTTTCACGCTGCGAAGAGTTGTCGATGAGGACACGAAACGAGAGGATGAATGGAAATTTTCGGATGGTGCGCTGGTTCAACAGGTTAGTCTCATTTTGAATTTTGGGGCCAAAAAATGAAAAGTTGAGCAATGTAGCAGGTTCAAACTACATACGTTAGTGAATCTTTTGAGAGTGATGAAGAGGATGATGTGAGTTTTTCGGTGTTGTGGTGTGAAGTGGTGTGGTGTAGCGAAAAATTAATTTTTAAAGAAAAATCTGATCGGTTTTGAAGATTCGAAACCAAAATATATGAGAATTTTGAAACAGTGAAATTTTTTTTTTGAAAATTAAGTTTTTATTTCTGCCTAAATTTGCCACGTGGCGTTTTTTTTGCGCGAAAAATTAATTTTTCAAGAAATATCCGATCGGTTTTAGATTATTGAAAAAAATTATATAGGAATTTTGAAACAGTGAATTTTTTTTTGAAAAATAAGTTTTTATTTCTGCCTAAATTTGCCACGTGGCGTTTTTTTTGCGCGAAAAATTAATTTTTCAAGAAATATCTGATCGGTTTTAGATGATTGAAAAAAATTATATAGGAATTTTGAAACAGTGAATTTTTTTTTGAAAAATAAGTTTTTATTTCTGCCTAAATTTGCCACGTGGCTTTTTTTTCGCGCGAAAAAAATGATTTTTTAAAAAACAAAATTTTTGGATGATTGAAAAAATTATATAAGAATTTTGAAACAGTGAAATTTTTTTCTGAAAAATTAGTTTTTAATTTCGCTAAAATTTGCCACGTGGCATTTTTTAAGCGCGAAAAATCAATGTGCTTTCACGATTACATCGGTTTTGACTGATTGAAAAAAATTTATATAAGAATTTTGAAACAGTGAACTTTTTTTCTTGATAAAAAATTGAGGCTGGATTTTTTAAAATTCTGAAAAGTTCAAAAATTTCATTTTTTCTTATAAACTTAAAAATTAATATTATTGAAAATCATTTTCCGGATTTTCCGAACATATTTTCCGGAAAAGCGAAAAATTGATTTTTTCTTTGAAAAACCCGGAACATCCGGAAATTCGGAAAATTCGGAAAATTTCCTTCACAGGGCTGAATCATAGCGAAAAAAAAATATTTTTTCTGTTTCCGTGTGGTACGGTGCGCAAAACAGAAAGTTTTTGCACACACACAGGAAAAAAAAAGAAAAAACAAAAGTGGAGAACACCAAAAACCGTGCGCACATGCAATAATATTGCAGAAAGACGCTGCCAGGGGTTGCGTGTGGAAAACTCCGCCTATTTTTTTTTGAATTTTCGCAACGAATTTTTTGTGAACAAAAAAATAATTTTTTTTCGCTGTAGAAGCATCAGTTATGGAGAATAGAAGCATCAGTTATGGAGATTTGAAACCAAAATATATGAGAATTTTGAAACAGTGAAATTTTTTTCTGAAATATACGTTTTTAATTTCGCCAGAATTTGCCACGTGGCATTTTTTGGCGTGAAAAATTAATTTTTTATGACAAAGTACAAAAAACATCAGTTTTGGACGCTTGAAAAAAATTATATGGATTCTTCTTGAGAAAAATATTCACTGTTTCAAAAAATCATCAAAACAAATTTGTAGATTGGAAATTGATGGAATTTTTTCTACGATTTCCGAAATTCAGAACAAAAATGTACTGTTTCAGTGAAATTTTGAATAAAATGCTCATTTTCAAAAACTGATCGGATTACGGTTTATCTCCAAAAAATTCACCGTTTCAAGAAAATCAAATCAAATCTCAACATTCTCCAGGAAAACCGCAACAATCGCACATTACATGCAAATGCGATGCTGTTCGCCGTCGCAATTATGCTATTCTTATGCATCGGACCACAAGCACCCGCCAGAATTCTCTTCGATTTATATGGACAATATCATCCACACGCCATTCTCTACACGTGTTTGAGTCAACAATTGGTTTTTTTGAACGCTTCGCTGAATTTTGGATTGTATTGTGTGGTGTCGAAACGATATCGCACTTTGATGAAACAAACTTTGAAAAAGTTGCTGCATAAGTTGGAAGGTAAACATAGTTAGGGGAACTTTTGGCAGGAAGACTTGGATTTGTGAAATTTAAAAAATTGTATTAAAACATTTTGAAACAGCAGATTTTCATTATTTTCTTTATCTTGACTTTTCAATTCGAAATTCAGGTTTTATCGAAAATTTCAGACCCTACAAAAATTAATGAAGGAATTTTGAAATAGCAGAATTTTCAAAAACATAAAATTCAAAAATTCTGAAAAATTATAATTCTTCGGAGCAAAATTTCCGAATCCTCTCCAAAATTCATGAAAATTTTGAAACAGTGAATTTTCTTGAAATTTTGTGTTTAAAAAATTCGTTGAAATTTTAATGATAATTTTTTTGACTTTTATATTCGATATTCACATTGTATCGAAATTTTTAGACCCTACAAAAATTAATGAAAGAATTTTGAAACAGCAGATTTTTCAAAAACAAAAAATTCGAAAAATTAAAATTTTTCGGTCCAAAAAATGCAATCGCCAGGTTCCAAGTCATATTTAGTCTCAAAAAATCCCCCAATTTCCCACCAAAACTCCCTCTCATTCCAGTTGTCGACCGCCCATTTCAAATCAGTCTCCGAGCCACCAAATCCACATCAGCTCCACTAACTTCGATGGAAGAACATCATGCACATCTTCTTCTCAATCAACCCAATAACAATAACACTAATATCATTGAAAATAATGTATAGAATTCATCAAAAATCCCTCTCCCTCAAAAAATTTTGTATTTCTCACGGGTTTCACTTGTATTTTCTGCACATTCCAATGTCTTTCAAAACATAATTTTATACTAATTAGTTCTAATTAATTAACTAACTAATTTTCATAATATGAGCTTTATTTATGATGGTTTTACGGGTTTTTTTTGTGAAAAATAAATGATTTTTTGAAATTTTCTGGCCTTGGCCTAGGATTCGCACGACCTCGGCCTTCTCCTCGAGAACTACACGGATTTCGAAAATAGTTTTTTTTGTTTTTTTCGCGTTTTTTCTGAGTTTCTGGGTGTTTTAGTGGATTTTAGGCGGGAAAATTGAATAATTTCAATCAATATTTGTGTGAGAGAATGTGAACTTCAAATGTCTCGCGCCTAATTCTGCGAAACCCATAATTTCCCCAAGAAACACCTGCTCATTATTTATTAGTCGAATTGCGCATTTCAACTCACAAACTTCTGCTCATTTCTTATTTCTCATTTAAGTGTTGGCTTTTCGGCGCGAAAATTTTGAATTCTAAAATTTCGCGCGTTTAAAATTTTCAAAAATCACTGTTCCCCGCCAAAAACACATCCGCATGGCCTAGATTTTTCTAGTCCCCCACAAACTTCTCCAAGAGAACTACACCAATGTTTTCTCAAACATAGTTTATCGATTTGATGTGTCATGGGAAGAATTATCGATTTTTTCTAGCTGCCCAATGTTTTTTCCCAGCCGCCTCCTCTTTTATTTTTTCTTGCCTTCTTTCTGTCCATTTATTGATTGAATGCGCCCTTTTCCTTCCCCCTTTTTTTCTTTTTTTTTTGCTGCCTTCCTTTTTGCTTTTTTGTTTTGTTGTGATGATATTTATTTGAATTACGAAATCTTATTTTTTTTCTTTTTTTGCGAAATAAAAATTGTAAGAAAAGTAAAATATCGATTTTTTGCAGATGTTTGGGACAAGCGGTGATAAGAAACCAATTAATAATGTTGTGAGTTTTTTTTGGGGCGGGATTTTTTGAAAATTTGGATTTTGGCGGGAAAATTCCAGAAGTTTTGGTGAAAAATGTTTGAATTTCAAAATTTTTTTCGCCAATTCAAAAATTTCACTGAAAACATTTTATCCGATACTAAAATAGAAAGAGATTGAAAAAAAATATAACGAAAAAAATATATGGAAAATCTGAAACAGTAAATTTTTTCAAACTTAATTTTTGAAACCGGAAATATTTTGATTAGCCTTGGGTCCAACGATTAAAAATTCACAAAAATTTTAATATCAAAATTTTGAAACAGTCATGTTTTTCCTTGTATTAAACGTTTACTAAATTAAATTGAAAAGAACATTTTTTGGTGTCCTGAAAGATTATAACATCATTTCAAAAATTCACAAAAATTTTAATATCAAAATTTTGAAACAGTACATTTTTCCTGTATCAAAAATTTATTAATTTAAATTGAAAATAGCATTTTTGGTTCTTAAAAATTGTTCCAAAATTTATCTATCATTTTAAAAAATCACAAAAAAATTAATAACAAAATTTTGAAACAGTAATTTTTTTCTTCAGTGCTTTAATAATTAAAAAATCAAAATTCTGAAAAATTGCAGGTTCCCAAGCTCTACCAACTCACCAACGCTCAAGGGCAACCCGTCACATTTCGTCCAAGTTCAGGCAGCACAATAATCGGCGCCAAACCAGTCGCCATCATTCCAAGATCAATGCTCCAAGCCTCCTCCTCCTCATCTTCAGCTCCAGGCCCAGCAGGCCCATCTCCAGGCCAAGCCCAATTAATTGTCCCAAAATCAATGGGCCGAGACACGGCCGAAAGTCCGCCCGAATTATTTGTCGAGAAAAATTTGGAGCCCCAGGAACAACAACAGAAAGTGGTGAAAATTGATCCGGAGATTTTGGAGGCTCGTCAGAAGAAGGAATTTATTCGCGATTTGGAGCGGAAAATTGTGGAGGAACGGCAACAATTCGATGAGGAACGGTCCGGAAATCGGAGCGGAAGCTTGAAAATTTCGATTGGTGAACATGTTATTGAGGTTGGTCGTTTTTAGCGGGAAATTTTTGGGTTTTTCGGGGAAAATTGATGAAAAAGCTCAAATTCGGGGTCAAAAAAATAGAAAAAAAATCTCACTGTTTCAATATATTTTCAAATAAAATTTCACAATCTTATTAAATATTATAGCTAAAAATAATCTCCGAAAATCCACGTGGAAATTTTGAACTTAAATCAAAAATTTTGGAGCTAAATCCGACTTTCCACGTGGATTTTTTTTTCGCGTTAAAAATCCTGAAAAATTGAAAGTTTCACATTTTAATCAAATATTTTTTCACTGTTTCAAAATATTTTCAAATAAAATTTCACAATCTTATTAAATATTACAGCTAAAAACCTCTCCGAAAATCCACGTGGAAATTTTGAGAATTTCTGGCCTCAAAAATCCACGTGGAAATTTCGAACTCAATCCAAAAATTTTGTTGCCGAATCGACTTTCCACGTGGATTTTTTCACGCCAAAATCCTGAAAAAATCGAAATTTTCACATTTAAATCAAACATTTTTTCACTGTTTCAAAATAATTTTGAATAAAAATATGGGATTTCTTCAGTTGCTCATTTTCGAAAGATTTTAACATTCTCAAGAATTTTCGAACCACAAAATCCACGTGGAAATTTCGAACTCAATCCAAAAATTTTGACTTTCCACGTGGATTTTTTCCCGTCAAAATCCTGAAAAAATCGAAATTTTCACATTTAAATCAAACATTTTTTCACTGTTTCAAAATAATTTTGAATAAAAATATGGGATTTCATAAGTTAGTAACAAAACAATTGAATGATACCTAAATTTGACATTTCTGAACCTACGATATAATTTGCCACGTGGATTTTTATTATTTACAAAAATGTTCATTTGAAAAAATTCATTGTTTCAAAATATATTCAAACAAAAAAAAAGGGAAAAATAATTGGGATTTTTCATATTTTTCTGGAAAATTTTTCACTGTTTCAAAATATTTTCAAATCTAGAATTTTGAAGTTAATTGGTTTTTGATACATTGTTCCTCATTAAAAAAATCCAGAGTTTTTCATAGGTCTAAAACCAGGCCTAGATTATTTTTCAATTAGCCTTACTAAATCTGGACCTAAAATGTATTTTTTGTACAATTGATATCAGTTGGCTCAATATTTTCATTGATTTATTGAAAAATATATGGATTTTTTTTGAAACAGTGACATTTTTTTCAATTCTTTTATTTCTTCAGGAATTCGTTCCGGAAAACCTCGAACACATTCTGAAAGAAGAAGCCGAAAGAAAACGTCATGAAAATCCCGGACCATCCTCCTCCTCACTTGCACATCCATATCTACCGCCAACAAATTCCCGCCGAAAATCCCAAAAATCGCCGGAAGACGTCGAAAAAGAGGAACACGTCGAGTCACGCATCAAAACCCTTCTCCTTCAGGCCTCGAAACACATCGAAAAAGATGAAAAAGAGTGGAGAGATCAGAGAAAGAGATCAAGTGCATTTTATAAAAATCAAGAGCCTGAAGAGCCTTTGACACCTCCGAGAAAGCGTGGAAGACATTTGCGAAAATCTGCGCGAAAGTCTGTTGAGACTAAGGCTAAGCCTGAGAAGCCTGAAGCCCAGAAGGTGCCCGAAAAAAGCCCGAAGCGGGCCGAAAAACGTGCCAAAATCTCGGAAGTCGATAAACTATTGGCAATGGATTTTGGACCTAAAGAAGGTGGAACTCTTAAGGATTTGGAGGCGGCAAAACCGATGTCATTTGCGCCGAGGAAAGCGGCACTTCCGGAAAATCGATTGATGTTGAGTCCGCAGAAGGAGATGATGACGACGACGCCGGCGTTGCGACGCGGAAGAAGTTCGAGTAGTGGATTGGGGAAAATGAAACGGCCTGGAAGTTCGGCTGACTCGGAAAGTGGGTTTTTTTGGGGGAAGCGCTTTCTCTAGATGAAATTTGGCCTGAAAGCCTGAATTTGATCCTAAAAGTCTGAAAATTAGGTCTAGAAACATGATTTTTGTGATTTCTGGATAAGTTTGATCTAAAAATCATGAAAAATTACCTAAAATTAATTTCAGGTCATTTTTATTCTTGAAATAAGCGAAAAATAGTGGATTACCAGCCAGAAATAATGAAAAACCTGCAATTTTGAACTAAAAATAATTAAAAATTACCTAAAGTTAACTTTAGGTTAAAATTGGGCCTTAAAATGCATAAGACCTAGAACCAGGCCTAGTTAAGGCCCTAAATATAGGCTTGGAAAAGGCCTGGACCTATACTAGTATCTAAGTCAGAAACTAAGCCTAACTTTGGGCCTTAGTTCAGCCTAGACTCACAATTAATCCAAAAAAAAACCCAATTTTAAACTAGTCTAATTCTGGGCCTGAAAAAATGTATGTATTTTTTGAAACAGTGCATTTATTCAAAGTTGCGAATGTCCTGAAAATTTAAATTTATGATCATGAACCAATTTCAAAATTTTCAATTATCAAAATTTTGAAACAGTGAGATTTTTCTTTTCCGCTGCTATGGTCACTTAAAAATTCAAATTTTTGAGTTTATTGAATTTTGAAACAGTTATTTTTTTGTTCATAAAAAATCACTGTTTCAAAATTAGTATTTTAAGTTTCAGAGTTTGACAAAAATTGATGTTTTCTTTCCTCATGAAACGAAAGTTCAGATTTTTGGATACGTTCGAGTCAAAAATCATGAAAAACTATCTAAAATTAATTTCAGGTCTTTTTGACTCCTGAAATCAAATTTATTTGGGATTTTTTAAGCGGAAAATAGTTGATTGTGAGTTAGAAATCATGAAAAATCAACAATTTTGAACTGAAAATCATTAAAAATGATTTAAATTTAAATTCAGAACGAAATTGGGCCTAAAAGTGCATAAGACCTAGAACCAGGCCTAGTTAAGGCTCAAATATAGGCTTGGAAAAGGCCTGGACCTATACTAGTATCTAGATCAGAAACTTAGCCTAACTTTGGGCCTTAGTTCAGCCTAGACTCACAATTAATCCAAAAAAAAAACCCAATTTTAAACTAGTCTAATTCTGGGCCTGAAAAAATGTATGTATTTTTTGAAACAGTGCATTTTTCAAAATTAGATCATGAACCTATTTCAAATTTTTCAATTAACAAAACTTTGAAACAGTGAGATTTTTCGGATTTTTTCTGCCACGTATCAGTGATTTTTTTTTTCGTTAAAATTAAAAAAAAATCACTGTTTCGAAATTATTATTTCAATTTTCAGAGTTAAACATAATTGATGTCTTTTTTTCTAATTCTAAACTGAAATCCCTTAATTTTAGGCTAATCTCAAGCCCAAAAAGCTAGGCTCAAGGCCCAAGCCTAGACTTCTAGCCAAGCCAAAGCCCTAAACTTAGCCTAATTCCCATTTTCCAGAAACCGACAGCCGCGAAGTTACCAAAACTCCAGAAGTCGCAAAAACCATCGAAGAAGTTGCTCCACAACCGCGAGAAGCCCCAGAAATCCATCGGGCTCCAAGTCCAGCGCCTCAAATCCAAATCCAAATTCAGAAGACTCCACCAGCTTCAGCTCCGAATCCAGAAGCCACAAGAGTTCCGACAACTCCAGTTTTGGTCAGGATTTTGGCTCCGCCCCCGCTACCACAGGTGCAGCAGGCTCGGGCTCCGATTCAAGTTCAGGCTCCAATTCAGGCCGCACCGGCCCCGCAAGTCCAAATTGTTCCGCCCACACAAGGCCGTTGGATAATCCCCGGAGAAATGTATTTGCCAGCCGGTGGAGATTTGAATTACCGTGCATGGTCGGTTGCGCAAATGTTCGAATGGGTTACGGAAATCACGGGCTCCGCGGCCACTGCGCAAATCTTCCGCGACGAAGAAATGGACGGAACGCTTGTGGATTATTTGACGCAAGACGATTTGCGTAATCAATTGAAGTTGCCGTTTGGACCGATGATGAAATTGTTGCGAGGAATTGGCAAGATTAAGGAGATGAGCAAGGCCCAAGCTCAGGCTTGAGCCTGCGATTAAAAAGCCTGAAAGGTAGGCTTTTTGGGGCCCGGGGAATTTTTTGATACCAAATTTGAATGGGTTTTGTGGAAGTTAAGCCTAACATCGTAAACCTAAAACATTAGATAAGCCTATTTATAGGCCTTGTTAGATTTCGGATAAGCCTAAGCCTAGAAGAAGCTTGGTTAGGCCTAAGAGTGAGCCTAAGGCTTTGTTTAAGCTGAAAATTTCAAAATTCAGATTTTTTCTAATTTTTCAAAAAAAAAATTCACTGTTTCAAAAATATAATAATTTTGAAAATTAGAATTTTCGGAGCTGTAATTTGATTTCTTACACGTTATAAAAATTCCAAAAAAATGTCACTGTTTCAAAATTTTAATGATTGAAAGTTTAGGTTTTTCATTTGTACCACGCCCAAAATCAAAAATCTAATTTTTAATTATTTTTTGTCCATACTGTTTCAAAAATTTGATAATTCTGAAAATTTGAATTTTCGAAGCTATTTTTAGAACTTTTCCGAAAAAATTTTACTGTTTCAAAATTTGGTTGTTTCTCATTTTGATGTGACATTCTAATGGGGTGAGTCAATCGAATTAATCGACGTGTTTTTTGCGATTAATTGACAAAAAAAGTGAGTCTTTTAGGGCGATTAATTTCACGTTTTTGTCAATTCCTCGCTTTCATTTCTTGGCAAAAAATGCGATTAATTTCATAAAAATTCGAATTCATTTGACCTATATTTTAAAACGTGACCTATATGAGTTGGAATTATCAACAAAAAATTGTCTTCTCTCAATTTTCTCTCATTTCGAAATGAATCCAAAAAATAAGCTGTGAATTTAGAACACGTTTCAAAAAAGAGGTCAAATAAATTCTATTTCGTATTGAAATTCCTCATTTTTGAATGCAATTAATTGCAAAAAAGATGAAATTAATCGACAAAAACGTGAAAAAATCGCACAAAAAAGACTCACATTTTCTGTCAATTAATCGTCAAAAAATAAAATTGACTCAAATAAATTTGACTCACCATAAGGGATTTCAGCAAAATAAAATAGTTTAAAGAATTTCCAATTTTTTGATATTAAATAAGGTTAAGAAGCCTGAAGTAGACCTAAAATAGGCCTGAGCCTAAAATTCAGGCTAAGAAGACATGTTTCTGAGCTAAACCTAAGCCCGAAAATCTAATTTTCATTTATTTTTTGTCCAGAAAAAATCACTGTTTCAAATATTCAATAATTTTGAAAATTAGAATTTTCGGAGCTATTTTTAGAACATTTTCCAAAAAAAAATCTCACTGTTTCAAAATTTGGATGAATGAAAATTTGTCTGTTTCTCATGATTCAACATTGAGATGGTTTTCAGCAAAAAAAATTAATAGTTTAAAGAAATTCCAATTTTTTGGTATTAAATGAGGTAAAGAAGCCTGTAGTAGACCAAAAATAGGCCTGAGCCTAAAATTCCGGCAGAAGAAGAAATGTTTCTTAGCCAAACCTAAACCCGAAAATATAATTTTCACAATTTTTTGTTCATAAAATCTCACTGTTTCAAAATGTTGACAATTGAAAATTTGGATTTTTTCTTATATTGATTCAAAATTGAGAGGGTTTTCAGCAAAAAAAGAACATTTCAGAGAATTTTCATATTTTTGGTACTAAATAAGGTTAAGGTTAAGAAGCCTGAAGTAGAAATGAGATAGGCCTAAGCCTAAATATAAATTAAGCCCAGTCTAAATCAGGGCTAATATAGGCCTTAAAATTAAGTCAAACCTAAACCTGTTTCTGAGCTAAAACTAAGCTTGAAAATCAAATTTTTACGGGTTTTGGTCTAGAAAAAATCACTGTTTCAAAAATTCATGAATTAAAAAAATTAGAATTTTCGAAGCTATTTTTAGAACTTTTCCGAAAAAATTTTACTGTTTCAAAATTTGGATGATTGAAAATTTGGTTATTTCGATTTGATGCAAATTCTTATGATTTGGAGCCAAAAATTAAAAGTTTGAAGAATTTCCAATTTTTTGATATTAAATAAGGTTAAGCCTGTAGTAGACCAAAAATAGACCTGAGCCAAAAATTCCGACAGAAGAAGAAATGTTTCTCAGCCAAACCTAAACCCGAAAATATAATTTTCACAATTTTTTGTTCATAAAATCTCACTGTTTCAAAATTTTGATGATTGAAAGTTTAGGTTTTTCATTTGTTCAATGCTCGAAGAAAATTTCAAAGAATTTTCATATTTTTGGTACTAAATAAGTTTAAGGTTAAGAAGCCTGAAGTAGACCTAAAGTAGGCCTAAGCCTAAATTTTGAGCCCAGTCCAAATCAGGGCTAATATAGGCCTTAAAATTAGGTCAAACCTAAGCCTGAAAATCAAATTTTCACTTGTTTTTTGTCCATAAAAAATCACTGTTTCATATGTTTAATAATTTTGAAAGTTAGAATTTTCGGAGCTCTCTTCAGAACTTTTCCTAAAAATCTCACTGTTTCAAAATTTGGATGATTGAAAATTTGATTATTTCATTTTGATGCAATATTTCTGAGTGTCAGCAAAAAAAGAACATTTCAGAGAATTTTCATATTTTTGGTACTAAATAAGGTTAAGGTTAAGAAGTCTGAAATAGAACTTGAATAGGCCTAAGCCTAAAATTCAGGCCAAGAAGACATGTTTCTGAGCCAAACCTAAACCCGAAAATATAATTTTCACTTTTTTTGTCAAGAAAAAATCACTGTTTCAAAAATTTGATAATTTTGAAAATTTTAATTTCAAATTTAATTTTCATAACAAGGGTTATCAATTCCAAAAAATCAGCCTATTTTATCACATAAAAATTATCGATTTTTCCAGCTTCATCATCATCTCAAATCGTGGCCGCCTCAAAATCCCTTTGTTGTTCTTTTTTCTCATTCCCTATAATGTATTTTTTTTCTGTTTTGTTACATTTTTCCGGTTTTCCCTCCCCAAGCTCGGGCATAATATTTTGTTACTTTCCCCCTTTGATTTTCACCTGAAAATCCAAATTTTCCCACCCATTCCTACCTATCTACATATTTATTATCTCATCCTCCAATGTTTCAGCTTTACCCTGCAAAATTTTCCCCAATTTTTCAATGTATTTATTGATTTTTGCTTCGTTTTCGAAAGGTTGCTATCGTAGATTTTCGAGAAATGAAGATGTTGATTAAATTCGGGGTTTTTTGGCTGAAAATTTATGGAATTTGCGATTTTTTGAGACCAAAAAAGGCTAGAAAACTTGAAAAATATATATTTATTTTTTTCTCAAAAATCTACTGTTTCAAGTTTTTTTATAACTTGACTCGAAGATTACCATTTGTTCTACCTGCCCATTTCTTCGAAAATCTGGAATTTCTGAAAAATTCACTGTTTTGGAGCTTTAATATGTTGGACATTATTCTTTGAAGCTTAGGATTCAGAAAATTTTTGGATAGAAAAGTTGACTGTTTCAGAATTTCAGAATTTTCATGTTGATAGCTACATTCTCAGGTTTTCAAAAAATGCCAAAAATTCCATTAAAAAAATTCACTGTTTCAAAATTTTTTCAAAAATAAAAACTGGGAAATTCAAAGATAATTTTTAGTTCGGCCTGAAAATCCTCAAAAAAATTTACTGTTTCTAATTTTGTTCAAAAATCAGAATTCCAAATTTCAGAGTGAAGGTTTTGGATGAAAAATTGAGTTTGCTGAATTCAGAATCAGATTTTCTAGAAATTCGAAAATTCTGGGATTTTACGCCAAACTTTTAGTAAAGCTTTGAAAAATCTCAAAAATTCACTGTTTCAAATTTTATTCAAAAAATTTCACTGTTTCAAAATTTTGATAAGTAGGACAAATATGAAACGCTGAATTTTTGAACAAATTGCAGTTAACTTGAATTTTTTCAAATTTTGAGAAAATCTGGAATCTTTGAAGCTCATTTTTTGTTTTTGGAGCTCAAATCTGAAATTTTCCGGCTAGAAAAATGCACTGTTTCAAAATTTTAGAGCAAAAAATCTTCATTATTATTATTATCAAATTTTAAATATACACACAAATAGACACAGATAATTATTAAAACCGGGAATATTTGTACTAAACACAAACAAAAAAACAAATATTTTCAAAAAAAAAATAGCGAAACCCGTAAATTTGGAGGTGTCAGTCAAGCAAATTTTTCGCGCCAAAACTACTGTATCCTGCAATTTTTCTTCTTTTTCAATTTGATTGGCGACGAATCGTCGGCGTGTTTTCGGAGAATTGAATCGTCGTGTAGAGGTGTTCGCTCGTCGTGTTGGAATTTTCTGGAAAAACATTTTTTGAGGGTTACTGTAGTGTCCAAGGGGTACTGTAGATTTTTAGTCAAGATTTAGTTAAGCTTCTCAGAGAAGGTCTGGCTTGAACGGCGCGGTTCGCGAAACCCAGAAATCTGCCAATCCGCGGCTGACACAAGAACTTTAGCGAAACGTCCGCGAAATTATACTCCGCTGTTAGCGAAACATCCGCGCAATGCACTCTCGAAATATAAAAATGCTTCACTACCCCTGATAATTATCAGAAGTTAGTATTGACTTGTAGTTCCAACCCGGCCTCGATCCCAATCCTGTCGTTTTGTAGTCATCCGTCTTCCTTGCTGCGCTATCCTCGTTGTCGCGTACGCGATACAATTTATCCTTTTTATACCCTCCCTCTCGAGTCCATCCGCGAATCCGCGAAAAACGCAAAAAAATCAAATTTCCGAGTCAAAAAATTTCGCGGAATGCGCGAAATTAGACTCTCATTGGCTGAAGTTTCGCTGTCCGCGAAATTTTTTTCGCGGAATCCGCGTAATGATTTTCACCCAAAAATCGGTGAAAAATCGTCCGCGGACCGCGCCGTTCAAGCCATACTTTCTCTGAGTTCGGCTTAAAAGCCTAGAAAAATTTTAGGGGTACTGTAGGTTCTAAAAGGTACTGTAGATTTTTTTAAGAATGAAAATTTTACTGGGCCTAATCTACAGTACCCCATGAAGTACTGTACTAAAAATTATCGAATTTAGACTCTTCTTGGTTCTAAGGCTCTATTTGAGGTTACTGTAATTGTTAGAAGGTACTGTAGGTTTCCAAATATTACTGTAGTGCATATTTAATTTGAGAAAGAGTTAATGTAGTTTTAATGATTAATTTTCAATTTTCAGAAAAAATTCACTGTTTCAAAAAATTTTAAATAAAATTTTCGGGATTTTCAATTTTATTCAGTCTACATAAAAAATTTGCTGTTTCAAAAATTTTGTAAAGAAATTTTGAATTTTTAAAATTTGTTAATTGTTAAACAATGGCTAAAAATGTCCCCAAAACTTAGTACTTTTTCCCAGAAAGTCCCCCCAGTTCCTTTGTGTTTCAGTTGGTAACATAAAAAATAACAAAAGAGATTTTTTGTGTGTGTGTGTGTGAGGAAACACAACACAGAATATTTGCATTGTATCAATTACACACCAAAAAAAAGAAAATTGTATAGACACGGGAAAAGAAGACTAATTTTTCAAGGAGATTTTTTTGAGCTAAGAAGAAAAATCACTGTTTTAAAAATTAAGAAAATTTTGTTTGAGGATAATGATATGATAAAAAGCACTTTTCTAGAATCCACGTGGATTTTCAGGCTTTGTTAGGCTTCAAAATTGTTCTACGAAAATCTACTGTTTCAAAATGTTTTTAATAAATTTTTGAATACGTACAAAATTGATTAATGATAACAGAATGATCCAGATTTTCGTACCTCAAAATTAAGTTTATATTCTTCACCAAAACGACGAGCACAAAAATGCCACGTGGCTTGAAATGGCTCAAGATTTTTTTTTTGCTCCAAAATTCTTCGAATTATATTTGCATCAGCTAAAAAATACACGGACCATTGAGAAAAATAAACAAAAATTAAAATTTCTGGATTCTTTGAAACAGTGAATTTTTTAAATGAAAAAAATTTACTGTTTCAAAATTTCTGTAAATAATTTTCCAAGTTTAGCCTAGCTGATAGGTATGTCCGTAGCACCATCTAACTCAAAAAATCCCTGCCACGTGGCAAAAATTCAGACTCGACTAATCTGACAATGGTTCAAGAAAATCCCAAGAAAAAATGCAACGTTGAATTCTATGTAAAACAAATTTTCAAAATGTTATTTTTTTTTCCACAAAATTCACTGTTTCAAAATTATTGTAAATATTTTCCGAAAAGGTGGAGAACTGATTGTTTTCCTTTTCATAATGAGAAAAAAACATAGTTGAAGATTTATTGAAACAGTGAATTATCTCGATGAAAAAAATTACACAAAAAATCCACTGTTTCATAATTTTTGTAAATAATTTTACCAAATAAAGGTGAAATTGATTACATCAAAAAAAGCCTATTTTTTCCCACAAAAATTCACTGTTTTAAAAAGTTCCTAAACAATTTCCATAACTATTGAATGAAACATAAAATTAAAAATTTGTGTATTCTTTGAAATAGTGAATTTTCTCGATGAAAAAATTCACTGTTTCAAAATTTTTGTAAATAATTTTCCAAATTTAGCATAGTTGATAGGTACGCCCGTAACCAACATTCAACTCAAAAAATCCCTGCCACGTGGCAAAAAATACAACTTGACTAATTTTAGTTGTTTATCTCAAGAAAAAGTGCCATGTGGAATTCTGTGTAAAACAACTTTTCAAAATGTCATTTTTTTTCACAAAAATTCACTGTTTCAAAATCATTTTAAATAATTTTCGAAAAGGTGGAGAACTGATTGTTTTCAATATATAATGAGAAAAAAACATAGTTGAAGATTTCTTGAAACAGTGAATTATCTCGATGAAAAAAATAGGACAATAAATCTCACTGTTTCAATATGTTTCCAAATATTTTACCAAATAAAGGTAAAATTGATTACAATACAATTTTTTCTCACAAAAATTCACTGTTTCAAAATGTTCCTAAACAATTTTCCTAAACTATTGGAAGAAACATGAAATTGAAGAAGATTTCTGGATTTTTTGAAACAGTGAATTTTCTCAATGAAAAATCCACTGTTTCAAAATTTTTGTAAATAATTTTCCAAATTTAGCATAGTTGATAGGTACGCCCGTAACCAACATTCAACTCAAAAAATCCCTGCCACGTGGCAAAAATCAAAGCCTAACCTTAGCCTAAGCCTTTTATTTCCCACAAAAAAATCCACTGTTTCAAAATTTTTGTAAATAATTTTCCAAATTCTAATAAGTATTCGAGGAACCATAGAAAATGCTAACCTGACTAATCGTACAATATCAAAAAACGCTTCATCCACATTCCTCCTCAATTTCGCCGAACATTCCAGATAAGGCATCGATAATCGATGAGCCAATTCTTCAGCTTCATGTCTAGCGACCTGAAATTAATTTTGTTTTGAATTTGGCACAAAATTTCAAAATTTTTGCGAAATTTCCCAGTTTTTGATACCAAATATGTGTTAGTCCCGAATTTTTTTTTGCATTTTTCGCCCTTTTTCTTTTTTCCCCCCTCAAAAACACATGTTTCCTTGTTCTTCAACAAAAAAAATGAAAAATGACAACAAAAATATTTTTTTTTTGAAAAAAAAACGAGGAAAAAAAAGTTTTCGAGGATTAGATGAGAAAAAGGAGAATAAAAATTTTATGAGCAACAAAAAAAATGACAACTGTTTTGAAAATTTTGGATTTCTAGGCCACCAAAACTCTTTTAGAAGGATTTTTGGGATTTCTAGGCCACCAAAACTCTTCCAAAAGGATTTTTGGGATTTCTAGGCCACCAAAACTCTTTCAGAAGGATTTTTGGGATTTCTAGGCCACCAAAACTCTTCCAGAAGAATTTTTGGGGTTTCTAGGCCACCAGAACTCGGCCAGAAGGTGTTTTTGGGTTTCTAGGCCACCAAAACTCTTCTAGAAGGATTTTTGGGGTTTCTAGGCCACCAAAACTCTTCCTGAAGGATTTTTGAGATTTCTAGGCCACCGGAACTCGGCCAGGACAATTTTAAGGGCTTCTAGGTAAAAAAATCGAGAAAAACTCAAATTTTCAGCCCCCAAAAACTCACATGTCTCTCATTCTCCAAATCCGCCTTATTTCCCACCAAAATAATCGGAAAATCGTCACGGTCTTTTATCCGACATATCAGCTCGTGCAGCTTTTTGACCTCTTCGAAACTGCAAAAATATGGATTTTGAAAAAAAAATTTGAATTTTTTTTGAAACAGTGATACAAACATAATAACATTTGCTGAGAAAAAAATCGAAAATTTAAATTTTTCTGAAACAGTAAATTTTTCCAAGTTATTTTTAAGCCCAAATTTTTAAATTTTTTAAAATTCCACGTGGATTTTTTCCGCCGCCAAAATTTCATTCCCCGAAAAAACGCAACATTTTTTTATAGCCAGCTCTCAAATCCGGCTATAAAATTTTTTTGCTCTAGTCTATCTTTCTCTCCCAATGTTTTCGGCTCATAAAATTGTTGCTCCGGAAGCCTGACCCGAATGAAAAATTCATCCAAAAATGTTGCGATTTTCTTTCTTGGCACGATTCCCAAAAAAAAAATTTCCCTCAATTTTTTTGTGCTCAAAAAAGCCTAACTCTATATTTTTTTTGTATTTATTTACTTTATCAATCATCATTTATGCACACACAACACGGTCTATTAAAAAAACGCAAAAAGTGGTTTTTTTTTGAGGTGCGAGAAAACTACAGTACTTTTTCGCGCCCGCAAATCTACGTGGAATTTCAAAAGAACAGAATAATTTTGGGAGGCAAGCGAGGAAAATTAGAGGAATTTTTGAAACAGTGATTTTTTTTAAGCGAAAAATTCATGTTTGTTGGGTTTCTAGACCACCAGAGCTCGGCCATGGTGATTTTTGGGATTTCTAGGCCACCAAAACTCTCCCAGAAGTATTTTTGAGATTTCTAGGCCACAAAAACTCGGCCAAGCTGATTTTTGGGGTTTCTAGGCCACCAGAACTCTTCCAAAAGGGTTTTTAGTGTTTCTCGGACTCGGCCAGAGGGATTTTTCGGGTTTCCAGGCCACCAAAACTCGGCCAGGGTGATTTCTAGGGTTTCTAGGCCACCAATCCTCGGCCAGGGTGATTTCAGGGATTTCTAGGCTACCAAAACTAAGCCAGGGGGTTTCTAGGCACCAAAACTAGGCCAGGGTGATTTTTGGGGTTTCTAGGCCACAAAATCTCAGCCACGGTGATTTTTGGCTCAGCTGGTTAGATCTCAGATTTCCAAGTGAAAGGTCGCAGGTTCGAGTCCCCATGGGAACTTTTTTTTCAAATTTTTTTTTGGATTTTGAAGGTATATAGGCTAAAATCTTCCGAAATTTTACAATAAAACCCCAAATTTTCTTGAAAAAATCGCCCGTATTTTGTCATTTGCCATCGATAAATATTAGCATATACAAACATTTGCATTTCAATTCTTTTCTTCCAATTTTTCCTCGCGCCTGCTTTTTCCCTCCCTCCTTCTTCTTTCTTTTGTATGTTTTTCAAAGCCAAAAGCAAATGTCATAAGAAGGAATTGTTCTGTACAAATACACAGTGCAGCTAGAGAAGCGAGAGAGTGTGCGAAATTTGGAGAGAACGCAGAGAAAGATGAGTCGTGAGAATAATCGACAAAAAGAAAAGCTCACCTGTTTCTATCGGTTACCGCGAACACGATCAAAAATCCGCTGCCTGTTCTCAAATATTGTTCGCGCATCGTTGAAAATTCCTCTTGACCTGCCGTGTCCAGAACTGGAAAATGGAAAATTTTGAGGGATTTTTGGGGGCCTGGAAGGGGCCGGGCTTGAGATTTCGAGCATTTTGATACCAAATTTGCCAGGGGGATTTTTGAAGCCAAAATTTATCCGATTTCGAGAAAATTAGATATAATGTTCCCAAAAATCTCACTAAAATTATATGAAAATTTTGAAACAGTGAATTTTTTTAGGAATCAAAAACTTTAATTTTTTTAATTGAAATTCAGCTCTAGATTTCCAGAAGAATCTGAAATTTTGAAATAAATTTTTTTTGAATTTAATAAAACCAAAATTATTCAATAACAATTTTAAACAAAATTGTTTTTTTTTACAAAAATTTTGAAACAGTGTATTTTTTGGGAATCAAAAATTGTTTGAAAATATTCCACGTGGATTTTTAAGTGCCCAATTTCATCATATTTTTTCTGAAATTAATAAAAGCGAAAAAACCTGCCCACCACAATTTTCAACAAAAAATATATTTTTACAATAATTTTGAAACGTGTTTTTTCGGGATTTTTGGAAAATTTGAAACAGTGAATTTTTTAGGATTCAAAAACTTCAATTTTTTTTGATTTTTTCCAGGAAAATCTGAAATTTTGAAATCAAATTTTTTTGAATTTAATAAAACCAAAATTATTCAATAACAATTTTAAACAAAATTGTTTTTTTACAAAAATTTTGAAACAGTGAATTTTTTGAGATTTTTGGAATTTTTCGAAACAGTGATTTTTTTTGAGAATAAAAAACTTCCAATTTTTTTAAATTTATTGTCAGCTCTAGATTTCCAGAAGAATATGAAATTTTGAAAATCATTTTCAGATTTCAAATTTTTTTGAATACGTTGAACATTTCATCAACAATTTTCAACAAAAAAAATTTTTTTTACAAAAATTTTGAAGCGTAATTTTTCCGGGATTTTTGAAATTTTTCGAAACAGTGAATTTTTCGGTATCAAAATGTTCAGAAAATTCTGAATTTTCCGAATCTTTGCGAAAAAAACTCACTTTCAAGTTTGCATAAATCCTCATCCACAAAACATTGTTTAGTATAGGAATCCTCAATTGTCGGATCGTAATCTTGCACAAAATATCGCTGAAAAAAATTTTTTTTTGAATATTTTTTCTCGTCACACCAATTTGCAGAATTCCATGCAAAATTCAGCCATCTGGAAGAATTTTCTTCCCCTCGGAAAAAAAACCAGAAAAGTGGGATGTTTTCACTTTTTTTCCCAACTTTTACAAGAAAAATGACCTTTACTTATTGTATGGCTAAGTTTGAGAGAAAAACCAGTTTCAGAGAAAAAATTTCAGAATTTTTTTTTTCAAAAAAAAATTTGTTGTTTTCGTATAGTAGAAAGAAGAAGAGGAAATCTTGTTTATTTTGGACATTTTTTCAAATTTGCTGTTTTGGAGATATTCATCGAAAATTTGAGAATTTTTTGAAACAGTGAATTTTTAATTTATGCCACGTGGAAAGAAAATAGCAGAATTTTTTTGGCGCGAAAAATATGGAAAAGTCAGCACAAAGAACTGTCAATTTTCGAATTTTGAAAATTTTGAGAATTTTTTGAAACAGTGAAATTTTCAGAAAATATTTATGGCCACAAAAATGCGTACTACTCGTGAATTTTCATTGAAAAATTTCCAAAATCCTCAGAAATTAATAAAAATTTTGAAACAGTAAATATTTTTAAACCTAAAAATTTCTGAAAAACGTGAATTTTTCTTAACTTTTTTTCTTGATTTTCAAAGATTTTTTGTGAAAAATTTGAAACAGTGAAATTTCTCTCAAACTTACAACATCATTAATAAAGTTAATCAAGATCTTCAAAAATGAACAAAAATTTGAAACAGTGAATTTTTTCAGAAATTTTCAGAAAATATTTTTGGCGTGAAAAATTCAAATTGTTTGAATATTGTTCATTGAAAAATGTCCGAAATCCTCAGAAATTAACAACAATTTTGAAACAGTGAAAATTTTTGAACCAAAAAATTTCTGAAAAATGTGAATTTTTCTTAACTTTTTTTCTTGATTTTCAAATATTTTTTGTGAAAATTTTGAAACAGTGAATTTTCTCTGAACCTTACAACATCAATAAAGTTCATTAATTTCTTCAAAAATTAACAAAATTTTGAAACAGTGAATTTTTCGCAGTCTTCAGAAATTTTCAGAAAATATTTTTGGCGTAAAAAAATCAAATTATTTGATTATTTGTTCATTGAAAAATTTCCAAAAAAAGATTTTTTGGGAAAAATTTGAAACAGTGAAATATTGTCATTCCCAAAAAGTCTCACCTGTATGAATTGTATAGTCAGCGCCGATTTGCCAACACCACCGCCACCAACCACAACTAATCTCAAAATATTTTGCTGATTGCCTGGACCACGTCCTCCCATTTTATCAATTTTTTGTTAGTTGGTTGGCTGAAAAAATTATTTTTTTATCTGAAAATCCCACAAAATAAAAGAAAAAGTTCACAAAAAAAAAGAGGAAAAGGAGAAATTGTGTGTTTCTTTCGCCCCTTTTCTCTCTGTTTTCCAATCTCTCGCTGTTTTTCTGCCAAGCTCCGCCCATTTTTCGGTTTTCAAGGGGGGTCACAAGAAGCCTTGTAAACCACGCCTTCAAAAGTTCACTGTTTCAAAAAAATTGAATTTTCAAGAAAAATATTTTGGATTATTGGGACTAACTTTGACTTGTCGAAAATGTTTTTTGAAACAGTGAAATTATTTATTTTGGGAAATTCGCCACGTGGCTAAATAATTTGTTTAATTAAATTATTACTTTGTACTATAGTTGTATTCGTAGCAAAATCAAAATCCAGCGAAAATATTTTTTTTTAATTTTGGCAGGATTTCGCGCTAAAATTTACAGAAAAATCAGATAAATATTCAATCGGAACATATCAAAATTTTCAGAAATTAACAAAAGTTTTATGAATTTCTTGAAACAGTGAAATTTTGAGAGCCGAAAATAAGGAAACCTTGAAAGTTGAGCGAAATATTTGAATGTTTCAATCGAAAAAAAATAAATGAAACAAATCAGAGAAATTCTCAGTGCAATTTTTGAAACAGTGCATTTTTCTGGAAATATTTCAGGCCTGAAAATTAACAGGATTATAATCCTAACTTATCTAGACAGTTCATCTTGGTTTTGAAACAGTGAAATTATTTTTGGAAATTCAACAATGATATTTGCAACGTGGCAAAATAACTTATTTAATTGTTTAATTAATTAGATAATTAATTTAGAAATGAGTGTTAGAAGAGAATCAGCCAAAAATCCAGAGAAAAATATTAGAGGATTTTTTGAAACAGTGAATTTTTCTGAAGTAATCTTCTCTTAATCGAAATTCTCAAAACCCACTGAAAATATAAGAATTTTTCGAAACAATGAATTTTTTAACTCAAAAATGCATGAGCATTTTCAGCCAAGACTATAAAAAAACTAAAATTATCGATTTTTTTGGTCTCGTGCAAAAATGGGGAATTAATTTGATAACATTAAATAAACAAATATACAAATTCGAACTTTTTCTTATCTTTTTTTGGGGGGGAAATTGACAGACAAATGGGAATTTTGGAGTTTTATTGGATTTTTTTCCGAGTTTTTCGGGTTAAAAATAGCCGAAGCCATCAGATTTTAGCAAAAAAAAAATTCAAAAAAAAAGGTACCAGAACAAGAAAAAGTCACCTGGATGTAATTAATCACAATGTTTCGCCCTGGTCAGAGAAAAGAAGGGGGAATTTCCGGACACAAAACATCTGAGATCTAAAGAGAAAGAAAAAATGATGACAGGTGGATCAGGCGTCCAAAAAATGTTTATTTTTTCGATGATTTCTGATATTTTATGCTCAGCATATGGCAATTAACATTGATGAAGTTATTTCGAAAATTTATCAAATAATTTTGAAACAGTGAAAAAATTTGGGTTTTCTAAACTTGAAAATTCACTCCACGTGGATTTTTTTGGCCCCAAATTCTCATCAAAATTTCATAAAATAATTCTGAAACAGTGAAAAAATTTAGGGTTTCAAAAAATTGAGCATTTGAAAATTGCCACGTGGATTTTTCAGCTAAATTTGAGCTTTTACTTTTGTTAAACAAAGAGCTACTTGAACATTCCATTTTTCCAAAAAAAAAATAAATATCAAAAAAATTTGAAACAGTGAAATTTTGGAATTTTTTTTCAAAATTTCGGGGAAATTTTTGATTTACAATGGAGCGCACTTGCAATTTTCCACGCGGATACATAAAATATTCTACTAGAAAAATTGCCACGTGGATTTCTTTTTTGTTGATTTCAAATTTTTCATTTCAATATCTAGGTACATTAAACTAACACTGATTTTTAACTCCAAAATTTATAGGAAAAATTTGAAACAGTGAAAAAATATGAAATTTTCCACGTAGATTTTTTGGCACCAAACTTTCATCAAAATTTCCTAAAATAACTCTGAAACAGTGAAAAAATTGGGGTTTGAGCATTTGAAAATTTTTTCAGCTAAATTTAACCCTTATCTCTTTGTTGAACAAAGAGATACCGGAACATTCCATTTTCCCATCAAAAAAAAAATTATCGAAAAATTTGAAACAGTGAAAAATTGGGGTCAAATAAAACTATTTTACTAGAAAAATTGCCACGTGGATTTTTTTTTATTCTTTTGAAACAGTGAAAAAATATGAAATTTTCCACGTGGATTTTTTGGCCCCAAATTTTCATCAAAATTTCATAAAATAATTCTGAAACAGTGAAAAAATTTAGGGTTTCAAAAAATTGAGCATTTGAAAATTGCCACGTGGATTTTTCAGCTAAATTTGAGCTTGGACAAACAGACATTTAAACATTCCATTTTTCCCAAAAAAAAATCTATCAAAAAAATTTGAAACAGTGAAAAAATTTGGGTTTTCAAAACTTCACTCCACGTGGATTTCTTGGCGCAAATTTTTAATTGATTTCAAATTTTTCCCATTTTTTACGTAAAACTAACACTGATTTTTAACTTCAAAATTTTTAGGTAAATTTTGAAACAATGAAAAAATATGAAATTTTCCACGTGGATTTTTTTGACTTTCATTAAAATCTATGTATAAAATAATTCTGAAACAGTGAAAAAATTGGGGTTTCAAAAATTGAGCATTTGAAAATTGCCACGTGGATTTTCAGCTAAATTTAAGCTTGAACAAATAGATTTTGAACATTCCATTTTTCCATCAAAAAAAAATTATCAAAAAATTTTGAAACAGTGAAAAAAATATGAAATTTTTCACGTGGATTTTTTTGACTTTCATTAAAATCTATGTATAAAATAATTCTGAAACAGTGAAAAAATTGAGGTTTCAAAAATGGAGCATTTGAAAATTGCCACGTGGATTTTTTTTCAGCTAAATTTGAGCTTGAACAAACAGCTATTCCAATTTCCCAAAACAAAAATGTTTCACAAAAAAATTTGAAACAGTGAAAAAATTGGGGTCAAAATGAAATATTTTACTATAAAAATTGATTGCCACGTGGATTTTTTTAAATTCTTGATTTCAAATTTCATTTCAATATCGTCCTACATTAAACTAACACTGATTTTTCACTCCAAAATTTATAGGAATATATTTTGAAACAGTGAAAAATATGAAATTTTCCACGTGGATTTTTTTAGCCCTAAACTTTCATTGAAATTCATAAAATAATTCTGAAACAGTGAAAAAATTGCGGTTTCAGAAATTGAGCATTTTTAAATTGCCACGTTTTTCCGCTAAATTTAAGATTGAACAAATAGAATTTGAACATTCCATTTTTCTATCAAAAAAAAATTATCAAAAAATTTTGAAACAGTAAAAAAATTGGGATCAAAATAACTCGGATAAAGTGATGCGCCACTTGCTGACTTTTGGGGCGCTGTTGCTACCATCTGGGGCGATAGGCGCATCAAACAGCCGGGCGCCGTCGCCCGAAACAGCGCCTCAGATGATGCGCCGTCGCCCGAAATAGCGCCCGAACGACGCGCCGTCGTCTGAAATAGCGCCGGGATGCGCGCCATCGCCCCAAACAGCGCATCAAATGAGGCGCTGTTTCGAGCGACGTCGCATCAAAAATTTTTGTCAAATTTAGCGTGCGACGTCGCCCCAAATGGCGCACTACTTTAACCGAGAAAATATTTTAAATACTAGAAAAATTGCCACGTGGATATTTTTTCTTTATTTCAAATTTTTTTGCCCTTTTATCTAACAAGTAACACTTGTAAGTTAACACTGATTTTTAACTCCAAAATTTATAGGAAAATTTTGAAACAGTGAAAAAATATGAAATTTTCCACGTGAATTTTTTTGAGCCCCAAACTTTCATCAAAATTTCATAAAATAATTCTGAAACAGTGAAAAAATTTAGGGTTTCAAAAATTGAGCATTTGAAAATTGCCACGTGGATTTTTCAGCTAAATTTGAGATTTTATTTTTCTTGGGCAAACTGAAACATTCCAATTTACCCAAAAAAATATCAAAAAATTTTGAAACAGTGAAAAATTGGGGTCAAAATAAAATATTTTACTAGAAAAATTGCCACGTGGATTTCTTGGCACAAATTGTTTTGATTTCAATGTTTTTGGCTTCTTACTTAAAATTAACACTGATTCTTCACTCCAAAATTTATAGGAAAATTTTGAAACAGTGAAAAATATGAAATTTTCCACGTGGATTTTTTTAGCCCTAAACTTTCATTGAAATTCATAAAATAATTCTGAAACAGTGAAAAAATTGCGGTTTCAGAAATTGAGCATTTTTAAATTGCCACGTTTTTCCGCTAAATTTAAGATTGAACAAACAGACATTTGAACATTCCATTTTTCCCAAAAAAAATATCAAAAAAATTTGAAACAGTGAAAAAATTGGGGTCAAAATAAAATATTTTACTAGAAAAATTGCCACGTGGATTTTTTTTTCATTCTTGATTTCAAATTTTTCATTTCAATATCGTCTTACGTTAAAGACACATCAGCCACTGGAAAAAACAGATTTCGCGCAATATTTTTCAAATGACAAAACAGCATGTGCGCTCTGTTGCACACACGTCTGTGTATTTCTCTCGGAGAATATTTATTGTTTTTTTTTTCGAGGATTTCGTTTGTTTGTAGTTTATGAATCAGAACGCCAATTTCATCAGGATGTCTTGTGCTGATCTGAAAGTCCGTCTAAAACTACCCATTTCGCTGTGAATACATAGTCATGAAAATGAGAAACCGAAGAGGCATAGGCGGTGAAAGGGAAAATGCACACAAACTTGCAAACACACATTTTCAATTTGAGACTTGGGGTTTTTGAGATTGATCGTTTTCGTCTCATTCTGAACCAATTTCATTGATCAATATATTAATTGAAGCAGAATTTTACGGAGAAGAATTTTATTTTTATGGATTTCTACATTTCGAGTTATTTCAACAAATTTCTGGCTGAAAGCAGATTATTCTGAATTTTTTTGTTGACATTTTCGACGAATTCTGTTCCTCGACAATCCAAGTTAATGGAATTCGACCATGCAATCTGATTTTCAACTCTGGAGCACACGATTTTTGGCTGAAATTTGAGCTTTTCGTTATTTTGAGGGTTTTGGGAGATTTATTTCGAATTTTCTCGAGGTTTTTGATTAATTTGGTGCTGGAAGTTTCTTGACAATCCAAGTTCACGGAATTCGACCATCCAATCTGATTTTCAATTCTGGAGCACACAATTCTTGCTGAAATTTGATTTTTCTGAGATTTTTTAGGGGTTTCTGAGATTTTTCGAAGTTTTACATCAATTCAGTGTTGAAATTGGACTTTTCACGATTTTTGAGAGGTTTTTTTGATTTTTCTCAAAATTGTCTGTCAATTAATTGCTGGAAGTAGGTCGACAACATAATTTCCTAAAATTCAACCATCCAATTCGATCTTCAACTCCGGATCACTGCATTTTGGGCTGAAATTCAACGTTTTTGGTTTTTTGAGGGCATTAGAAGATATCATCAAAATCTTGATTCGGTTCAGATTACATAATCGCTTGATATCCGGCGTATACAACTTTCCGGCGGTAATTCCTGCAGCGAATATGGCATAAAACTCTTTGGAGTATGTAAATTTTTTATTGCTTGTTGTCGGTTTTAAACAAAAATCGCATTCCTCCATCTTTTGTGAAATGAAAACAGTTCAAAACATGAAAAATCGGGAAAAGACGAAGTAAAAATTGGAAAATTGAACAAAAATAAAAAAAATAAATAAAAGGAATACGGTACACAAAAGTGTCACGGAGTGTGTGCAAACACCGTCAAAAAATTTCCGTCGGCTGAGCGTTTTCAAAAACAATTATTTTTTTTTTTTACTTTTGCCAGGCTCAAAATTTTTTCTTTATTTTTATGTATTTCGATTCCTTAGAACATGTTATGAAAGAATAACAACACCATTTCTGACTCATTTCCAGTGGCTGATGTGTCTTTAAATTAACACTGATTTTTCACTCCAAAATTTATAGGAAAATTTTGAAACAGTGAAAAAATATGAAATTTTCCACGTGGATTTTTTTGGTCCCAAAATTTCATCAAAGTTCATAAAATAATTCTGAAAAAGTGAAAAATTGACGCTTAGAATATTGCCACGTGGATTTTTCAGCTAAATTTGAGATTTTATTTTTTTTGAACAAACTGAAACATTCCAATTTTCCAAAAAAAAATATCAAAACTTTTTGAAACAGTGAAAAAATTAGGGTCAAAATGAAATATTTTACTATAGTAACTGATTTTTCACTCCAAAGTTTATAGGAAAATTTTGAAACAGTGAAAAAATATGAAATTTTCCACGTGGATTTTTTGGCCCCAAACTTTCATCAAAATTTCATAAATTAATTCTGAAAAAGTGAAAAAATTTCAATCAAAAACCAAAAATAATTTCTGTTCGTAGTCAAATATAATATAATTTTCAATAACAATAACAATAAACAAATTCGTATATTATTAATTTAGCCAAACTCCAAAGAGAGCACAAATATGAGAGCACAAAATACTTGAGAGTTAGGTTAACTCTCAAGCATATTATTCAGAACAGACCACCCATTGTGAGCAGCAAAAAATTTGGAATATTTTATGAGGTGTGGGTGTATAAATTATGATGAAACATATGTTTTTGAGAGGGAAAAAAGGGGGATTTATGGAAAAATTAGGGGAAGATAGCCACGTGGCATGGGGAAATTTTGAAATTTTAACAAAAATTTATTTCCAGAAGCTTATGCTACGTGGCAAGCTTCTTCTGGATCCAAAATAGCCACGTCATAACTTTTCCAAATTTTCAAGAAAAAAGTTTCAAAGAAATGTCGGCGCCTTTCAACTAATTGAATTACGAAAATTTCTTTGAATCGCAAAATTTTTATTGAAAAAAATAACAAAAAATTCTATAACACGAGACAGAAATCGATTTTTTTTTCATAAATACACTAAAAATTTGTTTATTTATATATTTCCCGATGTTCGAAATAAAAAAATTTATTTTTTTTTTTGAAAAAAAAATTTTTGGAATTGAATGAGGTGTTCATATTAGTCACAGGAGAGGAGGGAAATTGTACGAAATTTGGGGGAAAAAATTGGAAAAATATGTGGGAAAAAAATCACTGTTTCAAAAAATATTGGAATTTGCTATGGGAATATTTTTAATGATTCACTGCGCAATGATTATCGCGTGGCAAAATTAAAAATTTTTAGCCAAAAAATATTTTAAAAAATCACTGTTTCAAAATTTGGTCATTGGATTTCGACTGAAAATTCGAACTGATAAGTTTAAAAAAATTTAAAAATTATGCCACGTGGATTTTCATAACTTAAAATTTTCATAATTTAAAATTTTGCTTTTCAAAAATTCACTGTTTCAAAAAATATTGAGATTTTCTATGAGAATATTTTTAGTGATTCTCTTCACATGATTTTCGCGTTACAAAATTCAAAATTTGAAGCAAAAAAAACCACTGTTTCAAAATTTGGTTATTGAATTTTGACTGAAAGCGAAAAACATTATTCTAAAACGTGGATTTTCATACTTTTAAATTTGAATAATTTAAAATCTTGCTTTTCAAAAATTCACTGTTTCAAAAAATATTGAAATTTTTTAGATTTACTAACCACTTGATGAATTATGCGAATACTTTGGCCAAAAATCATTTCAAAACGCCACGTGGCCTGAATTTATCACAAAAAATCACTGTTTCAAAATTTCAATAAATTTTGCAAGGTAAAAATTATATCCGCCAAAAACTTCAAATTTAAATCTCTGAATTCAAAAATTTTCCCAAAAGTGAATTGAAAATAAGTGAGTAAGTAAGTAAGTGAATCTCAAATGTAATCTATTTTCAACGATCTCATTTCGGAGCCCAGCTACTTAATCCCACCCAAAAATCTTTTCTTCTTATTCAAAAGAACAACGAAACAGCTGTTCACAACTTTTCACTCATTTTTTTGCTCGCTGAGCTGCGAAAAGTCATATAATGATAGATGTGAGGTTTTTTGTTTAACAAAAAAAAACATATTATCACACTTTTTTTGTGATTTGACAATGAGAAATAAGGGAGAAGGAGGAGCAAAAATTGGGGATTTTAATAGAATTTGAGGGTATTATCCACGTGGCATCACATTGTGGAATTATCAAATGATTTTGAAACAGTTGAAATTTTTTGAACATTTTTTTGACTGTTTATCATTGAGAATCCACGTGGCAAATGATTTTCAGCTCTAACAATAAAATTCAAATGTTTCACTGTTTCAAAATTTGGATAAGGTTTTTTCTCTAATTTTCTATTATGATGCAAATTTTCCCGCCAAAACTGAGGACTGAAATACACGTGGCACAAGAAAAAATACAGAAATTCGAGAAATCCACGTGGAAGATAGTTGAGAGACGGTTAGAGAGAAAAACAATTTGTCAATAGAGCGAACATGCGTTGTTTAAATTTTCAAAAACAATGTAAATTTTTCGGAATTTTGATGAATTCACTGTTTCAAAAATTTGATGAAAAATTTACTTCAAAATAAAAAATGTTATCACTTTAAAAAATTATAAGGAAATATGATTTTTTGCTTTTCAAACAATAATCCGCGTTTACGCGATCAATTTGCATCATTTTTAGCGCAAAGTTTGAATTTTTCATGAAATCTAACCCCAGTGAAAAGTAGCAAGTTTTACTTTGAAAATTTTTGAAAACAATGTTGAAAAACTCACTTTTCCTCCAGTTTTCCTTGTTTTTCAAAATCATTCGCTTCATAAATGTTTTCGATATTCCATCATTTCGCTGACGTTTTTCCTGTAAAATAGAAATGAGTCAAATCTAAATAAGAACTCCAAACTGAAAAAAAATTCAAGAATGTACATTTTTCATTTAAAAAAAGCTTTTTGAGCACCAGTTTTAGTATAAAACTATCGAAAATCAACTAAACTTGTGTTACTTGTATTAGGAAAATAGATAAATATGAATTTTACAACAAGTTTCATTCAAATTCATCGAAAAACAACAAAAAACAAAACGAAAAAGAAAAAAAGCACACACATTTTTGAGAGAGTGCGCGTCATGACATTTTTATCAATGGGGCGCACTTCCATTTCTACTTTTATTTTCTTGTTTTTTTTTGTTTTTCAGAAACGTATTTTTTGTTGGTTTTCCATGAATTGGAATGAAACTTGTTGTTGTATTCATATTTATATCTTTTCCCAGTACAAGTAACACAAGTTTAAATCATTTTCGATTGTTTTCTACTAAAACTGGTGCTCAAAAAGCTTTTTTTTATGAAAAATGTACATTCTTGAATTTTTCTTTAGTTTGGAGTTCTTATTACGATTTCACTCATTTCTATTTTACAGGAAAAACGTCAGCAAAATGATGGAATATCGAAATAATTTATGAAGCGATTTTTGGTTGAATGGTTGTCAAAAACGAGGAAAACTGGAGGAAAAGTGAGTTTTTCAACATTGTTTTTAAAAATTTCAAAAAACAAAACTTGCTACGTTTTCCCGGAGACGTGATAAATTGCCACGTGGGAAATTTTGAAATTCCATATGAAGAATTCGACGTATCAATTCGAAAATTTGAGAAAAAACATATCCAAATTTTGAAACAGTGAAAACTTTTTGAATTTTGAGAAATTCAATCCATATTTAATGAAAAGTTCAAATTTTGCGCTAAAAATGATTCGTAAACACGGATTATCGTTTGAAAAGCAAAAAATCAAATTTCCCTATCATTTTTGAAGGTGTAAATGCGGATTATCGTAGTTGGAAGCATTTCAAACGATACTCCACGTTTACGGGGTCATTTTGAAGTGAATGTTTCATCAAAATTTCGATCAAAATTTCCAAAAAAAAATTACTGTTTCAAAAAATTCGCAAAAACAATTAGGGAAGGAATCTTTTTGATTAGTCCATAGATAAGTACATAGACTTTAGGCGGCTAAATTTAAATTTAAAGAAAGTTTTGAATTTCAAAAAGTTTCAGTTACTGAAAATGGATGAGATGAAAACTTCTTTTAATAATAACCTGACCCAAATAGTTTTCCCATCCCATAACCCAAAGCCAACCAAAAAAATCTGTCAAATCGAATAAATCGCAAAAAAACCACACACAAATCCAATCCAATTCAATTTCAAAATAAAATAAAATAAAATCATCAAATAAATACAAAACACAGAAAACCGCGCGGCGAGAGATTGCAGAGATAAAGAGGGTGGCGAGAGAAGCAGATCAATTAGTGACCGACCTTCTTCTCGCCAGTTTTAATTAGCCGAAATAGCGTGGGATTTTTGAGAGACATCCAGACAGATTAACTTTTTATCTCTTTATTTTTCACATATTGTTGCAAATATTTTATTAAATAATTGGGATTATAGGCAACCTTTAAAGGTACATATTTTTCCACAGAAAAAAAAAAATTTTATTTTGGAGTTAGGCTAATTACAGGTTGTTACAGGCAGACAGGTGTTGAAGGACAATTGGGTTTTGGCTTTTTGTATTACAAATCTATTTTATTCTATTTTATGAGGGTCAGAGGATTTTTGAAACAGTGGACAATTTTGGGGAATTTTGATACCTGAAAGTGCAAATGCGCTCTAGTGAACACAGGGTTTTTTGAAAATTTAAGCAAGCAAAAATCCACGTGGAAAATTTGATATAGAATTTTGGGATTGCAAGTGCGCTCTAGAGAAAATTGCAGAAAAAATTGAAATTTCAACCCCGAAAATCCACGTGGCGAAATTTTAATTTTACGACAAAATTTTTGAAATATAGAAGTTAGCGCGTGAAAGTGTGCAAGTGCGCTCTACTGAACTCGTAGATTTTTTCCTTGAAAATTAGAATTTTCAATTTTTTTTGAAAATCCACGTAGCAAAGAATGTATGCAAGTGCGCTCCAATGAACTGATGGCGGTCTACAGAAAAATTTAAATTACATATAATTTGGACGCCAGAAATCCACGTGGCAAAAAGAAAATCAAAATAAATATTTTTCAATAAAATATGCAAGTGCGCTCTATTGCAAATCAAAAATTTTCCTGAAAATTTTCGAAAAAAATTTAAAAAAAAAACCATTTTTTGGTCTCAAAAATTCACTGTTTCAAAATTCTTTGAATAGAATTTCACTTTTTCCGGGTTTTTAATCAAGATTAAACACCTGTAATCCAAAAAAAAACTCAAATTCTACAAAAAAAAATCAAAGTCGCTCTAGTGAACACCAGCTATGACGTGGCAATTTTGTGTCCTTTTCTCACAAACCTCGAAAAACCCATGAGAAATATTGCATAACAAATAAATAAATAAATACACATAAAATGGGATTAACCGTGGTCGGCTTATTTTAAAGGCGCATAGAATAGAAAAGGAAAAAAAAAGAATTTGCATGGACCATTGAATTTGAATACAGCTGATACAACAAAAAAACACATTTATTTATGATATTAAATTTATTAATTAATTAAAATTAATTATTCACAGTCATCTGGATGACAGGTACAGTAATCGTGTGGGCACTCAGTTGTAGCTGAAAATTTTTTTTTGTTGAAAAAAATTTTCAGTCACTCACTTGTTGTTGGCTCCGGTGTAGTGGTTTCTGAAAAAAACATGCCGCAAATCTGCTAAAGTTTAAGCCACGCCCACTTACTTCTATGAACTTCACCGCCAATTTTTGGTGGACGAGTTGAAGTGGCAGCGATTTGTAGGATGAGCAATCTATAGATTTTCGGGGGAAATTTAGAAAAAAAAAATTGTTTTTAAGAATTTTTTGTGACTTACATGAGAAGAATGAGCGGTTTGAAAATCATTTTTTTAAAGAAAATTTTGAAATTTTGTCAATTTTTATAGTTATTGGATAATTGAATTCGAAATTTGGAATTTAGAATTTAGAATTCAAATGTGATTCGAATTTTCTGAAGATACTGAAAACTTCCTTGTTGAAATTTTCAGCCAAATCCACGTGGCAGAAAATGTTCAATTTTTTTCACCAGAAACAATTCACTGTTTCAAAATGTATTTATCAAATTTTGACTGAAAAATCGACTTGATAGAAATCGAAAAAAATTGTTTCATTGGAAAAATTCACTGTTTCAAAAGTTTTAAAAGAAATTTTGAAAGAATTTCGAAAATTATATTGGCTGTCATTATAAAAATTAACTGTTTCAAATTGTTTTGTTAATTTTTGAGGGATTTCTGTGTTTGCTGAAATACTTTTATGAAAACTTTTGATTTTTTCAGAAAAAAATTCACTGTTTCAAAATCTATTTATCAAATTTTGACTGAAAAATCGATTTGATAGAAATCGAAAAAAAGGTTGTTCATTGGAAAAATTCACTGTTTCAAATTATTTTGTTAATTTTTGAGGGATTTCTGTGTTTGCTAGAATAACTTCAATTTTTCAGAAAAAATTATCTGATAAACTGTGAATTTTTTCATGACTGATATCAAACTTTTAGAATTGTTTTGGAGAATGCAGAAAAACTTTTTATAAAATCAATTAATTAATCAAGTTTTTAATTAACTATTCCAAAAATGCTGTAGTTGGTGGTGGCTGAGTAGTGAAGCCGGTGACTGCAAAAATTATAGATTTTCAAAAAATGTTTAACATGAGTAAACAAAATCACTCACTATAATAGGGAAACCATTCTACAGTAGTGGTTTTCTCTGTAAAAAATCATGCTGAAATTTTTTTTCGAAGTAAAAAATTATTTTTTACCAAAAACTTCACCGCCTCCTCTTGGTGGACGAGTTGAACTCAAAGGATTGGCAGAAATTTGTAAGATGAGCAATCTGCAGATTTTCGCGGGAAAATTTATATTTTTTTTCAGAATTTTAAGAAAAACTGTGACTTACAGAAGAAGAATGAGGGGTTTGAAAATCATTTTTTTTTTGAAAATTTCAAATTTTTTGAAATTTTTGAATAATGTTCATTTTATAGTTATTGGAGGATAATTGAATTTGGAATTTGGAATTCAAATTTCAAATTTGATTTGAATATTCTGGTGAAATTTGAAAACTTCCTTGTTATATATCTCAAGCTGTAGTACTAGACACCGGAGCCAAATTCATCTGCTGCTCTAATTTCACACTTTTCCTCGTACAAATCTCCAAATTCGAAATCAAAAATATCAATGGCAACATGATTTCAGGTATATCAAACGCCACACTCAGCAAAATTATCAACAAAGCTCGAGGATCGAGTTTCAAAGTCGGCGCAAAAATGGTCAATGTCTCGAAGAACAGTGAAATAAGCCCATAAAAGATTACGGTAATCAATAATTGTGTGAACACTTTTTGTTCGCCTTTTTGAGAATTTTTCGAAAAAACTAATTTTGATTGTTTTTTTAGATGAAGGAATAGGATTAGATAGGAAAATGTGGCACCAATTGGAAATATGTAGAAAATTCTGGCGATTTCAGTATTCCAACCATTTCTATTAGTGATATTAACAAAGCCTGCATAACTTCTATAAACTCTGGTAATGTCAGCGGAAATTATGCTTAAAATAGTGGCTGAAATTGATAGAATAAATGTGATAAAAATAGCAAGAAGATAGCGATATCTGCGAGAAAATTGAGTTTTAGCTCTAGAAATTAGACCAACCCTTCAAAGATCTTTTCATTCCAATTTTTCGAAACAAAACATAAACATCGATTCAGCGACATGAAAAATATAAGAACCTCTGTGAAAAATCCGGAAAAAAATCCCAACCAAAGTGAAATTTGCAGAGTCAACACTGAAATTTCCGACTGATATTCGGTTATCGAAAAATAAACGGAGATGAAATAGAATAGACATCGAATTATTATTGAAATTGACATAGTTGATAACATCGCAAAAAATGAGCCGTTTTTCAGATAGTTTTTGGAAAAAATCAGGAAAACATTGGCAAATTGCACAGGACAATCAAAAATTGTTATCAAAAGTGACACGAAAAATGGTAAACTTTGAAAATTTGGTTTATATAGTGGCGGTAGAGTTGTGCAAATTATGTCATATTGATTGCAAGTGATTGCAACATCGACAGGTATTTCTGGAGGACATACAGTTGCATTGAAGAATAAAGCTGACATTTTATCGATTTTTTAAAAGAGTTAGCATAAATTATACGCTCAATTTTATGAATATAAAAATTTCACGCCTATAATTATAATTGAAAAGGTATAATTAGGATTTTATTTCAAAACTGAAAATCAACAAAAATTAAAAATATTGAAGCAAATCCAGACATATTTATTGATTTTTCAAAAAAATAGTTAGCATAGGCTCAATATCGAAAATGAAAAAAAATCTAGCTTATAAAAGCTAAAAATCTAGATTATTATATGTACCTCGAAATGTAGGATTTTTTCAGAGTTAAATATCAATAATTTATTCGAAACAAAATAAAATAATTCCAGAAAAGACTACGGTAATCAATAATTGTGCAAATACTTTCTGCTCGACAATTTATTCATCGAAGAACAGTGACACTAGTTTTTGGAGCCAACTTCTTCGATTCTATCACTGTTTTTCTCGCACAAAAATCCAAACTCGAAGTCAAAAAAATCAACGACAATAAAATCTCCGGCATATAATTCAGAATATTCAACGAAATCACACAAACAACTGCAAAATCTTGTCCCAAATCCACCACAAAAATGGTTAAAATCTCGAAAACCAATGAAATCATCCCATAGAACACTACGGTAATCAATAATTGTGTAAACACTTTTTGCTCGCCTTTTTGCGAATTTTTCGAAAACGCCAATTTCGATTGTTTTTTCAAATGAAGGAATAGGATTAGATAGGAGAATGTGGCACCAATTGGAAATATGTAGAAAATTCTGGCGATTTCAGTATTCCAACCAATTTCATAACTGGCATTTACAAAACCTGCGAAATCATTGTAAATTCTGGTGATTTCAGATGTTTTTATACTGAAATATGTGGCTGAAATCGATAGGAGAAGTGTGATGAAGACAGCAAAAAGATAACGATTTCTGAAAAAAAAAGGAATCTTGTTTTTCACCGAAATTTTTGACCAACCCTTCGAAGATTCTCTCATTCCAAGTTCTTGAAACAAAACATAAACATCGATTGAGTGACATGAGAAATATGATAACTTCCGAGAAAAATCCCGAACAAAACTCCAAATATAGCGAGATTTGCAGTGTCAGTTCTGATAAATCCGATTTCATAACCGTAAAATAGGTTGAGATGAAATAACTCATACATCGAATCAATATAGATCCCGACATAATTAATAACATTGCAAAAAACGGGCCTTTTTTCTGATATTTTCTGAATATTATCAGAAAAACATTGGTCAATTGCACGGAAAAATCAAAAATTGTGATGAAAAGTGGGGCTAGAAATGCGACACATAGAAATGATTGGGATTCGAAAGGAGGTGGTTCAGTGCATAATTTGTAGTTGTCTGGACAATATTCTCCAACTGGTTGATCAGGCAATGCTGGGAGCGCGGAAATATTGAAGAAAAAACCAGACATTTTATTGAGTTTTTTTTTGTTAGAAATGGGTAGGTTAGCTTAACTTGGGTTTGAAAAAATGTTCTCGGCTAGCTTGGTATTATGAAAGCTGTAATTATAGCTTACAATTAATGTTGTAAAAAAATTTTAAGAGAATGAATTTATTGAAAAAAAAATAATGGCCTTTAATTTTCGAATTTCTTGAAACTATCAGATTTTACAGATTTCTGGGAACTGGGAACTTTTTTCAGAGGAATCATTTCAGAGCAAAATCAAATACTTTACTCATTAAGGAACTGAAGCTGTGGTACTAGATCTTGGAGCAATATTTTTCTGATCTTCAACTTTTCTCCTCGTACAAATTTCCGAATTCGAAATCAAGAAAATCAATGGCAATAAAATTTCAGGTATGAAGTTGGCCACATTCAATAAAATAATCAATGAAATTCGAAAATAGAATTCCAACTTTTCCGCAAAAATATTCAATATCTCGAAACAGAATAAAATAATTCCAGAAAACACTACGGTGATCAATAATTGTGTAAACACTTTCTGCTCGCCTTTTTGTGAATTTTTTGAAAAAACTAATTTCGATTGTTTTTTCAGATGAAGGAATAGAATCAGATATGAAATAGTAGCCAGAATTGGAAATGCGTAGAATAATCGAGCGATCACATTTTCCCAGCCGAATTCAGAAGAACTAATATTGACAAAACCTGCAGATTTATCATAAATTCTGTAAATTTCAGCAGTTTTTATGCTTAAAATTGATGCTGAAATCGATAGAATAATTGTGATAAAAATAGGGAAAAGATAATGATTCCTGGAAAAATTAAATGGGTGAGTTCAGGCAAAATATTTGAACAAACCCCTCAAAAATCATCTCATTCCAATTTTTCGAAACAAAACACAAACATCGATTGAGTGACATAAAAAACATGATTAATTTCGAGAAATATCCCGAGATAAACTCCAAATACATTGAAATTTCAAGCCATAGAGGTGATAATTTTGACTCTGTTACTGTGAGATATGCGGAGATGAAATAACACATGCATCGGATCAAAATTGAGATGGACATGACTGACAACATCGCAAAAAATGAGCTGTTTTTCAGATATTTTTTGAGGATAATCAATAAAACATTGGCGAATTGCACCAGAAAATCAAAAATTATGATGAAAAGTGGAACAAAAAATGGGATTCCTAAATCATTTGAAGATTCAATTGGCGATTGAGTTGAGGGACAAAATGGGGCAGATGGCTTGCAAACAAATTGTTCTAGAATTTCAGGTGTAAAGTATGAGCGATTGAAATACAATCCAGACATAATAAATATTATTTATTGATTGTTTTTAAAGAGTTATAATGAGTTAGGCTCAATTTCACGAATAATAAATCTATATTATGATTATATGTAACTCGAAATGTATAATTAGTAGAATTATATTTCAAAGTTAAATATCACCAATTTCTTGAAGTGCTGAAGCTGTAGTGCTCGATCTTGGAGCAATATTCTTCTGATCTTCAACTTTTCTCCTCGTACAAATCTCCAAATTCGAAATCAAAAATATCAATGGCAATAAAATCTCCGGTATTAAATTCACCGCATTCAACGATATAACCAAAAAAATAAGCAAATGTATCTCCATAGGCTCCGCATAAATCGATAACACTTCGAAATATAACAAAATTAGCGCTTGACAAACTACGGTAATCAATAATTGTGTAAACACTTTTTGCTCGCCTTTCTGTGAATTTTTCGAAAAAATCAGTTTTGATTGTTTTCTCAAATAAATGAATAGATACAGGTAGGAAAGTGTGGAGAAAATTGGAAATATGTAGAAAATTCGAGAGATTGCAAGGTTCCAACCAGCGGAATTATTGATGTTGATGAAACCTGCTGAATCTTCATAAATTCTAGACATCTTAGCTGTTGTTAAGCTTGAATATGTTGCTAAAATTGATAGAGAAATTGCTATGAGAATACCAAAAATGTATTGAGTTCTGAAAAATATGAGGAATTCTTAGCGCAGAAAAAAATGTGACCAACCCCTCGAAGATCTTCTCATTCCAAGTTCTTGAAACAAAACATAAACATCGATTGAGTGACATGAAAAACAGGATAAGTTCCATAAAGAATCCAGAGAAAAACTCGAAACACATTGAAATTTGCAGCCAAAACTTTGATAAATCCGATTCAGTAACTGTGAGATATGCGGAAATGAAATAACACATACATCGGATCAAAATTGAGATTGACATGACTGATAACATCACAAAAAACGAGCCGTTTTTCAGATATTTTTTGAAAATAATCAGAAACACATTGGCAAATTGCACCGAAAAATCAAAAATTGTGATGAAAAGTGGCACCAAAAATGCGGGACTTAAAAAATTCGGGGGACCAGCTGGAGCTGGAGTGGGATCGTGACAAAATCGATCATTTTCTGCGCAAGTATATCCATTTGCAAATCCTTGAGTTTTCACAATAGCAGAATAATTAAAGTAGAAACCTGACATTGATTTTTTGAAGTTAGGCTAACTTTGTAAAAATGAAAAGTTTTTTAGCTTGTTATTATGAAAGATGTAATTAGGCTTAAAGAAAATTACAGAAAATCAATTAAAAATGTATGTAGGAGTTAAGAAATCTTGAAAAATAATTTTATTTTAGCTTTCTAACAGAATTGTTGAAATTAATTCCCAATCGACGCAGTTTTGCTAGACGGACTCTTCTTCCCCCTCGAGAATTTCAGCGTAGATATCATAAGCATCAATGGAAGTGAAATCTCCGGCAAAACATTCACAATATTCAAAATCGAAATCAATGTAAAAACTTGTTCCAACTCCAAAACCTCTTCTAACATTCCAATAGCCTCATAGAATATACAAATCAACGCGTAGAATAAAACTGTCACCAAAAGTTGAGCGAAAACTTTTTGCTCTCCCCGTTTTTTCGAGCGAGTGAGCACCAATTTTGATTGAGCTCGCAGGAATTTGAAAATTAACAAGTAGCAGATTGTTGAGCCCAAAGGAAATATATAAAATATTCTAGCTATCAGAGTTTTCAAACCGATTTCTTCATTGAAATCTACAAATCCAATGTTGTTATAGAACAATCGTTTGATTTCCGATGTTTGAATACTGGTTATGGTTGCCAGGATTGATATGGAGATGCAAATAATTACAGAAAACAAGAATTTATAGCTAAAAATTTCAGTTACCCTAACTTATGATGTGACATTTGCTTACCCCTCAAAAACCATATCATTCCAATATACTGAAACAAAACATAAACATCGATTCAGCGACATAAAAAATATCATCGAAACCGAGAAAAATCCCGAAAAAAAATCGGAGAATAACGAAATCCTTGAAAAATTCTCATAGTTTTCATAAACCACAGAGCCTACAAACATCGAAAAATCCGAAAAACATCGGAAAATTATTGAGATTGACATTATGAAAAGCATTTGAAAAAATGGGCCCTGAAACTTTTATTTTTAGAAGGGACGTGGCTTAAGTTAGCATAACTAACAATAAGCTTACATTTTTCAAATACTTTTTGAAAATGAGATACAAAACATTGCTAATTTGCACCAATAAATCAAAAATAGTCACCAAAACAGGGGCCAAAAAATTGAAGTGCATAATTTTCTCAATATAAATCGATATAACTTCACTGTCAGAAGAAGTATCTCCATAATCACACGTTGTATGATATTTTGAAACTGGACAACTCATAGCTTGAGCAGTACTTTGCGTATTTCCAGGAAAAATCGAAGGAAATAGTGAGCTATTATAGGACAATCCTAGCATTTTTTTTAAAACAAAAGTTTAGATACGAAATATTTGAAAAAATATATAAGTTTTTGAGTTGGCTGGGATATAATTACGGGGGATTTGGCATTTTCAGTAGAGAAATGCTATATATTTCTCGAGAAACTGGTCTGATTTCAATAAAAGTTCAGCTTATTGCGAAAAACACAAAAAAACAAGCAGCGTCATCAAGCGGAGTGTCGTTATATTCCGCGCAACTTTATTTCAAACAACATTCAATCATTTAACAGTGTTTGAAGTCATTGTACTAACAATTGCCTCAATTTTAATTGATTTCCTGCAAAATTGAAAATTTGAAACCAAAAGCATGAAAGGCAGTGAGATTTCAGGCAAGTAATTGATAATATTCAGCCAGGATATCAATAAAATCAATTCATCATTCTCCAAAACGTTGTCTAAAATCCCAACAGCTTCAAAAAATATACAAATAAGTCCGTAGAATATAACTGTAACCAAGAGTTGTGCGAATATTTTTTGCTCGGCGTTCCGAGATGTTAGAACCATTTTCGATTGCTTTCTCAGATATCGAAACAAAATTATATAGCAAATTGTAGAGCTAATGGGAAATATGTAGAAAATTCTGTCGATCATTGTTTTGTAGCCATCTAAATTTTGACTGTAATCAATGAATCCAGCTTCGACGTAGAATAATCTTCTGATTTCTGAGGTTTTGATACCAATTATTGTTGCTAGAATTGCGATTGAAAATGCTATGAATATCAAGATCTTATATTTCTGGCCCTCGAAGATTTTTTCATTCCAATAATTCGATACAAAACATAAACATCGATTGAGAGACATCAGGAATATTAGAATTGTTAGAAAAAAATTGAAAAAGAAATCGATATACATTGAACTTCTAACAGAAATTTGATAAATTTCAGCATCTGATTTGTAAATTGCCACAATGCTATAATTCAGAAAACTATGTATGCACCGAAAAACACTGCTAATCGATAAAATCAATAATATTTTATAAAATGGACCAGTTTTCAGATAATTTTTCTTGATCAAAAACAATACATTCAGAACCTGCACAAGAAAATTGAACATTGTCAGCAAAAATGGGGCGTAAAAATTGAATTCAAGGATGTCTACACCATCCATAGTCCACGGTGTGTTTTGGCAAGCTCTTGGATCATCTTCGCAGTACACTGATGCAAAACCTCCATTATTGGAGATATCTTTATATTCAGGGAACATTGAGATATTGTAAGTTGGCACAACCATGATTGAGAAAAAAGTGAAGCCGGGGGTAATTGAAGGGTAGAATGTCGGGTTTGAAGGAAAGGGCAAAATACATTTTTCATCGATTTGAAGTTGAAGGAGCTGTGCTGACCAAGTTTTTCGAAAACTTCAGAGCTGATACCATAAGCATCAATGGAAGGGAAATCTCCGGAAGATAATTTATAATATTCAGAATCGATATAAGCAAAACCACACTTGCATTATCCAATATCTCGTCTAATACTTCAACAGCCTCAAAAATAATACAAATCAAGCTGTAGAATATAACAGTGATGAGAAGTTGCGCGAAAATTTTCTGCCCCGCATTTCTAGAAGTTAAAGCCATTTTTGATTGTGCCCTCAGATATCGGAATAAAATTATATAACAAATCGTTGAGCCAAAAGGGAATATATAAAAACTCCGGCCAATCAATGTTTTGTAACCATTGGATACTTGACTGGAATCAACGAATCCTGCGTTGGGATAGAATACTCTTTTGATTTTTGAAGTTTGAACACTTATTATTGTTGCTAGAACTGAAATTGAGAATGATATCAAAACTGGAATTATGTATTTATGCCCCTCGAAGATTGTCTCATTCCAATGACTCGATACAAAACATAAACATCGATTTAGAGACATTAGAAAGATCAAGGTGACTAGGAAAAAGCTGAAGAAGAAATCAGAATAAACCGCGTTTTGTAGAGAAGTTTTATAAATATCAGTGTCTTTTCTGTAAATCGCTGCGCAGCTATAATTCACAACAATATGTAGACATCGAAAAATGATACTGATAGACATAATAAATAATATTCGAAAAAAAGGGCCATTCTTCAAATACCCGGATTTAATAAGAAATCCCACATTAATGAATTGAATCAGAAAATCAAAAATCGTTACTAGAAATGGTGCAAGATAATTGAATTGAAATATATCGATACCTTCGAAATCCCAAAATGTGTCTTCACATTTGCTTGGATTTATATTACAGTTTATGGTTTCTATAATTTTAATATCCGAAGAGGTTAAAATAGAGGAGTTGTAGGTTAGCGCAACCATAATTTTGTTAGATGAAAATTTGAAATATTATTTAGAGCGAAGGGTAATTAGAGGTTTGCTGTGGCTTATGATTTATGAACAATTTAAAAATCAATAATTTATTTCAAAAAAACTATAGTCTAGTTTGAACGGTCTTTGTAAAATGATCCCCCTTGTATCTAGTTTGATCACCTGTGTACTATGAGCTTTTGACCGCCCGTTTTTTGTTTATATTTTATTTACACACATTTTTTTGTTGGGAAAGCTGAGATTCAAAACAATAAAAAAAAGAAGTGTTTTACTATATGTTTGCTCAGTTGCAAAAAATGAGTCTAGTTTGGTTTTTCACGGGAAATAAAAAAGAAACTCGATCTTTTTGATTGTTTTATCTATATAGTTTTTTTTCTGCTACCAAAAACTGAAAACTGAAAAAACATTTTTGAACCGGATGATTTTGACGCAAAAACAAACATATATGTAGTTCAAAAAATCAGTTCAAACAATAGATTTTTTGCATTCGATCGAAAAAAAAGTAAATTGAAAAATGTTGCTGATCTTTATGTCAGATAACAAGTACAATTTTGAATTGTTTTTTTGCCGAAAAAAAGGTCACAAGGTAGTGTGCAGACAATTGATTCGATTTGTGTGTAGTGTGATCTTTGTTGACAGTAAAGAATGCCACGTGGATTTTTGTGAGCAAGAGAAAACCAATTTCCAAACAATCCAAAGAGGATTTCGAAAAATTCATAAAATTTTTGAAACGTATTTTATGTCTTTGAAAAAATTTGTCGAATTTTGTTCCTCAGAATTTCGAAAAAAAATCCCAAAATTTTGAAACAGTGATTTTTTCCATGATAAATAAATTATGGAATCAAATTAATTTCGAAAATTCTGAAAATTCATACAATTTTTGAAACGTATCTCTCTTCGTTCCTCAGAATCTCGAAAAAAAATATTAAAATTTTGAAACAGTGAATTTTTGGCTAAAAACCACTCTGCTATGAAAATTCATTCAATTTTTGAAACATTGAATAATTTTTAGAATATTTTACATGGTTTGAACATTCACTTCAAAAATTCCGAAAATTCCTACAATTTTTGAAACAGTGAATTTTCAAATAAATTTTTTCGTGTGGATTTTTTTAAATGAAAAAAAACTTTGTCAAATAACAACAATCAACACGAAAATTAACAACAATCAACACGAAAATTTCAAAATTAATTTTTTTTGAAACAGTGAATTTTTTATCTTGGTTTTCATCAATTTTCATTATTGGTTCCGAAAATTATCCAAAATTTTGAAACAGTCAAAAAATACCTCCTCCATAAAAATGTGTAGTCTGTTCCTTTGCTCTCATCCATTCCGATTCGATTGCTTTTGTTTGTTTTGTCTATCTCGTGTCTATGTACAATTTCGTGAAGAACGCGCCCAAAAAATCCATTTTTCTGCACTTTAAATATAATTTTTGTGTTTTTTTTTGTTGTTCAATAATGATCGATGTGTTTGTGTCTGTCTTATCATCTCTATCTCTAAAACTATGTAAAAACTAAAACAAAAAATGTCTGGTCGGCAGAAAAAATCGAGGAAAAATGAGAAGGAAGAAGAATGGGAAGAAAACCAGATTTTTCCGATGAATCTACATTTTTTGGAGGGGGAAAGAATATTCCAAACGTTTTGGATTTCTGTTGACGCGTTTTTTGTGGGCTTAGAATTTTGCTGGCGCAAATCTGGCAGGCTTAACTATTGATGACGTATTTCTGGTAGATCCACATTTTTTTGCTTACGTGAATCTGGTGGACTTAACTATTGCTGACGTGAATTTTAAAGCTTACGTGTTTCCAGAAAACTAGAATTTCTCCCTACACTCTAGTTAAGCTGTTCTTCTGTAGCTATTGGCGCAATATTTGTAGGTACAAAAATTGCTTTCCTTTGAATCAGCACGGTTCAATGCTGACGTGTTTCTAGTAGATCAAAATTTTCTATTAGCGCAAAATTTATGCCCTTACATTAGGCTTAGATCAAATCAATGGCGTATAATTTGTAGGTAAAAGTTTCCAAAACGTCCTCAATTTTCAAAGATACCCTTCCCTTATCTGATGTGTTTTTCGTACCCGCAACGAATTCCACATGTGTAGTTAGCGTAGATTTTATGGTCAGCTCAGGTAAGTTAGGGTCCCTAAGTTAGGGTCCCTAACCTAACTCCACTTTTTTTCCCGAGATCAAAAAACCAAATGTGTGCCTCCCTTTTTTTTTTGAGTCGACTGACTGACTCTCAATTTCCGTCCGACACCCACCTTTTCTAAATAACAAATATTTTTTTTCACCTGCCCAATATTGTCTACTGAAAAATCCTGCATCTGTCACGTATTATGCAATATTGATTTTATTTTTTATTTTTCATTCCCATCCCAATCCACCTTCGTCTAGGATCCCTAGACAAAAGTAACTATACTAGGTACATAGTACACCCCCCCCCACCACCAATCACCAAAACTATAGTCTAGTTGACCTAGAAACAACTGTGTGTGTGTGTATATATAAAATGTCTGGCCGTTTTCTCTCATTTTCTTCTATCTCATATGACCAGCAACAAAAGTACTCTCCAAAAGAATTTGTGTCTGCGAACATGTGTCTCTGCGCCCTCCACCAATCCGCCCGCTATTTCTCAATGATCAAACTAGAGACGTCTGCGCCTGCAGGGCCTTCCTCCTCTCCGTTTTTTGTTTGTTTGTGTGTGTGTTTTCCGAGATACTCTCGGGGGTTTTTGCCTGCAGCTGGCTGGCTGGCTGGACGATTGGTCTCACTGATTTTTGTTTCTGTCTCTTTTTTGCTTTTGATGATTTTTTTGTGAGCACTCTCTGATTGTCTGCCTCTCGCTGATATCACACTCTCTCTCTCCCGTGTCTAGTCAATTACATTACACCCAAGACAAAAAAAACGCATATTTTCTAGTCTGGTTTAGATTGTCTAGTCTGGTTAACTGGTTTTTGGGATGTCTCTGGGGGAATTGTCTGGATTTGGTTGTCTGCGTCTCTCTTATCTCTAGATGTCTGGTTCAACATTCTGTGATTTGTTATTTTTGAAGGGTTGAGTTAGTCTGGGTTTTTTTCCGCGCAAAAATGTCTAGTTCTCTGGAGAGTTCCTCTGCGTCTCTAATTTTGGTTTGATCTTCAGATTTATAGCAATTCCTCTAGGTTCTCTAGGTTCTCCAGGCTCTCTAGACTCTATATGCTCTCCAGGCACTATACGCTCTCTAGGCTCTCTAGGCTCTCTAACCCCTCTAACCTGCCTAGGCTCTCCATGTTCTCTAGAGTCTCTAGGGTCTCTAGGGTCTCTAGGGTCTCTAGGATCTCTGGGCTCTCTAACCTCTCTAGCCTCTCTAACCCCTCAAACCTCTCTAACTAATCTCTCTCTTCTTAGTTTCTCTGCGTCTCTCTTCTCCTCTCGCTCTCTCACTTCTCTAGTTTCTCTGTCTCTCGCCTCGAAACCCCCAGATTTTTGCAAAAATTTTTTTAGAATAATTATATTTTCCCCCACAAAACTTTTTCTCAAAAAACTAATTAATTGTAGTGGAGAAGCTACGAATTTCCCTTTTTTCTTCTTGAATTTTCTTGGTAGAAATACGCACGTATTCAGAGCCTTCTCTAGATTATGGAAATGCGTTCAAGCTTGATTCAATTAGCGTAAAGTGCTGCCTAAGCCTAGAAAATCACAAATGAATGTATCATGAAGGTTGATTTTTTTTCTCTATCAAGTACAAGTTGTATGTGTGACCCGATCGATTTTCGGTGTCCTGTCTGCACACTTTTTTCGTCCATTTCGCCTTCGCCTTCTTCATCATCACACTTTTTTTTCCTTGTTCTTCTTCTTCTTCACGCTCATCAGCGCCCTTCCTTCTTCTTATATTTATGTTTTTTTGTTCTTTCTTCATAAATTTCGCTCGAGCGCCCCGAGCAACAAAAACAACACTCCGTGATTTTTTCAACTTTTTTTTGGAGCCTAGCCGTTTTTTCCATTAGGCATTGCTTCGTTATGAGATTTTTTTTGGTTCAGATCTTTCTATAGTATATAGAAGTCAGAAAAAATGTTCACACGATTTTTTTTCTTGCGTCAGCAGACCCAATTATCATTTTTATCATGAACAAAAGTTTTTCTCTGTGTTGTTTATCACAGAATGCCCTTTTCGTCGCCGCGTTCGCGGTAATAAATCATGATTTTCGCGATGATTTGGGAGCAGAATACACGACTTTTTATTGGGGGCGAGAATTATGACACCTCTGCGTCTCTAACTTTTATGATTACAGGGAGGTCTGATTGTTGAGCTGCCTGTCTGCGTTTTCTCTAGTTCTCTAGACTGTGTGAGGTCCCAAAATATTTAACTAACTCTGCGTCTCTGACTCAGTTGTCTAACAGCCTGACTATCTTAACTTAGAAATTATGCTCTCCATGTCTAACATTCTCTGCGTGTCGAGCTCTTCTAGTTGTCTAGCTAAATTTCTGGTTGCCTACACCCCAGCCCAGGGCGGAATTTCCATGTCTGCGTCTCTGACCCTCTCTTTGTCTAGTTCACGTTTCCTCTAGATGTTTAACCACCTCTGCGTCTCTAGCTACCCTAGTTGTCTAGCTAGATTTCTGGTTGCCTACACCCCACCTTCTCTAGCTCCCTGACTGGATTTCCAAGTCTGCGTCTCTGATCCTCTCTTTGTCTAGCTCACGGTTCCTTTAGATGTTTAACCACCTCTGCGTCTCTGACTCTCCTAGCCAGATTTCTGGTTGTCTGCACTCTCAGTTGCTCTAGCTGTCTGGCCGAATTTCCATGTCTGCGTCTATGACCCTCTCTAGCTCCCTGTTCGTCTAGTCGTTTAACCACCTCTGCGTCTCTGACACCAAAAAAAAAACTTTTGAAAAGTCCACATTAATCACCCCAGCAATATTTATTGGCGCCAAATCGATGACAATACGGTTTCCCGGCCAGTGGCGGGGAAACACATCACTAACATACACACGAAAAAAAGCAGAAGCAGCAGCAAAAAAAGGAATGTCTGACCACGCCTTCCTCCACTCTTTTCTTCTCTCATATTTTTCTTCGTCTAGCGAGGCGCCATCATCTAGTTGTTTTTTAGTTGCTTGCCCGGCTTCTTCTCATTTTTCTCTTCTTTTTCTTGTCTGTTATGATGTGGCGGGGGCTCTTTCTATAGAGTTCACGTGTTCTTTGATGTTGTTGTTGTTGTTGTTATTTTCCCCCAAAACTCCTTGTTTTCTTGCAGATGGTCGACTCGGCCGATCCGTTCTTCCGTCTGTTGGAACGGCCGGGCGCAAGCAACATCAACTTGGCCAACGCTGACACACTAGTGATCAGCGGTCGACGGCACACAAATCATCAGGAGAATGGTGTATTTATGTGGTTGCAAATGTTCAAGTAGGTGCACTTTTTGTTTTTCACTTGATGTCAGACTGGACTTTAGAGGGTCGTTGGGCAGACATGTCTGAGGTTGTTTTTATCTTAGACGGAAAACTTGGCCTAAAATTAAATACATTTCTTATTAGAGCGCGATTACTCTCTGTACTGATATGTCTGATTTCCTGTAGTTAGGTAAATGCGCTCTTATGATTATATCTTTTAAATATCCTTCAATTTGTCATTACACCGCATTTGAACCAAATTTTTAAATTCCTATAAAATACCGCTAGTTTTCATTAGAGCGCATTTTCACTAATTAAAGCAAAAAAGATGATTTTTCAAATTTTTTCAACAAAACCCCAATTAGTCCATGGGGCGCATTTGAAAAATTCACATAGAATAGCAAATCTGCTCCACTGATAAACCCTTTATTCTCCTTGAATCGCAACTTTTTACCCCTTTCAATAAAAATTGCAATGTTTATTGCCATAGAAACATTTTTATCGCCCAATTTTTTTTCGTCTTCTGAACAAATAAACTTGTCTGTGAGACAAGCTCTTTGATCTTCTGAACTTTGAAAAAATAAATAACTTTTTGCACGTGAGATTTTCGAGAAAACTTAATGATGAAGCTCATTATTTTGTTTTTCGAAATGACGTGCTCAGGATTTTTGCCATAAAATCCTGACTGAGCTGAGCAAACTACATATGTATTTTCTGTCTCGCCACATTTTTCTCCATTTTCGTGCACACAACAAGATTCTTCGTCGCAAGAAAAAATAATAATTATAAATTCTTTCTTTTCAGCAATTTTTTTGTCGAGAAAATATGTGGGGAAGAGAGAAAAGTTTCTTTCTTTCTTTCTAGTTTGGAACTTTTTTGTTGCAAAAGGAAAAAAATGTCACATGCTTTTTCTAGGGGGCGCCAAGGAGAAATGAAAAGAACATTTTCTGATGTTTCAATGAACTCTGAGCAAAGAGGAAGTGAGCTCAGAATATAGTATTACTCCTTGCTTGGTATAGTATTTTACTTTTTCTGAAAAACATGGGGGCTCTTTGACCAAAATCATCGATCAAAAATCTCTAGCCTGCTCATTTTTTTCTTATTTTGCAGCTGAAGCTTATAATTTTCTTTGCACCTGACCACAATTCAAGAAATCAAATCCAAATTTCAAATTTCAGCCAAAAACTTCCATCAATATGCATCGGCGGGGAACCATCAATACCTTACGAGATTCTGAAGGAGATCTTCAAGAAGGTTCCGGAATATGAGCAGGAATCGTTTAGTGAATTGATAAGTGAGTTAGCGAAACTCCGCAAGGCCTTCTGAACTCCAAGTTGTTTTTACAGAAACCAAAAATATCCATGTGCAGATCGCTAGCACTACCCAAATCAAAATGCTGCAAGCGCAGTGTGAGGAGTGTCGGAAAATCCAGTCGACTCAATTCAGTCTGATCCGCCGGTCAGATGTCGAGCGACTCGTCGGAAGTCTACGATTGGAAAGTGATCGATGCTCGGGCGAACATGATATCTGGAACCATGCCGAGCGATTTCGTGTGGCACATTTCAATTTTTGCGATGCTTATGATGATTTTCTGGAAGACGATGATTTGATCGAAGACATTTCGAAATACGGAGTCTGCGGTTGGCTATATCCATCTCGAGCCCAAATGCGATGCATCCTCTGTTGCCAGTGTCTCAAACCTTTCACTCCCGGCGATTTCGTCCTTCATCATCACGTCGTCGAAAAAGTTGAGGGAATTGTGCATCACGGTCTCAACTCAAACAGCTGGCCCTATATGCTACAATTAATGGGACCAGAAACATCCAGGGAAAATGAGATGGCTTGGGAGAAGTTTAGGAATATGGATGATGCTGAAATGACGCCGACGTTGAAACGACGACATGAGTTTGCACCTGCGGTTAGCAAGGATTTGATGGATTTCGAATTGTTGAATCCGTTTGCGATGCCGGTTAAGAAGCAGAAAATTATTGATGTTGTTGGTGATATGGAATATGATGATGAGGATGAGGAAGATGAGAATTTCGATAGGGTTAGTAGACGCGCTCTTTGGAGAAGGGGGGGGGGCTGAGGGTAGATTAACTAGGGTACATCCACGAGTCAGACATTAGAAAGATCTCATAGCTACAGTATTAGATAGCTATTTTGGTTATCCGAGAGTCTCGGTACCCATGAAGCCTTGATGAAAAATCTTCCTGTACGCAAAAGTGCGTCGCAGTGATTGCACACATCAATCCGCTGGACGTGGGGACAATTTGAAAATTTTTATGATGCCTTTAGGATTTATGACTTATGTCGAAGATGAAGATCGCGTCATAAGCCGAACCATAAATATTTTCTAGATTTTTTGCTGAACTCATCGATTTTGCAGCCTCATTTCTAACCTAATTTTTACAGAACCGCGACATCGACAATTCCAAAGCTCTAGCCAAATCAACAACCCTGGATCTCCTCAACAATCCACTATTCCATAGTCTCAAAGACAAACTTCCTGCTCTCCTATTCCCGCCGCCAATCGTTGCACCAATCAAATTGGTGGACACACCAATGGCTCCGCCATCAAAGCCTTTCGAGTTTTCATCGAATATTGATCTCAAATCGTTGTTCCCCGCACCGAAATTGGATTTGAGCAATTTTGCCGGGTTGGCAACAGGCCTGCCGGGACTTCCAGTCCCACAAAGCCTGCCTGCTACTGCGCAGAGCCTACCGGGAGCTCCTCAAGGACTTGTGGTCCCGCAGGGATTGCCGGGGACATCTACGCAGGCTGCACAACCCTTCCCTCTACCCAACGCCATGCCAAACTTGTTCAAATTCGATCCCGGGTGGGAAGCTGTTAAGGTAAGTAGATTAGGTCAGGCTTCCAGACCAAATTTCAAATTAAAATTTTTGCAGCGCGAGCAACAGATTCTCAAATCCCTCCCCGATGAGATGATTCGCCTCCTAGACAACAAAACCATCGATGTCTCGCTGGTCTTTCAACTTCTACAACATTCCAAATAATGATTTTCTCCATCACAATCTCTAAAAGTGTCACATTTTCGCCCCCGGTTGCCATTGTACATATAGTTTCTAGTCATCATTTTTATGCATGTTTGTAAATTTTTGAATTTTTCCGTTTTTCCTCCATCTGTTTTTCTCTGGGTCTCTCTTGACATGTAGCAACTATCATAGGTTTTTTTTCTATCGTGTAGTATTTATTAATTTTTGAAAAAAAGAATATATAAGTATCAAATAAAGATATTATTTATTGAATTGTGTGTGAACACCGCGACGAAAAATTGCACACACCGTTCCCCTTAATAACAAAATGACCCCTGAAAAACTCACTTTTCCTCCAGTTTTCCTCGTTTTTGACAATCATTCGCCTCATAAACTGTTTCAATATTTCCATCATTTTGCTGACGTTTTTCCTGTAAAATAGAAATTAGTGAAATCGAAATAAGAACTCCAAACTGAAGAAAAATTCAAGAATGTACATTTTTTCATTAAAAAAAAGCTTTTTGAGCACCAGTAAAATAAAAAAAATTTAATTTTTTTCTCATTTTCGACGTGAAATTTCTATATTTTAGGTTGGCAACGAGTTTTGCGTGGATTTGGATTATTTTTTGAATTTTCTAATCGGTGAAAATGGCTGATCAATCAAATATTCGTAAAATCAGGTGATTCTCACTGAAAAATCGGGAAAACAAGATTTTCAGACAATAATTTCACTTTTTGCATGATTTTCAGCTGACAAACAGTGAAAATTATCATCTAATTGCTAAAAATCATTGTAAGCTTTCTAAATCCCCAAAAAAACTATGATATAAATTCAATTTTTCGTTGAAAATTGTCACAAATCAGAGAAAAACTCACCTTTTTTCAAAAATCAAACATCAAATTGATAAGAAGCCTCAAAATTGACCCGAAAACCGCCATTTTCCCGCAAAAATCGTGAAATTTGCCATTTTTGGTGTTTGATGCAGCAAGTGCGCTCCACCGAACAATGTTGATTTTTCTTTTTTGAAAAATTGTTTTTTCGCGCATTTCCTTTTTTCGGAGTTACCCTAAGTTTTCATGTGTTTTGAAGCTAGAAACTTATTTTGGAGACAATTCCACGTGTTTTGCTTACTTATCTAATCAATAATCGACCTCTTATCAGTTATGAAACACATAATAAATATAGCAAAAAAAAATTTGCATGTCATTGACATTTTTTGTATAGATTATTTGTGTTTTTAGTGGTAATTTTTAACCTAAATTTTTATAATTTCCAGATGTCGTCTGAAATCCGACGACGTCCCGGCTTGACGCGATCAAACTACACACCTCTCGTCAACGAATCTGAAAATGAGAAATCGCAAAAAATCGATCAAGAAGAATGCAGTAATCAGCTGAAAACCCAACACTGGGCCCTGATTTTCATCTACTTGGGAATCATTATTTTGGGCGCTTGCCATTTGCACACTTGTATGCCCCAACCAAAAGAGCCAAATTCGGATGATGTGCAATTTTCGGAGACTCGAGCCGCAAAGATTTTAGAGGAATTATCGGATTATGGTTGGAAACCGGCTGGATCGTATAATTGTGAAGTTTTGGCGAGGAATCGGATTTTGAGAGAGTTGCAGTGAGTTTTTTTCCGATAAAATTTAATTTTTGGTGGCTTTTTTTCGAAATCCTTATGAAAATTTCAATTTTTCAAATCTGGAACCTCTTCCAGTTCAACAAATCCCTCATTTTCGAGGCGAATTTCATGATTTCAGTCTTAAATTGATTGGAATTCATTTGGTGAGCATCATTCGAGTAAGATTCATTTTTTCGCCTAAAATTTCACTCTTTCGAAATATCTATGAAAATTTCAGAGTCCATTTTCTACCAAAATATACCGAATTTTGTGTTTAAAAAATTCACTGTTTCAAAATTTCATCAAAATTTTCATGGACATTTGCTCTTTTTGCTACTTATCTTGATGTTGTCCAAATAAAAATTTCTGTTTTGAATAAAAAAATTTATTTTTCAACATTTTGTTTAAAAATTTTTTCAAAACAATAAAAGGAAAAATTCACTGTTTCAATATTTTATCAAAAGTTCTAATAGAAATCTGCAAACTTTGGTACCTAGTGATTGTCCGGAAAAAAAAACTTTTTGAAAAAAATTCACTGTTTCAAAATTTTATTAAAATTTTTTGAAGAATACCACTAGATATAACGGGGTGAGTCATAAAAATAAATTGACAAAAAAAGTGCGATTAATTTCACGGTTTTTGTCAATTAATCGCATGCATTTCTGAAAAATTAACCATCTCAAATTTAGTCTCAAAACGCTCCAAATTTTCAGAGAGATCCAAAAAACCTCCATCTCCCACTTCGACATCGAAACTCAATATGTCAGCGGCTGCTTCGATATTCCGGCTCATGATACCGAAGGAATGAATATCTGCTATCGAAATGTGTCGAATGTGATCGCTCGACTTGGCGCCAAAAAATACGAGGGAAAAGAGATTGCGGTGCTTTTGAATTGTCATTATGATAGTTATCCGACGAGTAGTGGTGGGTGTGAAATTTTTGCCACGTGGCAATTTCTCTGAAGAGGATCTTGAAAAAAAATTTTCAGCCGGAAGTGATGATCTCAGCTCGTGCGCCCTGATGTTAGAACTCATCCGAATCTACGCCAAACATCCCGTCTTCCTCAATCACAACATCATCTTCCTCTTCAACGGAGCCGAAGAATCCTCGCTTCTCGCCGCTCACGGATTCATCACCCAACATCCATGGCGCCATCAAATCCGCGCCTTTATCAACCTCGAAGCCAGCGGATCCGGAGGCCGTGAGCTGCTCTTCCAGGCCGGCCCCGCCAATCAATGGCTCCTCAATTCATACTTGGAGGCCGCTGTTCACCCGCATTGCAGTGTTTTGGGACAAGAAGTTTTTCAAAGTGGCGTTTATCCGGGAGACACGGATTTCCGGATCTTTCGAGATCACGGGCGGATTCCGGGCCTAGATTTGGCCTTTGTTCAAAATGGCTATTGGTATCACACGGAATTCGACGAGGCGAAACGAATCACAAAAGGAAGTTTGCAAAGAGCTGGAGAGAATGTTTTCGCCGTCATAAATCATCTGATGAGTGCACCGTATTTGGAAAGTCCCGCCGAATATACGGATCACAAATCGGTGTTTTTCGATTTCTTGGGATTGTTTGTGGTGATTTATCCGTTGAGTTTTGCGCATGTTTTGAATGTCACTATTGTTCTGGCCAGTTTGTTTTTTGCTGCGAATCGGGTGGCCAAAAATTGTGAGTTTTTGTTTTTTTTTTGGAAAGTTACAGTAGACTCTTGCAGTCTGGATACTGTAGTTTTGGCCTAGAAGTATCCAATTCTACGAACTGCAAAAAAAACCAAAATACTATAATAAGCTTGCAGTTGGGGGTACAGAAATGTTAAGCTACAGTAACCGGACTGCAAAAAACTAATGAACCGTAACATGTATATTTGCAGTTCGAGGTACTGTAGTTTTTGTCTAGAAATTTTGAGCTACAGTAAGTAACCGGAACTGCAAAATTCTGTGTTCTCAATTATTTCTCATTTGCAGCTTGGAATACTGTAACTGATTGAACTGCAAAAACCTGCCCGTTTTGCAGTCCGGATTTTGTATTTTTGAAATCAATTTGAAATTGAGTCAAATTTTTTCTGAAAAAAAACATTTGCAGTTCGAGATACTGTATTTTTTGTCTAGAAATTTTGAGTTACAGTAACCGGACTGCAAATATCTGAAGATATGCATTCTCGAATGGTTTTTCATGTGCAGTTTGGAATACTGTAGCTAACCGAACTACAAAAATTCAGCTTATTGGGTTACAGTAATCGGACTGCTCCGGATACGGTAACTATATGAATTTTTGCATGAAAATTAACAGAAAATGTCTAGAATTTCTGAAAAATCTCCAAATTTTTTTCCAGCCTGGATTTTCTTCATCGCTCTTCGTGACTACATAATCATCACAATTTCAATGCTCTTCATATTATTCGTAATGTCAAAAATGTCCGTCTTCACATACGGTGCACTTCGTTGGTATACAAGACAATGGCTAGCTTTGATTGCCTATGGATTCCCCACAATTTGGGCCGGCCTAACAGTCCAAAGCCTTCTTTCGGCCCGCCGGAATCCGAAATCCAGAAAAGAATATGCGGCGTGTCTCGAAGTTGTTCATTTGGTTTTTTTGAGTGGAATTTTGGTGGTCTTCACGTATTATAATATTGCCAGCGGGTTTATTTTTACCCTACTTTGCTTGCCGATTTTGAAAATTGTTGTGCAGTTTTTGGGATTTATTGGAGGTGGGAGGTTTTGGGGAAGAAATTTCACTGTTTCAAAAATTTATGATTATTTTTGAGAGATTTTTAGAATTGATTATTTTACTATAGGGGGAAAAAGTTTTGATCTAGAAATTTCTAGAAAAAATCTTGAATTTCTTATATTTCCAAGTTTTGAGATTTCGTAGAAATTCTCACCGGAAAAGCTAAAATTCTGGAAATTTTTTATCCAAAAAATTCACTGTTTCAAAATTTTAATTTGGGAATTTTGGGATTTTCAAATTTGATTACGGAGAAATTCTCAATGGAAAAACTAAAATTCTGGAAATTTTTTCCCTAAAATTTCACTGTTTCAAAATTTTAATGTGGGAATTTTCAGGCTTTTCTAACTTGATTCTATAAATTATCGAAAAAAAGCTAAAATTCTGGATATTCTTGAGCCAAAAAGTATAGGATTTTTCCCCCAAAATTTCACTGTTTCAAAAGATTTTGATCTAAAAATTTTGGATTGTTGAAACAATGTTAAATTGTTGTCGGTTATTTACAGAAAACATTCTTATATTTCAAAATTTTAGTTTGAACTTTGGAGATTTTTAAAACTGATATATTTTTTGAAAAATCTGGATTTTTTGTCCCCAAAAATTACTGTTTCAAATGTTTGTTATTTGAAAATTCATCTCAAATTTTTACTCAAGAATAACTAGAGAAGTCAATTTTTCTCAAAAATTTACTGTTTCAAAATTTTTAAATAATTTTTGGGAGATTTTTAGAATTGATTGTTGGAATCCTGGAGGGGGAAAAAGTTTTGATCTAGAAATTTCTAGAAAAAATCTTGAATTTCTTATATTTCCAAGTTTTGAGATTTCGTAGAAATTCTCAACGGAAAAGCTAAAATTCTGGAAATATTTTATCCAAAAAATTCACTGTTTCAAAATTTTAATTTGGGAATTTTCGGGATTTTCAAATTTGATTACGGAGAAATTCTCAATGGAAAAGCTAAAATTCTGGAAATTTTTTCCCTAAAATTTCACTGTTTCAAAATTTTAATGTGGGAATTTTCAGGCTTTTCTAACTTGATTCTATAAATTATCGAAAAAAAGCTGAAATCTGGAAATTCTTGAGCCAAAAGGTATAGGATTTTTCCCTAAATTTCACTGTTTCAAAAGATTTTGATCTGAAAAATTCAGTTTTTTGAAACAATTTTGAAGTTCTGTGTGTAATCTATAGAAAAAAATTTCTTATGTTTCAAAAATTTCACTGTTTCAAAATTTTGGTTTGAACTTTTGAGATTCTTAAAATTGATACAATGTTTTTGAAAAATCTGGATTATTTGTCCCCAAAAAATTTACCGTTTCAATTTTTTTTATTTGAAAAGTTATCTCAAATTTTTACCCAAGAAAACTAGAGAAGTCAATTTTTCTCAAAAATTTCACTGTTTCAAAATTTTAATGTGGGAATTTTTAGGCTTTTCTAACTTGATTCTATAAATTATCGAAAAAAAAGCTGAAATCTGGAATTTCTTGAGCCAAAAAGTATAGGATTTTTCCCTCTAAAATTTCACTGTTTCAAAAATTTTTGATCTGAAAAATTCAGTTTTTTGAAACAATTTTGAATTTTTATGTATTATTTACAGAAAAAATTTCACTGTTTTAAAATTTTGTTTTGAACTTTTGGAATTTTCTAAATTGATATATATTTTTGAAAAATCTGGATGTTTTTGTCCCCAAAAACTGTTTCAAATTTTTGTTTTTTGAAAATTTATCTCTAATGTTCACTAGAGAAGGCAATTTTCCTCAAAAATTTACTGTTTCAAATTTTTTTCATAATTTTCGGAAGATTTTCAATATTTGCTGGGTGAAAAATTAATCGAATGATTAGAAAAAACTTACTGTTTCAAACTTTCTTGTGAACCAATTCTTTTTTCCAGATTGTCCAACACTTCAAACCCTCCTAACTCTACTTTTATCCTTCCCCGGATTATCAATGAGCATCTACACCACCGAAATGTTGCTCACAATTTTCATTCCAATCATGGGCCGAACACCAACAAATCCTGAATTAGTTGTTGGCATTTTTGTGTTCTTCTCGTCTTTCAATATTGTTATGTCACTAATTGGCCTAACTCCAAGAAGTCGAAATTCACGTGATCCTTCAGAAACGAGAATTGGTGATTTTATTTATACGATTTTTGGTGTGATATTGGCTACGCTGACGGTTTTGTTGGTTTTTGCGAGCATTTGGCCGTCGCCTTTCCGATTTGATGAGAGATATCCGACGGCGAAAAGGACGCAGTTTTTCGTGAGTTTTTTTTTTAATTTTTTGATTCTGAAAATTATGCATTTTTTGAAACAGTCAAATTTTTGAATTAAATTCCAAACTGAAATCACGTGATTTTGGCGCTAAAAATGCCACGTCATAACTCTTGATGCTTCCTTAAAATATTAAATTTTAAAAAAAGTCAAGTTTTTTTTGAAAAATTTTTTTTGGTATCTATTCAATTTTTTAAAATTATTTTTTCACGTACGAATCATCAGTTGAAAATTCCATAAAAATTCTAACATTTTTGAAACAGTCAATTTTTTTCGAAATTTTTTCAAATTATTTGTTAATTTTCGAAGTATGAATCATAAGTTGAAAATACCATAAAAATTTCAAATATTTTTGAAACAGTGAAGTTTTTAAGATATTTTGAATTGTGGAATACAAACATTTCAATTTCTAATATTTTTAACCCGATATAATAAACGTGGTTGAATTGAATATTCTGTGAGAAAATTTTGAGAAAAGTGAGGTTTTTGAAACAGTCAATTTTTTCAAATGAAAATATTTTTTTTCCAAAATTTTACTCTGAAATCACATGATTTTGGTGCTTAAATGTCACGTCATAACTCATAATGGCTCGCAAAATTGTGAAATAAAAATTATCAGAAAAAAAATGAATTTTTTGAAACAGTAAATTTTTTTTCGAAAATTTTTTCTGGTATTCAAATTTTTCAAATTATTTCTACACTTCTATAGATAAGTACGAATCATCAGTTAAAAATACCATAAAATTTTCAAATTTTTTTGAAACAGTGAGATTTTTTGTATTCAAAAATGTTGAAAAATTGAAATGTTTCTAAATATTTCAAATTGGTGCACAATTTGTGATAAAAAATTGACTGTTTCAAAAATTTCTCAAATTTCTGACGATTTGAGTTTCTTAATTCTGAATCACTACCATTCACTAAAAAAAATCATACAATTTTTCTAGCACACCAATCAATTATTCTACAATCGAGACGGTTCAGTAGCTGTGAATGAATCCCGACTCTACGCGATTTCCCTCGATTTCCGTGGTCCTGAAGATATTCCATTTGTGAAATCCGACCCCGAATACACAATGATCTCATGTTTTTATCCGAATAATCCATTTTGTGAAGTGCCCTATTTGTTCCCGAATCGAGGTCGAATAAACGAGAAAAATATGCGGGTTCGAAAATTGGAGGAGACGCCGAAATTCCCGAAATCTGTCAAAATTTTGCAAATTTCAAAAAAGCGCGGGGAAATTGATGGAGCTGCCTGTATTGATTATCGATTTAGTGTTATTGGTGAGTTTTTTTTGGGGAAACTGTGGATTTTATCGATTTTTTCATTACAAAATTTCTGGAGAGAGAAATTATGCAAAAAAAAAATCTGAGGAAAAATACGTTTCAAAAATGTTGTATATTTTTTGGGAGTTTTTGGTAAATCGATAACGAAGTCAAGTCTATTTGATAATTGATTGGAACAAAACTACAGTAACCTGGACCTTTTGTTAGGGTACTGTGGATTTTATTGATTTTTTTAGGGAAAAATGGTCTAAAAAATTTTTGCTGTTTCAAAATTCTTGTATATTTTTTCCGGAGTTTTGGGAAATTGATGATCAAGTCGAATTTATTTCATAATTGATTGGAACAAAACTACAGTAACCTGGACCTTTTGTTAGGGTACTGTAGATTTTATTGATTTTTTGAGGAAAAAATGACCTTAAAATTTTTCTGATGTTTCAATATTCTTGTATTTTCCTTTTTTTTTTTTGAAAAATCGATAGTCTATTTCTACTTTTGGTATACATAGGAAAAGATTTTCGCTTGAAAAAGTCCAGGCAAATACTTTCCAGGAACCAGTCAAATTTCGGTCTACCTAATTCCCGACTCAATCTGGGCCATCACAAACACATCAGTCTCAGCCCCCGAAATCCCCCAACACGATATGTTTTTGTATTTCACCTGTTCGAATCCATCAAATCTTTGCGAATGGATTTTCGATGTTCAAATCCGTCAAATTTCCCATGAAATCAGCGACGATAAGCCGCTTTTGGTGGGAGTTTCGAATCATTATCTACACGGGCCCCATATGCTTTCAAAAACGTTGACTAATTTACGTGAAAAGGTTTTCGAAATGCGACCCACGAATCCCGAATGGACTATTAATCCAAGTGCGTGGAATGTTGATCAGGTTTATAGGCATTTTTAGTTTACCACAGTATTGTCAAGGCAACAAAAAGTTTTAACATAATTATCTTCATTTTCGTTCATTTCAGTGAAAATTTCAGACAAATTCGATTTTCTTCTCCTCGACTTTGGCATTTTTCAGTGTCGCGTATTTTACACGATCTTTTAGGATGCGATCACGACGCATTTTTGTGTCCTCGCCCCTCACGAAATAGGTCATTTGTTTGCCTTTTCCTTTCATCTCGACGAGTCCGCGCTCCTCGAGTTCGTAGCCGCCGAGTTGGACGAGGATTTGACGCGCGGATTCGGAGCAATTGATGCGGAGAGCTGGAAATTGTGAGAAAGTTAATCTCAGAACCTTTTTACTTCCAGAATTTTTTACGTTTCATCTGATCACTAAGAATTTTTAAGATTAACCGAAATCATTTTGAACACTTATCCGAACTCTAATTCCACTCACGTATTCCATTACTCTCCATTCGACTCGCCGTATTGACTGTGTCTCCGAACAAACAATATCTGGGCATTTTCAAGCCCACAACTCCAGCCACACATGGCCCCGAATTCATTCCGATCCGAAGGCGCACTTTTTCGTTTGGACGATGACGGATTTGGAAGGTCTGAATCAATAAAATATATAAGATCTACAAAATAATCACTAGAAACCCACATCCACAGCGCGTAACATAGCCAAACCCATCGATGCAATCTCGCCACAATGATGTTGACCATTGGGAATTGGTAGACCCGAGACAACCATATACGCATCGGCAATCGTTTCCACTTTATAAACATCGAATTGATTGATGACGTTGTCGAAACACGTGTAGAGATCGTTGAGAAATTGGACGATTTCGATGGGTTGACTTGATGCCGACATTTCGACGAAACCTGGGCAATCGGAAAAGAAGACGGTGACTGAGTCGAATGATTCGGCGGTCACGTTTGAGCCACGTTTCAGACTGTCGGCTACGACGCTGGAAATCGGGGGTTCTTGGGGTATGATGTGGCGAGGGTAGGCCCAAAGTTTAGGTTATCGTCTTTGTTCAGCTGGCTAAACTTGTTTTTGGTTGGACCCAAGAATCTAGCTGGGCCTTATTACGACCTTTGTTTAGTGTAAAAACTATAAATTCCCCGTTTTGGACTTCTCAAATACTCAAGTTTGGAGTTTTTTCTAAATTGTACACAACGGATTAGCCGAGGTGTGTCTTTAATGAGCTTGATACCTTACCTCTGTCTGAAGTATGAGCTGTATTAAATTATAGAAAAAGACACCTTAGCTCAGACCTTACCATTTGCTCAAAATTTGGTTACAGCTTTGTATCACAAGCCTTGCCTTTGGTCTGAATCTGATTTATACCTAGAGCTATGGGCTGATGAGCGGCCACGTAGGTTACTATGATATGGCTAACGCGGAAGGTTTACACTAGCGCAGAGCGCTCGATTTTGGATATGTCTATCTCCTTCCTTCCCCCCTAACTCACTCCGGTAACATCATCTTCAACAACATCTCCGACTTCTCCTTTTCTCGTTCCAATTCCTCATTCCTCTCGGCAATATCCTTCTCCAATTTCTCCGTATATTTCTCGATCATACTCACCATATTATCCATAATTGTTCGCTTGAGTCCGGCTGTCAGAGGTCGCAATTTCCGCTTGATTTGGAATAGAGATGGGCGATTCATTGGATCTTCAGCCCACGCGACGGCCACAGTTTCTTGCACAATTCTCGGAGCATCCTTGATGATCGCCATATCGGGACGAAACGCTTTTTTGTTGGAATCGTTGGCGTGTTTGACGCGATTCACGATTTCTCGAGGCTCCATCGGTTCTTCACCCCATGGTCCAGCACGGCCGAAGATCTCGTACAAAACTATTGCGAGCGAGTAGACATCGGCTTTTTGAACAAGCAACGTTGAACATTGTGCCAGCCCTGTAGACCATCTCAAAAGCTCCGGCGACGTCCACAATTCCTCTTTTCCATCTTGAACATCTTCACGAATCGGATTCTCTTCTCCTCGAAGTTCTCGCAAACCGAAAGAGGACAATCTAACCATCCAACGGGTATCGATCAAACAATTGGTGGATTTCAATCTACCGTGACAACCAACTGGGGAACTGTGTAGGTATTCCAATCCGGCTACAATATCCTTGGTCATTTGCTTCATGAAAATGTCGTCTAGCGGAAGCTCTTCGTTATCCAAAATATCTTTGAGTGATCCACGTTGCGCGAGTTCGTAGACAATGAAAACATCGGGTGATTGGATAACCATACCAAGGAAAGCTATGGTGTTCGAGTTGACGCTTTCTTGTAGCTGGAAAAAAATCAGCCAGGCTATAAAAATTCCCCTAACCAAAACCTACACTAGCAATCTCGAGTCGAACATTTCTTGTCAATTCAATATCCGATCTATAGATCCTCTTCAAACCAACAGTTCGACCTTCGAATAAACCCACAGCGAAATCCGACAATCCATGCCATCTCATATCATCTGCACTTTCCCCGGGTCCTCCGACACCAACTCCAGTTCCGCCAAAACCAGGCACACCAAACGCGCCAGTCACACTCTCGGCTCGACCCGTACTTCCGCCGGCAAAACTATCCGATTGATTGTAGTCTTCCAGAAGGAAGTGGGAATTTTGAAGGGTTTGTGAAGCGATCATTGATCCTTGAATACTCGCCATACTTCGCAAACTCTGGGTGCTCATTAGATTCACATGTTTCTTCAGAATAATTCGATTGCGATCAATCAAGAAGCTCAAAGAGTGTAGCTTTCTCTCATAACGATATCGTTTGTAGAGGAAGAAGGTAGCAATTGCGAGACCGATGAATAACGCCAAACCAACAGAGATCACAATTATGAACGTGTTACTCTTGGCCGCTTGACAATTCTCATTATAGAATCCGCATTTTGGTGTGTCACTTGGTGGAGTTCCATTGATAAAATTGATTGAGAGTGGTTCGGTGTATTGTTGAAGATACCATTTGGTATCGAGAAGGGATGTTTGACCCAATCTGGCACATGGATAGAGGGAATAGACATTGTTGAGACTGCTTGTGAAGAAGTAGTAGACTTGCATTGAGCCGACGATGTCGCCGTAACCGTCGATGTATTCGGTGACGCCTGAAAGGGATTTTGATAAGCTTCGTGGTATTGTATATTCTCACCTGAAACACTCTTGATCTCTCTGGAAATCAAATGTTCATAAAACACCGACGAATCATACACATTTCCACCAACTCTCAATGAATCATTCGTCGCATCAGCCAAATATTGAAAAGCGTCAAACATCCACTTGATTCGATCCCATCTCGGGAAAACATTTTTCGAAAAACTCGTCTTATTCTGCTCGGCAACTTGCAAAACTTCCTGCTGAATCTCTTGCCATGTGGAATTTGCCGGTGCCGGTGGCGGGCCATTTGATAGAACCAGCAAGTTGCGATAAATTGTGTGCAAATCGTTTTCGGTGAGATTGAAGTCGCCGATTTCCTGAGCACCGAAGTGCAGCAATCTCTGGTCGCCTGAATCCGCTTGCAGCCATTTTGCATTGACGTCATAGGGAATGTAGGCGATGATGAAGTATTCGCCGGATTGGATTTTTTGGAGTTCGCCAAGCGTGTAGAGATAGTTTCGAAGGAGTGTGGAATTGGCAGACCAGTCGCAGATTATGAAGACTGAAAGGAAAGGGGGAAAAGTTATGAGGTGGCAGGCAGTTAGGCTAACTTACTTCTAGCTTTCGTTGATTCTTCAGCAATCCGATCGTATAAACTAGAAGCACTTGCAGTTTGATCAACCCGACTATCCAATAAAATATCAATGTTATTCGAACTCATCGATTCCAACAAATTCGATCGAAGTCTTGAATTGAAAGAGCTTAGAGTATTCGACGGTGAGACTATCGCCACCTTTGCCCAATCGTATTTTTGCAAGAAGAAAATGACGGAATTCGCGAGGGAATCTGAAGCGGAGTTGAAGAGCACGGTGGTTTGATCGAAGCCGGTGACACTTGAAAGATCCATCTCGCAAATGTCGGACACTCCGATTTTTGAATTGATGTTTAGGATGGTACTTTCCACGTAGCAATCTTTTGAGAGACCCATTACGGCGATTGTCGTGTTTTTGAGAGCGGCTGCAAAAAATTCGGGGAAAAATTGACTGTTTCAAGAAATCTATGATTTTTGGGTTTGAATTGAAAAAAACTGATTCCGAAATCTCACAGCTTAAAAAATCCTCTGACTGTTTTCGTCTAGTCGAATTATTGCTTTATGTCTTCGAAGATTAGTAACCCATATTCAAAATGATCCGAATTTCCGGTAGATCATAAAATAAACTCACAATTCGCAGCACTTTTCGGTCCATTACTCGCAATATCCACAAAATTTACCGATAAATTGTGAAAAACCTCCAAATCCGTCACTTTATTCACGCGATTCACGGCGATTTTCATCGCCGCCGGAATATAGGCGGCTCCCTCGTCATCACACGTGGCACCGGATTTAGCGCATGAAAACGGCGCCAAATAATCGACGTGAAGCGGAAAAGTGATTGTGGTGTCCTCGAGGACGATGGAATCCAACGCGGCACTGCCGTGTTTTGAAGCCAAAAATATTATTGGCGAAAAAATAAAAATCCAGAATCTCATTTTTGGATTTTTTTTTTGATAAATAATAAATTTGACAATTTTTCGAAGAGGCGAGAACAAATTTTGATGAGAAAAATCGGAAATTGGAACAATTTCCGGTATGTCATACCTTTTTTGTTGGATGCTTTTTGGGTTACGGTAGATTAGAGAATAGGTGACGTGGATTTTTTGCGCTAAAAAATTTAGCCTCGGGTTTTTCTTTCAAAATTGACCACCAAAATTTTTGGAAAATATTTCACTATGTCTAAATGTCGCTATTGCAAAAAAAATCAAAATGTTTTCCAGCTCCCAAAATTTCAAAAAATTCTGAAACGTAAATTTTCCTGGATTACAACAAATAACATTTTAGTGCAAAAAATTACCTAAACAATTTTATTTTTACATATGTAGCTCAAAAAATGCTCATTTTTCCGCATGAGCATAACAAGCATCGGGAATATTCTCAAAAACCGCATAATCCGTCTGTCCGGCCTTCATCTCTCCAAACCAATATTCCTTCTTGAACAATCCCATCGTCTCGTTATTCTGCGCGAAATAATATTCCCAACCGTAATCCACGCTTTGATCTGTTGCCGAATATCCGCGAATTATCGCCGGCGAAATGCCATCAATTATTGTGCCACGTGGCGGTTCGCCTTCGTAGTAGTTGACTTTGATGTATTCCTCGTCGATTTTGAACGATTCGACGCGAAGTTTTCGAATGTTTTGGAGACCGAGACTGGAAAACTCGGGAAATTTTGGTGACTAAAAATTTACTGTTTCAGAAATTCCCCATATTTTCACAAGAATAAGTAACTAAATTCCTTCCTTTCAAGAGTTTTCCCTACAAAATCTCACCCTTTCAAAAAATCATAATATCCAGTTGTCAATCGATTACATCCATGTTTACTAACCACAAAAGTGTGATTACTGAAAATATAATAAGTATCCTCCCAATCCTCGTCATTTTCCTCAATTCCGATTCGATGATAAATTCGATGTCGTTGAGCGTCTTGAATCCAAGCAATACCGACTGAAATTGTCTGAAAATCTCAGATTTTCAGTCTGAAATTACCAGAAAAACTCACATAGTAGTCATTTTCACTTCCGGTTCGATTTGTCCATGTCAATTTTCCCTCGTTACAATGTTGCGAAATATCGTAGGGATAGTAGTTTGAGGCATTTGTTGTGGTTGGGTTTTGGTATTCCGAAGCTGCAAAAATTTTAATTTAAAAAATTTCACTGTTTCAAAAACATTTTATGTGAATTTTTTGGTGTCTCTAAAAATTGTTCTATCCACTCGTAGTTTTGAATCTAAAAAAATACTAATAATCTAAAAAATGTACTGTTTCAAAAATGTTAAATGAACTTTTTACTGATTCGAAAATTGTTCGTTTCATCTTGAATTAGGAAAAATGAACTTCAAACATGAATTTGTGGAGATAGAATTTCAAATTTCAAGTTTTCGCGCCAGAAAAAATCCACGTGGCAAATTTCGGCTCAAAAACACAGAAATCCCGAGATTATTTTATTGTTAGTGTAAAAAATTCACTGTTTCAAAAATACTGTGTATTTTTAATTTTTCTAAATTTTCTGATCATTTTTCAACTAACATTACTTATATTTTTTACCCCAAATCCAGTTTTTTTTCAAAAACTCACAGGTAATAATCGAATAAATAATACATCCAGTAGCAAATCCGATGAAAATCAGACCAACACAAACTTTGAAAATAATAGTTCCCCATTGCGATTGTTGAGCACGATCATTTATCGAAACATCATCCCCGTAATCTTCGATTTCAACACTTCTGAAGATTTCAAAAATTGATTTTTTCGCGCCAAAATCGAGTAGAAAACTTACTGCAAAGTGTGCTTCCGGGAATCGTTAAAATCAAAAGACATTTATTGATTTTTGCATCAAAAATGAATTTGTTATCAGTTAATAATACAATTAAGACCAGCGTTATCAGAGACTTATGAGCTGGCAAAAAAGGTAGAAGATGGTTCTCTAGAGTAGATTGGTTTTTCGTGATTTTCTTGGAATTTTCCAAAAACCTCTTGCCGTAATTACATTCATCTTGTAGAGCTTGAAATTCTGCATCTTCTCATATATAACACTCCTATATTCTATCTGAAAATATCTGAAATTTTCCTGAAAACCAGCAGCCTCACTTCAAAAAATAAATAAAAACCCTCTTTTTCTCTGCGTCTCTCATGCGCTTCTCGCCACACACTCTCCTCTTCTCTCGCGTCTCTTCACCACGCGCCACTATCCGCAGTCCCGTTTGAATGTCGGCGAGTCGACAAACATAAGAGGGGGAAAGAAGAGGAGCAATTCGGTTTTAACCCAGTTACTCAAGGTAATTCGGAGTTCTGACCTTTCGCAAGAAAGTGTCAACATGACTTGAATTTTTGGATCCAAAGCTTCACCGGGGTATCCGGAGAGGCAGAAAAATCATTTCAAATCTAGAAGAAAAAAAGAATTTATTCAGTTATTGTAAGATCAATTTAGTTTCCTTTGGCACATTATACTTTTCTTTATGCGTTTCGAAGAGTTCAACCAACTTCTGCATATAAATCTCGTGAAGTTCATTAATCTGCTCCTTGCTTGGGTTTTCAACACGTGTAACAGGAATCGGAGCCCCGATTACAGTATCAATAGGTTTACGGTATGGCAAATAACCAAAAGTGAGTTGTAGGAAACCGCGTCCATGAAAAATCGGGTAGGAAATTCCGAAAATTCGTTTTGACCACTCTTGAAAACGCCGAAGTTTCGAGCCAATCGGATTTTCCCACTGCTCAAAAACATCATTCTCACCGAATGAGTAGACGGGGACCAAGTGCGCTCCAGTGAGAAGTGCCTCGCGTACGAAACCTTTTCGGGATTTGAGAGTTAGACAATGGTAGCCGGGATGAGCATCGAGCGCTTCTTCGGCTCCGCCAATCACCAAAACTACAGCTCGACCGGTTTTTTGAGGGTCTGGAATAGAAGAGAAGTTTGAAACAGTGAAATTTGTTGATTTTTTTTGTTAAAAAATTCACTGTTTCAAAAAATTTTTATATTTTTTCGGTTTTGAAAATCTTCAATTTTACGAAAAAAAAAATTCAGAAAAATTTGCAAAAAAATTACTGTTTCAAATTTTTCTTATTAACCCTTTTGGGGTCACAATTTTTGATGAATATGGAGAAATCGAATATTGAAAAATCAAATTGTGCGGAAAAAAGTTCAGCAATGAATTTGAAAAATAAACTTACTGTTTCAAATTTTTCTTATTAACTTCTTTTGGGGTTAGAATTTTTGGTTAATAAGAAACAGATGTATTTTGAAAAATCAAATTGTGTGGGAAAAAAGTTCAGAATTAAATTTGCAAAAAAAAACTTATTTTTTCAAATTTTAAACAAATTAATTTTGAATTTGGAAATCTTCAATATTACAAAAAAATAATGCCACGTGGTAATTTCGAAAAAAAAGTTCAGAAATGAATTTGCAAAAAAATTGACTGTTTCAAATTTTTCTTATCCATTTTGTGGTTTCTTTTCTGGGGTTTGCGTCTCAATTGTTATTTCCTAATTTTCCTAATTTTCGTGCCACGTGGCAAGTTCAAATTTTTGCCCTCAAAAATTCCCTTCCTAACCCACCTCCCAAAACATATTCAATCGACTCTCTCGAGCAATCAATAATCCCGCTGAGCAGCAACAATTCCCTCCTAATAGCCATCTTAAAATTCAACGCCAACGTGCACAAATTGAATCGAATTCCGGGAAACTTCTCCAAAATTCCCGTACCATTTGTGGCGAAATTGCACCAAGCCGCCATCGAAATAATACCGTGTGGATGTGAGCCAATCAAATAATTGTGGTCCGGTGAAAAATCGACGGTTTTGTGAAGGGTTATGGGGAAATAGGAGGCGAACCACTTGTTGACACGCCATTTTTTCACCCAATTCGATTGATAGCCGCCACGTTTTGGCGAATCTGCGTCGTAGAAATACCAGATTGAGTAGATTATTAGAATGTGCCATTGAAACGTGAAGAACTGCAATGAAATTTGTTTGAATTTTCCACGTGGCACAATTTTTGGCACGAAAAATCTGAAATTTTTGCGCAGAAACCCAATTTTTGAATTGTCAAAAATTCACTGTTTCAAAAAATCCCCAAAAATTTTTTGTTGAAATTTTTTTGTTTTTTGACCCAATTGAATATCATTCTCTAAAAAAATCACAATAATTTTTTCGCGCCAAAACCAACACTCACCAACCAAAAAGGCATCAACATGGTGATAATTCCAAGCGGATAGGTGAGAAAAAAGTGCCAAACCACACCCAAATACGATTTTTTACGGTCCCACGACGAAAACACGTCGACCCATTCGACGCCCAAAAATTGCGGCATTTTTGGTGGCTGAAACTAGACTATAGTAGACTATAGTTTCAGCGAAAACTCTATAGACTACACTGTAGTCAAAAAAATTGTACAAAAAAACGGGAGAAATAATAGAAAAAATAGATGATTGAAGGAAGTTTGAAGAAAAATGTCAGGGAGAGAGAGAGAGAGTGTGGGGAGGTGAGAGGGTGCAGAGAGACAGAGAAAAGTTTGGTCAGTCAATAATAATAATACTAGTGATCAGGAAAACAAAGTACATATTTTTGGGAGGGGAATGGGGAAAAACACGTGGATTTTTAGGGTAGTTAAGGTACAAGGTAATTGATAAAAATTCACTGTTTCAAAAGTTGTTCAGAAATTTTTATGCATTTCTGATTTCTGATTCTTGGTATGAAGTCAGTCGTCTCCAATCTAAAGTTTCTCTACAGTATTCCTTATGAAATATGCAACTACAGTAACTCGAAAATGTCTACAGTACCCCTGAAGTTCATAGAAAATTTCCCTGTTTCAAAAAATTCAGATAAAATTCGATGGTATTTCTAATATTTTTTGCATAGGTTAAATCTAACAGTATAGCTACAGTACTCCAAAAAAAACTTTAACTACAGTAACCTGAAAATTACCTACAGTACTCGTCTCAAATCTACAGTTTGACTACAGTATTTCTCATAAATTTTTTCCAATTTTTTTCAAAAAAATGTCACTTGGAAATTAATGATACCTTTGTTAGAATCAAGCATAGCCGTTTCTTTTCACAAAAAAAATAATTCAATGGTCGCTTTCAATGACACGTTATTCGCCTCATTCAGAATAATCAAAAACAGTCAACCAATTTCAAAATACTGTGAATCGGGTTGCTCATTTTCGAATCCGAATGTGATTCATTATTCTCAAACAAGTTACCTTCTTCCATTATTCGTGATAGTTTTTGATTTATTTGTTCAAATTTTGAATGTTTTATTCATAATTAGTAGAAAATATCTGAAAAATGGATCATTTTTTGCAATGTTATTTATTATGTCGCTAGTTATCATAATTCGAAGTTTGATTGTGATATTGAGTTATATCTCAACAGCATTTGACTTGGGGTTCAGTGTGAGTTATGCTATGTATGCCGATTTTTTCTCGAATTTCTTCTCACTTCCCATAATCTTCCTAATGTCACTGAATCGATATTTATGTTTTGTTTCGAATTATTTCAATGAAATGCTCTTTGAGAGGTTTGTGGAGTCAGGTTTTTTGAAAAATAATTGAATTCTCTTGTCAGGAATAGATTCGTTATACCGGTTTTAGTTTCTATATCAATATCAGGTTTAGCAACCTTTGGAAGTATCACAAGTTCTCAAATCAAACGAGCTTTCTATAATTATGTTGGATTCGTTGACTATAATACGGTCCCAGGTTTCAAAACATCAATAGCTCGAGTTTTTTATATTTTCCCATTGGGCTCGACGATTTGTTACATTCTATTATTTCTACATCTGAAGCAACAATCAAAATTAGTTATGATGTCTACACGGAATGTTGAGCAAAAAGTGTTTGCTCAACTTCTGGTCACCGCTATATTATACGGGTTGATGTCTATATTTATTGAGGCGATTTTATTTTTAGACGGTGTTCTAGACAATTATCAAGTTGTTTCTCTGATATCAATTCTGAATATTATAAATTATCTGCCGGGAATCTCACTTCCTTTAATGCTGATGCTCTCAACTTTCAAATTTGGAAAGAAACCAAAACAAATTGCAATCAAAGATATTGCAAATAGCACTACAGCTTCAATTTTGAATAAATAATTCTTCTGAATTTTCCTAGATCAATAAACCGCTCAATAAATGTGTTATAACATCTTTTCCATAATAACTGGTTTCAAATGTCATTGATACTAATTGCGAGTTAAAGCAGAACACTCTCAGTTCTCCTATCAAGCATGCTGACTTATAACGCTTCGCAAAATTGGCAAATAGATTTTTATTCAGAAAATGCAATACCAGGTTCCAGAGAAACGCAATTTTGCATTCTGAAATGCATATTTTCCGAACATACTTCAACCTATATTTCACAATTCGTCTACACTGCTCCCTTTCTAATGATATTTTTCGATTTATTCATTCAAACTCTCAATATTATTTTCACCATTAATGGAAAGTATTTGAAAAATGGCCCGTTTTTTGTGATGCTATTGATTATGTCAATAACTATCATAATTCGAAGTTTAATAGCAATCTCGAGTTATATTATAGTCCCGTTGAAGTTAGAAATCAGTTTCACTTATGCAGTGTATGCTGATTTTTTCTCGGACTTTTTCTCACAAATTATTATATTTTTCATGTCTCTCAATAGATATTTATGTTTTAAAGCAGCTTATTGGAATGAACGGATTTTTGAGAGGTTGGAAACTAGTTTTGAGATATTCTCTTGAGCTTTCGTTGCCTGTCTTTATCAAAATTCAATTCGAAAAACTCCAAACCCAATTTCTTTCCAGAAAAACATTCATAATTCCACTTTTCTCAATTGCAACTTCATTTCTAGCAACACTCGCTACTATTGAAACTTCTAAGATTGTTCGAAATTACTATTTTTCATTTGGTTTCGTCGATTCAAATCAACAAAACGGCTATAAAACTTTGATAGCTAGAACATTCTATATCTTCCCAATAGGCTCGATAATTTGCTACATATTTTTATTCCTACACTTGAGACAGCAATCAAAGTTAGTTATGATGTCTACACGGAATGTTGAGCAAAAAGTGTTTGCTCAACTCATAGTCACAGCTATATTCTATGGATTGATTTCCATTTTTTACGAAATTGCTGTGAACATGAACGTTTCAAAAGAATCAATGGAAAAAATAATTGAAGTTTTAACAGTTGTGAATATTATAAATTATCTTCCTGAAATCTCACTTCCTTTAATGCTCATGCTATCAACTATCAAATTTGCAAGAAAACCAAAACAAAATATTGTTGTGGATGTTTTGAAAACCAGTACAAGTGTTTAAATCAATAAATAACGCTCTATAATTATCAGGTTGGCCCAAGAATTCTACATTTTTATTATATAACATGAGAACTTTTGACGGTTTGCTATTAGATTTGATCATAGAATATTCGGGAATTTTTCAAATCAATGAAATAAGTTGTGGGATCACTCAAAAAACGTGCGATTTTTCAAGCGGAACCACATACGATTTCAGACATTTTAATTACATCGCTCCACTTTTGATCATGATTTTCGACGCATTTATCCAAACTCTCAATGTAATTTTAATTATCAGTGGAAAATATTTGAAAAATGGCTCATTTTTTGTGATGCTTTTGATTATGTCAATAAGTATTTTGGTTCGAAGTGTAATTGTGATCTCAAGTTTTATCTATTATTCATTTGATGAAACAATTAGTCTTCAAATTTCGTTATACGCAGGTTTATTTTCAAATTTTTTCTCACTTGTTTTAATTTTTCTAATGGCATTCAATAGATGTTTATGTTTTGTATCAGCTTATTGGAATCAAGTTATTTTTGATATGTGAGTTGAATCAAGTTTATGAGAAATTTTCATTAATTTAGGAAAAACTTAATATTCCTCATCATATTTGCTATATCAATTTCAAGTATCGCAACTTTTAAAAGCATCGAAACTTCTGAAATCGAGCGCAATTATTATAACTTGGTTGGATTTATTGATATAAACAAAATAACCGGGTATAAAACTCTTATAGCTAGAATATTTTATATATTCCCATTGGGTTCAACAATTTTCTACATTGTTCTATTCATAAAATTGAGACAAAAATCGAAATTAGTTATGATGTCTACAAGAAAAGTTGAGCAAAAAGTGTTTGCTCAACTGCTAGTTACGGCAATTTTATATGGATTGATGTCTATTTTTTTTTGAAGCTGTTGAAATTTTTAACGATGTTTTAAAAAGTTGAGCAAGTTGGAACGCTTATATCAATTCTGAATATCATAAATTATCTCCCTGAAATCTCACTTCCCCTGATGCTTATGATGTCTACACTAGAATGTAGGAAACCAAAAATACAAAACATCAACAATTAAAATGTCACATAATTATAGAGTTAGATTTTTAACTCTTTTTTAAGTTTGAGTTCTGCTTCATACAATGGCTGCTTTTCAATATAAAGAAGGCGTTGTAAACTTTCTGACAAACACAGCATCTTTAACAGGTGCAAAAATCTGTGAAGTGAATCCAGATTGCTCAATTGTGTCTCCAACTTCAGTGAAAATTTCAAATTCCACATTTTTCGCACCAAGTTTTGTGTTAATTCTCGATTTCATCATTCAAATTCTCAATTTTGTATTTATCATCAAAAATAAGTATTTAAAATATGGCCCATTTTTCGTAATGCTCTTGATTATGTCTATCTCAATTCTCATTCGTTGCTCAATTTGTGCTCTCAATTATATTTGTCTTGTCATGAATTCAGAAAATAAAGATAATCGTGAGATATGTCTCAACTATTTCCTATATTCAGATTATTTCAATAATTTTTTCACAGTAGCCCTTATGTTTTTCATGGCGTTGAATAGGTATTTCTGTTTCACATCAAGTTTGTGGAATAGAATTTGCTTTGAAAACAAGAAATTCATAATTTGTGTCATATTCTCTTTAATAATATCTACCCTGGCGACGATAACTAGCATCCAAACTTCAAATATTCAACGTGTTTTCTACAACGCTGCTGGAATCCTCGATTTTCAAAAGAAAATCGGCTATAAAACAGTGATAGCTAGAATATTTTATATATTTCCAATAGGCTCTACAATTTGCTACCTTCTGCTTTTCAAATATCTAAAAGAGCAATCAAAGATGGCTCTAATGTCGACAAGAAATGCCGAGGAAAAAGTGTTTTCTCAACTTTTAGCTACAGTAATTTTATACGGCTCAGTGTCTATATTCTACGAAGCTGTTGTGATGTTAGATGGTGTGATAGATGAGCGTCAAGTTATAACTCTAATATCACTTTTGAATATTATAAATTATTTTCCGGAAATGTCACTTCCATTAATGCTTATGATATCTGCTTTGAAATCTTCGAAAAATGTGTCCAGCACAACTGTCTCAACTTTGAATCGATGAGGAAATTCTACTTATTTTTGAGATTATTGATTTTTAAAATGTTCATAAATCATAAGCCAGAGACCTAATTACCCCACGCTCTAATTAATATAACATTCAAATTTTCATCCAACAAGATTGGCCAATACTGAATGGGTCCCACTGAAAGGGACCGGTGTCAAAAAAAGGGACCGGTTTTAGTAGAGTCTGAAAGGGACCGAACAATAGAAAAATGAATGACTGAATGGGACCGATAAAATAAAGGGACCGGGATAAGAAAATAGGAAAAACTGAAAGGGACCGGGGAAAAAAGGGACCCGTTCATTATTTTTGAAAATAAAATAATTCTGCTGAATGGGACCGGAGTAAAAAAGGGACCCGATTGAATTTCAATGAAATCTGAAAGGGACCGGCGAACAATTATGATAACTACTCTGAGTTCAAGTTAATTTTTTCATGATTTTTTAACAATGTTTTTGAAACAAAGTTCTGTTTTGAAGTAATTAAGAGCAATGAGTAGAGTTCATTTCATGCATTTTTTCTTTTCATGGATCATTTTCAAAAACATTTATTCTTGAATTCATACGTCACCAGAGATAATCGACCCGTGGAGGGGTCATCACTTGAGAAAAAATTAGGACATTTGCTTAGCTTTGCGTTGATTTCCCCTAGATATTCTTGGCGCCAAATTTGAAATTTTACCAAAATTCAGCTCGGAGAAATATGGCAACTTTAATAAATTTTCGCACCTTTCAAATTTTTTTCGCACCTTTCGAATTTTTTTCGCACCTTACACATGTCAAAAAACCGCGTCAGCTGTGAAATAGAATGTCTTTTTTGCATACGCAGAGCAGACTTTTGGGAAGTTTCGGCAAAAAAAGTCGGAAATGCTATCAGAAATCAGTTTTTTACATTTTAAAATTTCATAGAGAAAACTGTCAGAACTCGTGATGAAATATTATAATTTTGCTGGGGAATCTCATCGAAAACGTAACTGATGTAAAGGGTTGAAACGAACAACCAAGAGAAATAACGCTGAGCCACAAGTATGTAATCAGTTTTCAAAATGAACTCTACTCATCGCTCTTAATTACTTCAAAACAGAACTTTGTTTCAAAAACATTGTTAAAAAATCATGAAAAAATTAACTTGAACTCAGAGTAGTTATCATAATTGTTCGCCGGTCCCTTTCAGATTTCATTGAAATTCAATCGGGTCCCTTTTTTACTTCGGTCCCATTCAGCAGAATTATTTTATTTTCAAAAATAATGAACGGGTCCCTTTTTTCCCCGGTCCCTTTCAGTTTTTCCTATTTTCTTATCCCGGTCCCTTTATTTTATCGGTCCCATTCAGTCATTCATTTTTCTATTGTTCGGTCCCTTTCAGACTCTACTAAAACCGGTCCCTTTTTTTGACACCGGTCCCTTTCAGTGGGACCCATTCAGTATTGGCCAACAAGATTATAGTTGCGCTAAGCTACAACTGAAAAAATTCACTGTTTCAAAATCTTAAGATTTTTTTAAAATTCTGAGAAACGAAATTCGACTTAAAAGACACTCTTTGTAAAACTGCAAAACCCACCGGACAACGAAAAAGTCATGATCTCAGAATCGGCCCAATTTTTTTCTTAGTAAGTCCCATGGGTGGGGAACTTTTTCCACCAGGTTAGAGATCATGATATCGTTTCGCCATTTTGGTGGGACCGGGTGAAGGGGAAAATTGTTTTTCGAAAATTTATCGTAAGTCGGGTTAACGTTCATATTTTTCGATGATTAAAAAAGCATTTTGCTCGTCTTTTGACGCTCTTTTCGATGGAAAGGAGCACGAATTTCGATACTCAATCCTAAAAAATTTTTTTTTCGCCATAATACAACATTGCTTGGGAGTCATTTCCGCTCTTTCTAACCGCTTCCAAAATGTTCCTCGTGCTTTTTTACCTATATTTAGCTACTTTCAAAAAAATCGCCGGCACCTATCAACCTCGGAAAATCACCTGAAAGGGCGCGACTCAAGCGCGCGCCCTCATATAACACACATATGTGCGTGTGTGTGTTTGTGTGCATTGAAGGATTACTGTAGGTGGGAGAAAAAGTTTAAAAAAACGACTTTCTCGTGGAAACGATGCAAATTACAATGAATAGTTCCCAAAATGAAGTACCCCAAAGGCATTTTATATGCAAAAATTTTGTTCCCGGATTTTCAAGGGGTTGGACCTTTTCTGATACTTTTTTAGCTCTGAACTTTGAAAAATTTTTTTTCCACTTACAGTGGACAAAAAAAGTCGAAGAAAAAAGCATAATGGATCTCAAATATCGCTCTATTGACTGAAAATAAGAGTTGTTAAAAGTATCAAGTGTTCTAGTGCCAATTTTCGAACTCTACGTTCAAAGTTACGTACAATAGTATGTTAGAACTACTCAGAAAATCATCATAGATAGGTACAGCGCCTAGAAAATCATTCCGGCAAATCTTCAGGCTTAGAGAGCAGCTCTGGCAAGGATTCAAGCCTAGAAAGAAATACTGGCAAGGAACTACGCCTAGAAAGCTATTCTGACAAAGTTCCGCGCCTAGAAGTTCATTCTGGCAAGGAATCCCGCTTAGAAAAAATCATGGATAGCTCTCTTAGGCGCGGCTCCTTGCCAGATCAATTGTCTAGGCGTTGACTCTTATAAAAATGGTTTTCTAGACGCGAATCTTTGTCAGACTTGCTTTCTAGACATAGATCCTTGTCAGTGATGTTTTCTAGGCGTAAATCCTTCCCAGAGCTGCTCTCTAGACGTAGAATCTTGTCAGTGTTACTTTCTAGGCATGTTTCTAGGCGTTCTAGGCGTGATCCTAGTGAAAGTTGCTTACTAGGAGCAGTACTTAGCAATAGTGGCTATCAAGACGTGGATTCTTGTTCTAATTCTTTGCTTAAGTGCCGTACTTCGTCTGGTGGTCTCTGAAAGCGCAACGACGTGATATAAAAATTCGCAAGGCGCCGTACCAAGTTAAAGTGGTTCTCCAGGCACGGTTGCTGGTCTTAGCGGCTTTTCTGGCGCAAATAGTTGACAGCGTAAGAGTTTTAGACATTTTCGAAAATTTCCCGTTAGCAAACTTTCTTCAAATGTTGTTCGGACCCCTGAAACTTTTCCCGAAAATTATTTTTTGAATAATATTTTTTCCGCTGTGAGAAATCCATTGGCATTTTTTTCGCAAAAATTACTACTCAACTTTGCTCAAAAGTGCAGCCTGCAGAAAACACTATTGAAAATTGTTGTTGATTTTTGCAAAAGAAAAACATAAAATCAATTTCCAGTACCACTGGGGACCGGACACCTATCAATTTTAACATGCTACTGTAACGCAGAGTTTGAAAATTGGCACTAGAACACTTGATACTTCCTCTAACAAGGAAACCTTTTTTACTCAATACTTCAAATCTTGATGAAATTTTGTCCATAGACAGCTTTTGGGGTCATATGAACACCCTAAAAAATTTTGTCTCCCAATGGACCTCTGAACCAAGTTCTGAGCTCTCAAAAGTTCAAAAATTGCGAAAATTGGCTCATAAAATACATCATAACTCAACTCTCGATCATTTTCATGAAAAACTGAGTAGCTGATGATGTTCAGCGTTGTTGATTTACCCAAAAAGCATGAATAAATCAAATTTTCAGAAAAAATTCATTTATGAAAAAAGAATGAGCAGGGACACATGAATTTTCATGAATTTTCAGCCGAAAAATAAAAAAATTCGAAATTTTTCGAAAAAAAGTTCTATTGTTGTACTTTTAGTAAATCGACTATGCTGATCATTATCTGAAACTTTATTTCTCCCACAAATTATTTTGAAGTAGAGCTATGATGACTTTTATGAGCCAATTTTGGCAATTTTTGAACTTTTGAGAGCCCAGAACTTGGCTCGGAGGTCCATTGGGTAACTCAAATTTTTAGGGTGTTCTTATGACCCGAAAAACTGTCTATGGACATAATTTCATCAAGGTTTGAAGTGTTGAGTAAAAAAGGTTTCCTTGTAAAAACATTTTCAAAAATGTTTTTATTCATTCTGAAATTTTCAAGTTTTCTAGGTCGAAAAAAATATTTTTTAACAACTCTTATTTTCAGTCAATAGAGCGATATTTGAGATCCATTATGCTTTTTTCTTCGACTTTTTTTGTCCACTGTAAGTGGAAAAAAAATTTTTCAAAGTTCAGAGCTAAAAAAGTATCAGAAAAGGTCCAACCCCTTGAAAATCCGGGAACAAAATTTTTGCATATAAAATGCCTTTGGGGTACTTCATTTTGGGAACTATTCATTGTAATTTGCATCGTTTCCACGAGAAAGTCGTTTTTTTAAACTTTTTCTCCCACCTACAGTAATCCTTCAATGCACACAAACACACACACGCACATATGTGTGTTATATGAGGGCGCGCGCTTGAGTCGCGCCCTTTCAGGTGATTTTCCGAGGTTGATAGGTGCCGGCGATTTTTTTTGAAAGTAGCTAAATATAGGTAAAAAAGCACGAGGAACATTTTGGAAGCGGTTAGAAAGAGCGGAAATGACTCCCAAGCAATGTTGTATTATGGCGAAAAAAAAAATTTTTTTAGGATTGAGTATCGAAATTCGTGCTCCTTTCCATCGAAAAGAGCGTCAAAAGACGAGCAAAATGCTTTTTTAATCATCGAAAAATATGAACGTTAACCCGACTTACGATAAATTTTCGAAAAACAATTTTCCCCTTCACCCGGTCCCACCAAAATGGCGAAACGATATCATGATCTCTAACCTGGTGGAAAAAGTTCCCCACCCATGGGACTTACTAAGAAAAAAAATTGGGCCGATTCTGAGATCATGACTTTTTTTGTCCGGGCCTCTGTGGTAATGTTTACGTTTTTACAAATAATGTCTTTTAATTTTTCAAAGTCTACCTTTTTAATAATCAGAAAATATACAGAAAAATACGTTTCAAAAATTTTATACATTTTCAGAATTTTCGAAATTAATTTGATCCGATTATTTATTCACCATTAAAAAAGTCACTGTTTCAAAATGTTGGGATATTTTTGAAATTCTGAGGAACGAAATTCGACTTTTTTTCAGAGACCAAAAATATACAGGAAAATACGTTTCAAAAATTTTATACATTTTCAGAATTTTCGAAATCAATTTGATTTCAACACTTATCCGAAAAGTTTAAACTTCATCTAGGCCCGAGCTCTAGTCCAAGGTCAGACTTTACTAGAATCTAGTCTTGGGCTCTCATTCTTGTGACAAACAATAAAACCTTTATCAATTCCACATCTCCCGCAATCTTTTAACATAGGCTTCATGTGTATCCACTTTTTTTGTCATCTTCCGAATCGCTTGTGATCTTTCCAGCTTTGCAGTTCTCATCATTCGAATCAAAAAAATCGGCATACAAAAACAAGCAATCGGTGGAATATAGATCATACTATTCACCAGAAATAGATATTTTTCTGGAAGTTTCAAGTAGTATAAGATTGTTAGAGTGATAGTGTACAAAATAATGCAAGATGATTCGAAGATACAAATTAATAGAATCGCTGAAGTTGTCTTGATGTTCTCATAGATCTTGAATCTCTCTGATAATTGAAAGCGATTGATGGTTTTTAAGCCATGATATTTGTTGGAAATCAGGATAATTGAATTTGCAACAAGTTGTAAAATCGAGAGAATTAAAATGAAATTCAAATAATAAATAAAGTTCATCAAACTTTTTTGCGGGGGGAATACGCAATTCAAAACTGAATCTTGAAAATCATCAGATCTTGTGAGCGTTGGAAAGAACAAACACATCAGGATAGACTAGAAAGAATTTTATCGTGGAAAAAAAAGAATTTTTTTCAGTTAATAAGACTTACGCTAAATACACACATGCAAATCGAAATTTTGAGCATTTTTGGTTCACTGATATATGGCGATAAAATACGCTCTATTGATACCATACTTTGCGATAAAACTACCCCGAAACCTGCTCCAAGTAGGCCGCCAGTCAGCAAACCACAATTGGCGGTATTCTCAAAAACATCACAGGAATCATCCAAGATTTTGAGGAAAAATTTGATTTTGATAATGGCGTAGAAAAATTGATGAATGAAGCTGGAAAGCAACGTGAAAAGCATGAGGATTTTAGTGGGTTTCGGGAAAATCGCAAAATTCGCAGATTTCCGAATTGCTAGAATCAGAAAAATCAATGAGAATAGGGTTAGGGATATATCGAAAATGAGATAGAGAATATGCCAGAATGATTTGTAGATGGAGTTATCTGAAGTGGTGCACATCTTGAACGACTGAGGGGGGAAGAGGGGAAAGTGATAATTATGTACATGTGGTGCTGAAGTTTGCACATTTATAGTTGAGGATATATTTTCTTGAAAACAAAAAAGAAGGAAGTTATGAAAATGTTAATTTGAATTGGCACATATTTGAAAATTATTGGGTAAGTGGTTTTTTGATCTTCAGATTTTTGCAACAAAAACTTTCAGACTCTCAAAAAAAAGTCGAAAATTTTGGACCAAATTCTGTTTCCCCAAAAAAACTAACCTCCAAAAATAATACATTGCTCATCTTATTCATTTTCCAGCAAATAGTCAAGTTGCCACGTGGATTGCGCTGAAATTCTCACCATTTTCAGCTTCTAAAAATGTTCAAAATGTATTTTTTTTTTTGAAAAAAAAACGTGGATGCAAAATTGGGTCACGTGGAATTTTGAATTTCAGGCAAAATCCACGTGGAACACCCTTTCAGTTCGATCTTAATAAATAAGTATGTAAAACAGCAACGACCAAAAAAAGAACACACATTTTTGAGAGAGTGCGAGACATGGCATTTTTATCAATAGGGCGCACTTCCATTTCTACTTTTATTTTCTTATTTTTATTTTGCGGAAATTTTTCATTTTCGTTGTTTTTCCATGAATTTGAATGAAACTTGTTGTAAAATTCATATTTATCTCTTATCCTAGTACAAGTAACACAAGTTTAGTTGATTTTCGATGGTTTTATACTGAAACTGGTACTCAAAAGGCTTTTTTATGAAAAAATGTACATTCTTGAATTTTTCTTCAGTTTGGAGTTATTTCACTCATTTCTATTTTACAGGAAACACGTCATGGAAATATCGAAACAATTTATGAAGCGAATTTGAGTTTGATTGTCAAAAACGAGGAAAACTGGAGGAAAAGTGAGTTTTTCAACATGTTCTTTTTAATTTAAAATTTTTTTTAAATATTTATGAAATTTCCATTTCACACACGTCTAGAAAACATAAAAAACTAAATTCAAACTTTTTCAACAAAAAAATCATTTTATCTATCTAACATCATGTTTCTATCAATTTTCTCGATTTTCTTGTTGTCAATCCCACAAATCCATTCTATTAATACAATTCCCGCTGTACACGGCCAACCATTAATAAACCTAGCCGAACGCTTAATCCATTCTATAATCAATTACGATCTCGTCGGAACTTTGAATCTAATCACCCAACCCTTTCATATTCTCAATGCTCAAAATCAACGATTGCATCATAATGATGAGATGGAAGAACTTTTCAACCTAATTCATCATCAGAATTCGATTGCTATTGTATTACGAGTTTGCGATGGGAAAACTAAAGGAAATCGATTGAACAAGCAGGAAAAAGAGTTTGATATCAAAACATCGGCTGCTCAATTCAAACTTTTGACATTACTCCAAAATAAATCCTATAAATTTTTCGCACTGAAAAATGAGACAGGAAGGGCGAATCATACAAGATGTTATGAAAATCCTCAACAGAGAAATTTGTTTGGAAGCTCACATTGATTTGAAATTTTCATGGATAAAACTTTCATATTGTCAAAGTTAAGAATGTGGCTGCCGTAAACAATAAAAACCAAAAATAATCTCGTCAGTCGCGTGTGGCTTTGCGTCGCGGTCGAGAAGCAAAGAAAAAATTTAAAAATTTATTGTTTTGCGACCGCGACGCACAGCCGCACGCGACTGACGAAGTATTGTTTTTTTGGCAGCCACATTTTTTAAGATACACAAAATACTCAAAATTAATTCCACATCTGCTTCATTCTTCTAACATAGGCATCATGTGTGTCGATTTTTTTAGTCATTGTTCGAATTGAATCCGATCTCTCCGATTTTGTATTCCTCATCAATCGAACTAAAAACACCGGCGCATAGAAGCACGCGTAAGGCGGAGCGTAGACCAAGTTCAAAATCAAAAATTGTTGCGAAGAAGTCAACCCAAGATTCAATTTCGGAAGAACTCGAATAATTGCGTTGTATAGAATTATGCACAATGAAATGAATATACATAACATCAAGATGGCTGAAGTTGTCTTGAGATTCTCATAGATTCTGAATCTTTCTTCCAACTGAAATCTGTTTAAATTATTCATCGCGCGATATTTGTTATAATAAATGATTAATGAATTGGTGACCAGGTGGATTATTGAGATATACATCCAAATATTCAAATAATCTGCAAAGTTTTGTCGACTGTGATTTGGAGGATATAAGCAATTTGGTATTTGATCATTGAAATCAGAAGAATAAGTGAGAACTGGTTGGAGAGCAAACATCAAAGCGCTCTGAACATAAAAACAATTTTAATTATAGGTTAAGCTACTTACACTACACGTGCACATTAAAATCGATAATCTAACTCGATTCTGTTGGGTCAGAAGTCTGAATTGCGCCACAATTCGATCAATAGACAACATGGTTTGAGAGATGTTTATACCGAAACCTCCAGCAACCACACCAAAGTTCGGAAGTCGACAATCTGAACTTGCCTCGAATAATTCGCATGATTCACGATCCCAGTTGCCTCGAATCCGATTCATAAATCTAGATTTGATCAGAAGATATGAGAATTGATGGATAAAGCTGGCGCAGAGCGTGAAGAGCATTATGATTTTGGTGGATTTGGGGAACATTGGGAATTTTGTGGCTCGAATCAGTGCGAGGGTTAGAAAAATGAATGAGGCTAAAGTGGTCAGTAAATCCCACATGGAATAAACCAGGAAGTATATATTTTGATAAGTTTCGAACTTGATGTAAGAAACGCACATGTTAGTTGAGCCGAATATGAGAGAAAAGGCTAGAATTATTTTCAGTTTGATCGAGCAATAATATAATTAGGGAGGAAGTCAGAGATTATCTTGATCTTTTCGATTCCAAAATTATTTTGTTCTGGGAATTGTACATAATTGCCACGTCATAGAGTTTTTGGATAATTGATGGTATTTGCAAAGTTGTTATTGATGGTATTTGCAAAGTTGTTGTTGTTCTGGTTTTTGAGATCTCTGTTTTAGGCTTAATTAGGCTTAGGTTTAGTTAGGCTTAGGCTTAGTTAGGCTTAGGCTTAGGCTTAGTTAAGCTTGGGTTTTGTTAAGCTTAGGCTTAGTTAGGCTTATGCTTAGTTAGGCTTATGCTTAGTTAGGCTTAGGCTTTGTTAAGCTTATGATTAGGCTTCTCCTCCGGTACCCTCAAAATTTTCAACAAAAATCATTTCCTCTCAAGAAAATCCACGTGGCAAAATCTTGACACCCAAAATTTGAAATTTTCAAAAATCCCATTTTTCGCGCTAAAACTTTCCTAATACCGAACCTTTGAAACATCCTATATTGTTCTCCAGAATTTTCAAAACTCACACGTTCACATAAATCTCCTCTCCCCTGATATCATCATGTTTTCATGTCATCTTGTGCTCAATGATCTTTTTTACACCCACCCGACGAGGATTTCTTCATCTCTAAATCTCTCGAATCTCCGCTCATCCCATCTGCCCGCTATTCCCAACATTTTTCATTTTATCTCAAAAAAAAAATGTTGGCCCCGTTCTTCGAAAAAGCTCCATCTTTGATTATTTCTCCAACCGGCGCCGTTTTATTCGAATGTATTTGTAATGCGAATCCAGAGCCAACTGTTAAGTGGTAAGTTTTTTGAGAAGACCTGATAATCTGAGCAAAAAAAAATTCTAGGTTTTTGAAAGACAAGGAGCTCACGGGTGATCGTTACGTTCAAAAGGTCAAAAAGATGGTTGGAAAATACACGGTGACTTTGCAAATCAAGAATCCCACTCAAGAAGATCAGGGAGTTTACAAAGCGGTCGCCACAAATTCACACGGTTCGCACAGTGTTGAACAACAATATATTCATAAGTGTACAGCTAATCAGGTCTTTAAAACTTTGGATTGAAAAAAAACATAAAGGATTCATTTTTTGATGTTGGTTTTTAAAATGTCAGGTTAAAAATTCACTGTTTCAAAAAATTTTGATAAATTTTGACGAGTTTCAATTTTTGTTGAATGCATTATGTTAAGTCTCAAAAAATCCTGATAAAATTTTATATATTTTCGATTTCTGATATTTTTCTCTACGGTAGCACTACAGTATTCCTCAAAAAATTTGGTGCTACTACAGTAACCCGGAAACAAATATATACAGTAATGGCAAAAAAAATGCAGAGAAAAATTCACTGTTTCAAAAAATTTTCATAAATTTTGATGGGTTTCAATTTTCGCTGGATTTTTGTTTACTTAGGCGATGATGCAGATTAGTTTCTCCCCCGAGCTAATTGAGGAGAAAGAGGAGAAACGTGTTGCACGTGGAGGCGAAACAATGTATTTTTCGAATTTCGCCCCATTTCTCCTCATTTCTCCTCGGAGGAGAAACTCATCTGCAACATCGCCTTAGTAAAAATTCCTCACAAATTCTGAAACTACAGTACTCCTAAAAATTCATTGAAAATTTCACTGTTTCAAAAAATGTTGATAAATTTTGACGAGTTTCAATTTTTGTTGAATGCATTATGTTAAGTCTCAAAAAATCCTGATAAAATTTTATATATTTTCGATTTCTGATATTTTTCTCTACGGTAGCACTACAGTACTCCTCAAAAATCTTGCTACTACTACAGTAACCCGGAAACAAATATATACAGTAATCGCAAAAAATGCAGAGAAAAATTCACTGTTTCAAAAAATCCCTATAAAATTCCATCGAATTTTGAAATTTGTTATATCTTGAGGTCCTCGAGTACAGTAGCCTAGAATTATTTACAGTACCCACAATTTTTCAAGTCTTCTAAAGTTTCCTTAATCCTAATATTATCAAAAAAATAATGATTTTTTGATTCCGAAAATGTCAGATAATTACATTGTTAGCTAGAACCAGTCATTCAATCTCAAATTATTCATTTTCTAACCAAACGAAAATGGCGGCTTTCAATGATTCAATATTCTACGCGATCAGAAAATATGGCCCATATTTACATCGGCAAAGTGTAGACGAACGCGGGGTAAAATCCATAGATGTTTCACACTTCAATTACATCGCTCCACTTCTGATTATTATTTTTGATTTTCTAGTTCAATTCTACAATGTGTTCTTTATCATAAGTGGAAAATATTTGAAAAAAGGCCCATTTTTTGCGATGCTTTTGATTATGTCAATAAGCATCCTAATTCGAAGTTCAATCGTGATATTCAGTTATTTTTCACTAGCATTCAGGATGAATCTAAGCTTCAACTATGCTTTGTATATCGATTATTTCTCAAGCTTCTTCTCACTTCCCATAATCTTTCTAATGTCACTAAACAGATATCTATGTTTTGTTTCAAATTATTATAATTCAATGATTTTTGAGAGAAATAATTATTTGATCTTCGTAATATTTTCGATTTTTTGTATTTCATGCGCTGCAACTTTTGGAACTATTAAAACTTCTGGAATTGAGCGAGATTTTTATAGTGGTGTTGGATTTGTTGATTATTATTTGGAGCCTGGTTACAAAACATCAATCGCAAGATCATTTTATATTTTCCCATTGGGCTCGACAATTTGTTACATTCTTCTATTCCTACATCTGAAACAACAATCAAAATTAGTTATGATGTCTACAAGAAATGTTGAGCAAAAAGTGTTTGCTCAACTTCTAATCACCGCTTTATTCTATGGATTGATGTCTATATTTTTCGAAGCTGTTGAATTTTTATATGACGTCATAGATAATTATCAAATTATTTATTTGATATCTATGCTGAATATTATAAATTATCTGCCGGAAATTTCACTTCCTCTAATGCTTATGATGTCTACTTTCAAATTTTCATTGAGAAAAGTTGTTCAAGATGTTCCGAAAAGTACAACTGCTTCGATTTTGAATAGATAAATTTATTCAATATTTTATGGAAACAGTTATGAATAAATATTTTTCCATTTTTTTTCTAATTTTGAAAATAAAATAAAAATTCACTGTTTCAAAAAATCAACTAATTTTTATCAATTATGAAATATTTGATAGTGAATTTCGTAACTGGACATCTACAGTAATTCAAAAAAAAACCCCGAAAAACTCATTGAAAATTAAAATTAAAATACAATTCTAAATTAAGGAGAAAAATTTTACTGTTTCAAAAAATCCTGATAATTTTTGATGATTTATGGAATTTCTGATATTCTCACGAACAACAGCGATGAATGAATTTTGCTACTACAGTACCCCTAGAAACCTACAAAAATTTATTTTTAAAAAATTCACTGTTTCAAAAAAGCCCTATAAATGTTCACCATCGTTTAAATTTTGTTAGAATCATTCTTTTGGGTTTTTTTTCTACAGTACTTTTCAAAAATTTTAAAACTACAGTAACCTGAGAATGAATATATTACCTCGCTAAAACTCCGAAAAAAATTGTTTTTCAAAATAATTTCACTGTTTCAAAAAGACCCTGATAAATTTTCATATATACTCAAATTTTGTTTTACTGAATGTTCATTTTGTGTAACTACAGTAACCTGAAAATACCTACAGTACCAAATTTCCCAATTCTTCTAAAATTTCCTGAAGCTCAAAAAATTCACTTTAAAAAAAAATTCATCACAAAAAAATTATCCTTGAATATTTGATCTTCTGATAATTTGGCTCGAAGATTTTCCGGGGTTTGCGAATTTTTCGAACAATTTTTCTTGGGAAATCTGAAAATTTCAGATTTTTTTTTTGATTTTCAGAATTTCTCTTACCTTTGATTTGAAATCCAGTAGAAGTCTCAATTTTTTATCGGGAAATCCCACGGTTTTTTCGAAGAACAATCGAAATGCCACGTGGTTTAGAGCTTCTGAATCTTGTGTTTCAGAAGTCCCGAACCAGTAGTTATAGTAACTTTTGAGGAAGGCTGGCCAAAATTCCACGTGGCATTGTTTCGCCAAAGATTGTGGGGCCAAAAATTGCGCGAAAAAGTCGCGCACCGGAAAAACGCACGTCTCATCCATGCAAAAAACAATTTCCTCATTGAAATTTCTCGGGTTCTCACGTAGCGCGAAAATCGATTTCTCACAAATTTCAGCCAGATTTTCAGCGTGGCAAAATTGGTGCATTCCACGTCGTTCACCATTGATTAGGGGGAGATTGGAGGCGGCCGCCAAGGATTTGATTTTTTCGAGTTTGGACGAGGCACCTGGGCCGTAGATGAAGGTGGGACGCAAGAAAATGGCGTGGAGGTGACCTGAAATTAATTTTTAAAAAGATAGTGGTTTTTGTTGCGATTAGGTGGATTTTTGATCAAAAATTTGGAATTTTGATTTTGGCTATTAGTTGTTGTATCCTTGGGTAGGATACGGTGACTGCCGAAGATAAGTAACAATTACTAATACAAAGGTTTATTGAAAGAATAATAATAAGAGCGAGAAATGACGAGGCTGACGGCTTTTATAGTGCTAAAGCAACGTCAGCTTAGCAATGCCACGAATTAGTACGTGTAGGTCACGTACAATAATAAATATTTATTGCGGATGCAACATTAGTGAAAAATTTTGATAGAGAAAAAATTTCAAACATATTTGAAACAGTGAATTTTTCAAAAATTTTTCAAAATTTAATTTTTTTTCCTTGCAAACATACAGCCAATAATTAAAACCTGCTATGAAAAAATAATAAAAAATTTTGAAACAGTGAATTTTTTGAACGAATTTTCATATCAAAATTTCCACTAAATATTTGAAAGAGTGAATTTTTTCCAACAAAAAAAGTCAAACATTTTTGAAACATTGACTTTTTTTTCATATGAGCCAAATTCACACTTCAAAATAAAATTATATATGAATATATGAATATTTTGAAACAGTGAATTTTTTTTCAAAAAATTTTCAAAAAAAATTTTTTTTTGCCCTGCAAACATACAAAAATAATTAAAATCTGCTCTAAAAAAATATTTAAAAATTTGAAACAGTGAATTTTTTTATCGAATTTTCATATCAAAATATTCAATAAATATTTGAAACAATGAATTTTTCCAAAAAAAAAAATTCAAGCATTTTTGAAACAGTGATTTTTTTCTATAATTGCTTTACCAAATTAACACATTGAAATAAAAATATAAATAAATATTTTGAAACAGTGAATTTTTTGAATGAATTTTCATATCAAAATTTTCAATAAATATTTGAAACAGTGAATTTTTCCAACAAAAAAATTCAAAAGTTTTTGAAACAGTGATTTTTTTCGTACGAATCTTTTTGAATAATTCCAAATCTCATCAAAATTTTCAATAAATATTTGAAACAGTGCATTTTTTTCAGATAATTTTCAAAATTTTTTTCTCAAAACAAATCAGCAATCAAAATTTGTCAATCAATAATTAAAATTTGCTCCGAAAAAATAATGAAAAATTTTGAAACAGTGAATTTTTTGAACGAATTTTCATATCGAAATATTCAATAAATATTTGAAACAATGAATTTTTCCAACAAAAAAATCAACAATTCTTGAAACAGTGAATTTTCTTCATTAACTTTCTTCTTTACCAAAGTCTCACTTCAAAATAAAATTATTTATAAATTTTTGAAACAGTGAATTTTTCCAACGAAAAAATTCAAAATTTAATTTTTTTTTCGCTTCAAACATAGAATCAATAATTGAAACCTGCTATGAGAAAATAATAAAAAAATTTTGAAACAGTGATTTTTTTCAGAAAAGTATCAAAAATTGATTGTTTTACTCAAAACATTCACGATCAACAAAGAAGTATTCAATATATATTTGAAACAGTGATTTTTTTGCTCTTTTTATTGATATTAAAATAGTTGATTACCAAATTCCCACTTCAAAAATAAAATTACAAATAAATATTTTGAAACAGTGAATTTTTTTCAGAAAATTTTCAAACAAATTTTTTTCTTGAAACATTCTTCCCAATTAACAATTGAAACCTTCTATGAAAAACTAATACAAAATTTTGAAACAGTGAAATTTTTGAACGAATACTTTTGAATAATTCCAAATCTCATCAAAATATTCAATAAATATTTTGAAACAGTGAACTTTTCAAAAACAAAAAAATTAAAAATCACCTCTCTTGGCCGCTTTTCTCGCATACATTTCAGCTCTGGTTCTAGATTCTCCATACTCATCCAACATATAATTCCTGGGATATTCGAGAAAAACATCTTGAGACAAACCGTAGTTATCCTCGTTTGGAATCGGACAATAGGCACATCCGACGTTCACAAGAATTTTGATTTGAAGATTTTTCATCGCATCGACCAGGGATTCGGTGGCTGGAAATTTGGATTGTTTTTCTATGCTCCTCCTCAACTGAGGAAATATATGCACACGTAGCTCAGCGGGTAACACTTGCGCTTTCAAATCACGTGGCTTTTTGCCACATGGGTTCGATCCCCGGTGCGAGCGAAATTTTTTTGTTTTTAATTTTTTTTAATTTTCCCCACTTACCATCCAAATTATCCCTCCACATTTGCTGCTTTTCCTCTTTGGATTTCCAATTGAAAATTGGGAATGGCGCGTGAGCACAATGCACAATTCCATCACAGCCTTTCAGCGCATTTTCCAGCGATTTTCGGTCGTTTAGGTCGAGTTGGAAGTTTTTGAGACGACGGTTTTCTTCTGGAAAAAAATTGGGTTCAAAAAAATTCACTGTTTTCAAAAATTCAGATAATTTTTGATGATAAGTTGATTTTTCAATTTTTTTGTTGTGTAGAAACCAAAAATACAGTATCTACCGTACCCCAGAAAAGAGTACAGTAGCTCAAAAAAATTTGAATTTACAGTAATCCTGGAAGCCTTACAGTACCCTTTGAAAAGTTTTAAGAACAAAAAAATTCACTGTTTCACAAAAAATGTATAAATTTTCATTGCGCTCGAATTTTGATGTAATGCTCAGACAGTAATCCTACAGTAACCCACAAATCAATACAGTACCAAAAAAATAATTTTGTACAGTAGTCTAGTCATAACCTATTGAAAAAATTTTTTATTCAAAAAAAAATCACTGTTTCAAAATATCCAGATGAATTCTAATGAATTTTGGAATCATTCCTAGCACCTCAAAGTCGAACTACAGTAATCTTGAAAAATTTTCAGTAACCTAAAGAGAATTTTCTGAAATCACAGTACACCAGAAATCCTTACATTACCCTTAAAAAATTTTTTTTTCAAAAAATCCACATAATTTTCCAGGATTTTTTTATTTTTGATCATGCATTAATAGAAAACTCAGAAAAATCTACAGTAATCTACAGTACCCTCTACAGTAACCCACAAACCTTTCGATGTACTTTGTCGATCAATAACGCGAATCTCGGCAATCTGTTCATTGGCCAACAATTTCTGCACGACATTTCGACCAACCAAACCGCCACCACCAGTCACACCAATTGTCAACATTTTGGCTGAAAATCACGGGATTTTGGCTGGAAATCAAGGGATTTACAGTGAAAATGGCAAAAAACGGAGAAAATTCGAGGAAAAATGATAAAATCTTTGGGAAATAGGGTAGATGACGATGCGCGATGGCCTTGTTTTGGGGGTTTTTATCAGTTTTGAGAAATCTTTTGGTCATTTTCACATGAAAAACACTAATTTGCACAGTTTTCCACCTGATTTTTGACCTGAAATGAAATCCGGTTCAATCTTATCAACCGACTTGTCAAAAGTGCAAATTTCTCCTTTTTTTTTTTGAAAAATGGTCAAAAATTTGAAATTTTTAGCTACAATGTAGCCTTTCATCAAGAAAAAAAATGATAAAATCTGATTTTCTCAGTCTTAAAAGGGTCTACTGTCTGAGGTAAACAATTAATTTAATGTCTAATTCAAAACCGGTTAGCCGCCAAAAATTAACGCAAAAAAAATAAATAGTTCGCACCGGGGCTCGAACCCGCCAGCAAAACGTCGCGTGATTCAAAGGCTCACGTGTTAACCGCTGAGCTACGTGTGTTCACGTGTTTCTGCGGCTGAAATTTCGTAGAAAAGAACACCGGAACAAAAAGAGAAATTAAATATACAACCACAGATTTTTCTCTGCCGTCTCTTCAGGATTAGACAATCTCTAAATGTTGTGAGGTGTTCTACTTTTGAATAAATACAAAAGTATTTATTAGAACAGAATAATAAATAAATGTGGGAAAATCGATAATTTAAAAGAATTCTAGATGAATTTCAGACTAAAATTTTATTTTTAAGTCTGAAAAAGTGAAACCCATGGTGGAATGATTGGCGCAGGATTTTGAAGATAACTCATGACGACAGCAGACACGGAAAGCCTGGAAATTTCAGATTGTTTGGTTGGAAATCGATTTTCAGACTCACATAAAGCTGGAAACGATTTGCTTTGCATCATCGGAGCTTCGGGTGTTGGCGAATGAAATGCATGAGCAAACTAGAGCCAACCAAGAGCACCATTTCATCTGGAAAATTTTGAATTTGGTATCGCAATTTGTAATTAGTTGAAAAAACTTGTTGGAAAAGTTATGAAATTTTTGAAACAGTGAATTTTTCTTTTGAAATCTGTGGAAATTTAATATTTTCTGGATTTTTGAATTTTGCCGAAGAAGTAATAACAAATTTAGCTGATTCGAACATCTATTAATTTTTTGAAACAGTGAATTTTTTCGCAGCAATGAAAATTGTAATATTTCTAGAAGATTTTCCACAATTCCACAGTTCCCCAAATTTTCCATCCATCAAAATAATTCTGCAGAAGTTCTTGAGAATTCTGAATTTCCTCTCCAATGTGAATACACGTGGAATATCACGACTTCGATTCCGAAATTATTTTGCCAGCGCAATCTTCAAATGTGAAATTTCTGAGATAATTGTGAAATCTCACAGTGTTTAGTATATTTTGAGCTGTGGAAATTGGTGTTTCGTTTGAAAATGTGGAAGTAATACTACGATTGTGTTTTGAGCAATTATAAGAAAAGCCTTCACAGTCAAATATATTTGAAAACAATTCCAACCAAAATTGAGGCATGCAGAAGATCAGACAAAAAATAGATGATTTTTGGATTTTGAAATTGAAAAATCTGGTAAGAGAGTGGCAATTGAAATGAGGTTGACAGGCAGGATTTTATACAAATACGAAATTCTTCAAGGCTTTTCTTATAATTTCTCAAAACACAATCGTAGTATTAATTCCATATTTTCAAACGAAGCTCCAATTTCCACAGCTCAAAATATACTAAACACTGTGAGATTCGACAATTATCTCGGACATTTCACATTTGAAGATTGCGCTGGCAAATTTCATGATCGAAATGGTTTTTATTTGAATATTTTGAGGTTTTCGGATAGAAGTCGTGAAATTCCACGTGTCACTGATGGATTTTTGATAATATTCATATTGGAGGAGAAATTCTGAATTCTCAAGAACTTCGGCCGAATTATTTTGATGAATTTTGATTGAAAATTATCGATTTATGCAAATTTTCCGCGAAAACCCGTATTTTTCATGGAAAAATATCCATTTTTGTCCCAAAATTCCCCTCAAAGCCCTCACCCTAATCATCAATCCACACATGCTGAAAATCATGCCCAAAACATTCATATATTCCGGCAACGGATCTTCGGCCACTGCTTGTTGTTGTCCCAATTGTGGGTCGACGGGTTTGAATCGAACGATTCGATTGGCTCGACGTGGATCGCTTCCTTGCGGTTGTTGTTGCATTTTTTGGCTGGAAATTTGCAGGATTTTGCTGGGAATCAGAGGGAAAACGGGAGAAAATAAGGAAAACCGAGAGAAAAATGAATACATTGGTCTTTGGGCTCAAGATTGACGCACAAAATGTAGCATTCAATGTGTGCTGGTTGACGTGTTTTGGGGAGGGGGAAGGAGGGCGTTTGAAAATGCATTTTTCTCGGGGTAAATGGGAAATTTTGAGCTACTCTATGGATAACCTTACGTCCCTCTAACAATTTAACTGAAATTATGGCTGAAATTCTTGAATTTCAGCTCATAAACTTTGAGAACCGAAAAAACGCAAAAAAATTTTTTTTCAAAATTCTTCTCGAGAACTACACAAAACTCCCTATCGCTTCGAGATATCCTGCAGAAAAATCCATGCTCCTTGAATATTTTTCATGATTTTTGACTGGAATTCTTGAATTTCAGCTCAAAAACTTTAAAATTCTCTTGGAACCAAAAAAAATTAAAAACTCAGGGATTTGAAAATGTTAATCGGCGAGGAACTCAGCGGACAACTTGAGATTAATCTCGTTTCAATCGCGTTTTAATCGCTTGGTGTGCGGTAGAGCGAATTTGCTCGATTTCACAAGAAACATCCTTCTAGAAAAAAAAGTTCGCGCTGAGGTAAAATCGAACCCAGGTCTCACGGGCGGCAGCCTGAGACTCTACCACTTAACCAAAGGCGCTTTTCTAGATTTGCATCGAATGCTGGTCATAAAGTAACTAGAATCTAGGATAGGTTTTGGCCGTGGCCGCGATGAAAAAGTTGTCCGCCGATTAATCGTTCGGCGGAGTTTCGTTGTTTCTTCAAACGATTAATTGGCGATGAATATTTTCATCCCATTTTAATCGCTGACAAGTATTTTGTCCGCCGATTAACATTTTCAAATCCCTGAGAAAAAACATTTTTTTCAAAATCCTTCTCGAGAACTACACAAAACTCATATCGCTTCGAGATATCCTGCAGGAAAATCAATGCGCCTTGAATATTTTTCTTGAATTTTGCCTGAAATTACATCTGAAATTACAGCTCAACAACTTTGAAATTCTCTTGGAACCGAAAAAAAGAAAAAAAAAGTTTTTCAAAATTTTCCTCGAGAACTACACAGAACTCCCAATCGCTTCGAGATATCCTGCAGAAAAATCGATGCTCCTTGAAACATTTCGGCTGAAAATCGCACTTTTCCCCGAGAACTACACACATTTTCGCCACAAGACCCCATTATGCACCGCGTACAATACAACAATTTTCAAATTTCCCCCCATTCATCTAATATATATCGAGCTAATTAAATATATCTATCAAAATGCAGTGCGTGTGTGTGCGCGCGCCACAAACACCGCAATAAAGGTCATGTCTGCGCTCTCTCTCGAATTGCTGTGCTATTTCGCAGGTGGAGAAAATTTTGAAACTGGCACCATGTGGAGAAGAATGGAGTGTGTTTCGAGGCGATTTTTGAAATGTATCAATATTGACATGTAAGAAGTTTTATTTTTATTATTAAAAAATGAATGAGATCAAGCAAAAATATATATAAATTTGATGAAAAAATGATTAAATACCCGCAAAAATAATAAGATCTAATTAATGAATTAATTAATGCATATGATAATCATAATTACTTCCAGCCTCATCACTATAATAACTGCAAGATCCGGGAGAAATTTGTTGTTGAGTCTTCTGATTTTCCTGTGGAAACTGGGAGGAGAATTGCGGATTTTGATAAGGGAAATTTTGAGACTGATGATTCAATGGCGGCGGGTAATTTGGTGAATTTTCGGGAGTTGGGAAATTGGAGAAGGAAATTTGCTGGCAAGGGAGGCCGAGTTGAGATTGAAGGAGTTGGATGTAGCGAGCGGCTTCGCGCAATGTTTCGACCTGGAATAGATTTGGGATTGCTCGTGTTAGGCTTTTGGGGAAATTTGAGATTTTTGAAACAGTGAATTTTTTCACAATTGAAAATTTGAAATTGAACATTTATCAATTTCCCAGCAGTTTTTAAAATTTCTGTCAAAATTTATACAATTTAAAAAAAAATGATTTTTTCAGACGTGAAAAGATTTCAACCAAACTTCAATTTTCCCAAAAAAATATATGGAATTTTTGAAACAGTGAATTTTTTCAGATTTGAAAAATTTTGAACATCTATCAAGCATTTTTGAAAATTACTGTCAGATTTTATAGAAATTTCGAAATAGTGAATTTTTTTATGAAGCCCTAGAAACAATACCAATAACTTTAATTTCCCAAAAAAATATATGTGAAGTTTTTGAAACAGTGAATTTTTTCAGATTTGAAATTTTTGAATCAGTGAATTATTTGTAAGACTTGAAAATTCATTTTCCCAGCAGTTTTGAAAATTTCTGTCGAATTTTATAGAAATTTTGAAACAGCGAACTTTTTATGAAATCTGAAAATATCTAAAATCAAATTTTAATTTTCCCAAAAAATATATGAAATTTTTGAAACAGTGAACTTTTTTCAGACTTGAAAATTCATTTTCCCAGCAGTTTTGAAAATTTCTGTCATAATTTATTGAAATTTTGAAACAGTGAATTTTTTCACAATTGAAAATTTGAAATTGAACATTTATCAATTTCCCAGCCGTTTTTAAAATTTCTGTCAGAATTTATACAATTTTTGAAAAAGTGATTTTTTCAGACGTGAAAAGATGCAACACCAAACTTGTATTTTCCCAAAAAAATATATGAAATTTTTGAAACAGTGAATTTTTTCAGATTTGAAATTTTGAAATTTTGAATCTTCAAGCAGTTTTGAAAATTTCTGTCATAATTTATACAAATTTTGAAACAGTGAACTTTTTTATGAATCCCTAGAAGTGAATTCAGCAAGCTTCAATTTTCTAAAAAAAAATATATATGAAATTTTTGAAACAGTGAATTTTTCTCAAATTTTACAGTTTCAAAATATGTTTTAAATCAAATTCTGTTCGAAAAACTTCCCAAAACCCCCCATTTTCCCCGGCAATAATTTATTCCTGACTCCCAAAAAATCCATCTAATTTAGTGCCCGCGCAACATTACACAAACAAAATGTATCGCCTCCTTTTTTCACTGTTTCAAAAAAATCCTCCCCCAAAAAACCAACCTTTGACAATTTTTGTTTGCATCCTGGCGCTCGTGGAACACGCTCTCTCAATTTATTGAAACCTTGATTGACCTGAAATTAAATTTTTTTTTGGAAATTGAATTGCTAATCTAGAATATTCGGCGGGAAATCCAAAAATTCAAAAAAAAAATGCGCTCACCTGATTCACCCGCTTCCTTTCTCGCTCATTTCGCCGCAATTTTTGTGGCACAACTTTGACTACAACCACCTCTTTCGGAGCCATGTTCCTTTAAAAATTACTGTAGGGTTACTGTGAATTCAAAACAAAAAAAAATAAAAGAAAGGAAGGAGTACAAAACCGGAGAATGAAGAAAAAAGGGGGCGTGGCTCCGAAAAGGAGAAAAGTGGGCGGAGCCTATGACTTAGGCTAAGTCTAGGGTGTAACTAATGTAAATAGAGAGAGAGAGGGAAGATGTGGGAAATCAAGGTGGTAAAGGTACGGTAATTACAGTAGGCGAGGTACAGTAACCCATGGCAACTTGGAGAATTACTGTACATAGATGCTAAAAATGAAAGATTACTGTAGATTTTTGTGAACAAAAAAACGTAAAATTTTCAAATTTTGAATTTTTTTTAATTTTGCAGGGAGTACTGTAGGTCAACCTCAACTAATTCTTCAGGATAACTACTGTAGATCAATTTTGAGCGCCCAAAATTTGAAGTTAAAACTCAAATTCAAGTTGCTCATGTTAAGAAAACCTTCTGCTAATTAAAAAAATCTTGTGACTTCAGCAATCAATCAAAAAATTATTTCGTTAGCGAAAAATCTATTCAAAAATTGTTGCGCTATTCAAAAAAAATTAGACGACGAAGGTCATCAATTTTTCCACATTCAATTCGAATTCAAAAAAAATCTTCTTTCTTTTTTTGCTTGCTAATTACTCATTCATTCATTATTGTTTTTCAAAAGAGCACTCATTGAGCACACAAAAAAGAACAAAGAAGCCTATTTTGAAGCCTAAGCCTAAGCCATTAATACGTATCATTTTCATCTCAATTTTTTTGAGCACCGGCTGGCTCAAAAAAGTGACACTTGAGACGCGCCGGTTGTTTTTTGTCGGCGAGATTTTTTGTGCCGACTCTCTCTCACACGGCGTTTTAATTAGCCACTAATTTAGTGAGAGAGACTTGGGCTAAGAATAAGTGATAATTATTTGGGAACCGCCTTCCTGTTTTTTGTTGGGCGGTGGCGGTGGGAAATTTTTGAAAATTTGAATTCAAAAATTTTCGCGCTAACAATAAAACTATCGCATAAATTTTTTTGAAACATTTTGAGCTTAAAAATCCACGTGGCAAAAACAAAAATTGAATTCAAAAATTTTCGCTTTAATTTTTATTTTTGAAAAATTGAGAGAAATCCACGTGGCAAGATTTTTTTTTTGAAAAAAATTTGAATTCAAAAATTTTCGCGCTTAAACTTTCGCTTCAATTTTTATTTTTTGAAAATTGTGAGAAATCCACGTGACAAGATTTTTATTTAAAAAATTCGAATTCAAAAATTTTCGCGCTAAAACCTTCGCTTTAATTTTTTTTTTCGAAAAATTGTGAATCTAGAAATCCACGTGGCAAAAAATTGAATTCAAATTTTCAAAGCCACGTGGCAAAACTCATCTTTAAAAAAAAAATTCAAATTCAAAAAATTTTCCCGCCACAACGATTTTCCACGTGGATTCTTTGGGCTTACAGTAAAAATTTGAAATTCTGTTTTCTAAAATTAATTTCAACATAGATCTTGTGATTTCCACAGTAGTCCTAGATACAGTACTCCTTCAAACTACAGTGCCTTTCACAATCTACGATATTTACAGTACTTAAAAAAATTAGAATTTTCCCACAGCCGTCAAAAAAAGGTGTTGATTTGTTTTGTGTCAACAAATTTGGTGGTGTCCCACAATTGTCACCAAGTTCACCAAAGGTCAGCATTTTTGGCACTAGAAAAAAATAGAGTAACTAGGATTACTGTAGAATTTCCTAAGAGCTATAGTAATTTCAAAAAACAATCTAGAATTTTTAAGTTGAGGTCAAATTTTTTTGAAAAAATTTTTTTTCAAAAATTTTTCTACAGTAGGCTTATCTAAGGCCTATTTAAGGCCTAATTTGTCACAAAATAAGAAATTGAAATTATTTGATTGGAAACAATACGATCATAATAATAATAATAATATGGTTGACCAATAATTATAGTCGATTTGCACCTGTTTTCAATTATTTATGCTTTATTCTCCTAAGACTTAGCCTAAGTCTTGTGAGCTAAGAAAAAAGGGAAAGGTACATAAGTACAAATTAGTTACATATTGTAGTGGATAAGCTGCTGTGAGCAGATGGAAGGTGACTACAAAAATTCGGATTTTTTTGGGGGAGGGGGTACTGTAGCTCAGAAATCTAGTTTTTAAAATTTTTCTAGATTAAAAAACTAGCTTTGAAAATTACTGTAGCTCAGAATCTTGAATTTTTGTAGATCACAAATTAGTTCATAGGATTACTGTAGCTTGAAAACTAGCCAAAAAGTTTACTGTAAATCAGAATTCCAGTCTTGCGACTACTGTAAGCCCTATGAGTACTGTAGGTTTTGAAACTACTGTAGCTCAAAAACAAGCTTTCAAAATTACTGTAGCTGAGAATCCAGAAATTTTGCAGATCAAAAATTAGGGCCTAGGATTACTGTACCTTGAAAAACTTGCCAAAAAGTTTACTGTAAATCAGATTTTTTCTCTTGTGGGTTACCGTAAGTCCTGGCAGTACTGTAGCTCAAAAATCCACAAGGTACTGTAGTTCTTGTCTGGAAAATCTCTGAATTTTCTCACCAACCCATGTTTTTTTGGTGTCAAAATTGCTGACCTTTGGTGAACTTGGTGACAATTGTGGGACACATCAGAAAAAATAAACAAAAAAAAACAAAGTTTTGGATGATGACTGTGAGAAAATGGTGTTTACACCATGGTGTGAACAAGAATTTTTTTTCGAAAAAACAAATAAAAATTGATTCTGGCAATACAAAAGTTACAGAAAATTCGGAGCCTAGGCTACAGTAGACTACAGTAATCCTCAGAACTATTTTTTGATCTACAAAAATTTTTAAACTAGAGTTCTTATCTACAGTAGTCTCACAAGCTACAGTAATCCTACAACCTTTTTGATCTACAGTATCTCATGGTACAGTAATTCAAAAACTAACCCTATAGCATATATTTGAGCTACAGTAATTTTACACCTTACAGTAACCTCAAGACTGAAGTTCTGATCTACAGTAAACTCTTAAGCTAGTTTTCAAGCTACAGTAACCCTAGTCACTATTTTTTTAACTACAAAATTTCTAGATTCTGAGCTAACAGTACCCCAGAAGCTACAGTAACCCTAAATTCAGCCCGAATTTCGCCATTTTTCGCATGTATGCATATATTATTCCGCAAAAAAACATGCATACTATTAATTGACACCCTTTGTGGTGTTCATCTCTGCGTCTCTCTAGAAACACACACTATTTCTATTTGGGGGGATTTAGGAAAAGTGCTCATTATTTGTGTGGATGTGGATGGAAATGGGAAAAAATGGCTGGATGGCTGGGTGACGGATTACCATTTTTTGCTGTCTTTTTGTGTTGAAAGCGAAGGAGATTTGGGGGATTTTGAAAAGAAAAATTCACTGTTTCATAAAATTGTCAAAAAATTTGTAGGAAATTTAGAAAAAATTCTCAACAAGCTGTGGAAAACTATTGATTTAATTTTTGCAAAACTAATACTGAATATTTGAAACGTATTTTTTGGAACAAAAAATTCACTGTTTCAAAAAAATAGAAAATAATTTTTTGTAACTCATTTTCAATCATTTAATTTGTCGAATTAAAAAATTCTGGAATTTTTTTTTAGATTTTGAACGATGCTACGTCAATCTATTAATTAAAATGGGAAAATTTTGAAACAATTTATAGAAATTTTGAAACAGTAAGTTTTTTATCAATAATAAAATTCACTGTTTCAAAAAGTGGTCAAAGTATTTTCCTCACAACGACAACGACGACATATTTGAGAGACGGTTACAGAAAAAAACGTGTGAAAAACTCACTTTTCCTCCAGTTTTCCTTGTTTTTGAACATCATTCAACCAAAATCGCCTCATAAATTGTTTCGACATTCCATCGCTTCGCTGACATTTTCCTGTAAAATAGAAATGAGTGAAATTTAAATAAAAACTCCAAACTGATGAAAAATTCAAGAATGTACATTTTTTCATAAAAAAACAGCTTTTTGAGCGCCAGTTTTAGTATAAAACCATCGAAAATCAACTAAACTTGTGTTACTTGTACTGGGAAATGAGATAAATATGAATTTTACAACAAGTTTCATTCAAATTCATGGAAAAACAACAAAAATAGATACGCGAAAGAAAAACAAAAACAAGAAAATAAAAGTAAACATGTAAGTGCGCCCCATTGATAAAAATGGCATGTCGCGCACTCTCTCAAAAATGTGTGTGTTGTGTCGTTGTTGTTTTATTATTATTATACTATTTTTTTTCTTCTTGTTTTTGGAAATTTTTCATTCACGTATTTTTTGTTGTTTTTCAATGAATTTGAATGAAACTTGCTGTAAAATTCATTTGTATCTATTTTCAAAATCCAATTAATTAAATTTTTGCGAAACTGTTATATAAAATTTTTGAAACGTATTTTTTATTGGACAAAAAATATAACGAAAAAAAATCACTGTTTCAAAAATGTGTCAAATTTATTTTTTATGATTCAAAAATGATAAAACTCCGCAAAAGTTCTGAATCTGAAACTTATAAAAATTCTGCCAAAAAAATTTTCAAAAAATTTCACTGTTTCAAGAAATAGCAAAATGTTTAGAGCTCAAAAATTTTGATAATTCTTCAGTCATGGTACAGAAAAAATTTGTCACAATTATCCACCCAAAAAAAGTTCAAGTTCACCCTTCTTCCACCCTCTCAATGGTGCAATTATCACCAAATTGAACTCAATCCAACCTATAATTACCCAACAAAAAACTATTATATTATAGCTCCAAAGTGTGTTGGAAAACAACAATAAGTTGGATATATATGTATTTATAATTATTAGTTTTGCAGGTGTTGATACATACAGTATATTACTTGAAAATGTGAAAAGAGGAGGCAAAAATATCAACAAGGAAGGTCAAGCAAGGATTATTATTATTATGTTATTGTTGTTGTTTTTTTTTTTTTGAGGAAAAGGGAAAGAGAGTACTGTTTTTGACATATTTTTGATTTATTAGGTCAAAAGGCGGCTTTGGAAAAGGGGAAATAAGACAATAGGAAAAGCGGGTGAAAAATAGAACATTAATTAATTTTTTTTAATTAGGGGAACTGTTGATCGGTATTCTTCAAATATTTTTGGAACGTATATTTTTCGGTTTCAGGCTGCAAGCTGAAATTCTAGGGGCTGCAAATCTTCATATCTTTTGAAACGATGAAAATTACCGGTAAATCAAATAAAATTAAATCTCTAAAATTTTAGGATTTTTTTGAAACAGTGAATTTTTTTTGAATAAAAAATTTGGATTTTCCAGATTTTTTGTTACAAACTCTAGAAATTTCCAATTTTTTGTCGAAAAACAGTCAAATTTTTTCTAATAAACGAATTTTTCAAATCGAAAAAAAATTGAACCTCAACATTCTTCACATTTTTTTGAAACGTATTTTTTTTGGGTTTCAGGCTTCAGGCTGAATTTCTAGAGGCCAAGAAGATCTTCATAACATTTTGAAACAGTGAAATTTTCAAGAATAAATAGAACATTTTCTAGAAATTCGATTATGATTGTGTTGAATCAATAAAAAATGCAATCTCTAAAATTTATCCGAATTTTTTGAAACAGTGAAAAAATTCAAAAATTTTCCAAAACAAACAAAAAACTTTTTTGTTTTTCTAACAAAAAAAAAGAAGCGGATTAGGGTCTAATTAATGATTGATTGAATAATAAACATTCTTCCATTATAGGATAAGTTGACCTAACTTGACTTTTTGCTTCTGAACAAATATTACACATTTGTTTATTTTAAAGAGGGATTTTTTCAAAATACAATAGTTCTTGGCACACTTATTGATGCTTGCTCTCTCCCATTTGTAGATATCCGAAGGTGTAGAATAGACCTAAAGATATTACATAAATTAAGTTATCCTAACTCAGAAACCTTACCGTAATCCATTATTCAATGTTGATAAATATCTGGAATTTGTTGTTATCATAACAATTGTTGAGACACAAGAATGAGAGCAGATTGCGAAAAATGCGCAATTTGAGTATTCTGCAAATAATTCTGAATCTTCCCTGGAAATTCTCAAAAATTTCAATTCAAGTCACCATGAAACTCTTCGATCTGATAAGCGACAATCAAAAACAAGGAATACATTGGGAAAATCAGAAGTGTCGATGGAATCACACATTGCATTGATAAACTTATCAACGCATTTTTGTGCATTTTGAAAGTTTCAGCAGACATATGAACACGTAGTTTATGAAGAATGTGCATTGTATGAAGAACCAAGCAGGAGCCATAGGCACTTACGATGATTACTAATGTCAAAGCACCGATTCCACAGATTTCTATCCATGGGTTGAGGGTCCAATCGTACATTTCGAAAGAATTGTTGTCGACGAAATGAAGGCATTGGGGGTATTTCTGAAAATTCTTACCTACGGTACCGCTAGATTTGACCCCGATGGGGAAATTGTCCTGGCATCATGCTGTCCGGTCCTTGTAAGCTGGCTTAAACCTGTCCTGGCTCAAACATGGCTTGAATATGGCCTCCGGTCCTAGCGTGAACAAAAATTAACAGAGAAATGGGGGCCAAGTCGGGTAGCCAGGTTAGGTACGCGAGCCTGTCCTGGGTCTTACCACCCAAAGCCAACATGAGGCCAGGTTCTCCACCCCTGACCCCAATACTCACCGTCTTCAATAAATAATATTTCTGCTCATACGTCAATTGCGACAAATGCAAAGTTCCTGCAGTATATATCGGTAATAAATGAGAGAAAAATAAGCAAAACATATTCGGATATTTCAAAATATTTCTGGAATTATTGATTCCTATCGCAGCATCATGTCGATATAAAAAACAAATAATGATTGAAGGAAGTTCGAAACAAAATATGAAAACCCAAATAATCATTGTAGCGTGGGCGGATAAGCCAGCAACATTTGAATTGTTGAAACCTGCGATCATTGGGAAGAAGAAGTAGCCATGGGATACGTAGGAAAACCAATTTTCAGTCATGAATGTTACGATCTAAAAAAATTTCCGAAAATATACATAGTTGCTCTATTGCGAAAGACGCGTACCTGTAGATACAATAAACAAAATTTGAATTTTCCCATTTGCGGTGAATGAAACCAGACTAGCCAAACTCCAGTGGAATTAATTGGAAATGATAGAGTTGCTAGGAGAGTTAGGGTAAGTGTGTAATATGTGGGAATTTGATTTGGACAGGTATTTGAGGAGTTTTGCATTTTGAGATGAAATGAGTGACAAAAAATGCTATTATTTTTCGAAAAAAAATATCACCTGTCTTATTTTTTGTGATGTTTTATACGCTGAAAATCAAACATCGGGAAAAATTTTAATCTGAATTTTGATGGATTTTTGAAACAATTTGAAGATTTCGGCATCGTTGATACCTGAATTTTGAAAATTTTAAATAATTTTTGAAACAGTGAATTTTTTTTTGGAGAAAAAATTCGATTTTTCGGAAGTTTTAGGCAATATTAGTTATCTGGAACCATACATGTTTTTCTATCCGGAAGGCCCTTCGGGTTAAAGACCCCTTTTTGTCAAAAATGAAAAAGTTAAAGACCCTCCACCGGAAAAATGAAGAACAAAAATACTGCCAAAAATCAAAGTAAAAGCTCTAACCCAGAACCGAACCTTTGTAGCTGGATTAGAAAGCGCGAGGCTAACCGACTGCTCTATGCTCTCGTTGTTTTTCACTCCTTTGTTTTCCCTTGTTATGCAACACACGCCTCATCTTTTTTCTTTTTTTTTCGTTTTTTTTACAGACAATTCAAATCAAAAGCAAAACTTAACAGCTTAACGGCAACCAAATGAGCTAAAAATTTTCACAGCTCTACTTCAAGATATTTCGCAGGGTTCGAAGACCTAAAATCCTCCAATAAAGACCGTTTTAAGGGAAATAAAGACCTATCCGGAAATGTATAGTGTCATCCTATACTTTTCCGGATAGGTCTTTATTTCCCTTAAAACGGTCTTTATTTGAAAGTTTTAGGTTTTCGAACCCTGCGAAATATCTTGAAGTAGAGCTGTGAAAAATTTTAGCTCATTTGGTTGCCGTTAAGCTGTTAAGTTTTGCTTTTGATTTGAATTGTCTGTGAAAAAAAACGAAAAGAAAAGAAAAAAATGATGTGGGCGGAGCCAGGTGCAATGAGAGATATGGTGTGTGGCGCTACCAGCGAACTGTCGGCGATGAGAGATATTGAAATATTTCGCGTGATGCAGAATGAACCAAGGCGAAATTTTTGTGGAAACCCTGCTCCTCTTTGAAAGAAGAAGCTGATGCAGAGGTAATTTTGATTACTTGGGAAATTAATAGTAATTTTTTTCATAAAAGTTAAGGACATATTTTTCATGAAAAATAAAAAAGTTAACGACCCTATTTTATACTTTTCCGGACCAAAAACATGTATGTCTGGAACTCTTAGCTCTAATCTTTTTTTGAATGTGATAATTTTAGCGCAAATATTGGTATCAAATTCCCGCCAAAATTCCATATTTTTTTTCCAAATCCCAGGAAAAATCCCAATTTTTTCCCTGTAAATCTGTAAGCTGCACTAAAACCCCGAGAACCCTGCATTATTGCATCTTCACATTTCCCACCATCCATTCCAAGCTTCAAACTCCCCATTTTCCCCGGCAAAACCCCCCGCCAAAAAGGTGCACCTCCACAGCCTCCACACCTGCGTGAAGTCTGCGTCTCACTCTCTCGTCGTTCGCTGAGTGAGATGGAGCGCGTTTGCTGCACTCACTTTTTTCCATTGAAAAAAAAACTTTTTCTTTATTTTTTCGTGTTTTTTGGTCGCCACGAATTTTTCCTGCGCTAATACGAAGCTAAACTTCAAAATAGAAGAGATTTGGAAGACAAAGATATATAAAACATCTTATTTCGAGTCGAAATTCAAGGAGAACATTCGAGCGGAAAAGTGAGTGTTTTTTCAACTTTTTTGATTTCAAATTTTTGAGCAAGAAAAATAGTTTTACAGGTTATGGGACACCTACAGAAGCACAAGTTGAGAAGGAGAAGTGTTCAACGATCAAAAAACTCCAAAATACAGCTCTTTGCGTTGTCCCAAAAGATGGAATTTTCATACTGAAATCGATGCTTCCACCAATACTGAACTTCCAATATCGAAATAGTTGATGCAAAGAAATGTGAGAGGATGTCAGAAAAATACGAATCATGGAGAAAATCGAAGATTGGATGGAGTTTGGTATCAATATTCTATGATTCTGGGAGAGAGAGACAACAGTCATGTTCAATGGTGAAATTGTTAGACTTCTGATCCATGGATTATTGCTTATGAACGTTATCCTAACTTTGAGAAGCACTATTTAATGAATTGGTTCGTTTTTTATAACATTCTGTCTCGTTTCAAGTACATGAAAACTCATTTTCAAATCTACTTTTCAAACTTTATCACCATTGTCTAGTGTATATTTTCCAGGTCCTCTACCAACTCGAATCTTCTCTATTACACTCTGAGATTGGAATGCTTCGTATGGATTCACATGGATCGAATTAATTTTATAATTTTCGTTGAATTTTAATGGAAATTTGGGTGATTTTGAATGAGAATAAATGTTGTTTCATAAATTCGAGTTTATATCCAGAAACTAATTACGGCGGCGCAAAACCTAAGAAATGAATTGATTGTATTTTTTTTCAAATTATCCCGAAGAGAAAGCTCAGAATCAGTGTCAAAACGGTCATTGATTTTGTTTGTCGATTTTCTGATTGAAAATGTGGTCAATGTTTCTCAAAATGTATTTCTCTGCTTTCGTGAGATGCTCCTCTTTCTTCTCATATACAATTCATTTGATGAAACCCACGATTTTCAGAGTATTCAATGAAAAAATGCTGAAATTTTTTTCAAAAGAAAAAAAACGAGAGAGCGCCTCACGCCGAAGAAACCGAGAGAAAAAAAGATGACGAGAGAGTGTTGCGATCGGAGAGAGCGAACAGACACACACAGTTTAGTATGCCGTGTGTCAGAGTGCAGACAAGGCTGCGTTTTTTCATTTGTGGACAGCGTGGCACCTCAAAAAAAAACAGTCCCTACATTTTGTGCGTCATGCCCTCGCAACACTGACGCACAAATTGCTGGCGTCTTTTGTTTTGTCAGCATTTCAAATTTTTCATTTTCCCGCGTTTTTCCCTCTTAAAACTCACCAGTTTCCCACCAAAATCCATCATTTTTCAGCGCAAAAGAAATGCCGTCAATCAATGTGAAATGGCAGAAAGAAAAGTATACAATTGATGTGGATACAACTCAACCACCATTGGTTTTCAAAGCACAACTCTACGCTTTGACTCAAGTTGTGCCAGAACGTCAAAAAGTCTTGATTACTGGCAAACAATTGCCCGATGATTCGTGGGATGGTTTCACTATCAAAGATAATATGATGATTATGATGATGGGAACTGTTGGCGAGATTCCAAAAGCTCCAGAACTCATAGCTTCAGCAAACGGCTCGACAATTGCACCAAATGCAGAAGAGATGAATGCACTTTACCCAGTTGGAATGGTCAATTTGGGAAATACTTGCTATTTCAATTCTTGCATTCAAATGTTGAAAGAGTTCAATGAATTGAAATTGGATGCGGAAAATGTGCGAAAAATCGAAAATGGTCCACAGAAGTTGGCTGGATGTGTGAGCGATTTGATCAAGCGATTGAGAGATCGTGAATATGCCATCAAGAATAAGGGAAATGCTGTGCAAGCGATTAATGCGGTTTTGAATTTATCGCAAAGTTTTCCACAATTTGAACAGTTTAAACAACAGGATGCTAATGAATGTTATGTTGCTTTGCTCAACACATTGATTAGAGCCTATAAGAATGCAGGTAGGTTTTCAACAAAGTTTCCCCACGTGGAATGTGGTCACAATCCCCTTATTTTTCCAGGAATCGATATTTCTCCATACTTCACTGTTGAAACAATCACCAAAGCAAAATGTATCGAAACTGAAGGAGAAGAAGAATTGAAAACTGACTCGCACAATCAATTAACCTGTTATATCAATCAAGATGTTCGTTTTATTCAAACTGGAATCAAGGCTGGATTTAGTGAGGAAATGGAGAGAAACAGTGAAAAATTGGGGCGAAATGCGAAATGGCAAAAACACACGGAAATTTCTAGACTTCCCAAATACCTTACAGTCAACATGAATCGGTTTTACTTCAAAGAATCGTCAAAAACCAACGCGAAAATCTTGAAATCCGTGCAATTTCCGATCAGTTTAGATGTTTATGATATGTGCACACAAGAGCTCAAAGATAAATTGACGACGAGAAGAGCTGACATCAAATTGGAGGAGGATTCGAAGTTGGAAAGAGAGTTGCGCAAGAAAATGTTGGATAAAGAACAGGCGGAGAAGATTTTTGATGATGGAGTTGCGTTGAGTGGAGAATTTGAGAATGATTTTGGCTCGAATAATTCGGGATTTTATGAGTTGAGAGTGAGTTTTTTAATTGATCGAAATCTGGACATTTTCAGCCAAAAAATACCCAAATTTCAGCTTTTTTTTGCACAAAAAGCACCTTTTCCAGGGAATCATCACTCACAAGGGAAGATCTTCAAATGACGGACATTATGTTGCCTGGATTCGATCAACTGACGACGGAAAATGGCGACTTTTTGATGATGATCATGTGACAATTGTTGACGAGGAAGCTGTGAGTTTTTCTGGCTGAAAAATGGGATTTTTTGGTGGAAAAATCATGAAAATTCGATAATTTTGAGCTTTAATCCAAGAAATTCAAGAGAAAAACAAAAATGGCTTCTCTTCTTTCTTCATTTTTCTTCTAAAAAATATTTTTTCCAAGTTTTCTCAAGCGAAAAATTGAATTTTTCTGTGTTCAAAAAATTGTCGAATTTTTTATTCTTATCAACAAAAAAAATTGACTGTTTCAAAAATTTCGTTTAATTTTTTCTGGTTTTGCGCGAAGGTCTTCGAGTCTTACCATCGCACATAAAGTCCACGTGGCAAAAAAGCCCCCAACTTTTTTTGAAACCAAATTAACATTATTTTTTACCTCGACAAATTATCGTTGAAAGATCACCTCTTATCACTAGAGAATAGAGAATTACGTGATTTTTTGGAAAATTTTGAAATTTTTCCGGGTAAAGTTGAAGATATAGAGGAGAATTGTGCCTAAAACATTTACATCTTTAAATTTCCACTAAATTTGAATGAAATATATGTTTTCTAGTAGTTTTTGATTCGCTGATCACTACTATTCCGTTTAAAATTGCAGAACTCATTTCCTGATATGAGTTATGACGTGGCAAAATTCGAAATTTCACTACTTTAGAAGGTCATAACTAAATATAACTTAACCTCCCGAAGTAGCGGAATTTCGCCACGTCATAACACATATTAGGAGTTGAGTTCTGCAATTTTAAACGGAATAGTAGTGATAAGCAGGTCGGAAACTACTAGAAAACATATATTTCATTGAAATTTAGTGGAAATTTAAAGACGTATGTGATTTGAGGTGTTTTAGGCACAATTTTCCTCTAAATCTTCAACTTTACCCGGAAAAATTTCAAAATTTTCCAAAAAATCACGTAATTCTCTATTCTCTAGTGATAAGAGGTGATCTTTCAACGATAATTTGTCGAGGTAAAAAATAATGTTAATTTGGTTTCAAAAAAAGTTGGGGGCTTTTTTGCCACGTGGACTTTATGTGCGATGGTAAGACTCGAAGACCTTCGCGCAAAACCAGAAAAAATTAAACGAAATTTTTGAAACAGTCAATTTTTTACTATTTTTTTCTATTCACAGAAGTCTTCAAATTTCCACCAAAAACTCCCAAATTTTTTGCAGATTCTTAAAACCGCCGGTGGTGGTGATTGGCACAGTGCCTACGTGATGGTCTACGAATCGCGAGTCATCAAAAAATACCCACAACTTCCACCAGCACCAACATCTGCTGAAGTTGCGGCTTCGGAACCAATGGAAATTTCATCGTCGAATCATTGATTGATTATTGTTTTGATTGACCGGTTTGGACTTTTTTTGAATTATTTATTTATTGTATGCCTCGAAAAATGCACAATTTTTCCCGATAAAAATTCTGGTATATTTTTTTTGTAGAGCTTTAAAAATTTTCACAAAACCCCTCAAAAACTAGACTTTTATCTCGATTTTCTATGAGAAAATCACGTATTTTTTCTGATAAGAATTGCTCTTTCAACGATGACAAACTATGGGTTTTTTGGTCGAAAATTGTGAAATTCTGGGCAATTTTATGGCTTGATGTGGATCATTTTATGTTGCTATTGAAAAGTGGTGACAAAATAGTTTTTCTGGGCGTGGCGGTGAATTTTGGACGTTGCATTTGAAGTTGAATTTTCCACGTGGATTTTTGGCTCTAAATTTTGATATGAAATCGAAGAAAACATGGTATTGTCCCAAAAATTACAAAAATATTATAATAAAATTTTGAAACAGCAAATTTTTGAAAAAAAAGTTTTTTGACAAAAAAAGTTTCCAAACACACATCAATCACAAAAATTCCCGAAAAAATATACAAAAATTTTGACACAGTAATTTTTTTTTGAATTTATATGTTTTTTCAAATTTTGCCAGCATTGATTCAGAAAATCTCCCCAGAAAATTATTAAAAATTTGAAACAGTAAATTTTTGAAAATATGAATTTTCAAATTTTTTTCCTAGATTAGGCTAACTATATCTAAAGTTAGCCTAAGTTTAGTTATCATCCACAAAAAAATTGTTTATTTATACAGCTCGTAGTAAAAAATGATCGAAACCAAACCAAACCGCCCACAAAAAATTCGATTTTTTTCCAAAAAAAAATTTTGCGCGCGCCCGGGAAAAACACTTTTTTTCTATTTATTTGATTAGTTTCACCACTAAAAACATCATTTTCTATTTTTCCCAATTTTCCTACAAGATACAAAAGGGCCCCTTTTAAAGGGGGCGGAGCTTGGCGTTTTGTCAGCATTTTCTATCTACACTAATATATAAATGTGAGTAAGTAGATCAAATAGTTTTTTTTTGATAACAGTACTTTGATCCTTGGTTTAAATAGATATTTTTCATTTTCAAAATTTTTTGAAAAAAAAACAAATATTTGCGCAGCTGATCTTTCAATTTGAGTCATTCGCAAAAAAACGTTCGCATCGAGCCGACCTCGAACCCTTGACCCCACGCTCGCGAGCTCAGCGCCCTACCACTGCGCCAAGTCACCTATCCCGAGCGCACTGTTTTTTGCCAATTTAAAATGTGTGTAAAGTAAAAAAAAGTGTGATATTTTATTTTAAATTTATAATGATTGTGTAAATTAGAAGCTGAACCGAGAAGACAAGAACCGCAATCTGCATATTCTATTGACTTTTCACTAACCGAAGAAACAAAAAACCGGTTTTTTGCTTGTAACAAGAAGAAAATGAAAAAAAAATGAAGAGAAAAATTCGATCTTCATCTTTTCTCCCCTTGTAATATTATTAGTATTTTATTACTACATACTATTTTAATAAAAATATATGCTGTTCTGTTCTGAAACTGCCTATATATATAAATAAAATTCGAAAAGTCGCGCGCTGAAATTTGATAGGCGCGAAAATGTGATGTACTTTACTTTTTGCGCATTTTTACAACTTTTATGGTCAAAAACTTGATTTTCAAGTTTATTTATATAACTTTACTTTACTTTTTTTGCAAAAACCCCATTTTTTGATGACAAATAAAAATGATTTATTGAACCTTTTCCCAGGAAATTGAAAGTTTTTTTTGTGTGACGAGAAAATTATTATTTCCAGACCAGACTAGATTTATTTTTTCTCACTCATAATAAGTTAGCCTAACTTTCGAGCAAAACACAAAGAACTTTACCAATTGGTTTTCCACAAAAAGAAAAAAAACCTGAACTCGGCAAACAATGACAAATAAAAAACGTCTAAACCCTGGCATTATTTTTTTTCACTTACGCGCTTTTTTCTTTTTGTCGCCTTAGAAACACTCATTGTTCGTTTTTTTATTTCCAGGTATTTGAAACATGTGGACTGGCAGCGTGTTATGGCTGCTTTTCTGTTTTCTGCTAATTCAGGTTGGTTTTTTGAGGGGAAAAAAGAGGAAAAAAAGAAAAACAACTACGGTTTTAAAGGAGCATGTGGGTGAAATGTGTGTTGGGTCTCGTGGCGAAGAGTGGCGCGCGCTTGTGTGGAGTTTGAAAATGTGTTTTTTCTTGTTTTTTTCGGGCAAAAAAAATTCGCAGCTGAATAGTTTTGCCACGTCCTTTTCTGGAATTCTAGTCAAAAATCGATAAAAATATCGATTTTCGACTAGAATTTCAGAAGGAACGCGAAAGCTATGCCAAATTTTTCATTTTTTGCGAAAAAATCTCTACCAGACCAAAAAAATGCATTTTGCAAACAAAAGTCACTCATAGGTAAACATTTCTTACATGTTTACAAGTCCTCGACATCAAATTTACACGAACAAAATTTCATCTGTTGATTTCAGCAAAGCCACGCGCATTTCGACGGCTCACAATGCGGAAAATCAAAAAGTTGTCACATCCCAACAACCTGCCCCGAAAAATGTCATGGAATGGGAGCCGCTTGGAAACTATTAGACGATGATAGTCTAGAACTCGAGCTTTTCGTCAATTCCAACACAAGTACTGGAAGATATGTAGCGATTGGGTTTTCGGATGATGATAAAATGGGAAATGAGCCGGTTATTGAGTGCTCTTCACTTGGCGATGAGCCAATTTCGATGAAATTCTCGTTTGATAAAGTGAAAGGCAAAGGAAATCAAAGAATTCCCGGGGATTTTTCGGAATATTTTACAAAATCTCGCAATGAATTTCACGATGGTATGATTTATTGCAAATCAATTGTGAAAATCTCGGGACATCCTGAAGTTGCGAATATTTTCAAGCATGATCCAACCCGGCAATATAATCTATTGTTGGTCAACGGATTAACGAAACCCGATGGAATTTCGTATCATAAGGGAAAGCAAGACGCGATTGCACCGAAAATGTTGTTATCAAATGTGAGTTGTGGTCTTTGGAAGATCACTCATGAGAGTTTTCTTATCGCGAAAAATTGTGGTTGCATCAGAAAAGTTCGAAGTGTGGCAAAATCATCATTTTTTGGCTTATTTGTACAAAAGATCATGATTATTTCATGTTGCAAAAATTGAGGGTTTGAACCGGAATTTTCAATAGAAATCCGAGAGAAGTACACGAAAATCAAGTCGTAGCCTAGTCCGAGAGAAGTACACGAGTAATTTTTGAAGCGAAATTCTTCAATTTACGCGCTAAAAATCGAGTTTTTTGGAAAAAATTGGATCGGTGGCCTAGAAACCCAAATTTCTACGTGGATTGGTTTTCTAGGCCACCACTTGTCCGGGAGAACTACACAACCTTTTCCCTTGATGAAAATTCTAGGCCACCACATAAATATTTCATGAATGGCCTAGAAAACCTCAAACATGACATAGAAATCCAAATTTTTTCCAGACCTCATATGGCGCCATCACACCAACCCAAACCGAAGAATCGCCAGATTTTGACATCTCTTCAGCCGAACTTCAATCTGAAACTGGAACTCTCGAAATCTCCGCCTCCCCAGCAAAACTCCAAAAAGCCGCCGCAATTTCGCCAAAAACCCTTGGACCTTTCGATTCCTCAAGTTGCGGTAAATCAAAAGGTTGCACCCAACCAATCGGTGATCAATGTTATGGTGAACAAGGTGAAGGTTTGGGTGGAAGTTATCGAATCTTGTCAGAAAATCAAATCGAATTCGAGATTTTCGGTCCAGTCAATGTGAACATCTCGCAAAATGTTTATGTGGCAATGGGATTTTCGAATGACACAAAAATGAATGATATAAGTGTGATTGAGTGCTCAAAAATGCCCGGAGAAACGAATCCGACGATGAAATTCAGTTATAACCAGGGATTTGAGAATGTGAGAATTGACAATGAGCCAACGTATCGTGCGAAATTGATTAATTTGACGAGTTCAAGTATTCAAGATGCTCAAATTTATTGCAAAGGAATTGTGAATGTTGGAGGGAGTTCGGATAACTCGCGGGTGTTTAAATGGGACTCGACACAACGATATTATTTGCTTTTTGCTAGTGGACCCACTGATGGTGAGTTTTTTCTTTGAAAAATTGTGAAAAATTGGTCTGGAAACCCGTTGGCCGAGTTTTTATGGCCTAGAAATCCAAAAATTAAATATGACCGAGGTTTGATGGCCTAGAAACCCGATATCTTGTTTATCGTGGCCTAGAATCCGACTTGGCGGCTTAGGAATCGCGAAAATGAGGTTTGGCCGAGTTTTGATGACCTAGAAATCCAAATCTTGTTTTCTCATGGCCTAGAATCCGACTTGGCGGCCTAGAAATCCAAAACTTTATCTTGACCGAGTTTTGATGGTCTAGAAACTCGATATCTTGTTTATCGTGGCCTAGGAACCGACTGGGAGGCTTAGGAATCCCGAAAATGAGGTTTGGCCGAGTTTTGATGGCCTAGAAATCCAGAAATCATAATTTTCATGGCCTAGAAATTCAAGTTGAATTTCTAGGCTATGACAAAATCCGAAAAACACTTGAAATTGATTAAAAATAGCTGAAAACTTCCCGAATCACCCTTAAAATCTCAAATATTTCCAGCTTCTGGCCTCCATCACCACACTGGCGATTGCACCTCAGGTTCTCAAATCTTCCTCGATCAAGTCGAGCCAATGTTCGACTCATCTCAATGCTCCAAATCAAAAGCCTGCTTCACACCAACCGATTGTGGCGATGACAATAATTGCAATTCAATTCAAGCCTCCTGGAAAATCGTGGATTCGGAACACATTGAAGTTGAGCTAACTGGAAATGTGAATGGAACAAATTCGTATATTGCACTCGGATTTTCCACAAATGGAAAAATGGGAAATGCATCGGTCATTGATTGCAGTTCATTTGCCGGCAACAAACATTCGATGAGTTTCTCGTATAATTTAGTCAATGGCCATTATTTCAACCTACGCCCCACTGCTGATTTATCCAATCTAATTGCCAATGAAAGAACTGTATTGGCCGATGGTGTTTTGTATTGTACTGCTGTTTTCAAAGTTGTCGGAGATGAGAATGATCCGGCCATATTTAAATATGATCCGAAACAGGAATATAATTTGTTGCTGGCCACTGGAACGACGAAAGTTAATCGAACTGGTGAGAGAATTTTAGAAAATTACAAAAAAATTCAGAAGATTTTGAGCAAAAATCGAGGTTTATTGAATAAAATTACTTCACAAAATATTTGTGAAATTATTGAAACAGTGAATTTTTTATACTTCAAAAATTCTATATTTTTTCTAAAAATTTCTAGAACCTGAACAAATTTTTTTTTTGAAAAAAAGTTTCATCAAATCTTGCCAAATTTTCACTGAAAAAAATTTCACCGTTTCAAAATTTCTATAAATTAATTTTTGGATTTTTTTGAGTGATCTTCAAATAATTTCACTAAAAATCCATTTATTTTTGCAGTCAAAAATATTTCCATAAAATTTCACTGTTTCAAATTTTGATTAATTGAATTTTTTGCGATTTTCGAGTTAGTTAAGGATTCCAACAGAAACCCTGTTTTTCCAGTTGTTGGTCTCAATTATCATTTCACCAAACGAAGTTTGTCAACACCGCAACTTTTGAGCCAAATTGCAATCACCACAACAACACCGCCTCCACCATCAGGAGATGTGAGTTTTTTCCGTGATTTTTGGCTCATTTAGACCCGAAATTCATCAAATTTGGTGTATTTTCCATGTTTTTCTGTCACTTAGATTGTTGTCCGTCAAAAACGTCAAACTTCGTCCAGTCAAGTAAGCAAAAAAGTGTTGTTTTGTGCTTGTGTAGAAAAAATCCCCTCCCTCTTTTTTTTCTCAATTTTTTTTCGTTGTCTAACATGTGATTGCACCGCGAAATTTTTAAATTTGGAAAAATATGTTTACGCTAAAAAATGAAAAAAAAACTTGGTCAAAGTTTTTCACAAAATTTTTCTAGTCAGGAAATTTCATTAGGAAATTCACTGTTTCAAATTTTTCACAATTAAATTTGCCAATTTTAAAAAGTAGTTCACTAACATTCCAAATTTTAACTTTTAAAAAATTTCACTGTTTCAAAAATTTCTTTAATTTATTTTTTGGATTTTTCGAGTGATCACATCATTCAATTTTAAAATAAAAATCCATTTTTTTTTCAGTCAAAAATATTTAAAATTTCACTGTTTCAATTTTTTCTCAATTGAATTTGTGCGATTTTCGAGTTAGTTAAATTTCTTGAATTTTTCTGCTGAAATTTGAATTTTTTACTCAAAAAAATTTCACTGTTTCAAAATTTATCTAATTTAATTTTTTCAGTGATCTGATTGTTGGATAAACTCGAAAAAAATCATTAAAATTTCACTGTTTCAAATTTTGATTAATTGAATATGTGCGATTTTCTAATTAGTTAAGGATTCAGTCGAAATTCTTGAATGTTTTATGCTTAAATTTGAATTTTTCATTAAAAAATATTTCACTGTTTCAAAATTTCTCTAATTTAATTTTTGAATTTTTTCGAGTGGTCGCGTCTTCAAATAATTTTATGTACTAAAGATCCATTTATTTTTGCAGTCAAAAATATTTTTATGAAATTTCACTGTTTCAAATTTTGATTAATTGAAATTATGCCTTTTTGAATCAGTCGATTTTAAATTCTTGTTTGGAAATTTGAAAATTAATTCGCTAAATTCCACATTTTCACTCAAAAAAATTTCACTGTTTCAAAATTTCTCTAATTTAATTTATGGATTTTTTGAGTGATCGTGTCTTCAAATAATTTCACTAAACATCCATTTATTTTTTCAGTCAAAAAATTTCCATAAAATTTCACTGTTTCAAATTTTGATTAATTGAATTTGTGCGATTTTCGAATTGCTTAATATTTTTGAATTTTTTCTGCTGAAATTTGAATTTTTCACTCAAAAATAATTTCACTGTTTCATAATTATTATTGAATTTTTTGGATTTTTCAGTGATCTGATTGTTCGATACATTTGAAAAAAATCATTAAAATTTCACTGTTTCAAATTTTTGTTCAATTGAAATTATGCTTTTTTGAATCAGTCGATTTTGAATTCTTGTTTGGAAACTTGAAAATTTGTTCGGGAACTCCACATTTTCACTGAAAAAATTTCACTGTTTCAAAATTTCTCTAATTCATTTTATGGGTTTTTTTGAGTGATCGCGTCTTCGAATAATTTCACTGAAAATCCATTTATTTTTGCAGTCAAAAATATTTCCATAAAATTTCACTGTTTCAAATTTTGATTAATTGAATTCGTGCCATTTTCGAATTGCTTAATATTTTTGAATTATTTCTGCTGAAATTTGAATTTTTCACACAAAAAATTTCACTGTTTCAAAATTATTATTGCATTTTTGGATTTTTGCAGTGATCTGATTGTTTGATACATTTGAAAAAAATCATTAAAAATTCACTGTTCCAAATTTTTCTCAATTGAAATTGCGATTTTTTGAATCAGTCAAGTTTTGAATCGTTATGCGGAAATTTTAAATTTTTTTCGGAAAATCCAGATTTCCACTGAAAAAAATTTCACACTTTTAAAAAATTTTTTGAATTTTTTATGCTGATATTTGAATTTTTCACTCAAAAAATTTTTCACTGTTTCAAATGTTGTTCAATTAAAATTGCGATGTTTTGAATCAGTCAAGTTTTGAATTATTGTACGGAAATTTGGAAAATTGTTCGGGAAATCCACATTTTCACTAAAAAAAATTTCTCTAATTTAATTTTTGCGATTTTTTTCGAGTTATCAATTAAATCTTTAAATATTATGTTTAAAAATCCATTTTTTTCAGTAAAAAATATTTGTACTTATAAAATTTCACTGTTTCAAATTTTGATTAATTGAATTCGTGCCATTTTCGATTTGCTTAATATTTTTGAATTTTTTCTGCTGAAATTTGAATTTTTCACTCAAAAAATTTTCACTGTTTCAAAATTATTATTGAATTTTTGGATTTTTGCAGTGATCTGATTGTTCGATGAATGTGAGAAAAAAAATCATTAAAATTTCACTGTTCCAAATTTTTCTCAATTGAAATTTTGGACTATGTAAAATCAGTAACGTAAAGCATTGTGTGATATAAGAAAAATCTTGAAATTCTTAAATTTTTCTGCTGAAATTTGAAAAAATTGTCATCGAATTCCACATTTTCACTCAAAAAAATTTCACTGTTTCAAAATTTATTCAATTGAAAATTTGGATTTCCTGAGTGATCCAATAATCAGAAAATCGGTTTCCTAGCCGAAAAATTCACCAAACCCCTCTAACAAAATTCCTCTAACTCACTCCCCTCTCAAATCACCCAAACCCTCCAATTTTCCAGGCCACCTTCGACTCCTCAACATGTGGCACCACAAAAGCCTGCTATACACCAAGTGCAGACGCCACAATCGCCTATAAATTAGCGGATAATAATCAAGATCTCGAGCTGGAAATCTCATCGACCCAAGCTTCTGCCAACGGTGTTTACACAGCTGTTGGATTTGGATCGGCTTCTGAAATGGGTCCGGCAAGTGTTGTTGAATGCTCGGCACTTCAAGGCCAAGCCTTGTCGATGAAATTTTCGGCCAACGAAGCGCGAACAAATGTCAGAATTTCTGGAGAAGAAACCATCAGATCTCAATTGATGTCCAATGTCGAAACTTCTTATGTCGATGGTAAAATCTATTGCAAAGCTACGATTAAGGGAGGTGGAAGTTCGGCTAACTCGCAAATCTTCAATTTCCAACCGGACAACAAATATTATCTACTGGTTGCCAAGGGGGCTGCCAGTTCAAGTGGACTCAATTATCATGGACCGAATGATCGATGGATCTCGTCGCAGAGATTGTTGTCGGATACGGGAGCCGGAAATGCAGGAGGAAAGAGCACCACGTTGCTCATTTTGCATGGTGAGTTGGGGAATCTTGGGAGGGGTTTTGAGGGATGAATTTTGACTGAAAATTGTTGATTTTCCTGAAATTCGGAAATTTACGGAAGTATGAAAATTATCTACATCAAAAAATTAATATTCAAAAAATATTTTTCAATATTCTTGAAACAGTGAAATTTTCGTCGAATAAGTGTACCAAAATTAATTTTCAGTCGAAAAAATATCTAAAAATTTTGAAACAGTAAATTTTTTAACTCAGAAAAATCGAGGTTTCAAATTTCTCATCGATTTTTCAAGTTGAATAATCCACGTGGCATAATTTTTGATTTCTGCATCAAATAGATTTTTTTCAAAAATTCTATGAAAAATTCATGAAACAGTGAAATTTTCTTGAACATCATCGTTTGCTTCTACCAAAATTAATTTTTAGTTCAAAAAATATCTGTAAATTTTGAAACAGTAAATTTTTTACCCAGAAAAATTAGGGTTTCAAATTTTTCTTTGATTTTTCAAGCCAATTTATTCACGTGGCATAATTTTTGCTGAAAAATTACCACGTCATAATACAACGGTCAATTCAAAAAAGTTTCTATTTAACAAATATTTTTAAAAATTCTCGAAACAGTGAAATTATTCTGGATTGATCGTATCAAAATTTATTTTTAGGTCAAGAAATATCTGTAAATTTTGAAACAGTGAAATTTTCTGACCTAGAAAAATCGAAGCTCTTCAATTTCTCATCGATTTTTTAGCCCAAATAATCCACCCATCAAACAGTTTTTTTTTCAAAAATTCTATAAAAAATTCATGAAACAGTGAAATTTTCCAGCCGTCTTCATGACTGTCGCCTGGCTTGTAATGGTCCCAATCGCTGTCATATTCGCCCGTGTCCTTCGAGCAAGTTGGCCCAACACAAAACCCGGTGGTCTTCTGATTTGGTTCCAAATTCATCGAGCCGCCAATTTGATTGCCATCGCTTTGATGATTGCCGCTTTTGTGTGTATTTTGATCTACAAGAATTGGAAATTCCCAAGTGAGTTTTGACGAGGCGAAAACCGACAAAAATTGACTGTTTCAAAATTTTGTTTTAAAAAATGCGGGATGATTATTTATAGTATCAAGGTACCGCATTATCCGAAAACTTAAAAATAACTCTGTTTTAAAGCCGTAATTTTCCACGTGGCAAAATCTGAAAATTTTTCAAGAAATATCTGATTATAAAAATTTAGAGAATTTCCCTGAAAAAAAAATAACTGTTTCAAAATTTGTTTTAAAAAAATTGTGTAATGGTTCTCCTATTGGACGCGGTGTTTGTACAACTTGAAAATCCCAAAAATTTTGGCGTTAAAAAATACCTGAAATTTTCTTTGAGAAAATCGCGAATTTCTCTGGAATTTTCGAGTTTTGTCATCAAAATATGGAATTTTCATTACCAAAAATTCACTGTTTCAAAATTTTGTTTAAAAAAATGTAGAATTATTTTCTCTAGTGACCATACCGCTTTGAAAGCTTTCTAAATAATGTATTTTTCTTTCGAAAAAAAACTTATTCAGAGATTTATGTGGAATCTGAGAATTTTCCTGAAAAAATTACTGTTTCAAAAATTGTTTAATGTTTCTCCTATTCTAGATTTTATGGTAGAAGGAAAACTTGAAAATTAAAAAAATTTCTGTAATTTTCAGCCGAAGGTTGGGGCGGAGCTCATGCAATAACCGGAGTCATCGCTCTGGTTTTGGGATGGTTGCAACCGATTATCAGTGTGTTCCGTTGTGGACCTGCCGACAAATTACGCCCGATTTTCAATATTACACATCGTGCGATTGGAGTTGTGGCACTGTGTTTGGCTAGTGAGTTTTTTGGCGAGGTTTTGGGAGGTTTTTTGAACTTTTCATGAAATTTGGGGTCTCGTGGCATGAAAAATTCAAATTTTTTGATTTTCGCGGTATTTTCCCCAGTAATTTTCGCGCCAAATTCAAATTTTCCCTCATTTTGCAGCCACCGCCATCGCCATAGCTGGTTATCATTTTACACCAACTCGAAACGTCGTGCAATTAGTCCTGGCTCTCATCCCAATTACCGTACTCTTTGGTGTCAGCTACTTTTTCCTTGTCTTCAATTCTTGCCTCGAAAAAAGTCAGGAAAATCTGGCGTCCAACTCGACGGCCCCACAAAATCATAGCAATCGACCGAATGTGGTGCGAGTTGAGCCAAGTTCGAAATCTCAAACTGCGACCACGTGGACTTTGAATGGATCTTCGAATAGTGAAGAGGATGCAATTGTGGCAACACCGCAACGCATTGTTTGGGTGAGTGCATTTGGAGCATTTTGATACTGAATTTGGGGGAAAATCTGGGAAATTTGGAAAATTTGAATCAAACCCGTCATTTTGAGCCTGAATTTGACCTGAATCGCAGGATTTTTAGTCGGAAAAAACTTGACTTTTGAAATTTGAAGCATTTTGATACTAAACTTGGTAGTTTTGAGAAATTTCGGATAATCTCGAAAATTCTGAAAATTTGAGCGAAACCCGTCATTTTAAACCTGAATTTGACCTGACTAGATTTTTGACGAGAAAAATTCACTGTTTCAAGATTTTTCTAATAAAAAAATTGAAAAAAAACCATAATTTTTTCTCAAAAATTCACTGTTTCAATATTTTTTAAAATAAAAGTCTAATTTTGCGTTATTCAGTAATCATATTGATCTTGTCACAAACGTATGTTTAGACCAAAATCAAAAAAATTATTATTTTTTCTAAATTTTGAAATTTGGAGCTTGCGGGAGTTTTGAGAAAATTTGGAAAAATCTCGAAAATTTGAGTCAAATCTGTATTTTTAGACCGAAATTTGATTTGATTTTCAGAATTTTAAGATGAAAAACTATTTGAATTCCAGACATTACAGTAGATTTTTGACGAGAAAAATTCACTGTTTCTCAAGTATTTTAAATGAAAAAATTGAAAAAAATCATCATTTTTTCTCAAAAAAATTCACTGTTTCAATATTTTTTTAAAATAAAAGTTGTGGAGATCTTTCAATGTTAATCAATAAATTCGATAATATCTGAAATTTCTGAATTTTCAGCATTGAATTCGAAAAATTACAGTAGATTTTTGGTTAGAAAAATTCATTGTTTCAATATTTTTCAAATAAAAAAAATTCACTGTTTCAATATTTTTTTAATAAAAATTGTGGAATTTTTTCAATATTAGATCAGCAAAATTTAGCTGTAAATAAAATCTGGAATTTCTGAATTTTCAGCCTTGAATTCCAGAAATTACCGTTGATTTTTGACGAGAAAAATTCATTTTTTCAAGATTTTTTGAATAAAAAAATTGAAAAAAAATCATAATTTTTTCCTAAAAATTCACTGTTTCAAGATTTTTCAAATAAAAAAAATTCACTGTTTCAATGGTTTTTTAATAAAAATTGTGGAGTTTTTTTTTCAATGTTTGACCAGCATTAGTGAATGAATTCAATAAAATGAAATATCTGATTTTTCAGCATTGAATTCCAAAAATTACAGTAGATTTTTGGTTAGAAAAATTCACTGTTTCAATATTTTTTGAATAAAAATTCTGGAGATCTTTCCATGTTAGGTCTACTTCAGTGAATTCAATAAAATCTAAATTTTCAGCCGCACCGTTTCCGCGAATTCATTGTCTACGCAGCCGTTTTGGTATTCATCGCAATCGGCGCAATTCTCTCAACATTTTTCGCAAATGCCTTCTAATTGTGAATATTTCTCTTTTTTTTCTCGTTCATTTTCCCGGTTATTTCATTTTTTGCACACGGTTATACGGTATTTTTCACTTTTTTTATTATTTGTATATAATCCTTATAGCTTTAATTAAATAATTTTTATTAATTAATTGAATTAGTCGGAAAAATCTGGAGTTGCGCGACCTGAGGCAAATGAGAATTCATTGATTTTTCGTGAACTTATGATTAATATGAGCAATGCGGTGAGATTTGTGAGAATTGTGAAGACGAGAATTGGAGCCAAATCGTCAATGGTGTAGTATTTTTTGCAAATTGACGAGTTTGCGGTGGAAAATAATTGGTGGATTGTTGAGCAGGGAAGATTTGAGGAATCGATTGTTGTCTGGAAAATGGGATTGCTAAGTTTTTTGATCGAAAAATGACCCGTGGCAAAATTAGGAAGGCTTCCTAATTTTACCATGGATGAAGTCATCGATCAATTTTTCGAAAAAAAAACTTATTTTTTTATTTTTTTCGTATTGATTGTACTTAGAAGATGTTAAGAATAAGAATTACAATCAAATTTATAGAAAATTTCGAGTTTTTTGATCGAAAAATGACCCGTGGCAAAATTAGGAAGGCTTCCTAATTTTGCCATGGATGACGTCATCAATCAATTTTTCGAAAAAAAACTTATTTTTTTATTTTTTTCGTATTGATTGTACTTGGAAGATGTTTAGAATAAGAATAACAATCAAATTTATAGAAAATTTCAAGTTTTTTGATCGAAAAATGACCCGTGGCAAAATTAGGAAGGCTTCCTAATTTTGCCATGGATGACGTCATCAGACCTGGGAATTTTTTACGAGGCACCGTAAAACGTAAAACATACTTTTTACGGTTTTGAAAAACCGTAAAATTACGAGAAAAACGTAAAATTTTGTTACTCAATCTTTTCACTGAAAAACAGAAAAAATTTCTTCAGAAATAGCGAGTTGGTAACTTATCTTAACTCCAACACATTTTTAACAATATTATTCTTCATATTCGTCAAAAAATTAATCAGTTAGGATTAAATCAAAATTTTCTTTGAAAAATGTTGTGTTTTTTTTTAAAGTTTCTATTTGATTCTGTCAAAATTCACTATAATTAAACTATATTTAGTGATTTTTTTAAACGAATTATTTTACGATTTTTTGAGCGGTAAAACCGTAAAATGGATTTTACGGTGAAATCCCGTAAAAACCGTAAAACGAAAAAAACGTAAACGTAAAAATTCCCAGGTCTGGACGTCATCAATCAATTTTTCGAAAAAAAACTTATTTTTTTATTTTTTTCGTATTGATTGTACTCGGGACTGCGGTCGCTGTCTGGTCGCACTTATGCGACGAGGTTTTTCCGTGGCGCATAAATGCGACGCGTTGTCGCACTTATGCGACCATGTCGCAACTTATGCGACCAATTTTTTTCGTCGCACAGATGTTTTTTTTTCGCGACATTTGTCGCACTCTCATCTCACATTTGCGACACTCGGTCGCATTTTGAAAACAGCGTTGCGGCAGCAGTCGCAACTTTTCAAACTGAGTTGCGACGGGCTGGTCGCATATGTGCGACAACGTGTCGCATATATGCGACAACGGTCGCATATTCAGCGACCCCAGTCCCGAGTACTTGGAAGATGTTTAGAATAAGAATAACAATCAAATTTATAGAAAATTTCAAGTTTTTTGATCGAAAAATGACCCGTGGCAAAATTAGGAAGGCTTCCTAATTTTGCCATGGATGACGTCATCGATCAATTTTTCGAAAAAAAAACTTATTTTTTTCGTATTGATTGTACTTAGAAGATGTTTAGAATAAGAATTACAATCAGATTTATTGAAAATTTCAAGTTTTTTTGAATTTCGACATGCTTTTTGAGCAAAATTTTCAGATTTTTTTTCAAATTTTGAATTTAAAAAACCCTCACCAACAAATGTTTCGCCTCCTCCAAAACCCGAATCGCAATTTCCTCATAACTATCATCAACATATGCATTAATCGCCTTTTTGATATCTAAAGTTGAATTCTCATAATATTCAAATTCCAAATCGACCCCTTCAACAATTGCCTCAAAAACTTCCGAAATTTTCTGCCAATTCAACAGTTCATCTTTTTTGAAACAATCTGTTGAATTTCTCAAATTGCTCATATTATCCAGCAAATTGGTGAAATTCAAATCAGCAACCTTCAATTTTGGTTGGATTTTCTGCCATAAACCAATCTCAAATTCAGCAATCCCGAATTTTCGGCTAACAAATCGCAAATTGATATGATTAGCATCGGTATAATTAACAGCTTCAAAAATACGTTCCTCAGATTCAGATTTCTGACAAATTCCCGAAATCTCCTGTTTCTCATGATATTTTGCGATCATTTCGATGACATTAAACTTAATCTCACAATCCATTTTCATACTCAAAATAATCCAGAAAATTGCAAAGATAATTATAGTGACGGCTAGAATGTATTTAAGGACTTTCACGATTTTCAGACAAATTTCAGATTTGAAAATCAGCGAGAAAAGGGCAAATGTCGAGATGGAGATGGCTAGGATGTTTTGAGCGTAGATTGAGAAATCGGCGAGGTTTTTGGTGGTTTTTGAGGTTTCCACTTGAACATTTCGCGCGCTTTCCATTTTTTCGATATCGATTTTGGCCGGGTGGAAATATTCAAGAGATTTCTGCAAAAATACATGCTTTTATATATGTTTTTGCCAAATTTTCCCCACACAAACCTTCATAATCCCCACAGGATTATCAATAACATCTCCACTAATATCAATATTATTCATCGTTTCCACAATTCCCTCAACGTCTTCTTTGATCTTTACATCATCATTTTCAACGCCGACAAATGTTGCATTTTGTTTCAAACGAATATCCCGCAAAATTCCAATTTCTTTCTTGATTTCCACTAACTTTGTGGTGTTTTTACAATCATTTGACATAGTTCCAGTATTTGCAGTTTCATGGGCTGCATCGATTTTGACCAGTAAATCATCAACGTCGTCGGTTGTCTGAAAACCGAAAAGTAACAGGGAAATGCAGCAAATTCGCCCCACTGCACACGCCTTTTTCTCTGCGCGCTCTTCACTTCACACACTGTTTTGCGATGATTTCGAATTTTTGTGCAGTTTTTTTGTTTTTTTTTCGTTGTGGTTTTTTTTTTGCGAATTTCGCTGAACTTACCGATTTTAGCGCACTGAAATCAGTTCGGTTGTCAATAATATCTAGAATTTCTGCTGATACCATTGAAACATTGATTTTATGAGCAATTTTCAAGTTGGTCGTTGAAATCCCATTCAATTTTTCATGCGAATCTTTCAAATAATTTTCAGTTTTTTGCATTGTCTCTGACAATTTCTCAATTTCCATCGCATCTTTTTGCGATTTAATTATCGAAAACAATATGATAGCACAAAGTAGGGCAATTATAGTGAGACCAGTGGCGAATTTGAGAAAAAGTGCGAGTTGTTTGGATGGTCCCCAGTGTTTTGCGATGAAATGATTGAGAATCAAAGCGAATAGTGTTAAGATTATCGAAATTCCGAATATAATCGATAAATATAGCATTTTCTAGGGGTATTATCGATAAAAATGAGCGATTTTTGCCCGGTTTTTCGTTTTTTTTTCTCCCGGAAAAAAAACTGGGTCACGTTTTTCAAATTTCCAAGAAAAAAATCAAAAATTTTATTTGATAAGTTCTGCTGTTCTCAATGATCTTTCCGAAAAATCGTCATTCATTTTTCCCGAGCTACTAACAATTAATATGAGCAATGCTGCCAGATTTGTGAGAATTGTTAGAATTAGGACTGGCGTGATGTCTTCGATGGTGTAGTATTTTTGGCAGATGGAGGAGTTTGCGGTTGAGAATATTTTGTGGATTTTTGAGCAGGGAAGGTTGGAGGAATCGATTATTGTCTGGAAATTGGATTGCTCATGTTAGGAAATTTCTAGTGGGGAACTTCTAGAGCTCACCAGCAATCTATTGATTTCTTTCGAAACATCTCGCACAAGATTGCTATAAGTTTTATTGATAAATTGCATCACCTCATTTTCTAGTTCCACTATTTTCAGTCCCATTTCTTTCTCCACAGATCTTTCAATATCTTCCAGTTCCACCAATATATCTTCCCATATTTTCAATTCGCTAGAATCCGCCAAAAAACAATTTCGAATCGGCGCGTCTTTTAATTTCCCGACGACATCAATCAAATCGGTGAAATTTATATTTTTAATCTCGATTTTTGGAGCAATCACCCTCCATAATTCTTCTTGAATCGCAAAAATCTCAAATTTTTGAGCAATTATCTCATCATCAACTTTCTTTGTATAATTAACACCATCGAAGATGCGATTTTCAGAAAATTTACAAATTTTTTCTTGGCCTTGCTCTGATTGTGAGTGATACTTTTGAATCATCTCAACAAAATCAAACTTCACTTCACAATTCATTTTCATTTTCATTGTCAAAACAACCCATAAAATTGCAAATATAATCATAGAAACCGCCAGAAAATATTTGCTGATTCTGATTGTCAGACAAATTTCACATTGGAAAAGTGCAAAGCATAAGATCAGAATTACAAAGAAGTTTTGGGCGTAGATTGAAATTTCGGCGATAGTTTTCGACGATTTCTCAAAATCAGCTTGATCTCTTTCAGTTTCCATTTTTGCAACATCGATTTTGTCAACTTGAAAGTATTCGAGAGATTTCTGCAAAATATTTTTATATTTTAGACTGCTAGATTCGCGCAAATATCCACTAACCTTCATATTTCTGACCGGCTTTTCAATAAATGCTTCACTGAAATCCACAACACTCCATTTTTCAACTTCTTCTTTTTCGAAACTAACTTCTTCTTGCAATTTTCTGACTTTTTCTTTTATCCCAAGTGCTCTAGCCTTATCCTTACAATCTTCGACCATATTTCCAGTAAGCACAAGTTCAAAATTTTCATTGATTTTTGAGAGTAAAACATCAACTTTTTCGCTTACCTGAAAAGGAAAAATAAATTGGAAATGCAGCAAAATCGCCCCACTGCACACCTCGTTTTCTCTGCGCGCTCTTCAGTACACACACTGTTTCGCGATGATTTCGAATTTTTGAGCTGTTTTTTTTTGTTTTTTACACCCTGTGAGCATTTTTTAGGCGAATTTCGCAGAACTTACCGATTTGTGCTCTCTGAAATCAGTCCGGTTCTCAATAATATCTAGAATTTCCGCCGAAACCATTGAAACATTGATTTTTTGTGCAATTTTCAAGTTGGCCGTTGAAATTCCATTCAATTTTTCATGCGAATCTTTCAAATAATTTTCAGTTTTCTGCATTGTCTCTGACAATTTCTCAATTTCCATCGCATCTTTTTGCGATTTAATTATCGAAAACAATATGATAGCACAAAGTAGGGCAATTATAGTGAGACCAGTGGCGAATTTCAGAAAAAGAGCGAGTTGTTTGGATGGTCCCCAGTGCTTTGCGATGAAATGGTTGAGAATCAAAGCGAATAGTGTTAAGATTATCGATATAATCAATAAATATAGTAGCATTTTCTAGGGATGAAATCGATAAAAATGAGCGAATACTTTTTGTTTTTTGTTAGGCCACGTTGGAAAGCGCGAAAAAATTTTAATTCAAATTTTTTAAAAGCTCCCGCCAAAATTCAGCGGGTATTCTCGAGCAATAATAGATGTTTCGCAAAATGTTTCATCTGACCTATTATTAACTCTCGAAGACCGTCTGAAAATTTCGGAAAAATCGATAAACTTACCCTTTTCGACTATATAGTGAATATTTTAATAGCTAGAATAAAATCAGATAAAAAAATTGAAGTCGTAAAAAAAAATTTATTTTTATGATGACACAACTTTTAATGAGCCGGAGAAATTCGATAATTTTTTTTCGAATTTTTTTGTGAGCAAAAAATTCTCAAATCACTGTGCACTTTTAGAATTTCGAAGAAAAAAACATAGATGAAATCATTCTTTTTCTCGAAATGTCAAAAAATCCCAGTTGGGAGAAAAAAGAAAATAATTTTTTGATCAAAAATTTGGCGGGAAAATTTGAAATTCAAAATTTTATGGGCCTATGCAAAATAATATTTTTTTAAATAAAAAAACATAGTTTTCCTATGCAGAAAAACGTCGAAAAATCAAAATATACAGTTTATTATTTTTGAGTAGAGACAATTTGAAATTGAGAGAGTACAGACAGTTTTTTGTATTTTTTGTGCGAAAAATCAATCTGTCTGTCTGCACTCTTTCAATTTCACATTGTCTCTACTCAAAAATAATAAACTATATTTAGTTTTTTCGACGTTTTTCTGCATAGGAAAAATATGTTTTTTCAAGTTACAAAATATTATTCTGCTAGGTCCATCAAAAAAAAATTTAAAAATTCAAATTTTTCAAAAAACCCCGCCAAAAAACACGACACGAGTAATGAAGTGTATAATAAGAGAGAGAGGCACAAAAAAAGGCACTGGGGGCCCGAAAATGACAATTTCATTAAACTTGTTGTGAAGCTGCTGGAGGCTCCGCCCATTTTTCTGTGCTGCTCTTTTCCAGCCATTGTAATTAGTGAGAGACGTAGAGAAAAAAGGCGACGGGGGGACCACTATCAAAATGTTAATTCTTTTAATTTCGACGGGGGGAAATTGGCTTTTTTATTTTGTGCATGTGGAATTGAAAATGAAGAGAGCAGCACAAAGTCGCGCTGCTCTTTTTTTTAGATATACAAATACATATTATTTTCGGGCATTTTTGTTTTGTGTGGTGGAATTGGAATTGAAATTGAGATGGATGGGTTAATTAGTGAAATGAAATGAAATGGAATGAATAGATAGATAGAAAGATGGCTCGCGGAGCACAGCAGCTAAAAATGAGAGAGGAAAAATTGGAGACGAATTATTTTTTGCTGTATTTTGAGAAAATTCCACGTCACAGAATTTGGGTCTTGACGCGAAACTAGAATTCCCCGTTTTTCTCGAAATTTGAATTTTTCAAATTAATTTCCTGGCATTTTTTTTCGAAAACCAGAAAATTAAAATTTGAATTGATTTATTTTCGCGCCGAAATTAAAAGCCATAAATTGTTTTGAAGAAGGAAATGAAATTTTTGGTTTTGGCAAGAAAATTTACATTGTCAGGGAGGCTAGTAGGCCATCAAAACTCGGCCAAGAGGCTTTCGGGTTTCTAGGTCATCAAAAATCGGCCAGGAAGCTTTTCTCGGGTTTCTAGGCCACTGAAACTCGGCCAGGAGGGTTTTTCGGGTTTCTCGGCCACCGAAACTCGGCCAGGGTGGTTTTTTCGGGATTCTAGGCCACGAAGACTTGAGAAGGAGGATTTTTCGGGTTTCTAGGCCATCAAAACTCGGCTACGATGATTTTCCGGCTCAAAAACTCTTTTCCAACTTTTCCCATACAAACAATTAGTCGAAAACTGCTCTCTCTCTTCAGAATTTTTGATGAAGTTGGAATGTCATTTTCAGCTGCTTAATTGCAAGTAGCCCACCACCAAAAAAAAGAAGCGAGAGCCCCTTGAGAAATTTAAATTCAAATTTTTTTGTTGGAGCTCTCAAAAAAGGCAAATGAGATGAATGAGAAGAGCAAATATTTGTCTTGAAAGAAATTTTTCATTAAAAAACACTATATGTATTTGATTAATCAATTAATTAAAACGCATATGGGGTTTTTGACGAAAAGAAGAAAATGAAATGAAACGAAATGAGAAAGAAAAGCTATATTTTGGCGGGAAAAAAAGGAAAAAGAATAATCAATTTAAAGGGAGGACCCTTCTCAATATTATTATATTATTTTCATATAAGAAACAAATAGAATTTGACTATTTTAGAGTGGAAAATGGGATTTCTAGAGCAAAAATTAAAAAAAAAAAATGCAAAAATAAAACGAAACAACGATACTCCGCATGGACGCTGCACTTTTCTCTTTTTTTCACCTGTTTCATAGCTTTTTGATTGAAGTGAAATTTTGCAAGAAAACCGATGATCACAGATGTTCCAAAGAGTACAACAGCTTCAATCGATAATTTTTCTAACTTGTTTTGTTAGAACAATAATTATACCCTAGATTTTTCAACAAAGCTAAGTAAAAAAATTGAGAATTCTTCTGACTTTGATAATAATGAAGACTTATGACGGCTCGAGTCCGCTATTCGCTTTGATTAAACAATTTAAAATACCGTCTACAATTGTTTCAACATACTGTCCTTCTTATAAAATCTGCGATGAACAATCTTATCAAACCGATTTCTCACAATTCAACTATATCGCACCACTTTTGATAATTATTTTTGATTTTATAATTCAATTCTACAATGTGATCTTTATAATCCGTGGAAAATATCTGAAAAAAGGTCCGTTTTTTGCGATGCTTTTGATCATGTCGATATCAATTCTAATTCGAAGTTTAATCGTGTTTCCAAGTTATATATATTTTTCATTCAATATACGATACAACTTGAGTTTAGCTATATACGCCGATTTTTTTTCAAGTTTTTTCTCACCAATTTTGATATTTCTAATGTCACTGAATCGATATCTATGTTTTGTTTCAACTTGGTATAATGAGAAGCTTTTTGAGAGGTGAATATCTAGATTTAATTCTTTTAAATCAAATTCATAGCAAACTTCAGGAAGAGGTTCATAATTCCGGTAATTCTCTCCATGATAATTTCTTCAATCGCAACTTATATAAGCATCAAAACTTCACAAATCGAGCGAGATTTCTATAACACAATTGGATTCGTCGATTCGAATCAAAAACTTGGATACAGAGTTCTAATTTCCAGATTATTTTATATTTTTCCATTAGGCTCAACGATAAGCTATATTCTTTTATTCATTTATTTCAAATCGCAATCGATTTCTACACGGAATGTTGAGCAAAAAGTTTATGCACATTTATTGGTTACAGCCATTTTCTACGGCTTGATGTGTTGTTTTTCCGAAGCATTTGTGTTTTTAGATGGTGTGATAGACAATTCAAGTATTCTATTTCTGGTTTCTTCTCTAAATATTGTGAATTACCTTCCGGAGATTTCCCTACCATTGATGTTTATAATTTCAACTTTGAAGTTTCGAATCGCTCCGAAACTAGAAAAAGAGGGCAGAACTAATACAACCATAATTGTTAATGTCAGATAATTACATAGTGATGTTAGGCTAACTTTTTTTTTCTGATTCAATAAAATTGTTAATAAAACATGTCTGTTTTCCCATACAATATAAATGTTTCCCTATTTTTGATAGAAAAGATGGGTTCTTCGTCAGCCTCACTTTCTTGTGGAGACAATTCCCCGGAATCCGTCGATATTCATGGAATCAACTTTATCGCCCCCATATTCTTCATAATTTTCGATTTCCTTACCCAAATTCTCAATGTGACATTCATAATCAGTGGAAAATATTTGAAAAATGGCCCGTTTTTTGCGATGCTTTTGATTATGTCGATATCTATTCTATTTCGAAGTCTAATCTGTTTTCTAAGCCATATTTGTGCTGTATTCACTGTGAATGCTCTAGAAACCCGTGCAATTTGTCTGAAATATGCGCTACATTCGGATTTCTTTAATAATTATTTCACAGTTGTTATGATATTCTTCATGGCTCTCAATAGACATCTATGTTTCGTTTCGAGTTCCTGGAATAGCAGGATTTTCGAGAGACATAGGTATATATTCCTAGTTATATTCTCTATATTTTTATCGATTTTTGCAATGTTCACCAGTATCGAAACTTCAGAAATCCATAGAATCTTCTACAGATCCGTAGGTTTTGTTGACGTTCGCAAGAAAACTGGCTATAACACAATAATAGCTAGAATATTTTATATTTTTCCAATAGGATCTATAATCTGCTATATTCTATTATTCAAATATCTAAAAGAGCAATCAAAAATGGTACTGATGTCTTCGAAAAATGTTGAGCAAAAGGTTTTCGCTCAACTCTTTGTCACTGTTGTTCTTTACACTTTAATGTTTATATTCTATGAAGCGGTTGTATTTTTGAATGGTATTCTTGAAGATTGGATTGTTGTTAACCTGATATCAGTTGTGAATATTATCAATTACTTGCCAGAAATCTCACTTCCACTGATGCTTATGATTTCAGCTTTGAAATTTATGAAGAAATTTCCGAAGAGCACATCTGTTTCAACTTCAAGTCCATGAAAAGATGACCATAAATATTCTTATTTAAAAAAATGTTCAGCAAAATACCATAGAACCCGTGAATTTTGCAAAAAAAACATATTTTTCACCTAGAAATCAGTCAAAGGTTGTGCTGAATTTGGTCGTTCACTCAAAACCAGCGGAATTTCAGCGTGATTTGTGACTTCTAGCGAATTATAGCGCTGGATTACACCTTTCCGATCTTGGGTTGATGTGAGTTTGAGAGTTCCTTGACGAGTTGAGACGCCGGAGTAGGGGATTCTGGAAATTTGATTGGATTTTTGAATTTTTTTGGTGTTGAAAATTTGGCTGGAAATGTAAAGGGTTTCTACTAAAAACATTTTTTGTTAAAAAAAAATTCACTGTTTCGTGGGATTTTTAATAAAAATTCGTGAATTTAATTGCATTATTTTTTTGAATTGGTAAATTTTCAGAAGTTTTTTAGCTTTAGAAAAAGCTGAAAATTTTATTTTCTATGACTTATTTACAAAAAAAGTTCAGAAAAATTCACTGTTTCATGGGAATTTCATTAAAAATTCGAATTTCTCTGAAATAATTTGTTTCCAACCTGATTTTCAGATGTTTTCCAGCGGAAAAAAAACTGAAAATTATTTTTTCTATGCTTTGAAAAAGTTCAGAAAAAATCTTTTTGTAATTTTCAACGAACATTTATATTATTTCGAAAAAAATGTATATTTTTCAGAAGAAAAATTTCACTGTTTCATGGGATTTTCATTCAAAATTCGAATTTCTTTTTAACTTTGGTTTTGAGAATTTAGTTTGTGAAAAAATTGTTTTAAACCTATTTTTTCCCAAATTTTCAGAAGATTTCCAGCGGAAAAAACTGACAATTATTTTTTTTTGAAATAGTTCAGAAAAAATCAGTTTTTGTAATTTTCAACGAAAATTCATATTATTTCGAAAAAAATGTATATTTTTAAGAAGAAAAATTTCACTGTTTCGTGGGATTTTTAATGAAAATTCGGGAATTTAAATTAATTGCACTGTTTCTTCTTCTAATCTTCTGCAAAAAATAAATTTTCAGTAGTTTTCTAGCTAGAAAACAGCTGAAAATTGTATTTTCTATGACTTATCTACAAAAAAAAGTTCAGAAAAATTCACTGTTTCATGTGATTTTCATTAAAAATTCGAATTTATTTTTAATTTTGGTGTTGATAATATAGTTTTTGAAAAAATCGTTTGCAAGTCAATTTTAAAGAACATATTTTTAACCGAATTTTCAGAAGTTTTCTAGCTAAAAAACTGAATATCATTTTTTTGAAAAAGTTCAGAAAAAATCAGTTTTTGTAATTTTCAACGAAAATTCATATTATTTCGAAAAAAATTTACATTTTTAAGAAGAAAAATTTCATTGTTTCGTGGGATTTTTAATGAAAATTCGGGAATTTAAATTAATTGCACTTTTTCCTCTTCTAATCTTCTGCAAAAAATAAATTTTCAGTAGTTTTATAGCTAAAAAAACATCTGAAAATTTTATTTTCTATGACTTTATTACCAAAAATTGTGAAGTCGAGTTAAAAAAATTCACTGTTTCATGGGATTTTCATTAAAAATTCGAATTTATTTTTAATTTTGGTCTTGAGAATTTGGTTATAAAAAAAATTGTATTTATTCTATTTTCAACCGAATTTTCAGATGTTTTCCAGCGGAAAAAAACTGAAAATTATTTTTTTTTTTTGAAAAAGTTCAGAAAAATCTTTTTGTCGGGAATTTTTAGCTTTGTTACATATTTTTAAGAAGAAAAATTTCACTGTTTCATGAAAAATTCAATCTAAATCTTCAATTCTTCACAACAATAATCAAAAAAAATGAAACAAAACTAACTTGGTCAATGGCAATAATCCAAACAAAGTTTGGCGATATTTCGAGGATGTGAAACAATACACCAAAAATGCCACAAAACAATTGATCAGCGAGAAAACGTCCAAAACATCGGCGAGGTTGGAATAAACATATTGACTGATTTGAGTGGTGTAGATTGCGTTTAGGATTGCTAAGATTCCTGGAAGATGTGGGGATTTTTGGTGGATTTTTAGGAATTTTGGGGCTTCTAGGCTTCTTGGGTTAGCCCCAATCCATACCTTGAGGCAATTCGGTGCACAAAAACACAGTAACCATCAATAGCAGCATATAAGTTGTCAAATCACCGCGTCTCCTGGCTCGTTCCTCTTTTATCAAAATCTTTCGCTTCTCATTATTCTCTCGCAATTTTCCAATCAACGCAATCGTGAATATGAAAAGCAGTGCACACGGAATAACTTTGAGGAAGATTCCAGTCAGCCAAAGATTGCCCTTCATTAGGAAACAATGATTCTTCTTCATCATATCCGAGAATCCGACGCTGTAGAGAAAATAGAAACCGGACAGGTCGACTTCTCGCTGAGTTTCGAGAATTTGGTGAGCGAGAAGGGTAGGGACGCAGAAGATGAAGACGAGAATGGCGATGGTCAGAGCCGAGACTCTGGAAAATACAGAAATTCACAAAAAAAAATTAGCTCTGGGTGGGGCTCGAACTTGGGACCTTGTGCGTGATAGACAAGGATGTTACCAATGGATATTTTGCGCGGGAAAATTTGAAAATTTAGATCAGGGTTTTTGCCACGTGGATTCTCGGTTCATAATTAATTTTTGAAAACGTGGATTTTTTAGCGGGAAAATGTACAAATTTGAATTTTTATCTGAAATTCTGAAGTGCTTGCCACGTGGATTTTGTGGCGGGAAAGTTTGCGTACTCAAATTTTTATTTAAAATTCTAGATTTTTGCCACGTGGATTTTTTTTGCGCGCGAAAATTTACAAATTCGGTTTTTTTTAGACACAAACTACTCTCTAGGCGCTAATCCTTGAGAATTAAACTTTCAAGGCGCGGCTACTTGACAACTAGACTCTCTAGGCGCGGCTCCTTGCCAGTGAGAAACTCTAGGCGCCACTCCTACACAGTAAGGTTTTCTAGGCTTGGCTATTTGAAGCGTCCGCTGTTTCAAAGAACACTTCGCTATTTTTGCAGCAGATAAATTTCCACGATTAAAAATAAATTCATCCAGAAAATTATACGTTTCAAAAATCCCCATAACTCACAGCGCTCTCGAATGATCCAACCACTGCGACGTCGAGATTTTCATAGCCGACAATCGAATAAACGCCATCAGCACCACCAAATACAGGGTGATGGCGTGTAGAGCGATCGATAACATGGCGTGGCATTTCAAAAATAGTGCCCAGATGTAGGAATATCCTTCGAGATTGTGGTAGAATTCATAGCGAAGGATGTAAGTCTGAAAATTGAATGTTTTCAGTTGCGACGCGGTTTGCGTTGCGTTGCGGAACTTACTAAATACGAAGTCATCGTTCCGATATCTGAAATCGCTATACAAACCAAAACTGTGTGAACTGAGGAATGACGCATTCTTGGTCTAGTCAACACCAAAATATGTACACCATTTGCCAGTAAACCGAGAACACATAAAAGAAGTGAAAGCATTGGGTGCACTTTGGAGTAGTAGCTGCAATAGGAAATTTAACAGTGGGTTGAGGGAGGCGCGCGTAGCTCAGTGGTAGCGTTCTGGATTTCTGTGCGTGGGGTCGAGGGTTCGATGCTGGGTGAGCGCTATCTTTTTTTTTGTTTTTTTTTAAATTTAAAAATAAACCTACTATTTGAACTCGAAAAGCCGCTCAATAACCGCATAGGTGATTGGATTACTTGTGTTGAAGATCCGGGAATCATTGCACTCCATGATTTTCTGAAAATCGGGAATTTCAGACAATTTTATCTTTTTTTTTGCTGAAATAATTAGAGAAGCACGTCAAAAACAGCGAAAATCGATGGAGAAAAACACTGTGAATGACACGTGTCAAATGAGAGATTTTTTGGGAGGTGGGGTGGATGATGATGAGAACAAGCTTTGAATTATTTATTTTTGAACCTGAACATCATGGAAAAAAAGTTGGGCGGAGGCGGGGCTCGAACTCGTGACCTTTTGCGTGGTAGACAAGGATGTTACAAATAGACTATGTAAAACGGCTGGCGGGAAACGTGAAAATTCAAATTTTATAGAGAAAAAAACTGTAAGCGTTGGGCGGGGCTCGAACTCGTGACCTTTCGCGTGGTAGACAAAGATGTTACCAATAGGCCACGTGGATAGGCTGGCGGGAAACACAGAAATTCAAATTTTTCGCGCTTTTTTTTTGAAAAATGGGATTTTCCAAGAAAAAAAGAACTTGTCAAACAACAACATCTCATTAAAATCCACATCCTGTCTTTTTAAGCACTTTTTCTGCTTTTTCTTCTAGCAGGAGCAGGAAAAAATTTGCTCAAAACTTCTGAATTTTAATTAAAAATTTTATGAAGTTTTTTTGAGCTTCATTTTTCGGGTGAGCGAAGCAAGCAAGAAAAACAAATGAGCAGCTGAGCCCGCCGAAAGCGGAGTTGAGCTAAGTCAAAAACAAAACAAGACAAAAAAACTCGAAATGAAAATGAAAATTAGGCATTCTTGTGGAAAAGCTGGGCTGAAAATGTCTGAAAATTGGTTCTGAGAAAATGAGCGGAAAATGTCAGATGCAAAAATTGTGGGATTTTTTGTTGAAAATGCGAAAAATTCGAATTTCCCTGTTTTCCGGCAGCCTCTCTTCACGTGGCCTATTGGTAACATCTTTGTCTACTAAGCACAAGGTCACGAGTTCGAGCCCCGCTTGGAGCAAAATTTTTTTTCGGGAAAATTTCACTGTTTCAAAAATTTCATAAGATTTTCTGAGTTGGAAATTTTTCTGATAACAAACAAAAAGCTAGTCGGAAAAATAAGTCTTAAATTTCCACGTGGCAAATAAAAAATCAACAAAAAAGTCCTGCAGGCACCCGGGATCGAACCCTGCTCTCAAAATCAGTAGGCTACTTACTAACCCACTGAGCCATCTCGGAAATTGCGAATTTCTTGTTTTTCACGTCAGAATTTCTCATTTTCGGACCAAAAAACCAACAAAAAAAGAGGAATTTGTCAAAACCGCTGAAGGGAGAAAATAATATATCATTATTATTTTTAGAGAAGAAGAAAACGAAAAAATATAATAAATATATATGAATTTTTTTGGCCCAAAATTAAGAGCAAAACTCAAAATTTTGCTCTGCGGGCACAAAAAAAAATTTTTGGGTGGAAAAAGTGAGTAAACACTTGAAAAAATTGACGAAAAATGTGTGAAATTTCGTGTCTGGTCAAACTTCTTGTTCTCAAAAATAGCACAAATTTTTTTGTTTCGCAAAAAAAAAATTCTGAGGGCGGATGTTTGGAGTTAGAACAAGTTTTCAAAAAAAAAAAGTTGAAAATAAAATTTGAAATTTGAAAAACAACGTCTCATTCGAAATTCAAATGTTTTATTTGATTTTTGGAAAAAAACATTTATTTTTGAAAAAAAATTTGAGCGCTAAAATTAGGTCGAATTTCACAGGTGGAGGGAATTTGGCCAATTTTTGACCAATTTTTGGCCAACTGTTGGTTGGCCAAACTCGTACCAACAAAATTAACTTTCGTTGGCCAATTTTTGGCCAATTTCAAAATTTTTTTTTCTTTCAATTGCAAATCACTATAATTTTTAAACGATGTTCGAACCGATGAAAATTTATTACCAAATCAAAAAAGAACAGTTAGAAGAACTTGATTATTATGGTAGACGCATCTTGTCGACCATCATCCTTGGATTTTCGGGGAAGTTGGGTGTCAGGTTCTGTCTTTTCGGAGACTCTTGTGTCTGGCGAGTAGAAGTTTCTTGGTGTGTACATCTGCCGGTGATTAACTTGAAGCCGTGACCCTTGGTGTCGATAATTCCATCTTGAGAGGAGACGGTGTCGGATAAAGTTTGCTTCTCAAGGTGCTCACGAGTCCAGTCGACCTTTTGGGCGACAGTTTCTCCGTTGATCGAATGAGTCTTCTTTTGACAACGGTTGACGACTTTCATCTGAAAACAAAGAAACATCAAAATCCGACTTTCTCATTTAAGATAACAAACCTAAGTGTGGGCGGGCGATGACACGAATTGATCAGATGTCCTTCTTGGGCTTTTTGAAGTTGAATTCTGAGTTTCTGCCCATCTCCATCTTACCATTTCCTGATGCACCTGGTGAAAACCTTCTTCTTGGAGGAAGCTCTGAAAAGTCATATTATGATTCCAGAACAGTAGCAAATTAAAACGTAGGAGAAATTCAAGAGAAATTAGGTCTAGGGCATTTCAATTTTCAGCTATGATAAGGAATTTTCCATTTAAACTCATGAAAAAATGTTGGTGTAATTGAATAAAACTGAAAATATCCTTATTTTATATCAAACATTGAAAAACTCGAAATTTTTCATTTTTTTGCCTAAAATCATGTTCAATGTGTGAATTTCCAAGTTCTAATGAAATTTGCTGCTTGATCCTGGATGGGGAACATGTTTTGCATATTTCTCGCAGCTTCAAACACTTAATTTTTCAACAAAACGAAGAACACACAAAAAAACGAAAAAAAAAGAAAAAAAAATTTGAGGCGTGCATTTCGTCCGAGAGAAGTACACACACATTTCGCTGCAGGACCATTTTATTTAAATGTCTGCGCCTTTAATTTTTAACCGTTTAAAATCATTTTGGTGGAAAATGGTGTACACCATTCGACGCAGAATTCCGAGCTGAACAAAATGGTTATAAATTCGCCTTGTTTTTCAACCGATTTTCAACTTTTCGGTTTCTAGGGAATTTGACGTTTTAATTTTGATCTTGAGTCAGAAACAATATAGAGTTTGATAGAGTTTTTGATGCCGAGAAAGATGCTGCTGAACAATTCTGATGAAAACCTCGACGTGCTAGGAAATGAGCACGAAATAGAGCACGGGTTTTAAAAACGTTTTTGGAAACCTAAAACTCATGTTAGAATGACTTTTTGAGCACCTCGGAGAGTCGGCTCGAAAAACCGAGAACAGGAATTTTTTCAGAGTGTAAAACAATCAATATGATTGATCCTTCATTCAAAAAGGATTGGGGTTCTTACACACTTCCCCCGTGAATGTAAAACTGAAATGAAATCTTGAAAGACTGTCCGCACTGGTCCATTTTTTGTCTAGAACAACAAAAAACATCAAACATTCGGTATCATCAACGAAAAAATTAAAAAATTTTATGATCAGAATTTTCACCAAATTTTGGCCAACCATCTAGCAGTGTTTGGCCAATTTTTGACCAAATTTTGGCCAAAAATTGGCCAATTTCCGTGATTGGCCAAAAATTGGTCAAAAATTGGCCAACTTCCCTCCACCTGTGTTATTGAAATTGGGGTAATTCAGGTGGAAAAGTGCAATTTTTTTGAGTCAAAAATATATTAACAATTTCACACCGCGTTCCCTAATGCCCGCGTGTACGAGTGGTAGTGCCTTGAGTTTTGCAGCGCGAGGTCGGGGGTTCGACTCCGCCCCGACGGGAAATTTTTTATTTTTTCCCAAAAATGCGCAGCGTCATAGATAAACTCAAAAGATAATCTGAAAATCTGAAAATAGCCGAAAAGAAAGCCGAAAATTCGTTTGTTTTGAATGAAAACATAGCTAATTAGTTAGTTAGAAAAACTGCGCAGAGTCCTCATTTCCAAGACAACACTAACTACAAATATGAATTTTTTAAAGAAAAAAATTATTGAGAAAAAACGATTTTTTGGGGCGAAAAAAGAGATGATAGGGCTAATTTAATTGAAAATAAAATAAAGACATTTTTTCATCATTTTTTTTATTATGGCGAAAAAATGAAATAAAACAATAAGCAGAAGAGAAAAAATTGTAGTTTGAATGTGTGTTTACTTATATGTGAAAACGATGAGTGTGTGGGAAAATTTTGAGAGGAATTTTAAATTGTTTTTTTTTGTTCACAGACAAGGATATGTCGGGAAGCTATGTTCTTTGGTTTTTATTTGCCACGTGGAAAATTCGTAAGTAAAAATTCCAAGTTTAAAAAATTATGAAAATTTTGAAACAGTGAATTTTTCATGAACAAAAAATTTCCACGTGTATAAAAAGAGTGGAATTAGAAAAACCAGGGGTGGGGAAAATGTCATGGCCTCATGTTGTCCTGTCCTTGAATATGGCCTAAACTTGTCCTGGCTCGAACATGGCTTGAACATGTCCTAAAGCCATATGCCCAACCTGTCCTCGCGTGAACAAAAATTAACAGAGAATTTTTTTTTTCCGCATAAAAAAAAAATAAAAATGCGATCTCCTCTTTTTTCGGCGTGTTTTTTCTCGACTAAAAAAAGAACCTGTCCAGGACAGGACAGGTAGCCAGGCTTACACGTGGACCTGTCATGGCTTATGTTCTTACCACCAAAGCCAACATGAGGACAACGTGAGGCCAGTTTCCCCACCCCTGAGAAAAACATACAGCCTCAAAAAATGTATGAAGATTTTGAAACAGTGAATTTTTTGTGAACGAAAATTTCCACCGTCTATTGAAAAGAAAATCAGAAAAAATTCCAGCCTCAAAAATATATCAAAATTTTGAAACAGTGAATTTTTTCATGAACGAAAAATTGTGGATTTTTGCCACGTGGCAATCTAAATAAGGTTAATTTTTGTTTCTAATTGGAAATATATGAAAAATTTGAAACAGTAAATTTTTTGTGAACAAAAAATTTCCACGTGTAGAAAGAACTAGATAAATCAGAAAAACATCCAGCCTCGAAAAATATTTGTAAATTTTGAAACAGTGAATTTTTGTGAACAAAATTTTTTTTTGAATCTTTGCCACGTGGCATTTTGAGCTGATTTATGTTAGTTATCAGAATTTTATTCAGAATTTTCGCGTCAAAATTTCCCCGTGTACAAAAAGGAAGAATCAGAAAGAATTCCAAGTTCAAAAAATTATGAAAATTTTGAAACAGTGAATTTTTTGTGAACGAAAATTTCCACGTCTATTAAAAAGAAAATCAGAAAAAAATCCAGCCTCAAAAATCTATCAAAATTTTGAAACAGTGAATTTTTTCATGAACGAAAAATTGTGGATTTTTGCCACGTGGCACTTGAAGATGTAAATTTAGTTTAGACTTGTTGTCATGGACCAAATTAATCAGAAAAACTTCCAGCCTCAAAAAATATATCAAAATTTCCACGTGTATCAAAAATCTATTATCATTCCGAAAAAAAGAACCTTGGAAGAGAACCGAAATAGCCTAGGAAACCAAGACTACAGTAGACTTCGAAACATTTTGGAGTCTATTTGAAAAATAAAATTTGAAATTTACACGCTGGTTATTTGCCAACCAGTTCGATGTGCATGTGTCACGTCATTTTTAGTCTACTGTACGTGAGCGCCAATTCAAACGGGGGTTCTTTTATTTTCGAATTGACAGTAGAGGAATCAAAAAAAATTCTAAGCTCAAAAAATTATGAAAATTTTGAAACAGTGAATTTTTGTGAACGAAAAATTTTGGATTCTCTGTCACGTGGCATTAGCTAATTCATGTTAGTTATGAAAATTTTGAAACAGTGAATTTTTCGTAAATAAAAAATTTCCACGTGTAAAAAGGAGGAATCAGAAAAAAATGCACACTCAAAAATTGTATGAAATTTTTGAAACAGTGAATTACAAACATTTTTTGGATTTTTGCCACGTGGCATACAAATTTTGCCACGTGGCATACAATCGTAAGTAAGGTAAATTTTTTATTCTAACTGCGAATGCATAACAAAAATAAAAAGCACATCTGAAAATATATGAAAATTTTGAAACAGTGCATTTTTTTGTGAACAAAATTTTTTTTTGGATCTTTGCCACGTGGCATTTTGAGCTGATTTATGTTAGTTATGAGAATTTTATTCAGAATTTTCGCGTCAAAATTTCCCCGTGTACAAAATGGAAGAATCAGAAAAACATCCAGCCTCGATTAATATTTGAAAATTTTGAAACAGTGAATTTTTTGTGAACGAAAATTTTGGATTTTTGCCACGTGGCATTTTTTATTCCAAATTTTCGCGTGAAAAAGTTCTACAGTAATTTTTGAGGCCAAAATGTGTGACTTTTCGAATAAATAAATCATTTTTTGAAAAAAAAACCCGGTGACCCAGAGCAAAATTTTTTGTTGTAAAAATCCGTTAGACCGGAAAAAATTAGTAGTTACTAGCAAAAAAAAATTTCCAAAAAAAAAGTCAGGAAAAAATCCAGCAAGCAGCACTTCAACAAAAAAGTGCCAATTAAAGTTTTTTTGTTGCTCGAAAAAAATGCGGAGCATTTTAGGCAGGCAGGTGAAAAATGAAATTTGTCATGATTTTTTTCAAGGAATTCTGAGAAATGCGAAGATTTTGTTTGGGGGAAATTTGATAGTCCTGGAAAAACAATAGCAATCAACAAAATGCTAATTTTCGCGCCAAAACTTGCCACGTGGCATTTTGAAAGCGCGAAATTCTTAAATTTTGAATTTAAATTTTTTGGAGCCCAAAAATTTTGCTCAAACATTGATTTTCAAAGAAAAAATGATGTAAAAGTATACATTTTTCATCGAAATTTTTTTGAGGCCTGCAAAATGAGCAATTGTCATTTTGCACATTTTTTTTCAAAAATTTTTCTATGCAAAAAATTTATGACACGTGGATTTTTTCGCGCCAAAATCCGAACTTTTGATCTCTCTTTCATAATAATAATATAATGACTTGTCAAAAAAAGGTCCAAGAAAAAAATTTTTCATGACGAGAAAAAATGTCGAATGTCATATGTATAATAATTATTTTCCGCGAGCACGAATTTTTTTTTGCAGAAAAAAAAAACTTTTTCTTGGCTTAGAGCTTAAGAAAAAGGAGGAAATTAAGAGATTTTCAGACATGTTTTTTCGGCTGAAAATCGAAAAGAATAGGAATTGAGATTTGCTCAAAGAAGAAAAAAGGTTGGAAAATAACAAAAAAATAAATCAAATAACAATTGGGAGGAAAAAAGAGGAGACTGATGAAAAGATAAATGATTTTTCGAAATTAGACAACATAAATCAGAGGGTTTTGGAGCGAAAACAGCGAACTTGAGTAAACCATCGCACCCTACCCTACCACGTGTACGCGTAGCTCAGGCGGTTAGCGTCGCTATTTTTCTCGAAGCGCAAGGCCCGGGGTTCGAACCGCACCGCTCGCAAATTTTTTTAAAATTTTTGTAGATCAGTCTCATTTAACGCCAAAACTACGGTAGATCTAAAAATTTTGATAAAGATATTGAATCCAGATTTTTTTAGCGACAAAAATAACATTTTTTGCATGTTTTTTCAAAATTCTCAGAATTTTCTAGCCAAATTTTTTTAATCCCCATTTCAATTCTTGGACTTTTTTCTGATTGTTTCTTTGATCTACGCCCTACAGTAATAAGCTATGACGTGGCGAAAACCCTGAGATCAAAAGATCAAATCCTGTTTTGTTTAGAAGAAAAAAATCCACCTGACAACAAAAAATGCGCAACAATAGAGGAGAAGATTTCTGATCCAATTTTTCCAAAAAAAAAAAAAAAAACACAACACGGTGTAAAATCCGAGAAGGCTCAAAAAAATAAGCTTTGAATAGAGGAGAAATTTGAGAAGCACACACACAAAAAAATGAAAAAGAAAAACGGATTAGTTAAATATTCCTATTCTGTCCAATAGTACCAAGAATACATAGGCTTAGTGTATAATTAGATGCGATTTTTTGCGCCGAAATTGAACAGCTAGCTTAACTTAACCATCGTACCCCAGGTTCCCATATGCGCGCGTAGCTCAGGCGGTTAGCGTCGCTTTTTTTAGCGAAGCGCAGGGCGCGGGTTCGACTCCCACTGCCACCAAGTTTTTTATTTTTTTTTCGTCTTCCGGGGAAATTGATGATTATGGAAAGAAAAACAAAACAAAAATAAATTGTGTTTGTTCTCTTCTTCTATTTTTCAGCCAAGCCCCAAAGGTTTGAAAAAAGAAAAAATAATCTGGGTTATTTTTCAGAGCATGATTTATTCACTTAGAAAAGTAAGACACGCACTTTCAGATGGCTGAAAATATTAGAAAAAATAATATTTTCAGCAACAAAAGAATAATTGACTCTTAAAATAATGGGTGTTTTGTGAGGAAAAAATTGTTGAGTGAATGAGAACTCGGGGCGGACAAAAAACAATGTAAAAATGAAACCCATAAATCTAAAGTGCCCATTTTTCCGCTGTGAGTTTTGAGTTGAAAAGTTTTGAGATTTTTGAGCAAAAAAAAATTCAGGATGAAAAATATCACATTTTTTCGCACACAAAATTCGTCATTTTGCACGAAAATTAAGAAAAACGAGACAAAAGTTCACACTTTTGTTGACACAGGTGTTTAAAATGAAAATGAAAAAAATTGTTCGGAAAAATTATTTTTTTCGAGGCACAGGAGAGGAAATTGAGAAGATTGCAGTGAATTTGACACCTTTTTATGGGAGAAAAAATTTTTTGCAGAATTTTTTTAAATAGAGAATTTGAAGTTGACTTTCCTGCCACATGGAATTTTCAATTTTCAAAAAAAAAAATTAATTTTTGTTCATTAAAATTTAAAAAAAATACTGTTTCAAGAAAATTTGAATTTTTTTTCGGAATTTTCAAAAATTCGATTTCACAGTTGTGTGTGAAGCAATTTTCATGTGGCATAATTTCGGTCCCGAAAAATTCCTGCCACGTGGAATTTTCAATTTTCAAAAAAAAATGAATTTTTCATTTTTAAAAAATTCACTGTTTCAAGAAAATTTTAATTTTTTTCTGTTTTTGGAAAATTCGATTACATTGTTGTGTGTGAAGCTATTTCCACGTGGCATAATTTTAGTGTCAAAAATACCTGCGACGTGGAATTTCAATTTCATCAGCAAGAAAACCAGAAAATATCACAAAATTAGATTTTTTCATCTTAAAATAATTCACTGTTTCAAAAAATCGATAATTTTTTCTCAATTTTTGAAAATTCGATATAATTAGACCACACCTACGCGCGAAAAGAGGAACAAATTGAGATTAATAAGAAATGTTAAGAAGACTATAAAATAAACTATCTGCCTTTTTAATAAAATCCCGGTTGGGTGGTGTCTCGATGGAAGCAGGATTTTTCAATGGGGTCCCCCCTGTTCTCATTTTTCAAATGTCGCAATTTTGGACATTTCCCATTTTTTCCGAAAATCATACCTTCGCGAACGTCCAAAAGGATCCGATCCTGGACCTTCTGAACAAAAAACACGTGATCTAACCACTTGACCATTTCTGACACAAGAAATGACCATTAATTCGCTTAGAAATGCTCGAAGAAAAATTTTTGACGTGAGAAAAAATATTTGTTTTAAAAAAGGAGACTGTTACGCCTGGGAGCTGAAAGCTCCTAGTATTTATGAAAACATGATGAATAGAGAGAGGGAGACGCGTTAGAGTGTTAGAGAAGCAGAGTAGATGAGAGAGTGTGGAAAAAGAAGAGAGGGTTAGAGAAAGAGAGAATAGTCGCAATATTCCACGTGGGAAAATTTTGGAATTTCAAATTTTGAGCTTCAAAAAATTCACTGTTTCAAAATTATTTTAAATATTATTTGTCCCGAGATTCATTTTAAAAAATGACGTTGAAAATCCTAAATTTTCTAGGTAAAAAGGGTTCAAAAGAACAAAGTCCGAATAAATTTCGAAACAAATTGGCAAACTTTTTTTTGTTGCCCCGAAAAAATCCCAATTGCTTTTTTTTCGGCCAAAAAAAAGCCGGAAACGGGATGAAATAAAATTGCTAGAAAAAAATCGCCGTTTTTTTTAATTTGTCGGACGCGTTTGAAAACATCTGAGCCCCCGGCCGGATTTTTTTCGCGCGCGCGAAAAAATCTGAAAAATGACGCAATTTTTGCGCCAAAAATCGCAGTTACAGTACTTTTAATTCAAAATATTTTGGAACGAAGCCATAAATTTTGGAGAAAATAATAAAATTTCTCAATCTCGCTCCATAATAAAATGTGGGATAATGAAAAAAAGGAAATTTGGCCACGTGGATTTTCTGACGCCGAAAAAATTGGGGATTTTTTGGAAAAAATTTTGAAACGTATTTTTTCCGACTTTTTTTGTTGAGAACCAAAAAATGCTCTTTGAGCCAAAAAAAATCGACAATCACAATGAAAAATGACAAGTTTCCTTCCGGTAACCAACTCAAACATTTATGAACAATTTTCAGATTTTCAGCCAAAAACTACAAATTCTGAAATAAAAAATCACCATCTGAACGACAAAATCGGCTTGTAGGCCACACTAATTGCACCGCCTTTCAGAATCCCGCATTTTTCGAGATTTGTTGGGTCGTGAATGTAGGTTCCGGATGGGCTTGAATACGTCATGGGAAGTTGGAGAATGTAGTATCTAGAATTAATTTCAGGTTGGGGTTTTCGGTGCTGAAATTATGCCACATGATTAAATTATTAAATGTGCTCATCAGTTTTCAAAAAAACTTCAAAATTATCAGAAAATTTTGAAACAGTGAAAATTCTGAAAAACTCAAAAAACATCAAATTTTCCACGTGGAAATTCATTAAATGTTCAGTTTTCAGTTTCGAATGAAACGAATTTCTAATCGATTCTCAAAAAAAACCTCAAAATTATCAAAAAATTTTGAAACAGTGAAAATTTTTGAAAATTCAAGAAACTCAATTTTATTATTTTCCAAATAACTTCAAAATTTTTCCAAAAATTTTGAAACAGTGAAAATTCTGAAAACTCAAAAAATATCAAATTTTCCACGTGTAAACTAGAAAAATATTGGATTGGAATACAAAAAAAACAGAATCAGTTTTCAAAAAAAACCTCAAAATTATTAGAAAATTTTGAAACAGTGAGAATTCTGAAAAACTCAAAAAATATCGAATTTTCCACGTGGAAATTCAGAAAAATGTTCAATTTTCAGTTTTGGATTAAAATGATTCCAATTGCCTATCAGTTCTCAAAAATAACTACAAAATTATCAGAAAATTTTGAAACAGTGAAAATTCTGAAAAACTCAAAAAACATCTGAATTTTCCACGTATAAACTAGAAAAATATTAGACTACATTTAAAAAAATGAGATCAGTTCTCGAAAATAACTACAAAATTATCAGAAAATTTTGAAACAGTGAACATTTTTGAAAACTCAATTTTCTACATGTAATGCAGAAAAAACTTGAAAATTTAATTTCGATGCCAAAATAATGCCACGTGGAAATTTAAATCTTACAAAATTCCAATGAAAAAACAATTTTCTAACAAAAATTCCAGATTCAAGAAAAATTTGAAACAGTGAAATATTTTTCCCAAAATTCCCCCCATAAAACACTCACTTCGAATGTGCCAATTCCAGCGGGGCTTGTCCGGTTCGATACTCAGTTCCAGGCTGTCCGGGCACCAAAACCACTGGGTCAATGGTGATTTTGACTGGCGCTTTTGGTGTGACCACGTGGATTTTCATGAGTTGCGCGGATTTTGGTGGCGGTTTTCGGCAGGTGCAAGCGCGGCGGAGCGGAAGATCCGCTGTGAGAATGTCGGAGAGGCTTCCGCGACGCGCAGCTTCGCGGGAAATGTTTGAACCCTGGAAAATGTGAGGAGTGATTTTCTACTAGTAATAAATGACACGGATTAAAATTTTCAAAAATTCGAAAAATATTCACATTTATTTTGAAACAGTGAAAATTCTGATTTTTTCTGATATTTTTTTAAATCAATTTCAATCATTTTCTCCCGACATTTCTTTTCACTAAAAATTCTACACTATCCTCAATTTTTAGCGCTAAAATTTGATAACTTGAATTGCAAAAACAAATGATGATAATTAAAATAATAAAAAATTCGAAAAATATTCACATTTATTTTGAAACAGTGAATATTCTGGGATTTTTCCAGAAGTAATTTTTTAAAATTCAAAATCAACATTTTTTGACCCAAAGTTCAAGTTTGAAAGTTTAAAGTTGAAAGATAAATGTGTTGAAATATTCTGGAAAAATCCCAGAATATTTACTGTTTCAAAATAAATGGGAATATCTTTCGAACTTTTGAAAATTTTAATTTGATCAACTGTGTTACATTTTAAATAAATTCAAGATATTGATTTTCGGTGCCAGAAATCATCCAAAATTAGTTTTTTCTCTCAAAAAATCATTAAAGGAAAATGATTGAAAATGAGTTGAAATTCGAGATTAATAGGTGAAAAACCTAAAATTGCAAATTTTAACCTCACAACATTCAAAATGTTTCACTGTTTCAAAAAAGTTCCAAAATTTCATTCAATTTTTGAAAATTAATAATGTCCTTTTGAGAGAAATATTGCAATAGAAAATCTTCATCTCATTCACAATGTTTCAGTATTATTGGAACAATTAAAAGCGTAACCTCGATAAAATCGATAATTTCTGTTGAAATCTTCGCCTTCACTTTCCAAAACGAATTTGACATCAAAATCTTCAAAACTAACAATGTAATCAATTTTATGTACTCCAAATGCAAGTTTAATCACTGCAGTATCGCCTCTGAGTTCTTTATTTGAATCATAATGATAGTTGATTTCTCGCAAATTTGTGAATTTCAATTTTTCTGCCGTTTTTGATAGAAAATAATACATAAAACCGTGTCGATCCAGAATTTCTGAGTTGCACTGTTGAAATTCGAAATCTGGCCAAATCAGAATCTTCTTCGAATTATAGTTCACATTTATCATTAATCGATACCTTTCTTCTATAATTTCACGGTATTTTGCATCGTTTTGAGTTGTTGTTTCGATTATTGATGAAATTGTCAGAATATGACACGCTATTCTGAACATTTTTGGAAAAAAAATGTAAAATGAACGAATTTTTATCGAAAGTTTCTCAAGAATCATTAATTGCAAGTGATTTCCAGACATTTTTGTTCAAAAAACCAATAATTTTTTTTTCGAAAAGTGTTCAAAGTTGAAAAATTCGAAAATACAACACATTAATCATTTGAAAACTTTTCGAAAAAAAAAAGATTTATTGGTTTTTTGAACAGAAATGTCTGGAAATCATCTGGAATTAATGATTGTTGAGGAAAGAAATCAGAAATCCGTTCATTTTACATTTTTCTATGAAAAATGTTCAAAATAGCATTTCATATTCTGGCAATTTTATCAATAATCGAAACAACAACTCAAAACGATGCAAAATTGGCAAAATACCGTGAATTTATAGAAGAAAGGTATCGATTAATGACTACTGTGAAATATAATTCAAAGAAGATTCTGATTTGGCCAGATTTCGAATTTCAACAATGCAACTCAGAAATTCTGGATCGACACGGATTTATGTATTATTTTCTATCAAACACGTCAGAAAAATTGAAATTCACAAATTTGCGAGAAATCAATTATCATTATGATCCAAATAAAACACACAGAGGTGATAATGCATTGATTCACTTTGTATACGGAGTACACCAAATTGATTACATTGTTAGTTTTGAAGATTTTGATGTCAAATTTGTTTTGGAAAGTGAAGACGAAGATTTCAACAGAAATTATCGATTTTATCGAGGTTACGCTTTTAATTGTTCCAATAATACTGAAACATTGTGAATAAAATGAAGATTTTTAATTGCAAAATTTCTCTCAAAAGGACATTATTAATTTTCAAAAATTTTATGAATATTTGGAACTTTTTTGAAACAGTGAAAAATTTTGAATGTTGTGAGCTTAAAATTTGCAAGTTTAGGTAAATTTTCAATCATTTTCCTTTAATGATTTTTGAGAGAAAAAATTAATTTTGGATAATTTTTGGCACCGAAAATCAATATTCTAAAATATTCAAGAACGTAACATTAGAATATCCAAAAATAGAAAAATATTCAACTTTATTTTGAAACAGTGAAAATTCTGAATGATTTTTGATAATTTTGATCAATTTCAACTCATTTTCCACAATGTTTTCTCTGTGCCAATTTTTTTTACCAAAAACTTTTTGAAAATTTTCCAAGAGTCAATATTTAATGTAGCGTTAATTTATTTTTAGAAACAGTGAATTTTTTTTTGATGATTTTTGAAGGGAAAAGAAGATCGTATTAAAACATCCAAAAATTGAAAAATATTCAACTTTATTTTGAAACAGTGAAAAATTTTGAATGTTGTGAGATTAAAATTTGTAATTTTAGGTCAATTTTCACCTACAAATCTTGAATTTCAGCTTATTTTCCACCAAATTTCCACCCAAAAACCACTCACCCTCGCACAAATAAACGGCTCTCCCTGATGATCAACAAAAAATCGATGACCTCTCGAACACTCATATTCAAATCCCAAAAACAATTTGACTTTCGGCGTTTCCTCTCCATTTTTGGGGGTTTTTGCGGTGAATCTTCGATATGAATCCTCGTTTTTGATTCGCTCCAAATCTCGATTCCAAACATCCAAATCGCAATCCACGAAAACCAGGGCGGGTATCAGATATTCACCGCCAATTTTGAAGTTTGGCTGATTTCTGACGCCGGAATGATGACTGAAAATGGTGGAAAATTTGAGGAATGGTCTAACAATTAATTTTAGGTGACTAGAAATTCAGGATTTTCGATTACAAAATCTTCGGAAATTCTATTGCTTGAAAATTCATCAAAAATAGGAAGACATAGCTTTAAAACGTATTTTTTCAAAGAAAAAAATTCGATAATTTTTTTTCCGAAACAAAAAAACTTTTTCCGAAAACATGCCTTGAAACAGTGAAATTTTAGAAAAAATTTTCAATTTTTCGTTTTGAAATTCAGAATTTCCACGTGGATTTTTTTCGCAAAAATTATGTGGTGCAATTTTTGGAGTCAAAATATGGGCTCAGACTCAGTTAATAATTCGAATCGGACCATCAACCTGGAGATTTTGAAGCTAAACTTTTAGGATTTTCGAAACAGTGATTTTTTTTTCAAATTTCGGTTCAAAAATTCAAAATTTCCACGTCGAATTATTTTATTCAAAGATTCAGAATTTTCCAGCTAAAAATATTTTTTTTTGAATTTTCAACCAAAAATATCGCTTTTCACCACATTTGTGAGAACTATGGGAATTTTCAAGCAAAAATTTCAAAATTTTTTGAAACAGTTAATTTTCCCCCACCAAAAACACCAACTTATACAAACTCGACTCTCCCAAACACGTCAAAATCCACGAAGGAAAAAGTGGCAACAATCCTTGGGAAATCGATAAATTGTTGGGAACTCCATCCAACCATCCAGTTTTTTCCGATTTTCTGAGCAAATTTAGGCGTTTCGCGTAATCGGCGGCAATTTCGCGATTCGTTTTGGTGGAATCTTTGCGGCTTCGGGGACGCGTGTAGAGATCGTCGGATGAGGTGGTGCTTTGGGATCTCTGGAATTGATTTTTGGTTGGATTTTGTGGAGAATTTCAGGAGAATTAAAATGAGACCAACTTTGATGTAATTTGAACAATTTTTGAAACCGTAAAATTTTTAGAGTAAATTTTCAGCTGAAAATTTTATTTCAGATTTTCAGCCAAACGGTATCCGAAGATTACTGTACCTCATTTTTTTTTGTTGTTTCAAGAGCTTCAAAATGAGACCAAATTTAATAAATGTCATGGTTTTGAATGGCATCAAATAAACACTTAACACAAAAATATGTCAAAATTTGTTGAAACAGTAAATTTTTGGAGAAGTTCAGATTGTTAAATCAAAACCAAATTTCGCCAGGAAATTTTTGCAAAATTGGTGAAACAGTGAACATTTTCAAAAATAAATTTTCAGCTCAGAATTTTTCGAATTTTCAGGTTTTCTTTAAAGACCATGACAGAGCATAAAAAACTCTTGAAACTGTCTGTTACAATTATGTGAAACAGTAAAATTTTTGAAATTATTTTTTTCGTAAATCTTCGTTCGTATTATTCAAAAATAGCTCCAGAATTCTATAAAAATTCAATGAAACAGTGAATTTTTTTTTAGAAATTTGCAACTTTTCGGTTAAAATTTCAGAACGAAGGGAATTGAGAGCTTCAAAATGAGATCTAAAAATTCAGATTTTCAGCCGAATTTTCTACAGTATCCAAGGGGTACTGTATCTCTTTTCGTGGATAATTTCCAAGGCTTTAAAATGAGACCAAATTTCAGATAATTTGAACAATTTTTGAATTTTTAGGGCTCCAAAACAATATTCAATTTTTCAGATTTCTAGCCGAATTTTCAACAGTATCCTTTTTTTCAACAGTAACGGTTACTGTAACTCATTTTGTACAGAATTTCCCCCCAAAAACCCCACCTGTTCCAGCGCATAATCCTCATCTTCAGTACTTTCTTCTTCCTCATTTGTTGGTGGCTCATTTATTATCACAGATTGCTCATTTTCAGCATTTTCCGGAGGAGCTGCGGCAGAAGATTGATTTTTGGTGATCAAAGAATTCGATTCGCGATCTCGATCCGCCCAATTGTTCCACTGCAAAAATTCAATTTTTTTAAAATAAAAATATTTCTCAAAAAATTTTGAAACAGTGAAAAAATTCAATATTAAATGTTTCACGTGGAATTTAATTCATCATTTTGCGCTTCAGTGGATTTGAAATGTGAAAAAGAAAATTTGTGAAAATTTTGAAACAGTGAATTTTTTGAAAAATCAAAAAAAAGTTTCTTAAAAATTCACTGTTTCACAGGATTTTCAAAGTTATTTCAAATTTAAACAATTTTGATTAAATTTGAGGAGTTTTCATTAAAACAATACATTTTTTGTTCATAGCAGTTTTTAGGGCTCTAGATGAAAAATTGGGTTTCGAGGCTATTTTTCAAGTCCTAGACCACAAAATGTTGGTTTTCCATGTTCAGGACCAGAAAAATCAGATTTTTCATGAAAATTTGGGTCTCGAGGCGATTTTTCAGGTCCCAAACCCTCAAAAATCCCCACCTCATCCTTCTCTCCATCCTCTTCTTCCGCATAAACATCGAATCGAAACTTCTCCAATCGCTTACAGCACACAAATTCCGGATTATTGTCGAAGAAGTCGAAATTCGCCTCTTTTACACTGAACGGATCGGGTCGGAGAATTTGACGAGTTCCACAAGGACACGTGGAGATCAACGTGTCAAATGAGTCGTGTGGTGTCCAACGATTTTCAGCACACGTTTCATCGCCAAATGTTGGATGCACCTGGAAATTTGGAGAATTTTGAGCCTAAATAAGCCTGGGTCCGGGCTTGAAATTCGGCCTGAAAAAAAATCGGCCCTGAAAAAAAATTCGGCCTGAAAAAATTTAAGAATTTTTCTAGTCCAGGTTTACTGTATAAAATGTCAGATATAACTATCCTGGATTAAAAAACAGAAAAATTCATAAAATATTTTGAAACCTAAATTTTTCGGGACTTTTTTTTTCCAAAAAAAAAACGGTTTCAAAATTTCATGTTGAAAAATTATAAATTCATAAATTTATTGTTATTTGTAAAAAATTTTTACCAAAAAAAAATTACTGTTTCAAAAAATCTTGAGAAAATTCAGGTTATGGGAGCCCAAATGGGCCCCATTTTCCTTGCGTATAAAAAATTAAAATCCAATTTTGAGAATGAATAAGCCTGAGCCTGGGCTTGGCCTGAAATAATTTTTTTTAATTTTTCAAGTGTAGGTTTACTGTAATTAATATCACTAATGAAAAAATAAGAAAAATTCATAAAATATTTTTGAAACCTAAATTTTTCGGGATTTTTTTCCGAAAAAAAATTACTGTTTCAAAATTTCATATTGAAAAATGATGAAATCATAAATTTATTGTTGTTTGCAAAATTTTTCTCAGCAAAAAATTACTGTTTCAAAAAATCTTGAGAAAATTCAGGTTTTAGTGGTTCAAATAGGCCCAATGTTCCTTGGGTACATGAATTCAAATTGAATTTTGAGTCTAAATATGCCTGGGCCCGGGCTTGGGCTTTGTCCTGAAATTAATTTTTACAGAATTTTTTAAGGCTTACAATTAGTTTACTGTAATTAATAGCACATAATAAAAAAATATCCTGGATTAAACAACAGAAAAATTCATAAAATATCTTTGAAACCTAAATTTTTCGGGATTTTTTTCAAAAAAAAAACCGATAAAAATAGGCAATTTTTTTTCTGAAAAAAATTACTGTTTCAAAAAAATTTTTGAGAAAATGCAGGTTTTAGGAGCCAAAATGGGCCCAATTTTCCTTGCGTATAAAAAATTAAAATTCAATTTTGAGTCTAAACAAGCCTGGGTCCGGGCTTCGCCTGAAATAATTTTATTTAATTTTTCAAGTCCAGGTTTGCTGTAATTGATATTACTAACGAAAAAATCCTGGATTAAACAACAGAAAAATACATAAAATATTTTTGAAACCTAAATTTTTCGGGATTTTTTTCCGAAAAAAATCACTGTTTCAAAATTTCATGTTGAAAAATGATAAAATCATAAATTTATTGTGGTTTGTGAAATTTTTCTGAAAAAAATTACTGTTTCAAAAAATCGTGAGAAAATTAAGGTTTTAGGAGACCAAATGGGCCCAATTTTCCTTGGGAACAAAAATTCATATTGAATTTTGAGTCTAAATATGCCTGAGCCCGGGCTTGGGCTTTGTCCTGAAATTAATTTTTTACAGAATTTTTTAAGGCTTACAATTAGTTTACTGTAATTAATAGCACATAATGAAAAAATATCCTGAATTAAACAACAGAAAAATTCATAATATATCTTTGAAACCTAAATTTTTCGGGAATTTTTTTCTGAAAAAAAATACTGTTTCAAAAAATCTCGAGAAAATCGGTTTTCGGGGATTTTTTTCTTTGCGTAGAAAAATTCATTTTCATGAGTTTTTGGGTGCAAAATCTGAATTTTTCGGTAAAAATACCCAAATTTATCATTTTGGGCACAAAATCCGATTTTCTTGGCTAAAAATCACCCACCTTCACCCTACACGTGACACCAGTCAACGAAAAAAGTAATTTCCAGGTAATTGTCCCTGATGATGGTATAAATTACCAAACGTTGGTAAATGAAATAAAAAATTTTTTGAAACAGTGAATTTTTTCTCACAAGTTTTTTGACACGTGTAAATATTAATTTCATAATCGATTTTAATAAAGCAGTTTCACAAAATTTTTTTAAAAATCAAAAAATTCTGAAACAGTGAAATTTTTTCAGAAATTTTTTTTAGTTTCTCCTGACAAGGGAAGTGCATAGGGTTAGGTGTTGAACTTTTGATGAAGCGTTCAAAATAAACCAAATCGACCATGCTGATCACGAATCCGAAATCAAAAATTGCCACAAATGCCTGTGAGCACTTTTCTGGAGCTCCAAAGTTGAAATTGAGTTTTGATTTCAGTCCATTTTCACCATGTTCCTGGGTGGAAAATCAATTTTTATAACTGGAATAAGGTTGTTCTTCACATTCGAAAACCTATCAGCTTTTCAATTTATCAAACAATATGAAAAACCAGGTCAAAACTGTAATTTTCGAAAATGCACGAAAAACTTTAAAAAACGTGTGTATTTACGTGTGATTGTGTGTATTTTCAGGAAATTCTTAAAAGTTGCAGTTTTCAGCTGGTTTTTCATATTTTTCGAAGAACTGAAAAGCGGATATGTTTTCGAATTTGGTGAGCAACCTTATTCATGTTATAAAAATTGATTTTCCACCCAGAGACAAGGTGAAAATGGGCAAAAACCAAAACTCAATTCTAACTTTGGAGCTCCAGAAAAGTGCTCACAGGCATTTGTGGCAATTTTTGACTTCGGATTCGTGATCAGCATGGTCGATTTGGTTTATTTTGAACGTTTCATCAAAAGTTCAACACCTAACCCTATGCACTTCCCTTGTAAAAAATACCAAAAAATCAGAAAATTTGGCATTTTTTGGGCACAAAACCCTAATTCTGGACTAAAAACATCTAAATTTATCATTTTCGGCATGAAATCCTATTTTTCAGGCTAAAAATCACCCACCTTCACCCTACACGTGACACCAGTCAACGAAACTTGTTCACAAGCTCGATCCGATTTCCAAATCTCATCACATTTCCGCTGCAACTCCTCCATCGCCCACTCCAATCGACTTCCGCAAACTTGCCGCAAATACCGCGCCGCTTCGCCGAATCGCAGCTCATGATCCGCACGCGTACGCAATCCGCGTTGCGTCAAATTTCGCTCATAAATCTTGAACGCTTCCGTGAGGTGTAAATTCAACAAATGATTCTCAAAGTTCGCGTAAATCATGTGTTTTTTATCGATTTTTCCAGATGTTCCTTGAAAGACAGTGGAAAAAATCGAATTCAGCGCGTCTATGACATTCTCCAGTTTGGCAACCGCTTTTTCGGATTTGAAATTTTCGTCGAAAAATTTGTGGAGCGATTGATTGCTGGGAAGTTGCGACAACTCGCTGTCGTTTTGTTGGGTGAAGAAATCGAGCATCTCTTCGATGACGTCACGTTTGATGATTTTTGGGTTGATGAGATGGACGAAGGGCAGAGTTTCGTTGAGTTGGAAGAGGGAATCGCTGGAAAATTGGGTTTGGTTTGGAATTAGGAGCATTTTGAGTATAAAAAAAGCCTAGGCTTGGGCTCAGGCTCAAAATTTGAAGAATTTTGAGTCCAAATAATCCTAGGCTTAGGCTTAGGCTCAAAATTTGGAGAATTCGAAGTCCGAATGAGCCTAGGCTTGGGCTTTGGTATGAAATTTAGGCTTAGGCTTAAAATTCGAAGAATTTTGAGTCCAAATAAGCCTAGGCTTGAAATTGGGACCTTTTTGAGCTTAAAATAGGCTTGGGCTCAAAATTTGAGGAATTTTCTTACTGAATTTTCGTGAACCGAAAAATTTATAACTAATTTTTGAAAAAAAAAATGTTTTTTTTGAATTTTTGCGCGAAATTCTGACCCTATGACGTGGATTTTTCGCGATAAATTCTATTCAAGATTTGCCACGCCATAGATCAGTCACCTCCAATCAAACCGCCATAGAAATCCTCAAATGTCTCAAATTTCGCCGAGATGCCACGTAGGACAACGTCAAAACCAGCGGAGTCAAATGTTGTAGAACAACGAATAGATGACTGGTGAAATTCAGATGATTTTTCGCATCAAAAAAATCAATCATAACCAAATCGAAAAGCATTAGCGAATTGATTTGGAAATGATGAAGAGAAATTGGTAGAAATTGATAGACATAATCGATATTTTGATAATTATTATGATTTAGAGTTCGCATAACTAGATAAATATGCAAATATATCAAACTAGATATTATTGAGATAATTAGCAGAACTATAATTTTTGAATAAATCAAAAATGGATATTCTGGACAAAACGGTATATATATTGCGAGCTCGCAGAGCTGCAATTTCAAAAAACTTAAAGTAACCCCGCTTATCCAGATGAGATAAGTTAGAGGAATTCTGCGCAGGAATCTGCGATATTCTGATTGTGAGAAATGTAAAATGAGAAATCTTTCAAGAGCAATTAGAAATGTGAAAATCGATGTTATATAATTGGAAAGTTCTAGAATTATATATTTTTCGAAGAGATTTATATGAATATATAGAAGACTTAGAAAATAATTGTCTAAATAATATATTTTTATAAGAATTTCAAGCAGCGTTGTGAAACAGTTCGAAATTAATAAAATTGAGCAAATAGAAAAGATATGTTGAAACATGTGATCATCATTTTTTCGTGTGGATTTATAGAAAACTAGAAATGTGAATGAGAATAGTGAGATTAGATCGCAAATTGAGCGAGGAATTAGAAGAAAAGAAGAATGTTGGTTCATTTTTTGATCTAATAATATTTGGGGAATTTTGTAGGCAGGTGCAACTTTTTTTACGTCAAAAAAGTTCCTGGTATTTTGAAATTCATAAATAAAAATAGGCCTAAGTTTAGGCTTATTAGGCTTAAAATTCGGATAATTTTGAGTCCAAATAAGAATAGGCTAGGCTCAGGCCTAAAATTTGGAAAATTGTGAGTCCAGATTAGCCTAGGCTCAGGCTAAGGCCAAAAATTTGAAGAATTTTGACTTTAAATGAGCATAGGCTAGGCTTAGGCCTAAAATTCGAAGAATTTTGAGTCCAAATAAGCCTAGGCTCAAGCTCAAGCTTTACATTTGGGCTCAGGCTTGAAATTTAAAGAATTTTTACTTCAAAAAAGCCTAGGCTTGGCCTCAGGCTTCAAATTTGAAGTCCAACCAGACCTAGGCTAGGCTCAGGCCTAAAACTTGAGTCCAGATAAGCCTAGGCTTAGGCTTAGGCCTAAAATGTGGGCTTGTGCCTAAAATTCGGAGAATTTTCAGTCAATATTTGTTTTTTGGTAGCGAAAACCTGGATTACCAAAAAATTGATAAACAATTTTTGAAACCTACATTTTTCTGGAAAAAAATTTCAAACGTGTAATTTTTCGCGCCAAAATTCACCAAAAATACGTCAAAAAACTCACGAATCCGCATTTATCAACTCAAAATACGTCAAAACATCCGACAATTGACAATCGAGCGATTTTTCCAATTTCTCATAAGTCTCGCGTTTTTTATTGCTTCCCAAATCATATCGAATATTATTGCGTTGAAAAGCCACCAATAATCTTGGTATCAAAATCCTTCCCTCTCTTTCAGCATTCGAAATCGATCGATTCGTAAACCACACATTTTTCAGCTCATTTTCAGCCAACATTTTGTCGACTTCTTGCTTTTTGAATGATCTTAGAGTGTTCACTCTTCGTAAAAGTCGAAAAAATTCCAAATCAATTCTGGAAGTCGCCTCGAAAACAATGACAAAATGACATGTGATGAACAAAAAATGCAACATTTTCAGCAATTTCTCCTCGTTTTCTGACATTTTTTGCAAAAATGACCCATTCTCCTCCTTAAACATATTCTTCAGCGTTGCCACGTCATCCAAGCCATTCAAAATGAGAAATAGGATTTGATCCGTCTCCGAAAAATGTATAGAAATCTAAAAAAAACTGTTTTTTTTTCTGTTTGATAGGAAATTTCAAACGAAAACTCACATCCATCAAATTTTCACGAGTTGCTACCGGAAAAACATTTTTATCAATATAATTATTGATTGTTTCGCCTTTTCCATGATCCGGGTAGTCTTTTCCAATCTGAAAATTGAATTTTTTAGCCAATTTAATAAAATCCCCGAATTTTTGGGAAAACTCACGATCCCAACAATTTTCACAGGTTGCGCAAGATTCTCCTGGTGTAGTTGCTTAGCGGCTTTCAGCCACGCGCCAAGATTCGGCGGATTTCGCGTTGAAACCATCGAAAAACACGTGACACGAAAAAAATGAAAATATTTTCCCCACTTGTCCGGGAGAAATACACCAATCTTCGTTGGGGGTGGCAAATGCGCTCCACGGCAAACAACTGCAAAATTTGAATTTTTGAGGAGAAATTTATGCTTTTCAGAGGTTTTCATGAACGCTGAGAACGATAGAAGAAATCGAATGATCTTTGGAAGAAGCTATGAACCCATAACATCACACAAAGAAAGTTTTGGGGGTGACAAAACGCGACAAAATGGAATTGGCCACTTGGGACGCATCAATTTTCACTTACTTCTTTTGTTTTGCATATTTTTTCCCTTTTTTGCGAGCTCTCTCAAAACCGAAAAACGACACTTTCCCAGATTATTCCTCCCCATATTCTTCTCTCTCAAAATCTATGAATTGCTTTATTTCTCTCTTCTTAATTATTATTCAAGAAAAAGACTAGAACCCATTAATCCAGAACAATGAACACCTACCAACCGGTTTTTTCGTATGTATTCATTTGAATATGCAAATAACTAACTACAAATGTGTCTTAATTTTTGTGGTGAAAAAAATGAAAAAATAAAAAATTCTCCCCGGCCGGGAATTGAACCCGGGTCTCGCATGTGACAGACGCGGATACTCACCACTATACTACCGAGGACACGTGAAACCCCACTGAAAACGTCATATTTCCAATCGTTGCCGCCTTGATGACAACCATGTGAGCCTTTCTCTCACCACCCTCCAATTTTCTAGCACTATTTCGCTTTATCCAGGTGGAGCAAGGTCACAGTGCAAATATATACCTTTTATGTCTATGTGTATATGCCACTTTATATTAATTTTTCCCTCACCAAAACCTTATTGAATGTTCTTTTTGATCAATGAAAAGAAAAAAAGTTTCTTTCCCGGCTTGGTTCGATTTTTCACTCATTCATTCATGAATCTAACTGGTTTTTTTTCGTGTGTCGATTCATGTTGGAGTGTCGAATAATTGTCCTCCACACTCGCTGTTTTCTCCTCCACTTCATCGATTTTCTCACCTTTCATAACTTATTTCAACATCGACCGAATAATTGTTGTTATTTATTTGTCATAATAATTCAATAAGATGTGGATAATCGAGATGAGATGTCCATCTTGATTATATTCCAGTCCTCTATGCCTTTTTCTGCTTGGTTTGCGCCGCTTTTTTCTTCTTCACAAAAAAAATTTCCAAAAAAAAAAAAAAAAATTATTTTTTTTCGAAAAATTCAAACAGCGCGTGAGCAGCGCGTGAGCAGCGCGTGAGCAGCGCGACGAGACCCAAGCATAATTTTGTGTGCGCCTTGATACAATACACCGTACTTTATTTTTCGAAATATTTTTTTTATTTCTTCCGTTTCACTGGCTTTTGCCCGTTTTTCGTGATGACACACATAAAAAATAACGATTTTCTCAAATATTTATAACTTTTTCTCTCTTCTCGTCATCCAACAAGATTTGTTTATGAAATTCTAGCCACACCTTTGCCTTTCCCGTTTTTTTGTGAAAATAAACCAAACCAAAAGCTTCGAGGCAAAAAGGTGAATTTTTTGATTTTTCATGAAAATTTAATGAGCTAGCTCCCTTCTGCCTTTTCCCCTTTTTTAGTCAAAAATTTCGAAATTATATTTTTTCTTTGGTGAATGGAAGGAAAATGTGTCACATTTTCAGTTTTATTATCAATCAAAAAAAAATTGTTGACTTTTTCGCAACAAAAAATTTTTCTTTTGAAAGAAAAAGCTGTAAAATTCGCCTCTAAAATTTTTTTTGTAAAAGAAATTGTGGCACTTGAAGAAGGTCAATAAGGGGTACTGTAATTTTTCGCTTCAAGACCCCCAAACTTTTTTCATTTCCCACATTTTCTATCTACCTCATCCTTGATCCACCCACACACAAAAAAACCATCTAATTATTCCTCTTTTTTTCTCTGTCTGTCTGTCTGCACCCTCCAAAATCCCCGCACTCTCTCGCCTAGAAACCTGTACGCGCGTGCCTTTTTACCTTCAATTTAATTTTTTTCTTTTTCCTTCTGTTTTGCTTTGACCTTCGATTTTTCCACATCTTATTTATAAATTTATGTGGAAAAAACGGTTTTTCGACGATTTTTCGACGCATGGAAAAGCCAGAAAATCGATAGATTTTATCTGGAAATTCCCTTTTTTTCTAAATTTTTTTTTGCGGAATTTTTTGGTACCAAAAATGAAAAATTTCCCAATTAATTTTGCATATAAATTGAAAAAAAATTTCCATATTTTTGCCCATTTTTCATTTTTCATTCTTCTTCTTTTATAGTGCTTTATATTTTTTTGGCGCCAACAATTTAAATTTAAAATTTTTTGCAGGGTGGATCGAATCGAATGACAATGGCTGATGTTTACGAATCGCCGGCTAGAGAAGTGAGTTTTTTAGGCGGGATTTCAAAAAAAAAATAAAAATTTGGTTGGCAGCGGGGGTCGAACTCGCGATGCGCGCTTCAAAAATTTTAGCGACGCTAACCGCCTGAGCTACGCGCACACGTGAGAGGATAGGGTGCGATGATTAAGTCACTCATTTTCCAGCTGATTTCTGAAATTTCCAGCTGAAAGTGCACACCTACAGTAATCCCGCCCCCCTCATTGCCTTAAAAATAAATCGAATAACAAATGTGTTTTCTGAGAAAACGAAGAAAACACACAAAAAATCAGCGGTTTTCCCCACTGATTATTAGTTTTTGGTGAAAATAGAAAAAAAAATAATAATATTTACATCATTTTCTATTTGTTTTTGCATTTGATTTTGTGTTTTTTTTTGTTGAATCACACGATTTTGACGCTAAATTTGAACTTTCGCCGTCCAAAAACACTTTTGGGATTTACTTTTTGTTTCGTCGTCATTTTTTCCCAAAAAGACCTCATTTTTCACAAAGTTTGTGACACTTTTTGGTTCTAAAATTGAAATTTTCGAAAATTTTAAAAAAAAAGTCGATAATTTTTCTGATGTTTTTTTGATTGCCACGTCAATCTAAACTGGTATCATCAAAATTTAGTGAATGCAAAATATTTTGTGATATTTTTGAAACAGCGAATTTTTAAAACTCAGTTTATAGAGACTATCAAAATTTTCTCAACCTAAAAATATTATATGAAAATTTTGAAACAGTGAATTTTCTGTCATTTTCTCTTTCTCTAATCCAGGTAAAATATCAATACATTCAAAAATGAGTATTTTGTAACCTGATTCCCCCTTGCCTGCCCAGCAGAAAATCGAAAACAACATTTTATTTTGATGTTGTTTGGATAGGTGGGCTCTTTTTGCTCTTTTTGCTCTTCTTCAGTGAAATGAAGCATGAAAAAACACATATTTTTTGAAACAAACAACTGTTTCGTAGTATTTTCATGTTTGAAGTTTAGAAAATTTCACTGTTTCAAAATTTTCATGAACAAAATTTTGATTTTGGAATTTTATTTTTTTTTCATATACCGTATTAAGCCAGAAATTTCCACTGTTTCAAAAATTCCAGAAATAATTTTTCATTTTTTGAAAAAAGTGGATACCTTCCCTAATTCACCTATGAAAAAGTTCACTGTTTCAAAATTTTCATGAATAATTTTTTTTTGAAAACTCAACATAATTATGAAAAATATTCATCGCTTCATAATTATCAAATCCAAAATCAAAATTTTTGAATTTGAAATAATTCACTGTTTCAAAATTTTGACGAATAATTTTTTAGTTTTGGAATTTTGATCGTTGGATATTTTATAATTTTACAAAATTCACTGTTTCAAACATTTTCATGAACAAAATTTTGATTTTGGAATTTGATATTCTAGCCAACAAACTTCGAAAAAAATTTATAATGCCCTAATTTTTAGCTAGGAAATTTCACTGTTTCAGAAATTCCAGAAACAATTTTTCATTTTTTTAAAAAGTTGATACCTTCCCTAATTCACCTATGAAAAAGTTCACTGTTTCAAAATTTTGACTAATAATTTTTTGCTTCGGAGGATTTTGATACTTGTTCCACACACAAATAAATAAATTACCCCAATTTTAATTTACAATTATTTATTTTTGTTAGGCCAGAAATTTTCACTGTTTCAAAATTTTTCATGAATAATTTTTTTTTTGAAAACTCAACATAATTATGAAAAATATTCATCGCTTCATAATTATCAAATCCAAAATCAAAATTTTTCAATTTTAAATAATTCACTGTTTCAAAATTTCCAAAAGTATAATTTGTTCATTGAAAATCTTCAATATACCGAAACTTTCTGCCAATAATCTAGATTTGTAGCTAGAAAAATTCACTGTTTCAAAAATTCCATAAATAATTTTTCCTTTTTTGAAAAATTTGATTATTTTTTGATTTATCGTTGCAAGAAATTCACTGTTTCAAAATTTTCGTAAAATAAAAATTCGAATATTTTTCATAATGTTGTTGTTCCTCTCTCTTATTTTAATAATTCGCCATTTCAAAATTTTTTTTCTAAATTCTTGGCGAAATTTCACTAATTAACACATGATTCAGAAAAGAAAAAAAAACTTTTTAATTTTCAATTTCAAACCTGTTTCTCCTCCTCAACGGAAAATTTCGTAACCTATTACAACAAAAAATGTATTTACCGCGCGCTGACGCAGAGACGAAGAGACGCAGAGAAAAACACACATTTTCAAAACGCCGTGATAAGAAGACAGTTCTTCTCTCTTTTCAAAATAATTTCAATTGTCCTATTGATTTTTTGAACCAAAAAGAAATTTTTTTTCTGAAATAGAAAAAAAAATGGAGAAAAGTGATGAGGTGAGTTTTTTCTGGTGCCTGAAACCTGTTTTGCTCCCCGTTTTCATTATTTGCTCACTGTTCTCTGCGTCTCTCTAAATTCTATACTCTCTCTTTCGATTCTCGATTTTCGAGTTAGTGCAATTTTCCTGTATTTTATTTTATTTTATTGATTTTTTGTGAAGCGTGAACTATTATTTTTTTTTTTGAAAAATCCAAAAAAAAATAACTGAAAAAAATATTTTTTGAACATTTCTGATAGGAAATGTATTAGGAATTGGTGGGTTTTTTGGGGAAAAAAATTGAAAAAAAAATTTTTTTGGAGGGAAAAGCTGACTCATTGTTTTATTTGTTCAAAGAGTGATGTTTTCGAACTCCTCAAAAATTTCTGAAAGAAAATGTTTCTGATTTATCATTTGGCGAATTTTGAGTCATTTTTGACTGTTTCAAAAGTTTTAAAAATTTTGGAGAAATTCATCAATTTTCCCAATTTCTAAAAATTTTATTAGAAAATTTTGAAACAGTGAATTTTTTTTCTCTAAAAATCTGAAATTAATTTAATTTTCAGAAAATTTGTTCAGAACCAATTTTTTTGGTGGAAAAATAATTCACTGTTTCAGAATTTTCATATGAAATTTCGGGTTTCTAGACAACTTTGATTAATCTACGTAGTAAGATTTTGAAAAAATTTTTAATATAAGGGGTTTCTAGGCCACCAAACCTCGGCCATGATGATTTTCCGGGTTTCTAGGCCACCAAAACTCGATTTTTAGGGTTTCTAGGCCACGAAAACTCGGCCAGGATGATTTTCCGGGTTTCTAAGCCACGAAAACTCGGCCAGTATGATTTTTCGGGTTTCTAGGCCATCAAAACTCGGCCATGATGATTTTGCGGGTTTCTAGGCCATTTAAACTGAATTTTTTGGATTTCTAGGCCGCCAAAACTCGGCCATATCGGTTTTTTTGACTAATTTTAATCTGGATTTCCTTCCCAAACACACAAAAAAATCCCTGAATATCCTAGTTAAACACACACACACACAAAACCGTATATTTTGTCGTCACAAAATAAATAAACAAAAAAAAACACACACATTTCCGGATGGTCTCTATTATTTCGTCACATGCGGCGTTCAAATAGTGTGTTTTTTTGTGTTGTCCGCGCGGCGCCGCGCGGAAAATTCTTTATTTGATCAAAAATCCCCCAAAGCCGCCCATTTTCGGCCATTTGTGTTAGTTGATTTTGCCGCCTGAAAATGCTGAATTTGTACGAGGTATGTTGGAACTTTTTAGAAAATTTAGCCATGGGGAACTCAAAAAATATCAGGTTACACAAAGGGCGAAAGTACGTTTTACGTTTTTTTTGTGTCTGTTACCTGATGACTAAGAATCCACGTCATAGGCCTAGTTTATGTTGTTTCTATGGAAACCTTTCTCCCCTCTCCTCCCCTTTTCATAAAAAAAATTGATTTTTTTGCTCATTTTTTTTATAATAGAGCCCCAGGAGCTCGCAGCTTTTGCTCGAAAATTGAGCAAAATACTGTGTATTCTGAGGAGTATATGAAAAGTTTCAATTTGATTGACGTGAGTTAGCGGCGGGGACGAGTTTTGGTGGCCTAGAAATCCAAAATCCCCTCTGGCCGAGTTTTGGTGGCCTAGAAATGCAATAGTGATTTTTATGAACATTTTGAACCTGAAAATGGTACGGAAAAATTTGTCTTGAAAATCGCGTGGCCGAGTTTTGGTGGCCTATAAATCCAAAATTTGCATTCTGATGGCCTAGAAACCCCACGGTCGAGTTTTCATGGCCTAGAAATCCAAATTTCGACCTCTTCGTCATCAAAAATCTAAGCCTAAGCCCTGAAAATCCTCTTTTCTCCCCGATTTTTGATGAAAAAACAGACAATTAATATTGATCGGATAATCCTGCCTGCCCACAATTTTTTCGATTAAAAATTGGCCAAAAAAGTAGATTCCGATGTTCCAAATATTTGTTCAGCTTTCGATTTTTTTTCTCAGTTGTACTAATTTGATTAGACAAATCTCCCCGGAGGCTAAAATGATAAGAAAATCGAGATTTTTCGGTCATTTTTCCCCAAAAACCACAATTTTTTGTTTCAGGATTCGCCGATGCGATTACAAGGAAGTTCAGCGAGCTCAGCGTCAGTTGCGTCACGACTTTACGGAACGCGTTCGCGTCGCGACAGTTTGGGCGGCAGTTCGAGCGAGTCGGATTTGATTGCGTTCAGCGGCGATTCGGACACGATTAACGAGTTTAGCAGCCAGGTTGGTTAACATGAGCAATGTACTTATTTTCTATTCTGAAAATAATGCAAAATTGTATGGAATCTATAGACTTCCAAGCAAAAAAACATGAAATATTTTTGGAATTTTTTGAAACAGTAGATTTTTTTTAGAAAAAATCTAGCAATTAAATTTTTGCACTAAAATTATATGGGTTACAAAAAATCCAGCAAATTCAATGAAATCATGAAATATTTTTCAAATTTTTGAAACAGTAGATTTTTTTGAAAATTTTTTTTCAAAGTTTAATTTGACAAGTTTTTCAAAGGAAAATTTGTGATGTAGCGCTAAAATTAGTTAACATGAGCAATGTATTTTCTATTCTGAAAATAATGCAAAATTGTATGGCAGTCACAACTGCCCAAGTAAATTAGAAAAAACCAGGAAATATTTTCAAAATTTTTGAAACAGTAGATTTTTTTTGACATTGGAAAAATTCAGAATTAGTATAATATTTGTTTAATATGAGCAAATTTTGTGCTGGAATTTCAGCTTGGCTGATTTTTGGCGCTAAAAATACGTTTTAAAATAACTGAAACTATTTCATGCATCTCGCCCAGCAAATTTTGAAAATTCTAGAAAAAAGTTATGAATATTTTGAAACAGTGAATTTTTTAATCAGGAAAATTAACAGAATTCCATATAATATGAGCAATAGATTTCTCGAACCCTGGCTGAAAATGGTTTCAAAGATGAACAATTTATCAAATTTTGAATAATCATCAAAAATTTGATAGATTTTTTGAAACAGTAAATTTTTTTTTGAAAATCTGAAATTAATTTAATTTTCAGATATTTTTTTTTGTTTAGAACCATTTTTTTGGTAGAAAAATAATTCACTGTTTCAAAATTTTCATATGAAATTTGCATTTTTTTTTAGAATTACTAGTCAGTCAGTTTTGAAATTGATGTATTAATTTCACTGTTTCAGAAAATATTATTGATTTCAAAATGAGCAATGTTACTGTAATTTCTAAATAAACATTGGATCAAACCTCACCCAAGAACCTGGAGTAGTGCGTGAAAAAATGCCCAGCTGGTTTTTTTTTCAAAATTGCCCACCTAGCGCTCGCCATGGCGAGCTTTTTCAAAAAAAAAATTCGTTTTTTTTCAGTAAAAATAGCAAAAGCTTCCTCAAATCCCTCTCCCTCTATGTCCCATCCTAATTTCCCTCGCGCCCCGGGTGGGACTCGAACCCACACCCTCCACGCCACGTGCGTTCAAGAGACGCACGTGTTCACCACTAGACCACCGCCCCTGTTGAGAACGAGGAGGCGAATTTCCAAGACAACAAACACTTCTGTGCCACCTACTTTTCTTTTTATTTCACATTGTGAAAAAAAACTGAATTTCATTTTCAGCTTTTTCAGTATTTAGAGTGAATATTTGCGTGTGGAATTAACTAAGTAGCTTCCTAAGCCTAGTTCCCAGCTACAAATAACAATGGCCAGCTACTTTTTTGTTTATAGGCCGAGAAAACCGATGACCTGATTTCTCTTATAACGTTAGAGCATTTTGGGTGATTTCACACTTCAAACTTTTTGAGCTTTCGGAGTGATTTTGAGCAAAAAGTTTGTTTTGGGACTAACATTATTTTTGCTTGTAGATTCATTTGAGCTTTTCAAAATTTCTGAAAAAATGAATTTGACATGAGTTATCGAAAATGGCCAGTATTTTACTCCAGGTGATAGGTTTGGAAAAAATTGAAAAAGTTTGCAGGTGGGAGAAAAGTGAAACTAGCTGGGAATCGACTTACTTTTTAATATTAAGAAACAAAACATCAAACTTTTCCTAGGAAAAAAGTCAGAAAACCTGAAAAACTGAATTTTTCGTATTTTTTAGATGTTTCCAGCTGGCCACCGGGAAAATAATAGTTGAAATGAATCTAATTTCTGAAAATTTTCAAAGAACATCGTTGGAAGTAACATTTTCTAACCAACAAGAGGAAATTATAGAATTCAGTGAAATTTTTTCGACGAAAAATTCGAAAAAAACCTTCGAAATTTTTAAAAATTTTACCCACCTACAAAAATTTTTTTCAGTTGCCCACCTGGGATTCCAGGTATTGGGTGAGGTTTGCATTGGATTTTGTGCAAAATTTTCAGCTGGGTTTTGGCTCGAAAAATACGTTTTAAAATAATTGAAGTCTTTATCTCCCGTTGAGCGAATTACGAAAATACTTGAAAAAAAGTTATGAACATTTCGAAACAGTGAATTTTTTTATCAAGAAAATTAACAAAATTCCATATAATATGAGCAATAGATTTCTCAAATCCTGGCTGAAAATTGATTTAAAATTAAACCTATCATCAAATTTTCAATAATAATCAAAATTGTTTAGATTTTTTGAAACAGTAATTTTTTTTTAAATTAAAAATGTGTTTTTTTTCGTTCTTGATTTCACTAAAAGTACAATAATGAAAATAACAAAATTTTGAAAAAAAATTGTTTCTTATGAAAAGATTGAAACAGTAAATTTTGCAGATGAATCAATTCTCCACCTTCACAAAACGGCTCTCCGAATTGGAAGAGCGCAACCTGTCAATGGCTGATGAACGTTCAAGAATCAAGACTGAAAATGCAATTCTAAAAGATCGAATACATGTGCTCGAAGAGCAAATATCTGAAAAAGAAGACAGATATAAAGATTTATTGAATGATGAAAAAAGTCGAGGAAGTGATTTGATGACTAGATTAAAAAGAGAAAAAGAATTGGAAGCGGAATCGTGGAATTTGAAATATCAAATGTTGGAAAAAGATGTGCAAAATGCGAAAAAAGATGTTGAGCGAGCAAATGAAGAATCGAAACGGCTTAAAAATGAGCTGGAAAAAACGCTGAATAAATTGGAAGATAGTCAAATGCTTATCGAAGGAATGGAAGAGGAACGGATTGTTCTCGAACGACAATTCAAAAAATATAAAGAGGAAGCTCAACAGGACATTGATTCGTCTAGTGAGATGGTTGAAGTGTTGGCACAACAGACTGAGGAACTTCGGAAGAAGGTTGGTGGACCTGGAGCCAGAAGTGGAAGCGTTGTTGAGCAGATGAGTGATATGGAGGAGGAGATGGCTGCGTTGCGGCAGAAAGTGGATGAGTTGATGAGGGAGAAGGAGGAGATGAATGATCAGTTGTTGGCGACTAGTGTTGAGCATGGAAGGTGAGCTTTTGGGCCTACAGGAAACTTTTTTGGCTTTCCGGAAAGTTCTTAGGCCTTCCGGAAACCTTTTAGGCCTTCCAGAAACCTCTTAGGCTTTCCAGAAACCTTTTCGGCTTCCTGGAAACCTATTAGGCTTTCCTGAAACCTTTTAGGCTTTTCGGAAACTTTTTAGCCTATTCGGAAATCTGTTAGGCCTTTCGGAAACATTTTAGGCTTTCCGAAAAGCCTGAAGTGGCCTTTAGGCTTTCCGGTTTTCAAACAAAAATAATTCAATTTTTTATCAATCGTAAACGGAAGACAATCAAAAAATGTACTGAAAACAAATTTTGTGAAAATTTTGAAACAGTGAATTTTTCCTGCAGTGAAAAATTTGTGGTTAGGGCTTTTTTTGGGCTCTTGAGCTAGATTTCAGGAAATGTATGCTGAAAAATCTTCGCAATATTTTTTTCATTTTTTTTCCACAATTTTGAAACAGTGAATTTTTTAAGGTTGAAAGAATATCAAAATCTAACATTTTTCAACCAAAAAATGCACTGTTTCAAAACTTTTTCATGAAAAATTCAAATTATTCTCAAATATTGCTAATTCTACATATCTTTTTTCAGTCAAAAAAATTTTACTGTTTCAAAAAATCGACAAAAAATAAAATATTAGTTTCAAATTAATTCCTTACCCGAATCATAATGTCCAACCTAAAACTTTCACTGTTTCAAAAAATTATTATGAAATAATCCTAGTTTTATCAGAGTTAATTCGATAAACATTCTTCTTCTTCTATTAAAAAAAACCTAAAATTAATTTCAGGTCAATATAATTTTCAAAATTTGATAAAATTATCATATTTACACTTTTCCCCAGGTCCTAAAATCATAAAATATTTTTTCTGAAAATTTCACTGTTTCAAAAAATAGATAATCAAAATTCGGGCGTTATCAATACATTATTATTTGATTTAGAAAACTATCATATTTGCATTCAAAATGCTCCATTTTTCATGAGCAATTCAATAATCCCAAATTTAATTTAATTTCAGATCTCTTCTCGCCGATGCTCCATCTTTGGCCGACGAATTGGCCGGCGGTGATAGCGGCCAATTGTTGGATGCTCTTCGCGAGCAAGAAATTTGCAATCAAAAATTGCGCGTGTACATTAATGGCATTTTGATGCGTGTCATCGAACGACATCCCGAAATATTGGAAATCGCTGAAGAGGGGGTGAGTTTTGATGGTTTTTAAAGCAAAAAATTTTTATGGAGATTTATAGAAAATCGCTGTATTGAAAGAATAACATTTTCGAAAAAATAAGTGTGAATTTTGAAACAGTGGAACATTTTTTGGAGAAAAATTATTGAAAATTCATAATTATCAATAGAGCGCACTTACTCAAATTTCTATTTTTAGCTTAAAATTGCCACGTGGAAAAAATTTTATGGTGATCAATCAAAGGTGCATAATAAAAGAATAACATTTTCAAAAAAAAATATATGTGAATTTTGAAACAGTGAAAATTTTTTTGGAGAAAATTTTTTAAAAATTCATAATTATCAATAGAGCGCACTTGCTCATTTTAGCTTAAAATTGCCACGTGGAATTTTACCCTCAAATATCCACAAAAAAAATTAAATTTTCGAAAATTTATTAAAAATTCGTAATTATCAATAGAGCGCACTTGCTCAAATTATTGATTTTTCATCCAAAAATTGCCACGTGGAATTTTACCCTCAAATATCCACAAAAAAAAATACATTTTTGAAAAATGTTAAAAATTCATAATTATAAATAGAGCGCACTTGCTCAAATTTCTTCATTTTTCATAATTTTCAAGCCGAAAATCGATAATTTTTGCAGGAATCCAGTGGAAGTTGACGGTGCGCAGGAGGAGAATCTCAAACATCAGAATCGCTCGCAGAAAATCAAGACCAACAACAAGAAGAAAACAACAATTCAAGTCCAACACTTTCAGCTCGAATTTCAGCCTATCTTCCAGCCTCATTTTTGCGATGGGGTGGCTGAAAATTGTCTGAAATCTTGGATTTTCAGCCCCATCTTCTTACAGTATTGATTTTCGTTTTGCCACGTCACGGGTTTTCTGTCCCATAATATGTACAGCGCGATTTTGAGAGATTCTACCCTCCTAAATTAAAATTTTGAATTTTTTTCTTTTTTTTGAAACCAGTGATCTTTTTTGTCTAGATTTTTCACACAAAAATCGGTTTTTTATTCTGAAATACATGTATTTTTTCTTCGTCCTGAATTTATTTTCTGAACTTTCTCGTCCCCCCAAAAAATTTTGTGATATAGCATTTCTTGAAAGAAAAATGATGATTTTATTTATGTTAGTGAGCTTTTTTCCCTTTTTTCTTTTTTTTTGTGAAAAAATGAATGCATTTTTGAGAAGTTTTTGGTGTATTTTTTATGGATGAAACAGAAAAAAAATTTGAAGCGCGTTTTTCAACGAAAAAAACGCAGCGGAAATTCGTGCGCGCGTAGCGAAGTGGTTGCGTTTTTGAGTTGCCACCTGAGCTGTCGCAGGTTCAATCCCAGGTGGAGGCGTTTTGTTTTTCTTGAAAATTAGTTTTTTTTGGTCACCTGAAAAATATATAATTTTTGTTTTGTTTTCTCATTTTGCCTCGGTTTTTTAGAATTATATAGTTGGTTTTGAGGAAAAACACTTTTTTTCTGAGAAAATTTTCACTGTTTCAAAGAATAGTCAAAGTTTTGGGTATTTTTAAAACAAGTGTTATGCAGTTCTGGCATCTAATAATCCACGTGGGAAACTTAGCACAACTTTACCTCTGAAAATTTAAAATTTTATCAACGAAAAAAATTCACTGTTTCAAATATTTGTTAAATTTCCAATGTGTTTTTTGCAAAACTAGTTTCAAAATGATCAAAGCATTTGCAAACAAAAAATTGGAGAAAAATTTTTACCCCAAAAAATCCACGTGGAAAATCTAGCTTCAGCTCTGAAAAGTTTGAATTTGAACTAATTTTCAACCAAAAAAAATTAGAATTGAAATTTTCTTTGAAAAAAAAATTCACTGTTTCAAAAATTTGTGAAATTTTCAATCTGTTTGTGCTGTGTTACATGAATCAAGCTTTTTTTACCACCAAAAATTTAAAAAAAAAATTCACTGTTTCAAAAATTTTTGAAATTTCCAATCTGTCTTTGCTAAACTAGTCCATGACCAACACATTTGCAAACAAAAAAATTCTAAAAAAAAATTTTACTTCAAAAAATCCACGTGGAAAATTTAGCTCCAGCTCTGAAAAGTTTGAATTTGAACTAATTTTCACCCAAAAAAAAATTAGAATTGAAATTTTTGTTCAAAAAAAATTCACTGTTTCAAAAATTTGTGAAATTCTCGATCTGTTTTCCCAAAACTACTTCTGGAAGATTTGGACATTCAAAAAAATTCTGAAATAATTTCGCCTAACTTCAGCTCTGTTTCAAAAAATTCATGAAATTTTGAATTTATTTTTGAAAATATGTTTAGCATCGGAAAATTTTTTCAATGTTTCAGAAAATAAATTTTGAAAAAAAAAATTCTTTTCAAATATTTACACCCCAAAAATTATTTAACCCAAAAAAATTCGGTTTTGATCTACCCGCTCAAAAGTTCCTACAAATTTGTCAAACTCATTCTCGAAAAAAAAAAGAAATTCCTCATTTTCTTCACTTTTTTTCGGTCGTCTTCTTTTTCTTGTTCACATCACCCTAGCAACCATTGTGCACGGTGTTTGGCACCGCGAGCATTAAATTTTCTAGTTTTCTCCTCTGAGTGGTCCCTTGGTTTTTTTTTTGAAAAAAAAATTGTGAAACTTTTTTTCTAGCCTTCTGCAAAAGGAAGTAATTTTCATGATTATTGGGCACTTTTTTCTTGAAACAGTGAAATAATCTTGGATTATTTCAACCACAATACAGCTCACAAGTTTTATTTGTTGATTTTCTGAAACAGTGAAATTTTGAACATTTGAATTCTCATTTTTCTTGATTTTTAGCGCAATTTTTTTAAAATTAAAAATGATGATTTTTAAAACCAAAAACCATTTACTCAGTAATATTTCTAGAACTTTGAAATTTTATTTAAGAATTTTTTGAAACAGTGAATTTTTTTTATTCGCAAAGTTGAAAATTGTAGTTAAAATTGTGTCTCAAACTCCAATTTTATTTGTTTTTTTTATTTTGAAAATTTTTAGTATAAAATTTGTGGCCGTTTTTTTTTGAAACAGTGAATTTTTATTCAATCTTTTCACTGTCTCAAAAATTTCCCTCCGGAAATCCGGTAATTTTTGATTCCAAAAATGTTTTTTCCTCCAATTTCTGAACAAATGTTTCTATAGCTACTGGAAATATGAATAATTGACTCTGAAATTTTTTTTTCAAAAAACCATTTTTTCCAGTTGGTTTTCTAGGCCATCCGTATTTTTTCTCCCAAAAAAGTGCATTTTTCTCAGCTTCTCCCTCAATTTTCTCAGAAAAAAAAATGAAATTGCATGTTTTTCCTTTTTCTCCTCACCTGACCAATTTTACACCTGCAACTATAAAAAAATCTCATTTTTTTGATTACAAATAATTTTCAGACAAAACAGAATGAAAACCTCACGAAAACCGCCACGTCGACCGAGTTCCACGTCACAGAAAAGTGAGTGTGTGGCCTAGAAATTCAACTTGTTGGATTTCTAGGCCACATGAATATTTATTATTTTTTTAGACCAGGAAGTTGCGAAAAAATCGATGGTAGATCAAAATTTGGAGGATGATGAGGCTCCGCCCGATCCGAAAGCTTCGAATTTTGATGTGTGAGTGGTTTTTCGGGATTCTAGGCCACCGAAACTCGGCCAGGGTGATTCTTTGGGGTTCTAGGCCACAAAAACTCGGCGAGCAAAACTTCTTGGGATTTCTAGGCCATTAACATTCGGCGATCGGTTTTCTAGGCCATCAAATATACATTTTTGAATTTCTAGGCCACCAAAACTTGGCCAAGAGCCTGTTTTGGTTATCTAGGCCATGAAAACTCGGCCAGCGGGTTTCTAGGTTATCAAGAATTGTTAATTGGTTTTCTAGGCCACCGAAACTCGGCCAAGAGCCTGTTTTGGTTATCTAGGCCATGAAAACTCGGCCAAGATGATTTCTTGAAATTCTAGGCCATCAAACATTGTTAATTGGTTTCCTAGGCCACCAAAACTCGGCCAGTATAGCTTCCAAAACCCCTAGAAAAAAATCCGGAAAAATTAAAAATTAAAAAAAAAAACGTGAACGTGACCTAGTTTCAACCACATCATTTTTTTCCCACAAAAAATGGGAACCCCAAATCATTTTTCAATTTTTTTAATCATGGAAACTGTCTGGCCGATTTTGGTATGTTTTGGGTTTCTAGGTCATCAAAACTCGGCCACCTCACTAATATTCCGATTTTCAGATCTGTTCATTGTTTGCTGCGCGAAATCGATGATCGAAAATTGATTTTGCTAATCAGCGGACATCCGTCTGCCAGATCTACAGCCCTAATTTTGCAGGCTTTGCGACAGGTTTGCTGAAAATATTTTCAGATGAACAAATTTGAAATTCTGAAATTTTTTTCAGCAAATGTCGGTTGCCACGTTGGACGAATACGTGGCAGATTCGTTGGATTGGCTGATTGAGAATGATGTGTTGATGCTGAAAATGAAGAAGAATGTGAGTTCTGGAACTACAGTAACCTGGATTACTGTAGAGAATTATCTGGAAAAATATGCATTTGATTTATTGTAATTTAAAAATAAGATTTTCTATTAACAAATTTTTGAAACAGTAGATTTTCTGGAACTACAGTAATCTGGATTACTGTAGAAATATTTAAAAAATAATAAAATGGACTAATCATAATTAAATAATGAGATTTTCTATTAAAAAATTTTTGAAACAGTAGATTGATTTTCTGAAGTTACAGTAATCTGGATTACTGTAAAAAAATATTAAAAAATAATAAATTGAACTCATCGTAATTTAAAAATAAGATTTTCTATTAAAAACTTTTTTGAAACAGTAGATTTTTTTTGTGAAAAATTAATTTTCCAGTCAATTTTCTGCCGCGTGCTCCAAGCCGATGGTGTGGATTCCCGTGAACAAATGGCAAGACTGGTGAACACAATGGCCAGTTATCCAGCTGGCCGAAATTATTTTACAGGTAAAAATCATGTTTTTGGCTGAAAATATGGCTGAAAATCGTGAATTTTGGCCAATTTTCACCCAAAAACTCGTTTTTTTTCACAAAAAAATTATTTTCAGCAAATCACAAAATTTTCCTGCCTTGTCTGATTGCGGTTTTGCGAGGGAAACGATTGCCATCAACAACTCACGATCAATTAATTGCCTGCGTTCAGAAATTGAGTATACGGTAGGTTTTTTGCGCTCAAAATATTTAGTTATGACGTGGAAAAAAATTCACTGTTTCAAAATTTGATAAAAAAAATAAAATTCGAACAAATTTTCAATTGCATGTTGATTTCAACATCTCATGAAAATCCACTGTTTCAAAATTTTCGTAATAAAAATAATTTTTGAACTAAATTTGGTAGTCGTTTGTCTTTCCTCGTACAAAAATTAAATAAGAATTTAAATTCAAATTCCAATTTTTCCAGTGCCACGTGTCAGAAAGAGCTCATTCAAAATGGGATGCTCGAATGGGCTGTGAATCATTTGGACCAGAAATTGAACAACTATGCTTTCGAATATCTCGCAGCTATGATTGTCAATTTATCGATTAATGTGAGTTTTTTCTCCAAAAAATTGGGATATAGTAGACGATTTTTTTCCAGCCAATTTCACACTCTTTAATTACTCGCCTCGCTGATTCAATTGCTAATTCAATCGCAAATTTGATTTCCAAAATTACACATGGCGTGAGTTTTTCTTGGGTGGATTTTGATTTTTTTGAAAAAAAAACTTCTCGAAAAAATCAACTGTTTCAAAAATTTCATAAAACTTTTCAAAGTTCTGGGGACAATTTTTTTTTCTTTTGCGAAAAATATGCTGAAAATCATGCGACCTGGCATTTCCAACCAAAATCTCTATCTTGACAAAAAGTATTTATTATAATTTTTAGTTAGGGACTAACCAAAGCAGTATCATTGAAAAAAGTGAAATTTCAAGAAACCTAAATTTTGAAACGTATTTTTCCCAGAAAAAATTCACTGTTTCAAAATTTCAAGAAATTCTGAGTTTTTCTTCGAAAAATGTTCGAAACCCTCTCGAAAATTTTTATAAAACTTTCATAATTTTGCTGGAAATATAGTTATCTCTTTTTTCCGAAAAATATGCTGAAAATCACGTGACCTGCCATTTCCAACCAAAATCTGTAACTCGACAAAAAATATTTTCTATAATTTTTTGATTTCTCGCCGAATTTTAATATGAAAAAAATTGAGTTTTCAAGAAACCCAAATTTTGAAACGTATTTTTTCCAGGAAAAATTCACTGTTTCAAAATTTCATGAAATCCTGAGGGTTTTCATGATATCCGAATTTGACTCGAAAATACTGATCCAAAAAAAGTCACTGTTTCAAAATGTTTTATATAATTTTCAAAATTTTTGAGGAGAATGATTGGTTTTCATCAAGAAGCATTAATTTCGTCTTATGAACACTTGACAAAAAATATTTTAATCACATAAATTTTTGATTTCTTGCGGAATCTAAACTTAATATGAAAAAATGAGTATTCAAGAAACCTAGTATCATTGAAGAAAATTGAAATTTCAAGAAACCTGAATTTTGAAACGTATTTTTTCCTGGGAAATTTGAGTTTAAAAAAACTCACTGTTTCAAAATTTCCCAAAAATTGTAATTTTTTTTTGATGAACTCAATGATAATCCAAAAAAAACAGTGAAAAAATATAAAATTAGATAAAAATCTAATTTTTTCTTTGAAAATTAATCCTTTCTTTTCCGAAAAATCATGCCACGTGGCATTTCCAACCAAAATCTGTAACTCCACAAAAAATATTTTCTATAATTTTTTGATTTCTTGCCGAATCTAAACTTAATATGAAAAAAATGAGTATTGAAGAAACCTGAATTTTGAAACGTATTTTTTCCAGGAAAAAAATCACTGTTTCAAAATTTTGAGAAATTTTCAATTTTTCTTCAGAAAATGTTTGATTTAATGGACCATTTGAATTTTTTCAAGAAAAAATTGACTGTTTCAAAAATTTCATGAAAAATTTAAAGTTGCTGAGGAAATAGTGTGTTTTGTGATTGTATTTGGAAAAAATAATAACAAAATAATTCCACGTGTCAATTTCCAGCCCTCATGCACAATTTACAACAATTTGCTGCTCTCCGCTTTGACGTGTGCTCGAATTCGGCTCCGAGCAAAAGACACCAAATTATTGGAGGCCATCAAAAATCGCTTGGAAACTCGAAAATCTTGTCCACTTTGCAATTTGCATCTACCGTATTTAATTGCGATTATTCAACAAGGTACGGTGGATTTTTGGGGATTGGGGTACTGTAGATTACTGTAGGTGGAATATTGATACTGGTACTGTATGTCAGAAGTTATGTTCGAAAATTCGTTGGGTACTGTAGAATAATCCCTGGATTTTTTCTCTACAGTACCCCAGGGTACTGTAGATTTTCTGGTTGTCTCTTTTTTCTCCTCATTTCATTTTGAAACAAATTTTGATGGTCACAGATGTTTTGAGCAGATGCCAATTTGAAATTGGACAGGTGTTTGAAATTTTGGGGGTACTGTAGGGAATACTGTAGTTGCTGGGGGAAAATGAATGAAAAATAACTTTGAAAAAATACACTGTTTCAAAATTTCTTCTTAATTAATTTTGATAGGTTTTGAAATATTGATAAACTTTTGATTTATGCCCTGAAAAATCAATTATAGCTCGAAACCTTCCTAGAAAATCCTCCAAAATTCTGAAAATTCCTGAAACTTTCGAGAAAGTTCCGCTGAATCAAAAAATTCCGAAAATCCTCTGAATCCTTTAAGTTCATTTAACTACTTCCCAAACTGTAATAAATTTTTGAAAAAAAAATTCACTGTTTCAGAAACATTTGTTTATTTTCTGATGATTTTTTTGTTATTACGCATAGTTGTCTCATTTGGAATAATTCACTGTTTCAGAAAAATTGTTTATAAATTTGATGGGTTTTAAAAATTTGATGAAGCCACGGAGTGCTACAATCTCATTATGTTTTTTCTAAAAAAAAAGTTAAGCTAAGTATAAATGAAACTGTTTTGGTTTAGTTCTTCTCCTTCGCAATTTTTTTGTGTTGGAAAAAAATCGCTGTTTCAAAATTTCATTATAGATTTTGATTGGTTTGAAAATTTGATAAGTATTCTGCTAGATACTAAAACCAGGAAAATTCCGAAATCACACAAACTTAGCCTGAATCCCCTAACCTCCCATTTTCCAAACATTTTCAAATTCACATTTTTTTGGCATTGATTTAAAGCTTCTAGAAAATTCCCAAAACTTTCAAGAAAGTTCCGCAAAATCAAAAAAATTCCGAAAATCCTCTGAATCCTTTGAATTCATCTAACTAAGTACTTCCCAAACTGTAATAAATTTTTGAAAAAAAAATTCACTGTTTCAGAAACATTTGTTTATTTTTTGAAGATTTTTTTGTTATTACGCTGAGTTTGCTCATTTGGAATAATTCACTGTTTCAAAAATTGTTTATAAATTTGATGGATTTTGAAAAAATGATAAAGCCAGTGCTACAATCTCATTATGTTTTTTCTAAAAAAGAAGTTAAGCTAAATATACATGATAATGTTTTGGTTTAGTTCTTCTCCTTCACAATATTTTTTTGTTAGAAAAATTTCACTGTTTCAAAATTTCATGATAGATTTTGAAGGGTTTGAAAATTTGATAAGTATTCTGCTAGATACTAAAACCAGGAAAATTCCGAAATCACACAAACTTAGCCTGAATCCCCTAACCTCCCATTTTCCAAACATTTTCAAATTCACATTTTTTTGGCATTGATTTAAAGCTTCTAGAAAATTCCCAAAACTTTCAAGAAAGTTCCGCAAAATCAAAAAAAAATTCCGAAAATCCTCTGAATCCTTTGAATTCATCTAACTACTTCCCAAACTGTAATAAATTTTTGAAAAAAAAATTCACTGTTTCAGAAACATTTGTTCATTTTCTGAGGATTTTTTTTGTTATTACGCTGTGTTTTTTCATTTGGAATGATTCACTGTTTCAAAAATTGTTTGTAGATTTTTGAAAAATTGATAAACCAATCCACTGATGTTTATTCCAGAAAAAAAGAAGTTAAGCTAAGTAAAAAAATAAAAAACTGTTTTGGTTTAGTTCTTCTCCTTCGCAATTTTTTTGTTGGAAAAATTTCACTGTTTCAAAATTTCATTATAGATTCTAAATTTTGGCCAAAAAACTTCCAATACCATCTGAATCCACTGAATTAAATTTTTTTTAAACTTAATTTTTTTCCAAAAAAAAATCCAGAAAACCCTCGAAATTTAGGATAGATGTTCTAAGCTTCAGAAACTCCCAGACTTCTTCTAACTTCTGATCCTCATTTCTTAAACTCTCCAAAAAAGTTCCACCAACTCCAAAAAGCTTTAAAACATATCTAAGAAGTTCCAGAATCATCTAGATCCCTTGTGAAGTTAGCCTAACTTCCCCCAAACCACTTTTCATTTTCTTCTTCTCCACAAATTCCTCCTCATTCATTTTTTTCTTGCACATATCGGGGTCACTCGGTCACTTTTCCCCATTTCGAAAACACACACACAGCCATTTCTTTTTCCCTTTTTTTTCAAAAAAAAAAAAAAGATCTTCTCTTTTCCCTTTTGTTGACCAGCGAGAGACGGAGAGAGTGCAGAGAAAAAAAGACAGGTGCAAGAGAAAAAATGTGTGTCGCCGCGCCTGGGACGCGGCCCCCTTCCGTTTTTCGAAATGCTGTGGTCGCTTCTGGGAAATGCGACAAAAAAAATTGTGACACGGTGTGTGTGTGTTTTTTGAGTTGAGTTAGGCTAAGTGATATAATTTTGGGGTGTAGAATTGAAAAAAAAAGAAAAAATTTAATGATATGGTATGAGTCAGAAGGAATTTTGATTTTTTGAGAGGAAGTGATGTGGAATGACGAAATTCTGGAGAACAAGACAATTTGAACTGGAAATTTGCAAGATTCTGGAAATTTTCAGCCTTGAAAGTTTTTTGGAAATCCAAAGATCTTTAGACAAAATTCCGAGAAGCCATAATTTCCCCTTGAATTTTTGAAAATTAAAATTTTTCAAATTTTTTTTGAGAATCAAAAATCTATCGGAAGCCACAAAAAATTTAAAAATTATTTGATTTTTTGCAGTTTGGTACTGTAGTCCTATTTTTTGTAGTTCGAGGTACTGTAGTTCCATCTAGGAAAGTCAAGATTTTTCAGTTTGGGGTACTGTAGTTTCATCCAGGAAAGTCAAGCTTTTGCAGTTTGGGGTACTGTAGTCGTATTTTCGCAGTTTGGGGATTTACTGTAGGATTTTTTCAAAATGGTTCTAGAAAATAGATTTTTTCTAGTTCGGAGTACTGTAGTTTCATCTAGGAAAGTCAAGATTTTTCAGTTTGGGGTACTGTAGTTTCATCCAGGAAAGTCAAACTTTTGCAGTTTGGGGTACTGTAGTTTCTTCTGGAAGTTTTCGAGAACTTTTGCAGTTCGGAGTACTGTAGTCGTATTTTCGCAGTTTGGGGTTTTACTGTAGGATTTTTTCAAAATGGTTCTGGGAGATGGATTTTTTGTAGTTCGGAGTACTGTAATCAATATTTTTGCAGTTCGAAGTACTGTAGTTTCATCTAGAATATTTTCTAAACATTTTGAACTGTTTGCAGTTTGGAGTACTGTAGCTGTTTTCAAAAATATATTAGGAACTTTTGCAATTCGGATACTGTAGATCATCCTAATAAATTTGTGGTTTGGTTCTGTATCTTATCATTTAAGTATTTTGTGTCTGGAACCAAAAAGGTTCCAGTTTAATTTTTTTTCCAAAAAAAAATCAAAAAATCAAATTTCTTCGGCGGAAATCTTTAGTCAAAATCACCTTGTTTTTCTCAAAAAAAAAAAATTGTTTTCGCTCACAAAAAAGTGTGTGTTCTGTTTTTTTTCTCTGTGGCTGACTTGAATGGGGTGGCGCCAGCGCCCCGGCGTTCCTTTTTCTCTGAGCTCTCTCAATTTGGCCTTATCTCTCGGCGTCTAGGAGGAACATCTAGTTGTCTAGAGAGGCCTTCTTCTTCATTCGCTCGAAAAATATTTTTTTTGTTATTTTCCTACACCTAAATTCGCTATTGATCGATTTTCTAGTCTGAAATTTCAGATTATTTCTGAAAATATTTTTCTGGTAGATCAAAAAAATGTTCATATTATTATATGTTCCTCCCAAAAGGTAGATCAAAAATCTCAAAATTTTTTTTGTGCCCAAAAAAAAATTCGCTGAAAATTTCCAACCTATAATTTCAGCAGTAGCAGCAGCAGCATATTTTCTCTGCGTCTCCTAGTTCTCTGTGCTCTCTCACCCCCTTCTCTCTCCCCACACACACTCACACAACACAGCTAGGCGCCTGGCGGCGCGCTATGGCTCCGCGGCCAGGCACCGCGCCCCGCCCATTTTTGCTGCTGCTGCTGCTGCCGCGCGCCTCTGCGCGCGCCTCCCCTTTTTTCTTTCTTCATTTTTGTCTTCTCAGACTTGGCTATTAGTTGTACTACTACTAGATGTATATTTTTTTGATCTACCGGAATAATATTTTTGAGACTGAAAGGCACTTTCCTGTTCCCTGAGACCTCAAGTGTGATCCGTGTGTGCTTGTTTTTTGCGGGTAGGCATCACGTTTGAGCTCTCTGGGCACCAGGAATGATGTTTTGTGGATTTGGAGATTTTTAGGGGAGTTCAGGTAACTTGGAAGTTTCTGGAGATTTCTAAAAGTTCCAGGTGGTCTTGAAAGTTCAGGTAACTTGGAAGATTTCGGGAGGAAGTTTGGATATTTTTCTAGAATCTTGGGAAATTTCTAGAAGTTCAGGTAACTCTGAAAGTTTTTGAAATTTTCTAGAATTTTCAGGAGGTCTTGGGAAGGTTCTGAGGAAGTTCAGGTAACTTGGATTTGGATTTTATTTAGATTCTGAAAATAAAAAACTTCAGAAATTATAGAAAGATTATTAGGAAGTAACAGGAAGTTCTGAAATACCAGGAGATCTTGGAAGTTCAGATAACTCTTGAGGTTTTCAGATGAAATTTGAGAATGTTACAGAAAGTTCAGGTAACTTTTGGATTTGGATTCTGAAAAAAAATCGGGAATATCTGAAAGAAATTGTCGAAAAGTTACAGAAAATTGTAAAATTCCAGAAACTCTTAGAAGTTCCGCTAAGTCTTGAGATTTTCAGATAAATTTTGAGGAAAATACTGGAAGTTCAGGTAACTCTGGAGGATCGAAGAAATTTCAGAAATTTCCAGAAAGCTTGTAAAATTGTTCATGATATTCAAAGGCTCCTGGAAGTTAAGAAAACTCTTATAATTTTCAGAAGTTATTTTTTGAAAAGTTAGGATAACTCAGAAGCTTTTTGAAGTTATCCTATCTTTTTCGAAAAATAGTTTGGATGTTCAGAATATCCCTGAAGTCTGGTAGAGTTCAGCTAACCTGAAAACAATCAGGAAATTTTCAGAAATCCTAGAATGTTTCCGAAGTTCAAGTAACTCCAATTAAAAATTTTCTAGCGAATCTTGAAGTTCCTGTAACTTCTAGAAGTTCAGATTAAATTTCGCAACTTTCAGAGATTTCCAGGTGATTTTGAAATGTTTTCCAGAGCAACAGAGGAAGGATAACTTATTTTCAGATTTTTCCAGTTTCCAGATGTTTCAGAATCAGATTTTTCTGCAATTTTTTTCCATCAGAGTTATCCAAAGTTCACGTAACTATGGCTACCATTTCTAAAAAGTTCATCTGCACTTTTTTTATTCAAAAATCGCAGACCCAGACTACAGTACCTCTCCTCGCCCCAACAAAATTTGTAGCTCTCCAGGCAGCCGGGCTACTGTAGATCTATACAACTACAAAGTCTTCTATTTTTGAATGTTGGATGATGATGATGATTTCTCATTTTCAGAAAAAAAGGGGAAAAAAGTTTTGCGTCAAAGATTTCGGTGCCAGACACGGCTAAAAATAACATGGAAAGAAATTTTGGATTATTTTTTGATTAATCAGCTTAGATTTTGGAGGGATTAATTTTGATTTTTCAAAAATTTGGAATTCGGAGAAATATATACAGTAGTCTAGAACATCTACAGTACCTCAAAAAATCTGAAAATAATTTTAAAAGCCTTTTCTAAAGTTACAGAACATACAGTACCCCGAAATTAAAAAAAATAAATCTACAGTAATCTGAAAACTGATTGAAACTACAGTAATTCTCGTTGAAACTGACATTTGATCAACAGTAATCTAGAACATCTACAGTACCTCAGGAGCTCTTAAAATAAACTTAAAAGCCTTTTCTACAGTATCAAATCATTACAGTACCCTGAAGTTTGAAAAAAGTGATCTACAGTACCTCAGAAGCTCTAGAGAAACCTTGAGGATCTTGTTTACAGTAAGAAAAACAGTACAGTACCTGAACTACAGTAATCTAAAAATAAATTGAAATATAACAACGAGTTTTTAAACTCGAGATTTGATCTACAGTAATCTAGAACATCTACAGTACCTCAGGAACTCTGAAAATAATTTGAAAAGCCAAAATACAGTAATCTCAAAATACAGTAACCTGAAGGGTTCCTTGAATATTGATCTACCTACAGTACATCTAGAACATCTACAGTATCAGATTCAGAATCACGGATCCTGGAGGTACTGTAGCCAGGGTATACTGTAGTCGCAGGTGCTCTAGGCGTACCAATTCTAGATCTACCGTATCCCAGGAGTACTGTAGCCCCCCCCTCCCCCTCCCCAAAATCTAATTTTCCAGAAGTCCCATCTCTCCCGCCACCATCTCCCGCCTCACCCGAATTCCCAGACACGCACGACAAATTCGGAAAATGTTGCGAACGCGAAATCGACTCTCTCGACCCCCTCCGACCATCCACCAACGAGCTCAGCGGAGCACGTTTGCTCCAGCGAAAAGCCAGCAAAGAGCACGCTCTACCAGAAGTGTGTCATGTGCCAGGACAAGTTCCGTATCATGCAAAAGCCCGGGCTGAATCATCGCATAGATCTACCTCGAAATCTACAGGAGCTGCTGGAGCAGCTGGAAATCTTCATCCTAGGAAAAGAGCTCAACAGAATGAGCCACGTATCGGAACTGCCACATCACAACACACTTTTATCATCGAAACCGAGAAACGAAAACCGATTATGGTGAATTTGGGATTGGTGGATGGTGCTCTAGAACTTCGAAAATCTGTGGAGGATCGAGATCGGAAAAAAGAGGAAGAGGAAAAGAAAAAGAAAAAGGAGAAGGAGGAAAAAGATCGGGAACGGCAAAAGGCTTTGCGGCATATTCAATTGACTTCGCGGAAAGCGCCGAGTTTGTTGAGGTGAGCAAAATTTGAGGGAAAAATGAGCCGGAAATTCGGAAAATTCGGTCAAAAATACCCTAGAAACTCGAAAATTCACCCTGGCGGAGTTTAGGTGGCCTAGAAACCCAAATTGTATACTTTGATCGCTCTAAAATCTGAAAAAGATCACAAAAAAATCCAGAGACTGGAAAATTCATCTTAGCCGAGTTTTGGTGGTCTAGAAACCCATAGTCTCAGCTTGGCAGAGTTTTCATGGCGTAAGAACACAAAATCTCATCCTGGCCGAGTTTTCATGGCCTAGAAACTTAGAAAATCACCCTGGCCGAGTTTCCGTGACCTAGAAACCCAACACCTCCATTTTTCTTCCAGAAAAGAGCTCTCCGACGCCTCTTCTCCCCTCGAAGATAAAATCGAAAAACTAACATCTCGCAAATCCGCGTCAAAACTTAGCCTAACTTCCAAGAAACCATCCTCAGACAAGGATTTCGACGAAAAAATCAACAACAACAATAATATGAGCTCTTTTGAGCTGAGTCTCGAAAACGGCTCGACGACCACCCACGAAGATTATTCGGCGATTTTCGGAAGCCGACCGAAAGTTGCGCGAACTCCCGACACCAATCAGCAATCCAAGTCGTTCTTTTGATTTGGATGATTTTTTAAAACCTAAATTTAACCCACCACGTGTATTTATTTTCGATTTGCACCCTAATACAACTTTACACCTCCAATTAGCCCAAATATGCTTCTTTCTTGATATTTTTTCGATTCGAATAAAGATCTTCAGGAAAATTTCATATCATTTTGCAGCGCTTGACATGAGCAATCCTATCATATCTTCTATTTTCCAGGAAAACCCCAAAAACCCCGCTAAAAACCTCGAAAAACGGAGAAAAATTCAAATTACAACAATGTGTGCACACACCGAAGCTGACGCGCAATTGCACATTTTCGTTTTTTGTCGTGCACCCAAAACATTGAAAACTCAGCAAATCGTAGCGTACATGAACGGTTTTATCGGCGAAAAATAGCTACACCGCAGCTACACACCAGCTACACAAATCAGAGAAGCAACGCGGTTGGCGTCGCGGCTACTTTTCTCATTTTTGTTTTTGTTTTTCCAGGCCTAAATTCTTGTGAAAATCGGGCCAGAAATGAACATATAAGAAGGGTGCATTCTTGAAATTTTGAGTTTTCGACTTTTGGTGGAATATTTTGAACAAAAATGAAATACTCCTATAAATTGCAAAAGTTAATCGATGGCGGCCGTACTCGCAGAAAAAAAGCTTTTAACAGGTTTGTTGTGAAATTGTTGCCTCAAAAAAATTTTCAGACAAAACTGATTTTCAAATGACGAAAAATGATATCTACGTGCTCTCGTCAAAACTTGATCAACGTAGCTTACATTTCTCTTCTTTGTTGTCGTTCATTTTTTGAGAAAAATTTCACAGCATTTTTAATTAAAATTTTCAGTAGCATTGACCCTTGTCATATGATTTTCAAAATAATTTTATTAGTTGACCTATTTTTATTTTGTTGAAAAAATCCAAAAATTGATTAGAAAACGACTATCAAAAAAGTTAAAGTAGAAAAAAAGAAAAGTTTTAAAAATGTATCATTTATTACAAGAAAGACGAATTGGAATTTATATTTGCATCGATCCATTGATTGGTGGTGACGAAGAATGTTGGAAGTGTTGAGATGGAAGTTCGGATGTAAATCTGTAAGTTGGAATTTATTTTTCAAATGATGAATGTGTATCTCAACAATTTCGACAAAATCAGCAATTTGCTAATTTTGTCCGAAATTCCGAAAAATAAGAGCAGTAGCTGAATAAAAACGTGAAACGTTTCACGTGTCTCATTTCAAATTTCCGAAATTTTTGACAAAATCAGCAATTTGCTAATTTTGTCAGAATTTCCGAAAAATAAGAGCAGTAGCTGAATAAAAACGTGAAACGTTTCACGTGTCTCATTTCAAATTTCCGAAATTTTTGACAAAATCAGCAATTTGCTAATTTTGTCAGAATTTCCGAAAAATAAGAGCAGTAGCTGAATAAACACGTGAAACGTTTCACGTGTCTCATTTCGAAATTTTGGAATTTTTGACAAAAATAGCAATTTGCTAATTTTGTCAAAAAATCTAGTTGAACCTATTGCGAAAAACTATTTTCAAAGGATTTTTGCGGTGTTTTCAGATAAGGGGCAACAAATAGAGGTCAGAAAGTCAAATTCCACTTTTCGGAACCGGTTCTAATCCGCTTTTTTCTCTCAAAAAATTGTCCTTAAGGGATGTCTCGAAATGACATAGGGGACACAGAATTATCGTAATTGAAAAGAGTGCGTGTTTAATCTCAGGCCTCTTTCTTCTACCTATTTTTTGACATTGATCATACCTGCGCTATTCAGTGTTGGTCGATATTTGATTGAAATCTTCTCCACTCATTATTCTCCAATCATCATCCGTCGGCTATACAAACCATCTGCAATTATTTGTATGTTTTTTATAAGCTGAGTCAAGATCCTAACTCACCAGTTTTTAATGAAAAGAAAAACAATTCAACCACTTCAACAGCCAAAATTTGTTGGAACTGAAAAATGAGGTATGTGGAAAACACGTCACTTAAAAAATAGGTCACGTAAATATTGTTTTTTGTGCTTTGAAAAAAAAGAATGAAAGATTTTTCGACTTAATTTTTTTGATCCGAAAAAAAAAACAATATTTACGTGACCTATTTTTATGTGACGTGTTTGCCACATACCTCATTTTTCAGTTCCAACAAATTTTGGCAGTTGAAGTGGTTGAATTGTTTTGCTCTTCATTGAAAACTGGTGAGTTAGGATCTAGATACTGCTTATAAGAAAGACTCTGCTTATAACAAATAATTGCAGATGGTTTGAATAACCGAGATGGATGATATGGTTGGAGATGGCTAGACTTCGAGGGATAGCAGAATTTTGCACAGCGCAGGTATGAACAACGTCAAGCCAAAGACATGGGGTCCGGGCCTGAGATTTGAATCGCATTCTTCTCAAGTACGGTAATTCTGTGTCCCTAATATCATTTCGAGACATCTCTTTGAAAAAAAAAACGGAAAATTGGAATTTGAGAGAAAAAAGCTCATTTTTGGGATTAGAACCGGTTCCGAAAAGTGGAATTTGACTTTCTGACCTCTATTTGTTGCCCCTTATCTGAAAACACCGCAAAAATCCTTTGAAAATAGTTTTTCGCAATAGGTTCAACTAGATTTTTTGACAAAATTAGCAAATTGCTATTTTTGTCAAAAATTCCAAAATTTCGAAATGAGACACGTGAAACGTTTCACGTGTTTATTCAGCTACTGCTCTTATTTTTCGGAAATTCTGACAAAATTAGCAAATTGCTGATTTTGTCAAAAATTTCGGAAATTTGAAATGAGACACGTGAAACGTTTCACGTTTTTATTCAGCTACTGCTCTTATTTTTCGGAATTTCGGACAAAATTAGCAAATTGCTGATTTTGTCGAAATTGTTGAGATACACATTCATCATTTGAAAAATAAATTCCAACTTACAGATTTACATCCGAACTTCCATCTCAACACTTCCAACATTCTTCGTCACCACCAATCAATGGATCGATGCAAATATAAATTCCAATTCGTCTTTCTTGTAATAAATGATACATTTTTAAAACTTTTCTTTTTTTCTACTTTAACTTTTTTGATAGTCGTTTTCTAATCAATTTTTGGATTTTTTCAACAAAATAAAAATAGGTCAACTAATAAAATTATTTTGAAAATCATATGACAAGGGTCAATGCTACTGAAAATTTTAATTAAAAATGCTGTGAAATTTTTCTCAAAAAATGAACGACAACAAAGAAGAGAAATGTAAGCTACGTTGATCAAGTTTTGACGAGAGCACGTAGATATCATTTTTCGTCATTTGAAAATCAGTTTTGTCTGAAAATTTTTTGAGGCAACAATTTCACAACAAACCTGTTAAAAGCTTTTTTTCTGCGAGTACGGCCGCCATCGATTAACTTTTGCAATTTATAGGAGTATTTCATTTTTGTTCAAAATATTCCACCAAAAGTCGAAAACTCAAAATTTCAAGAATGCACCCTTCTTATATACATAATTTTTAACATTTTTTATTCGTTATCATTGAACAAACCTTCGTGTTTCATGAAAATTATGTTGAAATTTCTTTTGAACATCTATGAATTCCCCTATTTCTCGAGTCTGGAAATTTTTCTTTCATTCAGAATTGTTCTAACTATCTTAAATTTCAGGTTTCCGGGAGCGTGATCGTTGCAAAATGGCTGCTAAGTGGTGAGGGAATTTTCTTTAAAAAAAACGACATATTTCCTACAAAAACAGTTTTCAGAAAACTTCAACAACGACAACGACTACGTTCCACAAAAATCAGGTCAACATCAATCTGTATTCATCCACGCTAATCAAAAGGTGAGTCAATAACCGAAAAAGAAACGGGATAACAAAATATGTCTTGGGAAATTTGATCAAGTTTAGCTATTTTTGAAGATAAATATAAAGTTCTTTCTACTCTGAAAAACATGAAAATTCATCTCAATTTTACAGAATATGCTCTCCGATGCTCAGTCTCGCCAGCACTCGATGGAAATCTCGACACAAACGACATGAAAAGCAGCTTCATGGCGAGGGAAACAAGACAATCCGCAACATCTACGAAATTTTAAACTCCTAATTTATAATTTTGTTTGAAATACTTTGTTTTTTCATGTTTTACTCATTCTGATAATAAATTGTTGTTTTCATTCAAAACGTGTTCAAAAATCATCTTTCAGCCTGCAAAATCCGAAAAAAACGCGAAACGAAAAAAATCGAAAAAACTAATTTGTGTAGCTGGTGTGTAGACGCGTGCGTAGCTTGTGTGTGGAATGCGTGTAAAATGAGTTAGACAGCACACAAGCTACACAAATCCTTACCGTTCATGTACGCAGCGATTTGCTGAGAAATCGATATGTGGCGCGAACCGCCGCCATACTACGCAAAACTCAACAAGCAATCAATGAATGTGTAAGTTTTCAGCATTTTCAGCCCAAAAAATCAATAATCTTCAGAAATCCCGTGACAAATTCGTTGAAGCGAGTGTACGAACAGCCGGAAAACAGTTCATCGAGTATTTTCATCAAAAGACCCGCAATTTTGCCGGCGAATTCGCGCAGGAATCATAGTAATAATAATAATCCGGAAAAATTGGGAAATCAGTTTGGGGTGAATGAACTTTTGGCGAGGTTTTTTGTGAATTCGGGAATTTCGTATGAATGTGTTGAGGATCCGTCATTTGTGCAGTTTATGTCGCATTTTGCACCGCATTTCGTTTTGCCCACACCGAATATGATGGTGGATTATGTGACGAGAATGGCGTTTCCGATGAAGGTTAAGGTAGGAGGTTTAAAGAAATTTTCCCGCCAAAAACCTCAGAAATCGCTTCAAGATCAGCTATGCACCTTTGAATACCGATGAATTATGGGTCTTGCAATAAATTTCATTCAAATGAGCCAGAAATCGTTGTGAGACCAGCTATGTACCTTTAAAATGACTGAAAAGGGTCTCGTAGCGAAAATTCGTCTTGAAAAAGCTTATGCATCTTTAAATGTTGGAAATGTTGAGTCTTGCACCGAATTTCAAGCAAAAATCGCTTCAAAATCACTTATGTGCCTTTAAAATTATGGGTTTTAGGTCTTGCAGCGATTTCTACAGAACAAACGCTGGATTTCGCTGCAAAACCACCTATGTGCCTTTAAAATTATGGTTTTTAGGTCTTGCAGCGATTTTTACAAAACAAACGCTGTATTTCGCTGCAAGACCAGCTATGTACCTTTAAAAATGACTGAAAAAGGGTCTCGTAGCGAAAATTCGTATTGAAAAAGCTTATGGGAGGTTTTGGGACTTGAAGCGAGATCTAAAGTTTGGTGTGCCTTTAAATGTTGGAAATATAGAGTCTTGCAGCGAATTTCCAGCAAAAATCGCTTCAAGACCACTTATGTGCCTTTAAAATTATGGTTTTTAGGTCTTGCAGCGATTTCTACAAAATAAACGCTGGATTTCGCTGCAAGACCAGATATGTGCCTTTAAAATTATGGTTTTAAGCGATTTCTATAGAAAAACACATGGGATTTCGCTTCAAGACCACCCTATGTGCCTTAAAATTTTTTTTTACAGACGCAAAATTTCTCCAAAGTCGTCGGACCACTCACCGCCACTCTAAACACCTTCAAATCTGGCGACGAAATTTTCCTCGCCTACTCAATTCATTATTTCGAGGATTATGTGCAGCGCAAAAATGCGGTTTTCATGCGAAAATTGATTTTGAGCGAGTGAGTTTGGATGCGGCGAAGTTGCAGAAAAACCATGCCGCGTGTTGCAAAAGGGGCGGAGTTTGCATGGTTTTTTTTCGCATTTTGAATTGAAAAGCGCGGATTTGCAACTGTGCCGCACAGTTTTTTTTGCATTTCAGAGTGGATGGTGAAAGTGTTCTGACCTACGCGAGGCGATCAATCAATAATTTCAATTATGGAAATGTGCGCTTCACAAATATGGTTTCGGTAGATGAAGAAATGGCGGGAGAATTGTTGAGCACAAATGCGGTGACGAATAAGTGAGCGGGTTTGTTGGCGAAAAAATTATAATTTTTTTTTCACTGTTTCAAAAAATTGATATATTTCCACGTGTATTATGATTTGCCAATGACGAATCCAATTTTTTTTTAGAATTTCAACAATTTTTTGGCTCCAAAACTTCAACCCCAGCCCTATTTACCCTCAAAAAATGCCCAATTCTTCCAGCTACATCTGCTTTTTCACCTATCTATCGCGTTTCATCGAAAACGTCCTCAAAATCCCCGATTTCCAATACGGCCTCGATTCTCTACGAAATTTTGTTCAATTTTTGCGGAAACACGCCGATTTGTATAGCAAATTCAGGCGTTTGCAGTTGTCGAAAAATGGCGAACTCGATTTGCCGAGTTTGGATGAGGATGGGAAATGGACGTCGACGACGGTGTTTTTGACGAGATGCTTGTTGTTGGTGAGCTGAAAATTCGAGTTTGGCATGAAATTTTGGGCTGGAACATGCACAATTCGCTGAAAAAGAAAGATTTTAGAATAAAAATGGAGAAAAATACGCCTCGGAGCTTAAAAAATGTGATTTTGAGCTAAAAATTGACTAAAATAGCAAATGCGCCCCATTGAACTTCCGCCGTTTTGTGGGAAAATTCAAATTTTCAATTTTTTTTCTTATTAAATTTTCGACAAAAATTTGATTTTAGCTTGAAATTTGAGATTCTTGGTTTTAAATTGAGATGAATAAGCTTTGGAGCTTGTAAGATGCTCAAAAATTGACAAAATTAGCGAATGCGCTCCATTAAACTTTTGCCTTTTTGTTGAAAATTTCGTATATTTTTATTTTTTTTTTCATTTTTTCAGCACGAAACATTCGCCGACTTTGCTCTTCGCTTTCGAATTTCCAGCTATATTTCCGATGACACTTTCTCGAAATTATCATATTTACAAAGATTGATGTCGCACACGAGAAAATTCGCCAAAGAATTATCGACCCCTGATAGTTGTGTATCACAAATTGTGCCGACTGTTGTGGCGATTCAGGGATTTTTGGAGGGGTAAGAATTGTTTCGGGGTGAAAAATCGATAATTTTTATGGATTTATGCCTGAATTTGATGAAAAATGAGCGAAAAATCGATATTTTTATGGATTTCAATTTGAATTTGATGAAAAATGAGCCGAAAATCGATAATTTTGATGAATTTTGAGCCAGGATTTGAGGTTTCAAAAAATCCAATATTTTTTACGTTTCAAAATTGTTATATTCAAATGTTGGAAATTTCTAGTTTAATGTCTTCACATGTATTCAAGTTGAAATTCTCGCGCCAAAAAATCAAAAAAATGGCAAACATTTCTGGAATTTTTGTTTTAGAAATTCAAAATTAATCCACGTGGCGAAAAATTGTCCAAATTCAGTTTTTTTTTCACTGTTTCAAAATTGATATATTCATTTTTGTGGGAAATTTCTGAGATTTCGCACCATTTCTAGATGCTTTAATCTTTCTCAACCAATACAAAATATTTCAAAATTAAAATCCGCCTAAGCCTAAGCCCAAAATTTATTTCCAGAAAATCGCTGGGCTACGATTTCGAAGAAGACATCAAATCCGTCTTCAAACAACATCTCCAACCACTTCTGTGCCTGAATCCAGCAAATTTGAGATATCTATTTGCAACCTTATTAGATCCAAGATATGGATATCGAAAAAACATTTTCCCACTCGAAAAATGGTCGAAAATCGAAAGCGAATTAATGCAAATGTTTTCGCTGGAAGAAATTGTTGTGAATGATCAAAATCCGAGAAAAGCACAGGTTTTGGATGCGGTTTCGAAAGAAGTTCGGAAGCAGAAGATTTTGGTGAGGCATCGGATGATTATTCTGGCTGAAAATCAAATTTTCCGGCTGAAAATCAATAAAATTCACAGTCTTTTCAGGAAGAGCTGAAAATCTATCGAAATGTGATCTCAGCCGCTCGCCCAAACGCGCTAACCAACATTTTTCATTGGTGGGGTGCTCGAATGCTAGATCTCACCAATCTATACAACAAATCGAGGGAATTCTTGGCACCGCCGGCTGTCGCCATCGACACTGAATTGTATTTTGGAAATGGCGGAAAATGGTCGCATATGTGCTCGAAATTAAGCTATGAGCATTTGGAAAATGCGTTGAGTGTTGCTGGACAAAGAGAGCTTTTTAAGTGAGGTTTTTTGGGTGGGTTTTGAGGCCGAAAAAATCAAGTTTTTCATGATTTTCAGCACAAAATTTCAGCCAGAATTTTCTCTGGCCCAGAAAACTCTTTTCTAGAGAGGAAATTGAATTTTTAACCCAATATTTTTTCACTGTTTCGAAAAAAAATGCCATAAAATTGTTCAACTCCAAAATGTTTCTTTACTTTCGACACAACGGAAAATTCTAGATAAAAATCTTGAGATATTTGAAATTCAGCACAAAATTTCAGCCCCAAAATTGAAAAAATTCACTGTTTCATAAAATTTTCATTTGATTTTTGGGTTTGAAAATTTTGGTAAAATCTTTTTTAGTTCACAATTATCGTTCATGCTGAAAATTCTTGAAAATCAAGTTTCCTATAATTTTCAGCACAAAATTTCAGCGCAAAAAATTGAAGTACTTGAGAAAAATTCCACTGTTTCATAGAATTTCCATTTGATTTTTGGGTTCCCAAATTTTGTTTTCGCTTCTTTCAGTTGAGAAAATTAAATTTTCATGCTGAAAATCCCTAAAAATCAAGTTTTCCATGATATTCAGCACACAATTTCAGCCAGAAAACTCAAAGTTTTAGAGAGAAAATTGAATTTTTAACCGATTATTTTTTACTTTTTCAGAAAATTTTTATGGATTTTTTGAATTTTGTTAGAAACATTATTAAATTAGAAATTTCATTTTCATTCTTTCAGAGAAAGAAAAATTTGACTGTTTCATAGAATTTTCATTTGGTTTTGGGTTTTCAATTTTTTACTTTTATTGTTGTTTTAGCAATTTTGGAATTAAAATTTTCATGCTTAAAATCAGGAAAAAACATTTTTGACTTTATATTTTTTCACTGTTTCAAAAAATCTTGATAGATTTTTTGAATTTTCAGTTTTCAATAACACTAAATTTTTTGATAACTCTATATTGAAGTTTCATTGCTCATTAAAAATCATATTTTCAGCAAATTTCAGCCAATAAAATCTCTAAAATTTTCCAGAGGTCGTGGCTACATTTCGGAAAGTGCACTTTCTCCATTCGTCAACCCAACATCAACACGCCGTACTCCCGCTCTCCAAAAATCAATCAAACTTCTCAAAAAACCGACACCTCCTCTCAAATTCCCAGAAGCTTTGATGATGCAACCACCGGAGCACAAAAAATCGGAGGAAAATTTGGAAATTGAGCCGGATTTGGATGTGAAGCTGGAGGTTTTGGAGCAGGAAAATGAGGAATTGTGAGTTCGTGCATTACAAAAAACTGATCAAATTTGAAAATTGATTGAAAAATTACTTATATTTTTTGAAACAGTGAAATATTTTAGACCAAGAATTTTGTGCTGAAAATCAAGAAAACCTTCAAAATTTTATGATTTTTAGAGTTTCCACGAGTTTCAGCTCGAAATTTTAATCTGGAATTTGTTGGGAGAAAAATCTGAAAATTTTCTGAAATCAGGTTTTTTGAGATCATTGTGAAGTAAATTTTGAAAGAAAATTTAATTTTTTGCTGAAACAGTGAATTTTTTAAAATTTTAGACCACAATTTCATGCTCAAAATTAAGAAAATTCTGAAATTTTATGGTTTTTAGAGTTTCCATGAGTTTCAGCTCAAAATTACAGTCTAGAGTTCTTTTGGAAAAAAAATATACAAAATTTCTGAAAACAAGTTTTTATTTTAGATCACTATTGTGAAGTAAATTTTGAAAGAAAATTTAATTTTTTGCTGAAACAGTGAATTTTTTTTCAAAATTTTAGACCAGATATTTATGCTGAAAATTAAGAAAATTCTATAATTTTATGATTTTTAGAGTTTCCATGAGTTTCAGCTCGAAATTTCAGTATGGAATTTTTGAGAGAAAAATACTGAAATTCTGAAATCAGGATATTTTAAGCATTAAAATTTCGCGCTGAAAAATCTGAAAATTTCAAGATTTGTTTGAGAACTGTTATTATAAATTTTGAAAGAAAATTTAATTTTTTTCTGAAACAGTGAATTTTTTTGAAAAAATTTTGCCCAGAATTTTATACTGAAAATCAAGAAAGTCTTTTTTCCAGAGACCAAGATGCTGAAACCGAAGAAGTCCCAAATAAATGCACAATTTGCCTGCGAGTCGAAAAACCAGAATTATTAAAAGAGGCCATTCTACCAAATGAGAAATTGTTGGTTTTGTTGGGAATGGTTGTTGGCACAAAATTATCGATCGATCAAGCCAGATTGTGTTTTTGGAAACCGACACGAACACCTTTGATTTGCATTCGACATTATAAGGAAGCGGTAGGGGATTTTTTGAGGCTGAAATTGCATCTGAAACGTTTAAAAAACTGGAAAAATAGATTTTTCATCGAGAAATATGTTTTCAAAATTCAAAAATTCGTGCTGAATATAGAAAAATTATGGAATTTTCTGATTTTCGTGACTTTCAGCACAAAATTTCATATCAGAACACCTGAAAGGCCTATTTTTCTATTTGAAATTTTTCACTGTTTCAAAAAATTGTTATATACTTTTCATTTCCGTTCGGAATTGTTAAAACAAAATAACCTCGAATTTATTTTAATTGAATTAGTGAAAATTGCTGAATTTTCAGATTTACATAATTTTCAGCAGAAAAATTTGAATTTTCAAAATTTCGAACTTTTTTACTGTTTCAAAAAATTATGATAATTTTTTGGATTTAGAAATGTTTGTTCACAAAATTTGTTTTGATAAAATTGTTGTTTTCTAGGCTGAAATTTTGTGCTGAAAATCGTGAAATCATTAAAAATTGCTGAAATCCGAGATATCCACAATTTTCAGCACAAAATTTCAACCGAAAACTTGAACTTTTCTGAAAAAAATGAAATTTTTCAATTTTGCAGTTTTTCACTGTTTCAAAAAAATATGAAAATTTTTTGGATTTTGAAATTTTTGTTCTTATGGTTGCTTTCGCTTCATATAATTAGGAATGAAATTGTTGATTTATAGGCTGAAAATTCGTGCTGAAAATCGTGAAACCATTGAAGATTGCTGAAATTCGAGATTTCCACAATTTTTAGCACAAAATTTCAGCTAGAAACTTGAGTTTTTCAGAAAAAAATAGGATTTTTCAATTTTGAACTTTTTTCACTGTTTCAAAAAAATATCATAATTTTTTGAATTTTGAAATTTTTGTTCATGTAATTCCTTACGCTTACAATTAGAAATGAAATTGTTGATTTCTAGACCTAAATTTTGTGTTGAAAATTGTGAAACCATAGAAAATTACTAAAATTCGAGATTTACAAAATTTTCAGCTAAAAACTTGAATTTTTTAGAAAAAAATAGAATATTTCTATTTGAAATTTTTCACTGTTTCAAAAAATTCACATAAATTTTTAGATTGTTAATTTTTGTTCCCAAAGCTGCTTTCGCTTACAATTAGAAATGAAATTGTTGATTTCTTGGCTGAAAATCGTGAAACCAGTGAAAATAGCTGAAATCCGAGATATCCAAAGTTTTCAGCACTAAATTTCAGGCAAAAACTTGAATTTTTTAGAAAAAAATAGAATTTTAGAATTTTGCAGTTTTTCACTGTTTCAAAAAAATATCATAATTGTTTGGATTTTGAAATTTTTGTTAACAAAACTGGTTTGCCTATAATGAGAACTGAAATTGTTGATTTCTAACATGAAATTTTGTGCTGAAAATTATCGCAAACTCATCGACGATTTTTCAGCACGAAATTTTAGCCATAAACCTTAAAATTTGGATTTTTCATTCTGAAAATTTTTCACTGTTTCAAAAAAATATCATTATTTTTTGGATATTGAAATTTTTGCTCCCAAAAGCTTTGGCTCTGTACGGAAATAAAGGGTAAATTTTTAGATTGTTAATTTTTGTTTCAGAATCTAGTCTAGACATAAAAAACATCCATTTTTGCAGGCTGATCAAATCATCTCAACCCTTCAAATCCGATGTCCCGACGCAGTTTTCGCGATGCCCCAATTCCGAATTCAACCACTTCTCGATCAAATTTTCGAAATCCGCAATTCCGAAATGCCCCTAATGGCCTTTAAGCAATTATTCATCATTTTTTGCGAAAAATATCCGCCGGATTCGCTGAAAAATAATGAAATTATCAGTTTTGATGCGATTTTTTGTGCTGAATCTTCTGGAAATTCGGGAACTTCTGAAATTCGAGAGAAAATGTCGCTGCTGCCGAAATCGCTGAGAACTTCCGCACAACGTCAGCCAATTATTATTGGGGATAAAATGATTGTGATGAGCCAGGAGCCGAGTTCGAGCACACCAATTTTGCCCAAATCGCAAAGAGCACCGCGAAAACAGATTTTGGATGATGATGTTGCGGAAAATGTGAGTTTTTTGGGGAGGTTTTGGTTGAAAATCGTGGGAATTTTGAATTTCAGCAATTTTCAATGGTTTTATGATTTTCAGTACAATTTGAAAAAAAATCAAAAATTTACAATCCAAAAAATTATGAGCTTTTTTTGAAACAGTGAACAATTTCAAAAATTGGAAATTCAAATTTTCCTAGAATTTCAAGTTTTTTGCTGAAATTTTGTGCTGAAAATCATAGAGAATATGAAATTTCAGAAATTTTCAATGGTTTTATGATTTTCAGTACTATTTGAAAAAAATCGAAAATTTACAATTCAAAAAAAATATGTGATATTTTTGAAACAGTGAAAAATTTCAAAAATTGGAAATTCAAATTTTTCAAGTTTTGCTGGAATTTTGTGCTGAAAGTCGTGGGAATCTTGAATTTTAGAAATTTTCAGTGGTTTTATAATTTTCAGCACAAAATTTCAGTCTAAAACACGAAAAATTTTTCGAATAATCAATAAATTACAATCCAAAAAAATATGTGCTTTTTTTGAAACAGTGAAAAATGTTCAGAATTGAAAAATCCAAATTTAGCTAGAAATTCAAGTTTTTGGCTGAATTTTTTTGCTGAAAATCATAGAGAATCTGAAATTTCAGAAATTTTCAATGGTTTTATAATTTTCAGTACAAAATTTCAGCCTAAACATCGAAAATTACCGCATAATCAATTATCTACAATCCAAAAAATTATGTGATTTTTTTGAAACAGTGAAAATTTCAAAATTGGGAAATTCAAATTTTCCTAGAATTTCAAGTTTTATGCTGAAGTTTTGTACTGAAAGTCGTGGAAATCTTGAATTTTTGAAATTCTCAGTGGTTTTATGATTTTCAGCACAAAATTTTAGTCTAGAATAAAGTTTCTGGATATCACGAAAACTTTAATGTATCTGAAATATTCCAAGTGGCAATCTTTCTGAAAATTTGAGTTTTGGTTGAAATTTAGTGCTTAAAATTGAGGAAAATCTTTAATTTCTGCAATTTTCAGTTATTTCACGATTTTCAGCACACTTTGAGAGTAATAAAAAAAAATCGAAAATTTGCAATCGAAAAAAAATTATGTGATTTTTTTGAAACAGTGAAACATTTCAAAATTTGGAAATCCGCATTTTTCAAACTTTTTGCTGAAATTTTGTGGTGAAAATCGTGGGAATCTTGGGTTTACAATTTTCAGCACAAAATTTCAGCTTAGAACTCATGAATGTTATCTCTAGTTTTAACAACAGTGAAAACACAAATTTACAATCCAAAAAATTATGTGATTTTTTTGAAACAGTGAAATATTTGGAAATTCAAATTTTCCTAGAAATTCAAGTTTTTGGCTGAAATGTTGTGCTGAATGTGTTGAATAAATTTTCAGCACGAATTTTCAGCCTAGAAATCATAAAAAATCTGAAATTTCCTCAATTTTCGTCCCATTTTTCCAGGATGACATGATTCTGCGTCGACTTGTGCCCGTAAAAATCGCCTACGAATCGCCGCCAAAAATCAAGAATCCCGGAAAATGTGCCTATTGTGGACATACGGTGGAAAGATCGACATTGATTCGAGTTCCCAAATCGGAAGAGCGTCGAAAATCGTGGTTTGAGAAGCTGGGCGATGGTTTTGAGAGACGTTGCAAGGCTTTTGAGAACAGTTTCATGTGTCGCGCACATTTTTCGGAGACAAGTTTCACGAAAAATGGACGATTGTGGAAGAATGCGATGCCTTATCGAATTGGAGAATTGAAGGAATACGAGGTACGGTGGGAGAATTTGGGCGGAAAATTTGAAATTTTTGATAAATTTCGAGCCAAGAAGCTGTTTCCTGGACTTTTTGGCCATAAATTTCAAGATTTTCAATGAAATTTTGAGGCTGAAAGCAGTTTCTGGAGCCAAATTTCTCGAATTCTGATCAAACTTGAATATTAAGCGTCAAAATTTGAATTTTTAACCAAAATTCTGGATTTTTGATGAATCCTGAGCCTGTAACCAGTTTTTGGGGTCGAAGTTTGCCACGTGGGTTTCCTGCCGCCAAAATTCTAGATTTTTGATGAATGTAAAAATTTTGATGAATTTTAAATTGCCACGTGGATTTTTTGCAGTCAAAAATCGATTTTTCGAAATTTCTCGATTCAAAATCAGATTTTTCAGCTTGTCGACGAAGATTTCCTGAATCAATCAAATGACGATGATTTTGAGGAGTCGGAAGAAAATGAGGAGGAAATTTTGAAAAATGAGATGTTGGATAGAGTTATCAAAACTGAAGAACTCGTGGAGGTCAGTTAAAATGCCACGTGGAAATTTTGAATTTAAAATTTATCGATTTTTTTGCAGATTTCTATGCCAACGCTTGATGAAATCAAACAGGAACCACTCGATTTTTAAATTTTTTTATTGTTGTTGAATTTTTTTGCACACACTTTGTTTTGTTAACTGAATTTGTTATTTTTAATTTTGAATTTTGACGTTAAAAATCCACGTGGCAAAATGTTTTGAAAAATTGAAATTTTTCGCACCAAAACCCACTGCCACGTGGATATTTCCATCCCTCATCTAATTAATCCGCCTAATTAATTAAGTAAACCAGAAAAAAATCAGGTTTTGATCTCGGCTAATGGAATTTCTAATTAATTAATTAGCAAGAAAAAATGTGTTTTTTTTTCGAAAAAAAAAGTTTTTGGTTACTGTCAAGTTAGCCTAACCCAACTATGGAAAAGTGAGTTTAAAATAGCTCGAATTTTCTTTTTCAGCCAAACATTTTGAAAATTTTCAGAAATGAACTGGAAAATGCCAAAAGTCTGGCGAAATTCGGATTTTGTCTGGCTATTATGACGTCATTTTGTACAGTAACCCTGATTCCAGCAATTTTTTTCAATATTATTGTGAGTTTTTTATGGCGAAAAATTTTGAGTTCAAATTTTTTTTCAGAAAATTCGAACCGATTTTGATGAGCAGTTTTTGAGGTGTGGTGGCAGGAATTTTGAAGAGAATTTTGGAGAATTTTCGCGCGGAAAACGGCAGGTTCAAAAGAGGATTTCGGAATTTGTGAGTTTATTTTGCTACGTGGCATTACGGTAGTTGGATTCTTGTGGTTTTCAGCACAAATTTTCAACCTTGAGCATTTTCCTGAGCTGAAATTTTGTGCTGAAAATCATAAAATACTTGATTTTCTGCAAATTTTAGTAATTTATTCATTTTCAGAACAAAATTTCGAATTAGAAAACAACTAAATTGAAAAATTGAATCCCAGAGAAATTAATGAGAATTTTTTGAAACAGTAATTTTTTTCAAAACAAAATTTTTGAAATTTTCGAAAAAAAAAATTACTAGATCACATTTTTGTGCTGAAAAACTTGGAAATCGGTGGGTTTTGTGATTTTCAGCTATTAGCTATTTCAGAACAAAATTTGAGCCCGTAAAATTTTCCTGAGCTGAAAATCATAAAAGTCGTGATTTCCAGTGAATTTATGATTTTCGGCACAATTTTTTACTCGATTATGGAGCATGATATCAAAAATTGAAAAATCAACAAATTAATGAAAAATAATTGAAACAGTAGATTTTTCAAGTATGAATTTTTATTTTCTAAATCAAGTTTGTATGCTGAAAATCATGAAAGACTTTGTTTTACTGCAAATTTCAGTGGTTTAATCATTTTCGGCACAAAAATTCAAGGTAATTTTAAAGATTTATTGAAAAATTAAACTTGCGAATTTTTATGGCTTATTTTTGAAACAGTAAATTTTTTCATAACAAAATTTTAGAATTTTTCGAAAAACCTATTTCTAGATCAAATTTTTGTGATGAAAATCTTCGAAATCAGTGGATTTTTGTTATTTTCAGCAATTTCAGCACAAAATTTGAGCATATGAATTTTCTGTGATTCAAAATTTGATGAATCTGGATCAAAATTCTAAAAAATCAACCAAATTAATGAAATAAGTTTGAAACAGTGAAAAAATTTAGCTTTTTTTTAAATTTTGAAATTTAAATTTCTGTGTTGGTAATCAGAAAAAAAAATCAGAAATTTTAAACTCAAAAAATCTATGAAGAAATTTTGAAACAGTGAATTTTTCCAGGACGCCTATCAAAGTGGCTACACTCTAACCCAACCAATCTTCGCCTCTCAAAAATATCATCATCAAAAATGTTGTCAATGCTCCCAAGGCCCTCCAGGTCCCATTGGAGATCCCGGAAAATCCGGCGAGAATGGCCTAGATGGCCCGTCGGGCCTTCCAGGCCGGCCTGGAAATGATGCACTCGAAAAAATGATCGCCGATGGTTATGTGGATTTTTGCTTTGAATGTCCGCCGGGCCTACCGGGCCAGCCCGGAATGCCTGGATTGAGAGGGCCGGTGGGAGAGGTTGGAGCGAGAGGCAAGCAGGGGAAACGGGGAGAAAGGATTCCTGGACCTAGTGAGTTTTTTTTGGGAGGGAGGGATTTGGAGAAAAAAAATTAAATGTTTCAAAAATTGATATTTTTGAATTAGGTTTGGAATTTTAGATTTTCATGGTTTGATAGAAAAATAGATAGCTAAAAATTTCACTGTTTCAAAAATTGAATAATTTTTTTCTGAAGTTGGGATTTTTTGATAAAATCAGTAGGAAAAAATCAACTGTTTCAAAAAATTGATAACAATTTTTCGCATTTGAATTTTTCTGATAATTTTTTGGTTGGTATGATCAAAAATTGAGAAATCTTTATATAAAATCTAAAAAAAATCTTAATTGAAAAATTCACTGTTTCAAAAAATGCATAATTTTTTCTGAAGTTGGGATTTTTGATTCAGTAAGCCTCGGTAATATCTGAAATTTGAATTCGAAAATTAATTTTCACAAGAGCAAAAAATTTACTGTTTCAAAAAAATGATAAAAATTTTTCACTTTTGAATTTTTTGATAGTTAAGTGGTTGGTATAATCAAAAATTCAGAAATTTTTACATAAAATCTTAATTGAAAAATTCACTGTTTCAAAAAATGCACAATTGTGAGTCCTGATAATTCTAGCCAATTTTGCATTCCAAAATTAATTTTCACAATAGCAAAAAATTAACTGTTTCAAAAAATTGATATTTTTCAAATCAGATTTTGAAATTGATACTTTCTTAACACAATAAGCACACTTATACAGTTTGTGAAAACTTTACGAACAAATTTTTTTCCACAAAAATTTACTGTTTCAAAAAATGAATAACTATTTTCCACATTTGGATATTTGATCAACCTATAATTTTCGAAAATTTAGGAAAATTATTTTTTTTTAATTTTCACTGTTTCAAAAATTGATCGTTTTGGATTTGGTTTAGAATTTTATTTTCTCATAAGATTTGATGGAAAAATAGCTAGCTAAAAATTTCACTGTTTCAAAAAATGCACAATTTTTTCTGAAGTTGGGATTTTTGATTTTATAAGACCTGATATTTTCAGCCAATTTTGATTCAGAAAATTTTCCCAATGGCAAAAAATTAACTGTTTCAAAAAATTGATATTTTTCAAATCAGGTTTTGAAATTGATATTAATCAAAAATAAGCGCAATTACAGTTTGTGAAAACTTTCCGAACAAATTTTTTTCAACAAAAATTTACTATTTCAAAGAATACTTAACTATCTTCCACATTTGGATATTTTTGATTTTTTTAAGTTCGATACAAAAATTTGATAATTTTATTGAAAATCATAGGTTTCAAGTCTTCATAGCTTTTTTTCAACAAAAATTCACTGTTTCAAAGAATTCATAACTATTTTCCACAATTGGATATTTGATCAACCTATAATCTTCGAAAATTTAGGAAAATTATTTGTTTTAATGTTCACTGTTTCAAAAAATAATTAAATTTTTATGAAAAACTCCCCAAAACAATTTTTTTCAGTCGGACCACCTGGCAATCCTGGAAAAAACGGAGCTGTTGGTAAACCGGGTCTCCCTGGAGCCCCCGGCAAAACTCACATCATGGAAGGTCCCCCAGGTCCTCCTGGAATCTCAGGGCCTGTAGGGAGCCCGGGGAGTCCAGGAGCTCCCGGGCCCACCGGGCCTCCGGGAAAGACCGGGATTCCCGGACCACGCGGGCTTTCGGGGCGTCCGGGGATGTCTGGGAAGCCGGGAGCTCCAGGAGCTCGCGGGGATCCTGGTCGAAAAGGCGATGAAGGATCGTGTAAACATTGCCCACCAGCTAGAACACCTCCCGGATATTGATTGATTTTTTAAATTAAAAAATTGTTTTCATATATTAAATAAACCCGTAAAACACAAGAAAATAAGTACAAGAATATACAAAATTACAGTCAAATTTCAGCAAATTTTTGCTGAAACTTGTCCAGACGGTGCTTCGACAAAAATATAGAAAATGAAGGCGGCGAAAAATGACAAAATCGCTACGAATGGAAGAACAATTAGTAGATGAATTGGTGACGTGGCAGTTTGTAAATAGGGCAGCCAATTGAAAATATAAACAATTGGCATGTGTAGAAGATAGGCGTTGTAGGTGAGTTTGGCGAGCATCGCGAAAATTGGTGGAGTTGGGTGACTGGAAAATTGTTTTTAACCAGAAACTTGACTGTCTAGGAAAATTTGAATTTCTCAATATTGAACTTTTTCACTGTTTCAAAAAAATCACATAATTTTTTTTTGGATTCAAAATTTTGTTTGGAAAATTTTCCTTGAAGCAAATTTTGTGCTGAAAATCGTGAAACCACTGAAAATTGTTGAAATCCAACATTCCCTCGATTTTGGTGAAATCTTTCAATTAGCAATAGAGCGCACTTGAAAATTATCAATTCTGGAGAATGTTTTATGGAAAATGAAGTGCGCTCTATCGCAAATCAGCCAGAAATCAGTAAATTTCAAAAAATAAAATTGTTTCTATTGAAAAAATTCGAAAATTCGTTATTTTTTGTTAATTTTTATTAGAGCGCACTTGAGAATTTTGATTTTCGGAGAATTTTTCAATAGAAAATGAAGTGCGCTCTATCGCAAATCAGCCAGAAATCAGCAAATTTCAAAAATTAAACAAAATGTTATTTTTCATTAATTTGCATGAGATCGCACTTGAAAATTATCATCTTTGAATTAGAAACTCAAGTGCGCTCTATCGCAAATTGGCGAGAAAATTTCAATTTTCCAATTTCAAAAACACGTTTCAATAGAGCGCACTTGAATGCTTGATTTTAAAAAATTTCAAATGTGCTCTATTGAAATTCAAGTGAATTCCAAGACTTTTCAAATTTTTGGAAAACATTTTGTAATATTTTAGCTCGATTTCAATAGAGCGCACTTCAACTTTCCTTTAAAACAGCGCTCTGTTGAGAAATTTTTGCTTTATCCCAATTTTCCCCCGCAAAAACTCACTATTCTCTTCTAAAATACAATGCCGAAATCATTCCAGCAATCGCTAATGCAAAAACATTTCGAAAAATCGCCGTATAAATCATATTATACACCGTGTTTCCCGCATCAGGCCACCAATATTCAGGAAGAATCGCATAAATCGTAGCAATTCCCAAAAATAAACTGGAATAGAATAAATTTCTCGAAAATCTCTCCGTCATTTGATATGGTTTTTGGACGGGATGCGGTGAAGCGGCGGTTGCCTGCGTGGTACTGTATCCCAAGATTAATCCAATTAAAAATGGTCCACATTTTGTATATGGTCTCGAGTACATTTCCCACAATCCCTCATAAATTCCTCGCAAATTCTCCGGATTTTCGTCAGGATATGAGATGAATGGAATATCCACATCACTTTTATTGCAAGTATTATATGAAATACAGTAACCCGCTCTGATAAATGATGATAAAATGATTGTGGATACGGTGAAAATCAGGCCGTTTCGCGGGCTTTTATGGAGAAAATGCAGGAAAATCGGGGCGGCCATGTATAATTGCATATCCAAGCCGAGATACCATAAATAACCCATACAAGTGGGCGTGGCTTGCCAATTAGAGGTGAAGGTGACGTGTGACAAAATTCCCCAGAATCCACAATTTGAGATCATTGAGGAAGTGTATCTGAAAATGGGAAAACTTTGAAAACCCGGTAAAAAACCATCAAAGCAAACACTTCTCCTTCCCCTTTTCCCCAAGCCCCGCCCCCTTCACACACAAAACATAGCGCTTGTCCGCTGCCCGTCAAACGTCGGTCACACTGTTTGCTATACATATATATATGTCAAGCTGTCTAGCGATTTCGTTCTTCCGAGAACATATACTAAAATTGGAACAATACAGAGAAGATTAGCATGGCCCCTGCGCAAGGATGACACGCAAATTCGTGAAGCGTTCCAAATTTTTCGACTAATTTTATATGAATATTTTTGAAATCCAAGCTTTGTGGACTTTTAAGCCACTGTGTTTCACTGTTTTTTTTAACTTTTAATGTTTGAGAAGCTTCTAGAAAAATCCTTCGAGGACTTTGCTAATTAGAACATGCTCTTTGAAATTAGCATAACTTATTTTTTGCTCGGACTCCACGGAGATTAAGAACACTTTTAAAAATGTTCAAATGCATGAATGAAACTTAAAATGCTCTTGCTTCACAAAAAAATTTAAGTTGAATATAATACATTTCAGAAAAAATGAAAGTGGCCGAATTCCCGACATTTCTCGGCCACCAAAAGACTTCGGCCACATATACCTTTCATTTTTTCTGAAATTTATATTCAACTTCAATAAATTTCCGAAAAAATGAAAGATATATGTGGCCGAAGTATTTTGTCGGGAATTCGGCCACCAAAATAGTTTTTCATTTTTTTTGTGAAATTAGTGCATTTTGAGTTTCATTCATCAACATCTGAACATTTTTAAAAACATTTAAAAAATTTTTTTTCAAAAAAATCCTCCTTACCTTGGCAAAAGGGCTCTCATAATCGGTCCAGAAGCAATATATACAAAAGCGAGCATACTTGGTGCAAGTCTCAAAAACCTTCTCAAAATAAATTGTCTCCAATGCTTGAAAAACGGCTCATCGCCTTTCCTCAACCACGACCTTGCCGCCAGCAATCCAGAAAGCACCAGAAAAATCTCGACACCCAGTGCAGAATTGCCCAAAAAAGCGCCGAAAACGGGATGTTCGTGAATGTCGGCCTTGAATTTTTCGGCACTCGGAAGTCGGTCCAAAATATCGACGCGGCCTTCACTTCCGGTATGATTTAGCATGACCCAAAGAATGGCGAAAAATCGAAAAATGTCGAGTACATCCAATTTCGATGTTCGTTCTGTCGTCAACTCTTTTATTGATCTTTTGATGCTGAGAATTGAGAGGATTGAAGTTGGTGTGAGAGTTGCGAAGATCACCTGGAATTTGGGAGAATTTTAAGAGATTCTGATGATTTTTTTGCCACGTGGATATTTAATTTGAAAAAATAGGGAAATTTCAAAAATTCAAGTGACAGTTTCAATTTTGAACAAAAAATAGGTGAAATTTTGCCACGTGGCATAATTTTCAAGCAGTTTTTTCAAATTTCGCACCAAAAAAATAACATATTTTCAGCTAATTGAAGATTCTGATGATTTTTGAGCTCACTTTTCTTCAATTTTTTGCCACGTGGATGAAAAAATTGGAACTTTCAATTTTGAACAAACAAATGATTTTAGAAGCGAAATCTTCAGTTTATTTTGCTCAAAATTTTGCCAATTTTCACATTTTTATCAAAAAATTCCATTTTTCCAGCTAATTGAAGACTCTGATGATTTTTGAGCTCAATTTTTGTGCCACGTGGATATTTAATTTAAAAAAAGGAAAATTTTAAGAATTCTGGTAGTAATTTTTCAATTTTGAACAAAAAATAGGTTTTTAAGGCGAAATCTTCAGTTTTTTGGTTAAATTTTGCCACGTGGCATAATTTTCAAGTTATTTGTATCAAAAATTCAATATTTTCAGCTAATTGATGATTTTTTAGCTCAATTTTTGTTCCACGTGGATATTTTTATACAAATTTCAATAATTCTGGTGGTTAGTTCAATTTTGAACAAAAAATCTGCCACGTGGATTTCTGACGTCAAAATGTTGCTATTTAGCTTCATTCACCACAAAAACTCACCACAAAAATCCACCCAATCAATGGTGTTGTCGCCATTTGCACAGAACCGCTTGTGAATTTCTCGAAAAAACACGTGGCATTGAACAACATTTTCGGTGAACTCAACGACGAATAAACCGGCACTTCACTTATCCGATCCACAATTATTGAATGCGATGACATATAGACTGCAAAAACGGGTAGATCAAAAATTATTTTTTTGTTTTTTTTTTGAAAAAAAATGGAGGTCATGGTGAAAAATTGGAGGTTTTAGTTTTGGAACAATAAGAAAAGAAAATAAAATTGTAGGCTAGATCAGATATTTTTTGAACTTTTCTCTGAGAATGAGCAAAAGGCGGCTGTTTTGTGACGTAGTCATATAAAAAATTTAGAAATGATCGATTTTTTCACCTTAAAAAATTGGGATATTTTTGAAACAGTGAATTTTTCTAGAATTTTATATTCAAATCCAGCTTCAAAAAATCTCAATGAAAAAATTTATGAAAACTTTGAAACAGTGAATTTTTTGAGAAACAAAAAATTTAACAAATAAAAAACTTTAATAAAATGTTATATCAAATTTTTGCCACGTGCATTCTATTAGACTACATTTTATCAGAAAAGATACAGTAATATAACGCCCAAAATCTAAATTAAAAACATTTGTGAAAATTTTGAAACAGTTGATTTTTTTTTTGGAAAAAAAGACTTAACAATCAAACAATTTTAATGAAATTTCATATCAAACTTCTGAAACAGTAAATTTTTGCCACGTGGATTCTATTAGACTGATTTTTTCGATGAAGATATATACAACTAACCTCCAAAAATCTCAATGAAAAAATTTATGAAAATTTTGAAACAGTGATTTTTTCGAGAAACAAACAATCAAAAATCAAAAAAATAAAAAAATTATAAATTATATCAAATTTTTGAAACAGTGAAAAATTTGATGAAAAAAAAACTATGAATTTTTCGTGGTGAATTTTGGCCACGTTGATTTTATTAGACTAAATTTTTTCGAAAAACCTCTAAAAATCTCAATGAAAAAATTTATGAAAAATTTAAAACAGTGAATTTTTCGCGAAACACACAATCAAAAATCAAAAAAATAAAAAAATAATATATTATATAAAATTTTTGAAACAGTGAAAAATTTGGTGAAAAAACTATACATTTTTAGTGGTGAAGTTTTGCCACGTGGATTTCATCTTACTTAATTTTTTTCGATAAAGATTTACAAATACAACCTCTAAAAATCTCAATGAAAAAATTAATGAAAGTTTTGAAACAGTGATTTTTCTCAAAAAGAAAAGACTTAAAGACACGTAGAAAACTAGAAATCGTTTGAAAAGCATTATTTGCATGTTTTTTATCATCCTTCAAATAGTGGAAGTACATAAACAAAATTGAAAAATATTGAGTTTAGCGAAAGTCAAAAAAAGAAATTGCCTTTTTTGAAATCGCTCAGCCGACGCGAAATTTGGTGTTTGCACAAATGTTCATGATTTGCCGCACATGTGTGCATTCTTAGCATACCGTACCACCACTTTTTATTCGTTTTTTTCTTTTTTCAAACGAACAACACACAACTTTGAAAAAAGGCGCGCGTTCAAATTTTGAAGATTACGAACACACATTTCTAGTTTTCTATGTGTCTTTAACAATCAAAAAAATTAATGAAGTTTTATATCAAATTTTTGAAACAGTGAAAAATTTTTTGAAAAAAAACTATGAATTTTTCGTGGTGAATTTTGGCCACGTGGATTTTATTAGACTAAATTGTTTTCGATAAATATTTACAAATGCAACCTCTGAAAATCTCAATGAAAAAATTAATAAAAATTTTGAAACAGTGATTTTTTTTCCAAAAAAATTATCATTAATTTTTTTATATCAAATTTTTGAAACAGTCAAATATTTCACAAAATTCCCAACCCCAAAACAATCTCAAAAATCAAAAAACCAAACAAAAATGTCCGCATTTTATACATGGGGTACAAAAATGTGTGGGGGCGGTCCCGACAAATTTTCGTTACAAAAGTCACGTAAAGCCTACGTGCCAAATACAAAAATTGTTGGTGTTTGGGCGCGGAGAGAGTGTGAGAAATGGAGAGAGCGCAGAGATTTTGATAAGAACACAAAAAAAATCGGAAGAGAAATATATTATGATGATGATGATGACAAAACTTTGAACGGGTTTTTTTTTTTTGAAAATTTGAAGGTTTTCTGATCTATGATTCCAACATTTTTTCATGGAAAATTTTGAGGGCCAAAGTGCACTAGACTTGAAAAAAATTAGTGCCTTTTCTTATCACAAAAATTTTAATCCCAGAAAGGTCGGTTGTAAGGTTTTTGGTGTTAAAAATCCACGTGGCACCAATTTTTAGTAAAAAAATTTACAACAAAATTTCATCAGCAAAAAAACAGACCGTGAATTTGATCTATCACAGCCAAAAAAGCATGAGATGATGAAAAGGCATGATTTTTTTTGCAAGAAATTGTTTCTCTTCCACTCCAAAAATAGTTCCAAAAATACACGTTCTTATCAAGGAAATTACGTGCTTTTTGCAAAACTTTCGAGGGTTTTTGTGTTGTTTTGAACGTGACTTGGTCAAACAAATTTGGGGACACATTTTTCTTTTGGTAGACACATAATGATATAATTAAATCGTGACATGTGAAAAACACGCCATTTTGATAGATCTTTGTTTTTTTCAACTTTAGCCCAAAACACTTACTTACATTTCTCTTTTGAAATCCATTATTCTGCTATTGTTGCACTGAAAAAATTCTAAAACTATTGATTTTCGAAAAAAAACGTACCTTCTCTTCCTTTCGCCATTTCCTAACCGTTGAAATTTGAGAAATGACAGAATTTCCAGCATTTTTCACGTCTGAAAATAAAAAAAATTTCAATTTTTATGTGGCCTAGTTTTTCTGGCCTAGACACCAAACGGGTTCTCGGCCATTATTTGAAATTTTCATTTTTTTTCGCTGTCCCTCTGTTTTTCCGGCTGGCGCCCTGTAAAATGTGATATTTTCAGATTATCTAGAAGATGAGCTTAGTTAGCTTGAGAACCACCGCAACTTCAATGCTCAAAATCGGAGGAGAAATCAGGTTTTTGATTTTATTTTATGAAAATTTTGCGATGATAGATTTTTGCAGCTTGGAAACACCAAAAAACTCCCACAATTTGCTGATCCATCGATTCTCAATTTTCACACGATAAATTGTCAGAAAATGCAAATTATTCTACTATAAAACCACTGCCAGCTAGCTCTCAAATCAAAACAGAATACATGATTCTCATACTCGTCGCTGCTCTAATCTCCAGCGTCTTCTGCTCCCTGATGACGGAACAACTTCAAAAGCAAATCGTGGCAGTGCACAATGATATGCGCAGCAAATGTGCTCGCGGAATATTGCAAGGTCGTGACGAGAAAATCGGTCCAGCCGCTTTCATGTGGCATATGAGATGGAACGTGAATTTCGCGCGATTAGCACAAGCCTACACCGACACTTTTCCCACTGCACACAATCTAAAACACGTGGCAGACAATTTATCCGATAATTATTACTATGCATCATCTCCCAAGAAACTAGACGCTGGAAAGACTGTGATGGAAGCGCTGAAGATTTGGCAAAACCGAGTGACGAAGAATTCATGGGACGGCAATGTGTTGACACAATCGCATTTGGCGAAAAATATGGCGGATGCTGTGAGAATGCTGTGGGGCTCGAATGCCGGTGTTGGATGTGGATTGTCAGCGAGATCGAGAGCTGGAAAACAAAACGAGTTGTTCTTTGTGTGCTTTTATGGACAGCCGATGGATGTTGGGAAGGAGATCTTCAAGAAGGGTCCAACGTGTTCGGCGTGTACGGGGACTAGAAAATGCGATAAATCGATTGGGTTGTGTAAGGGAAATTGGAGATGATTGTTTGGTTTTTGAATGAATGAATAAAATGTTGGGCACAAAGTTGATTGATTCACGAAAAGTCAAAAAATGTCAAAATTAGTTTTTCAAGTTTATCACCCAAAAATATCGACAAATCGATATTTTTGAAGCTTCTGGAGTGATTTCTGATGAAAATTGACATTGGAAAAGTTGTTGCTGATTTTTCGTAAAATAAAAAAAATTTCAGATTCCGATGAAATTTCAGATTCCGATTCCTAGCTACAACTTGTGTTGGTAAAAAAAGGTTCTCGAAGCGTATTTTCATCAAAAATCACTCCAGAAGCTTCAAAAATCTCGATTTGTCATCATTTTTGATTGACTTTTAGTGAAATCTTTCGATGTTAAAAACATTTTTTTCGAAAAAAAAATGCTGCCACGTGGATAAGTTCTTTCAAGATTTTTTTAAATACAAAGAAATTTCATTACAATAAAAAATTAGTACAAAAATTAATAAAAATTTCAAAAATTCAATAAAACGTATTTTTAAACATGACGGATGCCAAACATTTGACGAAGTTGGCCAACAGTCAAATCGGTTTCTGCAAAAAAAAAAACAACAAATAGAATTTTCCAGAAGCTCAAAAAGTTTTGAGTCAAAACTCACTCTCAGTCGCCGTTCCTTTCAAATGCATTCCACTTCTGGCGATTTTCCGAATCTCCTCATCAATACTTGTCTCAACAATCATATGATAAACTTTCATCGCATTTTTCTGTCCAATTCTTGCGATTCGACCGATTGCTTGTTGAATAACTGATGATAAATGTGTTGGATCGAGGAAAATAATGTGATTTGCATGCGTCAAATTGAGTCCATTTGCACATCTTGACAAAGAGCACAAAAGGACTCGACAATTTTTCGAGTTTTCAAATTCCGACATATTTTTTCCATAGTGCACTGTATTAACCTCAATGAATGGAACCTGAAATTAGATCATTTTCAGAACAATTTTCCTCAATTCACCTTAGCTTTTCCCAAAATCATTGTCAAAAACTTCCAAATTGGTCGTTGGATTTCGAAATTTGTGAAGAGGATGATCTTATTCTCCTCATTTTCTTGAAGAATTTCGCGGATGAGTTTGATGGTTTCCTCCAATTTCACAGCCAATGTGATTCCATCGATAACATTGGAGTTGGTTTGTTGGCGAATCGGTTGGCGGGCGATGATGATTTCGATTAACTTGAAAAATTGACAACACGTGGAACAGGCAATCGAATCAGAATGCGGGCTGAAATATATTTATGAACATTTTTTCGAATTCTTAGTTTCAGCACATTATTTTTTGCCACGTGGATTTTTAGTTTTTGTCTCCAAATTTCAGAGATACGGTAACTCGTTGTACGCGTTGCGGTCACGCGCTGCGTATATTTTATTTTTGAAATGCTCCTCTAACTTTCTCCGTTGTTAGAGGAAAATTTCGAAACTAAAATATACGCAGCGCTTGACCGCAACGCGTACAACGAGTCACCGTATCTCCGAAATTTAGCGCCAAAAACTGAAAATCCACGTGGAAAGAAAATGATGCCACGTGGCAGAAACCGTGCAAAATTCCCCTCCAAATCTCACCTCTTTCCTTTGAGTTCTTCAAAACAATCCTGACAAATCCGATGAGCACACGGAAAAATGGCCAAAACATCCAAATCTTTCCAACAAACTGGACAACAACGTGTTTCGTCGTCATCGCCTTCTTCACAACAAAGTGTGACCAAATATCGGAATTCGGTGCAAAACTGGTTCAATTTCGGTAGGAATGTTTCGACGGCTCGAGAATATCGATTATGGGCAGCCTGTAGAAGAATTTGTTGGATGTTTTGCTGAAATTTTCAGCCTGGAAACACTGTGGTTTTGATTTTTGGCTTTTAATCGAGATTTTTAATAAAATATATGATTTTCTAGTAGTTTTCGATCTTCTTATCACAATTCCGTTCTCAAAAATTGCAAAACTCAACTGCTAACATAAGTTATGACGTGGCAAAGTTGGAAATTTTCAAAAAATTGGGACTTTAGAAGGTCAGAACCATTTTTAGACGAGTTCTGATCACAAAGTCCCAATTTTTCGAAAATTTCCAACTTTGCCACGTCATAACTTATGTTAGCAGTTGAGTTCTGCAATTTAAGACAAAGGAATAGTGATCAGTGGGTCTAGAAAACGTACATTTCATTAAAAATCTCGATTAAAAGTTTGGTGAGCCAAAAAATCAAATCTACATTTTCCAGGCTGAAAATTCAACCAAACCTCTCGAAATTTTCGATCAAAATTCTCCTCGTCTGCTTTTATCGGATAACCTTTTGTCAATTCTTCCATCGTTTTTCGATTTTCAACCAATGACAAATTTCTCAACTTCTCCTCATATTTGATCAATTTGATGCAACTGTCACGAATATTTCTTGACATTCCAACAAGTCGATGTGTATATTTATGGAAACATCTGCAAAAAACTGGAAAATGAAATTTTTTCAGAAAATCTCACCCAATCTCGTCTACAAATTCCCTTTTCGGCTCTTTTTCCAAAATCATCTCAATAAACTCCGCGATTTCGAATCTTTTTCGAACATTCTCATTTTTCGGAATTCCATGAAAACTTGCCAATCCAATTAAAAATCGAAAATGTGTTAAACTATGACGAACTCGACAAATTTTACATTTCAATTTGTCTTTTTCGATTTTCCTTTCATTTTCATCAACGCAAATTCTATTGATAATTGAATGTTGACATGGAAAAACGGCGAGATTTGCATTATTGATATTGTCATAAGTTGAGAGATCTTTGAAATAATCAATCAATAATCCGAAATCATTGTTTAATTCTTGACTCAAATTCACAATATTCGACAAATGAATCGATAAATTTTTGTAGATATCGAAATTCGTTGCCAATTTATAAGTGGGGTACAATTCAGAAAATGACAAGTTATTGCAAATTCCCATACATGTTTCTTCGTTGTGATATTTGCTTACAGGTTGCCTGCAAAATTTTGAGATTTAATTTGCCACGTAGATTCAATAAACTGCCACGTGGCATTTTAGGGCCATTTTTTTATGAAAAAAATTCGAAATTCCGATTTTGGATCAGAAATTGAGAAATTCGAAAACTACAGTAACTCAAACATATTTTATATCAAAATGAAGCAAATTTAGTATCAAAATTCCCCCAAATTTCCCCCGACTTACTCCAATTTCACAGCTCCATCAGCAAAATGCTTTTTCATATCATCAAAAATCGGCCAAAATGGCAAATTCGCACAAAACTTCTCCAATTTCCTCAAATTCAACGATTTCACCAACGAATCATCGCAAATCTCTTGATTCTCATAAAACGTCGTCAAATTTTCGATGATTTTCACACACGATTTTTGATCCGCTTCTTCTTCTGAGCTCATCAAATTCAAGTGCATTTCGTCGAGTTTTGCCAAATCCGATGTCAAAAATTTGAGAATTGAAGAGTCGAGGTGTTCACGAACTTTTGAAATTCCGCCGAAATTTTCGATGATTTCACCGCCTTTTGGGGTGATTTGAGCCAATTTTTGAAGATTTCTGGAAAAATTTGGAATTTTGGGGATATCTAGGAGTTGGTCCTTGAAATTTGAACTTTCTAGTCGCGGCTACTTGAGAATAAGGTTCCCTAAGCTCGGGTTCTTGACAGAGGGGTTTTCTAAGCGCGGCCACTTGAAAAACTATGCTTTCAAGGCGCGGCTACTTGTCATAGAGTATCTAAAGACTCATCTGCTTGCCAGAATGGTTCTCTGGGCGCGGCCACTTGAAAACGATGCTCTCAAGGCGCGGCTGCTAGCCAAAAACCTACACCATCGTATGTACAATTGAATTCGTCTCAATTTCCATCGGTTTTCGAGCTATTTGTAATTCACTCGTCGATTGTTCACCAGTTTCATCTTCATCATCTTCTTCTTCTTCGATTTTTGGCATTTTCGCCGGTTTTTCGCCTAAAACATAGGGTTTTTGGTATCAAAATGATCCAAATTCTCTGACCTGTCTCATCCTCTTCCTCAATTTCAATTTGTTCAAAATCCCTATTCAAATCTTCAACAATCTCAATCATTCTCAAAACCTCCTCATATCCCTTCGCAACACCTTCAAAATTCCCATCCAACCATTGAATTTCAGCGTCGCTTATCGAACATTTGATGATTTGACGTACGATTTCTTCAATTTCTTCCTTTTTCTTGCAAATCATTCGCAAAACAATGTTTTTTGGATTCGGCATTTCGAAGTCTTCGGCTTTGCGCTTATTAATCCATACCATTCCCATATTCAAATGTTCGCCGCCTGCAAAATCGATTAATTTGATAAAACTTGTGATTCTAGGTCATGACGTGGCCTAGAAAACCAAGGACACACTGTAGATGGCCTAGAAAACCAAGTACATACTTTAGGTGGCCTAGAAAACCAAGCGCATACTTCAGGGGGTCTAGAAACCCAAGATGTGGCCTAAAAATCCAACCTATGATCTAGAAAACCAAAAGCATGCTTCTGGTGGCCTAGAAATACAAAATCTGGCCTAGAAAACCAATGACATATTTCAGGTGGCCTAGAAATCCAAAATCAGACCTAGAAACCCGAAAAACACGATTCTGGTGACCTAGAAACCCAAATTTCACCTAAAAACTCACAAGAAATCAGCGATTCCTTAATAATTCCCAAAAAGCCCATAATTTTCTCTCTTCCTTTCATATTCTTGATCAAACTCTCATCTCCAACATTTTTCACAAAATTCTCAATCACATTTCTCACTCTATCCCTCTCATTTTTGTATTGTCTCTCCTCAATCGTTGAAAATTTCACAATTTTCTCGATTTCCACCAATTCCGGCAACTTGATTTGAGCCTCAACCATCGATTTCGAATTTCTTCGCATCACTTGTGATCCCAATTTGATTAACCAACTTTGACCCGCTTCATTTTTCTCAACTTTTGCCAGGAAATCTGAAAAGATGATTTTTTTAACACAAAGGAATATTTTCCACTCAAAATCTCACCAGGAATCACAAAATTATCCCAGAACTTGTCACAACTTAGCGGCCAAAAATCGATAAAATCAAAAAGTCCGCCGAGTCCATGAATATCCTTGAGAATCGGCGTTCCAGTCATCGCCCATTTGTATTTTCCTTGAAGAATTTGGCACATTTGAGCAGGTCGGGTTGTGCCAGTCTCAACTAATTGTGATTCGTCAGCGATTAACTGCAACAAGAATTGATTTGGGGTTCAGTCTAGATTATAGTTGGACATCGACTAAATGACATTTCCAGGTTTTTTAAGCAAATGAGTTGAAATATTGGGATCTAATGTTATTCATATGATAGAATGGACAAAGAAGAACAGAATGATATAAATATAACTCGCCTTATCGACTGAATATCCACTAAACGTCGCTAAATCACTTATGGATAACGTAAAGTCATCAAAATTTACATCATTATGTTCGTCTTAGACCATTCATTTAAATTTATTTAATTTCACAATAAAAATAAAAATAGAACTAACAACACTCCACCTGCCCCCACTTTAGCAGAACCATTTTATTGATTTTTGGAAATGTTGGTTTTCCATAGATTTTGTTCATTTTAAGTTTATTTCAAAATTTGTAACTTATAATTTGTAAAATAACCTATTTTTTAATTGGTTCACTCTAGATTTTTGATAAAAAATATATTTTCTAGTAGTTTTCGACCCCTTTATCACTATTCCGCTGTTAAAAATTGCAGAATTCAACTCCCTGATGAGCTATGACGTGGAAAATGGACTTTAGGAGGTGGAAACTAGCCTCAAACATGATTTTTATGCAAATCTACATAGGGTTGATTGCATAATTTTTGAATGAGTCTTCAGAAGCCGAAATTTGGCGTACCAAAAATAATTCAATCATTTTTGAAGCTAGTTTTCACCTCCTTAATTCCATTTACCACATCATAGCTCATCAGGAAGTTGAGTTCTGCGATTTTTGCAAAAAATATTTTGCCACGTGGCATTTCAGCTGAAATTTCAGCCAAAACTCACTCTCCACCATTTGACATGATTCATCGAACTTGGCGAATATTTTCGATCTCCAGATTCCTTGAAATTTTTGAAATTCGCGTAGGGAAGTTCGCCAAACAAAGTCTCATAGGTCACAAAAATCAAGTCGTATTTTGCGATGTTGTGTGGATTCAAATAGCCGTTTTTCTTCAAGCCAAAGTAGAACTGACAATGAAAAAATGAATTCAGAATCAATGTGAAGACAACCTTCGTAACTTACCATAACTCTCAAATTCTCATTACAATGCTTAACAATTTCCTGATACCATTGCATACTTAATGTTTCCGGCATAATAATCAAAGTTGTTCCGACTTCCAATGCATCTTCTTTCGCCATACATTGCGGGCACAAAAACGCAATCTTTTCCGCATCAAACTCCATTTTCCAGCCACATTTTTGCGAAACACAAAGCTCTTTACATTTTGTACAATTTTTCAAAATTTCCGTCTTTATCTGTTTCTCTGTTCTATATTTATCTGGTGTATATGTGACAGGAGTTAAACCATTCTTTTGGCCTTTTTTCTTTTTCTGAAAATGTTTTAATTAGAATAAATAATATATAAATAGAATAGTTAATTAGCTCACATATTGCTTCCAGTCTAATTTCTCTTCTTTTTCATCATCATTTTCCTTTTTTATTTTATTATCTTTCCGATTTGAAACAATCAAGGCTAACATTTCGAGTGTTTTTCCCAATCCCATTTCATCCGCCAAAATTCCACCACTTGGAATTGATTCAACACTCAAATCTGATTTTCTGGAAAATACACCAAAAGCTGGATAATAGAAGATTGATTGAATTGGAAAACTTTGAAATAGGCCAAAGAATTCTGTATTTTTTCCATCAATTTCTCGGGAAATCATCCATTTTACAGTGGTTTTTTGATAATCCATTAGTTGACTATTTAATAAATCATCTCGAACTTGATATTTATCTTCATTTCCATTGCCAGCTTCAGGTTGCCAATCTTCGGTAGATTTTTGAAGAGCGTTGAAGAACGCGAAAAAATCCGAGCCTTCTTTCGAGTTATATCGTGGATTTGTTGGCCAAACTGCGAGAGAATTAGAATTCCATAAACTCAAGGTTGTGAAGAAGGAATTGATGGTTCTTCCAACTTTAGATTGACTTAACTCGACGATTTTTTCATCGTCAAATGATTCGAGTAAATTTTCGAATTTCGCTTGAATATCGATTTGAAATCGATTGTTTGCGGATAAACTCCATAAGAATTCAATGCCAGCTAACTTGAAATGACTGAAATAAATGACTGTATTGATACATAGCTCTTTTGAAAACATACCTTTGAAATTGTGCAGATAATTTCAATAATTTGAAGGCGAACGGTCCAATTTTATCTGCTGATAATGTTGTAACCAAATATGCATCTTTTCCAAAAAGGCTCTTTTCTTCTACATCAATAAATACGCGGATATCAGAATCTGTCTCATATTCGACATATAAAACTGAAAATTCTTTCAAATCATTCAATTCCAATGGAAATGCGAATGTTGTGAGTGAAACATCGATTGGATTTTTGGAAGATAATGGATAGAGATGTAGGATTCGATATTTGTCGATTCTGAACTTTTCTCGATTCATTTCTGAAACATACAGCTTGAAAACAGGAAAACTTTTGCAAAACAAAGAAAATAAAAAACATGTGACACCGTAGTTTTTTCAAGGCGCACATGTTTTCTTGTTTGGGTCTTGCAGCGCTGTGTGTAGCGCTCTGTTTTTCGATTTGAAAAAATCACGATTTTTTTATTTTCTTCTCTCATTTCCAAGGTTTCCCGCATTTCCCGGGGAAAATGTCGCCACGTGAATTTGTCCCCTAATGCTTATCCCTAAAAATTCCTCAATTAATTAATTTTCGATTCTTCGGAAAATCCTAATCCTATTCTTCTCCTCTGTAGATCAAAAAGTTTCATCCCTTTTTCCCGAGTGCTAATTAATTAATTGGCTGGTCAAAATGTGTTGTTCTTCCCGTATACGGTTCGTCAGTTTTTAATAGGATTTAGACGAACTTTCAAAGCACTTAAGAAAACGCGAGTATTTAAATCAAGTCCAAATGTTCATTTTTAATCCAATTTTCTCCTGGAAAAAACATGGTGTCTAGAAGCATTCCTATATTTTTTCTGATCTCGATCTTCTCCATAGTTTTGGCTGAAAATCAGCTGAAAATCGAGAAGGAAATCAATTCTGCGATTGATCAAAAACAAATCAAGGCTTCTCCCTATTACAAAGATCAAATGCTAAAAGTTCCGATATCAAGAGAAGCTGGAAAGGAATTATTACAGCATTGGACCGATCAGGCGTTTTCGGGATTGATTTCGGCGATTGCCACGAGACGGTGAGTACGGTAGGAGGCGAGCGGTACTGTAGGTGCATTTTGAGATAGAATTCAAAATTTTTCGAGATCCCGAAAAAATGCACTGTTTCAAAAATTCCTCAAAATTTTTGTGAAATCATTTTTTTTCAATTCGATGGTGTTGGTCCGGAATTTTTTTAAAAAGAAAATACTACAGTACACTGGGATTCACAGTAGAAAATTCAAAATTCGGAAAAAAGGACCCAGGGGCCTACAGTAACCCAGTTACAAAATTTTGAAATTTTATGAAAAAGTTCACTGTTTCAAAAATTCCTTATGAATTTTTGAAAATTTTGAAAAATCAATAAGATGATATCATCATCATCAAAAATAGGTAATTATCAAGTTACAGTAAGCAAAATGTACAGTACCCAGGGGCCTACAGTAATCCAGTTGTGTGAAGAATTGAATTATATCAACAGAAACACATTGAAAATTTCCTCAACACCAAACTACAAACATTCAGCGAGATAGGTTAAACTAGAGTATATTCTTATTCAATATGACTGTTTATCTTTCTTTCTCTAACTCTCTCTCTCTCTCTTCGTCACTCTTTTCTTCACTGCCTATTATTTTATTATTACTCCGCGGTTTTTTAAAATCATATTTTTTGTAATCTTTTAAATTTTATCTGTTAAAAGTTCACTGTTTCAAAAATTCTTCATAATTTTTCCGAATAACTTTTGAGCCGCTTTTTCAATCACATCACTGTTTCAAAATTTCCTCATGAATTTTGGGAATTTTCAAAAATTAATGACCGTGTAATACAGCAAGCAGAAACCTCTACAGTACCCCGGGGCCTACAGTAACCCAGCAAACGTTTTTTTCCAAAAAAAAAATTTCACTGTTCCAAAGTTTTTTCTTAATTTTTGGAATAGTTTTTAAGCCGATTTTTCAACTTCAAATTGTATGGAAAAAAATCACTGTTTCAAAATAATCTCAAAAATTTTTCTTTTTTTTCGAATTGCTCCCCAACCACACAGTGTAAATCAATTTCCACAGTACCTCATTCCAGAATCAAAGGCGCCAACACCTACAATCAAAATCGTCACGAGACCTGCGCTTCCGAATCTCACGACCTCGTACATCACGCAAAATGTCTAGTGGAACTCGAGAACGCTCTGAAGTCTCAGCACAATTTGAAAAGACGGAAAATGCTCAGATCAAAGAAAACGACTAGAAAATCAAAGAAATGGGTTGGCTCCTTTAAAACTCGCGCCAAAAGAAGCATCAAAAACGTGGCAAATTATCAACTGAAATCTGAAAATGATCGAAGTCCATTTGGAATCATCACAAAACATCTGACAAACACTGTGAAGATTTTTAAAAATAAGAAAAATTTGGGGAGATGGCAAGATACGATAAGTCGGATTCAAGAAAAAGCTGAAAATTTGAAAGCAAGAGATAAAGCTGAGAAAATTGCGAAAAAGCGATTTGATGTATTTCGAAATGGTGTCAAAAAATTGCGGATGAAAGATGAGCCAAAAATCATCAACGAGCGCAGATTCGCCGATCCAATGCTCAAAAAATATGAGAAAATCGAGAAATTAATTGAAGACGAAGATTTGCGCGAAGCTTTTCATGCGAAAACGCAAAATATGACGGATGAGGAGAAAATTATGATGGCACCCGTGGAAATTATTCGAGAGGTTGCGAAGCTGGGATTGGCTATGGGTGGCAAGAATACAAGTGATTTTGATAGGAAAAATGTGCGGATGATTAGCCCCAAATTTATGAGCATTTTGCCTGAGGATGAGGAGCAGAAGGGGAATGCGGTGGGTGGATTTTTGCGAAATTTAAAATCGGGTTTCCAAAAAATTTTGGATTTCTTATAGAATCATAAGCACCTGATTCAGTTTCAAAATTTTTATATTAAATTTTTTGAAGCAGTAAATTTTTTTCTATGTACAAAATAATTTTTTGAGCTCAAATTTCTGAATTTTCATAACATTTGCCACGTGGATTTTTTCTCCACCTGAAAATTTGGTTTCTCGAATTCTGAAATCAATTTCTAAAAAAGTAAAAAAATTGTGATTTGAAATTTTCGAAACAGTAGTTTTTTTCCTCCAATTTATGAATTTTCGAACGTGGATTTTTGCCACGTGGAATTCTGGAAAAAAAAATTTGAATTCAGATTTTCGAATTTTCCTTGAAATTTTCGACTTCATTAACACGCATAAGCACTTGTTTCTGTTTTGAAAATTTTTATAATAAATTTTTGAAACAGTAAATTTTTTTCTATGTACAAAATAATTTTTTGAGCTCAACTCTCTAAATTTTCAAAACACTTGCCACGTATATTTTTGTCACCTGGAAATCTGGTATATGGAATTTTAAAACTAATTTCTGAAAAAGTGAAAAATTGTGATATGAAAATTTTGAAACAGTAATTTTTTCTATGTATCAATAATTTTTTGAGCTCAAATTTCTTAATTTTCAAAAAATTTGTCATTTGAATTTTTGCCACCTGGAATTTTGGTGCAAAATTTAAATTCAGGTTCCCAGCCGAAAAATTAGATTGAATATTTTCAAACACATACAGCGCTTTCTTCAATTTTGAAAATTTTTATATCAAATTTTTGAAACAGTAATTTTTTCTATGTATCAATAATTTTTTGAGCTCAAATTTCTTAATTTTCAAAAAATTTGTCATTTGAATTTTTGCCACCTGGAATTTTGGTACAAAATTTAAATTCAGGTTCCCAGCCGAAAAATTAGATTGAACTTTTTTTTAGAATTTTTTAGAAATTTTCAAAAATCTTATAGCGCTTGCCTCAGTTTCAAAAATTATGATATGAAAATTTTGAATCAATAAATTTTTTTTCATCAAAAATTTTGTTCTGAAACATTACAGAACGATTATTTTCAGAAGCTATACAGGTTTTTCAAAAGTTAAAAAATTTTCTGAAATTCGCGTGTCAAATTTGAGACTTCATTAAAACACTTTACGAGAGCGTCTAATTCAAAAATAAATTTTGATATGAAATTTTTGAAACAGTAATTTTTTTTAATCAAAAATGGTTTTGAGCTCAAATTTCTGAATTTTCAAAACATTTGCCACCTGGATTTTTGCCACCTGGAAATCTGGTGCAAAATTTGAATTGAGGTTCCCAGCCGAAAAATTAGATTGAACTTTTTTTTTAGAATTTTTTAGAAATTTTCAAAAATCTTATAGCGCTTGCCTCAGTTTCAAAATTATGATATGAAAATTTTGAAACAGTAAATTTTTTTTCATCAAAAATTTTTTTGAAACATTTCCAGAACGATAATTTTAAAAAGCTATACAGGTTTTACAAAAGTTCACAAATTTTCTAGAATCCACGTGTCAAATTTTAGATTCCATATAAGTCTTTAAGGATGCTTAAGCGGCTAATTCAAAAATAAATTTTGATATGAAATTTTTGAAACAGTAAAATTTTTTTTCATCAAAAAGGGTTTTGAGCTCAAAATTTTGAATTTGGGAGATTTCCACGTGGATTTTTGCCACCTGGAAATTTGGAATAAAATTTAAATTAAGGTTCCCAGCCGAAAAATTAGATTGAATTTTTTTCAGAAATTTTTTTGAAATTTTCGAATACTTGAACGCTTGCTTCAGTTTTAAAATTTTGAGATGAAAATTTTGAAATAAAATGCGTCAAAAAAGAAGTCCTTACAAAAGCGACTAATTCAAAAAAAATTTTTGATATGAAATTTTTGAAACAGTAAATTTTTTCCACATTTTCGCATCTAAAATCGCCACGTGGATCCATCAAAATCAGCAAATAAATTTCAAATTTTTCTTCAGATCGACATATTCTCGCCCTCCCTCTTCTCTCTTCACGATTCCGGCTCCGGCTCAGAAAAAGACGCCTCTCTCAAATCAATCCTCGGAAAAACCACACTCGATTCACAAGACACTCAAAACTTAATCGATTTCCTCGTCGAAGCCACCGGTGTCTCCGAAGCTGTCGAAGAAGCCGAATCGAAAATCCAAAAAGCGACCAGGCTGAAAGATGAGGCCATGGGAAGAGGTCCCGACGGCCAGCCACTATATTTTACCAAGAAGAATATCACTGAAAAATTCCCGAAGGAGGCGCCGAAAATTGAACTTTTCGAAAAATTGGATAAAACTTATACTGTAGAGCAGCTGAAGGAGATGAATCAAACCGGTTATACGATTTTGAGCCCTGAGCAGATGAATTTGGTTTATGGGAAGAAATCACCATTCCGAAATGCTAAATTAATGAAAACTTATAAAAATATGACACGAGATGAGATTCAAAGAGCAATTCATCATCAAATCGATGATGTTGCCAAGGAAAAACTCAAATTCGAGGTATCCAACTTAGCCTAACTTCCTATTCCCATTTTTTTTCACATAGAAATTTTGCAGGTTCGTCAAAAGGACATTGTACTTTCACCGATTGTCAACACCGTTCTTCTTAATGCGCCCGAGGTAAGAAGAAATAGCTAATTAAGTGATTAATTAGTGATCACGATGTTTTGGGGATAGACAGACAGGATGTTTTTTTTTTGGGGGAAAGAAACTATTTCCAATTGACAAATTGAGATTGGAGATATTTTCGGGGGGAATTGTGGAATTTTTGAAACGTAGAAAATTGGGGTGGGAGAATAGGCGTTCTAGGCGCAGCTACTTGGAATAGAATCTCAAAAGGCGCCGCTACTTGACAACTTAACTCTCTAGACCCTGTTCCTTGACAGCTATCATATACAGGCGCGGCTACTTGAAAACCAGATCGTCTAGTCTCGGCTGCTTGGCAACTAGGATTCCTAAAATCGGCTACTTGGCATTTGCGTTCTCAAGGTATCTTAGCCGTAATGCGTTCACAAGTAAAATACTGTAGTTTGGTATATGAACCGCGACGCACTCGCAACGCAACGAAAGGATAAATTTAACCTTGAGAGGAATATTGCTCAAATTAGGAAGTGACTAGAACCTATTGTGAAACGTAATTTTTACAGGAGGAAAATTTTCGAATTTTGGAAAAGTCTAAAAATAACTTTAAAAAAACCAAACCACTTCCCAGATCGCCTCCCAACCAATCATCCTCTCTCCCGTCCTCATGGTCCCTCTCATCCAATCTCCCGCGGTTTTCGGCGCAGTCATCCTATCCCCCTGGCTCTTCGTCCCCGTCATCCTGTCACCCCGTCTTCTCAGCCCAGTCATCCTCGATCCCTTCATGTTCGTCCCAATCATCCTATCGCCCTTGGCACTCGACCCAGTCATTCTATCACCAGGGATCTTCAACCCATTTGTTCTATCACCCCTGGTCCTCTCACCTTTTATCCTGTCACCCCAAGTTATGACACCCCTGATCCTGTCACCTTTTGCCCTCACACCCTTGATTTTGAACCCTCTGCTATTGTCCCCTTTGGTGTTATCACCATTTGTCCTATCACCCCAAATCTTGTCCCCGCAGTTTGTCACAGCCATTATCCTATCACCCTACGCCCTATCTCCCGCCATAAAATCCGATGGTGCAATGGTAACGGTGTTCGCCTCACCAAGTTGGCTATCATAATAAAGTTTTTGCTAGTTTTTCGGCGTACAGGAAAAAAATCTCGCGGGTCTCCTAACTCATCTACACACCTAACAAATTTCAGGTTGCTTCCCAACCCATCATCCTCTCTCCCGTCCTCATGGTCCCTCTCATCCAATCACCCGCGGTGTTTGGTGCAGTCATCCTATCACCCTGGCTATTCGTCCCAGTTATCGTGTCTCCCCGTGTCCTCAGTCCTATCGTCCTGGATCCCTTCATGTTCGTCCCAATCATCCTATCACCACTCGCATTGGACCCTGTTATCCTATCACCCGGCGTGTTCAACCCTATCATCCTGTCACCATTGGTTCTTTCACCGTTCATTTTATCGCCACAAGTTATGACACCCTTGATCTTGTCACCGTTCGCCCTCACACCTTTAATACTAAACCCTCTGTTATTATCCCCTCTGGTGCTATCACCATTCGTCCTATCACCTCAGATATTGTCCCCACAATATGTCACCGCTATTATCCTATCACCCTATGCCCTATCTCCCGCCATTAAATCAGATGGTGCTATGGTGACCGTATTCGCGTCACCAAGTTGGCTATCATAGGGTGTGGGAAAGTTTAGTTTAACTAATAAAATTGTCGGGGGTTTGTAATCGGGAACCTTTAAAAGGTAAAAAAAAATTAATAAATATTCTTCGGTCCTTTTTGTTAAATACATACTCAGTACAAATTACAAGTGTTAACCCAAACGAAATTGGCCTGAAGAATACGTCTAATCAACCACACCCGGAAATTAAAAAAAAATACCTGGGGTAAGTCCACCAGACCAAGGATCTATTCATAATAGAAATAAGACCAGGCTTTGGGTCCAGGCCTAGGCTTAGATTTGTTCTAGTCAGGCTTAGGCTACCCTGTTCCGATTTAAAACATTAAAAAAAAATAATAAGAGGTTCGTCCAACTCAGGAGGCTTCTGCAAAAGCTAACAGTATCCGAAGAGTGATGTTCATAGCTTCAACATCCGCATTATTGAATCAGACCAAAGGAATCAGAGCAGGTTGTGATAAACCTTCTGAACCTTTTCGATTTGAAAACATATGCCAAGTCGGACAATGTCCTGTCCTTGAACATTGCCTAAACTTGTCCTGGCTCGAACATGGCCGAAAGCCATAAAACCAACCAGCTCCACCCTTGTACATACCCAAGCTTCCGTATCAGTGATACGATATCACACATATCTTGCAGCCTCCGTAAACACATTTCAGATCGCCTCCCAACCAATCATCCTCTCTCCCGTCCTCATGGTCCCTCTCATCCAATCTCCCTCAATCTTCGGACCAGTCGTCTTATCCCCCTGGCTCTTCGTCCCAGTTATCCTCTCACCCCGTATAATGAGCCCAATCATCCTTGATCCTTTCATGTTCGTCCCAATCATCCTCTCCCCGTTGGCTCTTCATCCAGTTATCCTATCTCCCGGTGTCTTCAATCCACTCGTCCTATCACCATTGGTTCTCTCACCGTTTATCCTGTCACCTCAAGTTATGACACCTCTGATCTTGTCACCCTTCGCTCTCACGCCCTTGATTTTGACCCCTCTGTTATTGTCCCCTCTGGTTCTATCACCTTTCGTCCTATCACCCCAAATATTGTCCCCGCAACTCGTAACTGGGATCATTCTCTCACCCTACGCTCTATCTCCCGCCATTAAATCCGATGGTGCAATGGTGACCGTATTCGCCTCACCAAGTTGGCTATCATAGTTGAAAAAAAATTTGTTGTAATAACAGGTTACCTATCTAATAAATCATTTATTTATTCATTTGGTTTCAAAAAATGATTGTTGCTGATATTTATGCCCGGCTCATTTTTCGTCTGCGTTGTCGTCGACAGCTGAAACTTAGCCTAACTTAGATTACTGTAGTTTTGCTGGCCATTGACTCACCGCATTTTTCTGACTAAAGATCCGTTCTAAAGGAAGCTGTCCATCCCGCCAATCATAGATCGCATTACTTAGGCTAAGTATGCTTAGGAAAAATATTAGGGAACTTAGTGTAACTCTCATTATAATTTTTGGTATCAATTAAATGAAAAAAAACCTTTTATAATAGTTTGAAAGTAGTTGGGTAAACAGGAAGAGATTAGAAAGTCACGACGCATAAACTAATATATTTTTTATGCGATTAGGTTTTGAACACCTTTCAGCGAAAAGATCTATTCCAAAATTTGCCACCTACCGTATTCCAGGCTTTTCACCTGCTGAAACAACAGCTGAAATTCAAATTTCGGTTTCCAGTTTCAATCATTCCAGCTTCTTGAAAACCTAGGAGTAAGACGCTGATGACAAGATCGAAAAGGAGCACGATTTTTGTGCTCCTTTTACTCGCCCAATTAATTCCCACCACTCATTTGGTGAAGGTAAATGAGATTGCGACTATTATCTACGACGATTACGGTGACGATACTGAAACAACCACTGACGGTAGGTCGAATTTGGGTGGTTTGCGTTAGAGCGCACTTGGTGGGATGGGGGAAAGCGTGGGATCGAAATAGTAAACAAAAATCGGTACGGGGGAAATAAAAGCACACGTAGTTAAGTGGTAGCGCTCCAGTTTTTTGTTCAGAACGTGGTGGGTTCGAGTCCCCGCCCGAAATTTTTTTTTATTTTTTTTTCAAACTTTCTCACATAAAAACTGATTTTTGAAACGTACACAGATAATTGAAAATCATTATACACACCTCAGCTAACTAATCATACCTTTCTCTCTTTCTGTCTCCAACTTTTTTTTCGACTTCTTCTTCTTGTTCAAAGTTTTTTCTTTGTTTTTGCATTATTTATTTATTTACTCATACAAGTTGAGGGAATTGCCGTTGTTTTTCATTTTTGGACAAGACAAGACAAGAAATTTTCAGAGAGAAAGAAAAAACTTTGATTTCAGCGAGTTCTGAGAAAAATTGAATTTCAGCTGCGCGCGCATGATTTTTGGCGTCACACTTTTCTTGATTTGAGAAATTTTTGAGCCTTTTTTGTTTTGTTGAAACAAATCTGCTCTATTGATAAAAAATTCATAAAATTTCTTGATTATCATTAGAGCGCATTTGCTTCTTTCTCTTTTCAACAAATGTAAAAGCAAGCGCGCTCTAATGACAATTGTAAATTCCATTCGAAATATCCAGAAACACACGAAGTTGTCATTAGAGCGCATTTTCTTTTTCTCGGATCCCCTCTCTCTCTCTCTTGACGCAAATGCGCTCTAATGACAATTGCAAATTTCATTCGAATATTCGAAATATCCAATAAACCACGTATTTGTCATTAGAGCGCATTTGCTAATTCTCATTTTGTTTTTGTATTTATCTCGCACCCTCTCTCTCTCTTTATCTTTGTGCAAATGCGCTCTACTGACAAATGTGAATTTCAATCAAAAATTCAAATAACCTCAAACTCCGAAAGTTTATCTTCAGAGCGGATTTGCTTCTTCTATGTTTTCTATGAATCTCTTACTCTCTGTTATGCCATATGCGCTTTAATGATAACTGGAGAATCAAGTTTAAGTTTCAAATAATCCAGAAACCCACAGTGGGTTGTCAGTAGAGCGCATTTGCTCATTCTCATTTTGTTTTTGTATTTTTCTCTAATTCCCTCTCTCTCTCTATCTTTGTGCAAGTGCGCTCTATTGAAAAATTCAAAATTTCTGTAGTTTTCAATAGAGCGCATTTGCATTATTCTCTAATCCTCTGCTATTTCTTCCTCTTCTGATTTCCAAATTCAAGGACTCAAAAATGGCGGACGACGCCATTTTGGTGGTGTCCGACGGTTCTGATGACGTCACAACCACCACAGTCTCCTCGATTCTTACAACGATCGCAACAACATTGCTCATCTCAACTAGCACACCACAAGCTCTTCTGAACACCACAAAATATCCGCCGCCAAAAAATTGGACACCCCAAAATTCGGAAAATTCGACACGAAGACCGCGTTGGTTTTTTTTTTAGATTTTCACTTTTCACCTGTCACACGGTCTCCTGACTCAACAAAAAAAACATGTTGAATTCAGCTGTCTCTCTACAGTATTCTGATTTTTGGCTCAAAAAATCAGATTACATAAATATCAGCTGCTTTGAGCCCCCCTAATTTTGCTCGCGCGCCCCAAATTTTATTATCTAGGCGTTGTCAAGGTGTTTTTTGTTGCGGAGCTTGTGAGCCTAGGGGTACGGTAGGTAGATGAGCAACATCTTGCTCATTTCTTCTCTCTCTTCAAGCTCACTGACTGAATTATAATTTGCGGGTTAGTTTTTGTCTTATCTTTTGATTTTGCTTTTCACTTTTCAACAAGCAAAAAAAAAGTTTGAGAGGATATTTTGTGTAACACTTTTGCTCCGACACAACCTAGTCACACACAAAAACTAATCAATCTCTCGCTAATTTTATTACTAAATAGAACCTGGCTCAGGCTTAGGCTAACTGATTTTGGAGCTGGTTAGAGCTTGAGATATTATGGACGAGTTAGTTAGGAACTTGAAGGCCGATGATTATTTGAATGTTCTGAACATTTTGAATCACTATTTTCTGTGGAAACAGCAAGGCCAGGTGGATGAGGGTAAGGTTAGGGGAAGGTTAAGGGCCTAAAAATCATTTGAGGTCTTTAGGAGTGATTTCGGGGATTGACGAACCCCATTTTTGATTTAAGGAAGTCACAAGAGGTTTTAGGAATTTTGAAAAATTTTCAGGGCTTCTGGGAAACCCACGAAATCCAAAAAAAATCTAGAAAACGTGCTGCAGAAAAAAATTTTTGATATAAAACATTTTTGAAACAGTGAACTTTTTGGATGAAACTCGGGCCCTAGAGGAATCAAATTTATGGAACACTCAGAAGTTTTTTGAAGAAATTTTGAAACAGTGAATTTTTTAATCAAAGGAAATTTTGACTGTTTTCTAATTTTTGCGCAAAATTGATGTGGAATTTCAAATATATCAACAACGTAGCAGCAATACACCCAATATTTTGGAAAATTTTTGAAACAGTGAATTTTTCTCGATAAAAAATGAGAAGATACTCACTTTTTTCAAAATTAAGACAATTTCCGCGAATAAAAAATTTTGAAATGAATATTTAAATTTTCTTGTTGGATTTTTCACGTAAAAGTGACGGAAATTAAATTAAATTTCTTAATTTCTTAATTTTTCTCGGGTCATAGACACAATTCAGTACTGAAAAAAATCTTCCAATTTTTCAATTTTAAGATTTTTGAAACAGTGAATTTCTGAAACTAAAAATCGGGAAACGTCACGGAAATCAATTTCTGAAAATTCTGAAACAGTCAAAAAATTCATTGAATTGTTTTTGTCCCCTCATCCAAAATTTTCCAGACATGGGTGCCACAGTCTCCTCAATTGTTCCCGACCAAGTCGCCTATGGTGTAGTGGCCTGTATCACCGTCGGCGTGCTAATAATCATGCTCTACATGGCACTTTTCGGCCAGCGAATTCGAGCAACCGCCGCCAAATGGCACGTGGTTAATGTCAGCGTGTGGGGCATTTTGCATCTGGTGAGTGATATGAGCAATGGGTTGTACATAGCAGAGATCACCAGCAGCTGACGTTCGAACATTTATATTTTTTAAAAAATGAGATTTTCAGGCCGCCTACTGTTCGTATGCCACCAAAGCCCCTTGGCCTGGTTATATCACCAATACAGATATCACCAAAGCCTCGCAACAAGTCGAATGCATTACTCGTTCAGTTTTCCCAGCCGGCATGATTTTCGTGTATCTCGAACAAATCATCCTAACAATTGCACCAAGATTGGCCAACTCGCTGATCTTCAACACCATCTTCTTCATTCTGCTCATTCCGTTTTTGAATCTCGTCTTGGTTTTTCTCTATTATGCACATGTGAGTTGTGTTAATCAAACCAACCAAAAAAAACTTGTTGAGTAATAAGAATTGGGTTTTATTATAATGTTAGATTTAATTAGATATTTCGCGCGCGCTCGCTCGACTAAACATCGGTTTTTGAGACGTTTTTTTTTGAGAAGTTTGGGGGAAGTTTTGAGAGCGGGGGACTGAAAATGAGTGTGACGTAGTCAAATTTAAAAATAAAAAAATCAAAATTTGAAAAAGTTTGGCAAACGTGACGCCTGGTTAGAGAACTTGAGCACAAGATACAGACTGACAGAGTACTCAAGATACAGACCGACAGTGGAACAGGGGAGTGATAGAAGCAGACAGCTAGAGTTTGGTCAGAGATAAGAGATGCAGACAGGTTGGTTAGAGAACTTGAGCACTCAAGATACAGACTGACAGTGAAACAGGGGAGTGGTAGAAGCAGATAGAGCTTGATTAGAGATGAGAGACACAGACAGCTAGAGCTTGGTTAGAGGTAGACACACAGCTGAAACCTTTAAAAATTTGAGAGATGCAGAGAAACATACTCCTGGCAGAGGCACAGACTGTCAAATAAAAATATATTGAAGGGAAAGCTAGAGCCTAGACGACGAGAGTAGGTAAGAGATATAGAGTGGAGCTACAGCTAGATCCACTTTCCTCAGGTTGAATTTTGAGAGACGCAGAGAAACATACTCTTGGAAGAGATACAGACTGCCAGAGCCAAGAGTCTAGACGACGAGAGTCTAGACCTCGGTCAGACATGTAGAGTTGAGAGTGATAGTGAGCTGAAGAGACGCAGGCAGCTAGAGTTTCTGGAAGAGCTACAGATTGCCAGAAACAGATATAGTTAGTTAGAGTCCAGACAACGAGAGTCTCGGGCCACTAAATTTAGTTAGAGAGACGCAGACAGCTAGACTATTTTTTGCAGTTCATGGACTACGATTGGTGGTACGAACCAGCCGATCTCTTCAACCTGGGCACCTACGTTCTCTTCGTCACCTTCACCATCATCTATTTCCTCTTCTGCCTCTTCGGAACATGTCTCTGTTGCGCAACTCTCACCTCCAACAAACCAACGTCGCGTACAGTCGGCACATTTGCCGATATGTGGCTGTTGTTCCCCTACGGTATGATCCCATCAATCATGTACGGCCCGAGTTTTGGTATGACAAGTGTCAGCTTCGCCATGAAATATCTGTTGACTTGGGTAATGGAATCGGGATTATTGGGCGGCGGATCGAGTAGCTCGGGTGGCTCGGCGATCAATATGAACCTGATCATTCAAGTGATGACTAACGCGATCCTGGCGATGCCCTGGTTTGTTCTACTCTTCCCGTTGGTTGAAGCCGTCTTGACATTGGTATGCATTCGTATGTTCCGCGAACAATTCTTCTTCACAATGGCTTGCGGTCGGGTTTATGAGGGGCAAAAGGGGAGAGTTGGAATCATCAATAAACAACCTGAAGAATGGGCTGGACCACCGCCAATTTATCCGACTTTGAAACCAGAATAATTTGAGATCTCGTAGTTTTTTTTGAGAAAAACATTGTGATACTTACTTGTATGTTCTGTGATTTTGATCTCTCTTTGTGATGAAAAACTTCTGGTGAATAAATCGTTTGATTGTTAATTTTGGGGGGGAAATTTCAAAATCTTAAGGTCTAAAGGTAAATAAAAACAAAATGTATAGTTATGTTTATTCCCGTTTTGTTTGATAAACAAAAAAAAAATAATAGTTTAGTTTTCTTATCACCAAACTTGACTTATATGTGGGAAGCAGCAGCTGATTTTCGAAAATATTTGTCTTGTTTTGAACCGGTTTTCTTCCTTTCTTGAGAATTTTTTGTTGTGAAAAATTGAATTTTCAGAGAGAAAATGAGCCCGGAAGATGAAAATGAGGTCGAGTGGGAAAAGTGAGTTTTTTGGGGGGAAGAATAATTTACTGTTTCAAAAATTTTTGATATTCAAATTTAGTTTTGATTTATTGCTCCGGTTCTTTAACTGTTTTGATTCTAAATTTCAAAAAAAAAATTCACTGTTTCAGAAATTTCATAAGTTTTATTTTTAATTTTTCGGTCGATTTTTCGAGTCATAAGTGCAAGCAACAAAAAAGAACTCCCTATTTTTCAGTTTCAGAAATTCACTGTTTCAAAAATCTTAGAATTGAAAAATTGGAAGATTTATTTCAGTATGAGATTGTGTCTGTAAACCAAAAAAAATTTAGAAATATTGAAGTTTAATTTAATTTCCGTCACGTTTACGTGAAAAATCCAACAGGAAAAATATAAATATTCATTTCTAAATTTTTTATTCGGAGAAATTGTCTTAATTCTGAAAGAAGTGAGTTTCCTTCTATAAATCACAACGTTCCGAAACGCAATTGGGTGAGAGGAGAGAGATTCTATAGAAAACATACGTTTTTAATGGGCAAACGTGCTCCAATGAGAACAAAAACTCAATTTTTTCGAACATTTTCTGAGAGGTCGTTCAAACGTATTGCCGACATTGATCAAACAAATGGCCAAGCGCTATACACACATGTATTAATTTTCTTTCTTTTTTTGAAAACTGAAGCGAGGCGACAAGAGTTCACGCGAATAATCAACAGAACGTGAATTCTTTTATGGTTTTCTCTAAATCTCTTCCTCTCACCATTTTGCATTTTATCATTAGCCTAAAATGTTGTATAAAAAATTCACTGTTTCAAAAATTTTCCAAGTTATTGGGTGTAGTTTTTGAATTGCTCCTGTATTTTTTGAATCCTTTAAAATACCACATAAAAATTCGAAAAAAATTCACTGTTTCAAAATTTCTTTTAATAAATTCTTTTTAAAAAAATCGTGTTAGTTAAATTTTGTATCAAAAAATTTTTGTGAAAAAAATTTGATCTACCACATTTATTTTCGCGGGAAAAATTTTCTTTGGTTATAAAAATTCACTTTTTCAAAAATTTCCCAAAAAAACATTTTTCTTTTATAAAAATCGTTTGGTTTTTGTAGTTTCAAACTAAATTTTCGCACCAAAAAATGGATTTCCAATTTTTTTCCCAACAACCTTGAAAACCATCTGCTCTTTCACATCATTAGGTTGCCCCAAGAACAATTCCTAGTTAGGCTAACTCATGCGCGCCATTTTTCATTTTCTCCTCAAATTCCTATTTTTCTTCTTCTCCAAAAAACCTAGTTCATCTTTTTTGTCGTCGAAAAAAGTGTGGTAAATTCCGAATAAACACCTGTGATTTTTCACTGTTTCAAACGAAAAATTGACCATTTTTTCAGTTTGGAAGAAGCAGATGTTGAGGCAGATGATGAAAATTCGAAGAATTTGATGAAGGAACAACAGACTGACGATTTTTGGCGCCAAATTGAAGCAGATGATGAAAAATATACGGAAGAGTTTGGTGAGTTATACTAAATAGAATATTCTGAAATGACACCTTGGCGTCATTTTTCCTCGTTTGAATTCGTTTCCATTGAAACCAGGGAGATTTCTAAACATAAAGGTGGGTGACGTGGATTTTTTGGTGCGGAAAATTTACTGTTTCAAAAAATATTGAATTTGAAATATATTTCTAGGGTTTTTGATAGAAAGTCAAAATTTTGAAAAATTATTTTGAAAAAAAATTCACTGTTTCAAAAATAATGCTAAATTTGACCATTTTTGAAATTTTTGTTTTTCTTCCTCTTTTTGAAAAATTTGTTAGTCATGACGTGGAATTTTTGAGAAAGAAAATCTGAAAACTTAATTGCAATAAAATTCACTGTTTCAAAAAGTACTAGAATTTGAAATTAGAAAAAAACTAATATTCGCATTCCTGTGATACTAAAATAGTTATGACGTGGATTTCCGGCATTTTTGAAATTCGAAATCAAAATTATTTTGGGAAAAAAATTCACTGTTTCAAAAATAATCCTGAATTTGACCATTTTTGAAATTTATTTGATGCTCCGAAAAAAATTGGCGAGGCATGACGTGGATTTTTGGGGTGAAAAAAATCAGAAAAATTAATTACGATAAAATTCACTGTTTCAAAAAGTACTAGAATTTGAAATTAGGAAAAAATAATATTGAAAATTTTATGCAAGACAAAAATAGTTATGACGTGGATTTTTTTGGGACAAATTTTTGAAATTCGAAATCAAAATTATTGTAGGACGAAAATTCACTGTTTCAAAAACCATCGTAAATTTGACCATTTTTGAAATTTATTTGATTCTCCGATGGAAAATTTTGTTAGTCATGACGTGGATTTTTGTGGTGAAAAAAATCTGAAAACTTAATTGCAATAAAATTCACTGTTTCAAAAAGTACTAGAATTTGAAATTAGAAAAAATCCAATATTAACAATTTTCTACATCAAGTGTAGTTATGACGTGGATTTTCTGGAACCGATTTTTGAAATTCGAAAGCGAAATTATTTTGGGAGAAAAATTCACTGTTTCAAAAACCATCCTAATTTGACCATTTTTGAAATTTATTTGATTCTCCGATGGAAAACTTTTTTAGTCATGACGTGGATTTTTAAGGTGAAAAAATCTGAAAAATTAATTCCAACAAAATTCACTGTTTCAAAAATAATTCTAAAATTGAGGAATTTTGGGAATTTTTGATACTTTCTTTATAAGTTTTCGGATTTCTGATTAAGATCTTCGTATTTTTCTTTTCAAGTAGTAGATTTCTAACCTGTTTTTCATCTCCTCTATTTATTCATTAATTAAGCTAATTAACTAAAATTCTGAAGTTCTATTAATTTTTTTTTCGATCTACAAAATCACTTGTGATCAAAAAACATTTTTTTTCGAAAAAAAATCCGAAAAGGACATTCAGATTTGGATTATTCAGAGAAACTGAACTTTTTGATTTTTTTCAAGGTGACAAAATCCACTTTTCGGCAAAAAGTGGTTTTTGAAACTTTTTTTGCATTGAATTTTCTGACCCACTCAAAAATTGTATGTTTACATTATTCTTATGTTCGAAAATTTTTTTTCAAAGTGAAAAAAAACGGTTTTTTTTGAATAGAGAAAGAAAATGTCAGCGGATTGTTATCGGCAACGAATTTCAGGCAGTTTTGAGGTCTATAATTTTGGTGAGTTAGGAAAACTTCTGGAATCTTTAATAGAAAGCTTTAATTCTTCTGAATATAGCTCTGGAATTTTGAATTCGGAATTCTCCCGCCAAAAACTTAATTTCAAAAGCTTCAAAATTTGAATTCAAATCTAGAATTTCACTCCAAAAATCCACGTGACAAAATTGTTCCTCCTGAAAAACCAGCCAGATTAAAATTGTTTTCGCCAAGCCAAAAAATGTCTCCCAAACTCCTGTTTTGCTCCATTTTTTGCTCAAAACCTACCTGATTTTCTTCCGAAATATTTACTTTTCCTGCCTACTCAAAAACAACAAAAAATTCGGGTATTTATTTATTTTATTCACTTTTTGTTGTTGTGATGAACACAGGAAAAATTTAGTAGTTCAATAAATTTTTATTGGTCACACTTTTTGAATCTTTTCGGGTTTCTTTGTTGAATTTTTAGCCCGAAAATCTTTACGTGAAAAAATTCTCAAAAAAAAATTCAAATTCAAATCTTCCCGCCAAAAAATCCACGTGTGAGCTTCCAAAATTTTAAATTCTAAATTTTTAGCGCTAAAATTTTCCACGTGGCAAACAATTTTAAATTTCAAATTCAAGTTTTTTAGCGCTAGAATTTTAAATTTATTTGTTCACGTGGATAAATTCTAAAAAAAATTCAAATTCAAATCTTCCCGCCAAAAAAAATCCACGTGGCAAAATTGTCCCAAACAACAACCTAAACATTTTTATTGTTTCTTTTCTTTTCCCTTTTTTTTCTTCTTCAAAAAACACACACCCAACCCAGTTCCTTTAATTTCTAATTCAAACAAGTTTATTCTTCCCCAATCAGCTGACTTAGCCTAACTTCTTTTTCGATTTTTAATTTTTTTGGGACTTATCCTAACTTTGAAAATTCATTTTATTTTTGAAGAACTAACAAAAAATGATCTGTAAATATCGAGATGTTCCAAATCGTCTTACAATTGGTGAACAAGAACCGACTGGTGAATTTTTGGGGCTGAAAATTTGAGATCGGCGTGAAATTTGGGTCTAGGAAGATTCTGATCCAGCTAAAAAAATCTGAAATTCCTGATTTTCAGGAAGCGATTGGTTTGGAGATGATCGAGAATCGTTGAATGATTTTGCCAAATATTGGAATAATGAACATTTGAGTGATGTGAATTTGATTGTTGGCGAGGAAATGTGAGTTTTTTGGGGTCATCAATTAATTTTTTCAGAAAAAAATTCACTGTTTCAGAATTTGTTTGAACATTTTTGGTCCTCGATAAAAATTGATGAGAATCTTGGTGTAAAATTCTTCAGAGTCAAATAACCTGAGTTTAGTCTCAGGCTTATCCAAAACTTTGGGCCCTTAATTTAGGCTTACTGAAAACCTCAGGCCTTCTTAAATTCTTAATTTGATTTTTGTCAAAAAAACGCCAGAATCGAACTGATTTTTTAATATTTCGATTTTTTTCAAGAAATTTCGAAACGTAAAATTTGGGAGTTTTTTTTGCAAAAAAAATTCACTGTTTCAGAATTTCTTTGAACATTTTTGGTTTTCGATAAAAATTGATGTATGTAGATACAATTCCTTTGAATTTAAATTTCCTCAATCCGAAAAAGCCTGGATTCAAGTCAAGATTTTCTAGGCTTATCTGAAATATCAGTCTGGGCTTTCCGGGCTTTTCAGGCTCGGATCTTCTAGGCTCATTTAAAACTAAATCAAGACTGATTAAAATTCTCAGGCCTAAATTTAGGCCCGCCTGAAAGCCTAGGCTCAAATCTATTCAAATTTGGTATCAAAAATCTCCAAACCTCGATTTTTTCCAGTTTCCCCGCACATCGCCTAATTCTCGCCAAATCCAGCGAAGTTTTCGATCGAATGCTCAGTCAACGTTGGAATGGCGACGGCAAAAAGGATCTCGAAATCCAGGAGGACTCGATTTGTCAAAAAGTATTTCCCGCATTCTTGCGATTCTTATACTGTAATCATGTGGTTATGCATCAGGAAAATTGTCTTCCATTGCTCATATTAGCCGATAAATATAATGTGACAACGCTGAAAAAGGTTGGGGAGTTTTGGGAACATTTTTTGGCAGGGATCTGAAATTTCTCTAGCTGTCTAATCCATAATAGAATTTTATACTCTCTCACCTTTTGGAAAATATGATTTCAACTTTTCAAATCTGAAAATTCAACCTAAAAAATGAATTTTTGGAATCAGAAAGTCACCGGGAAAGTTTTGATATACATATTGGAAAAACCTCAGAATTTCTCGAATTTTTGGGAAATTCCAAGCTAGATTCTTCACAGGGACGGAATAATTTTCTAGGTGTCCAAGCCATCCTCAAATTATATACTCTCTCACCCTCCAGAAAGACGGAACATTTCTCTAGTTGTCTGCAATCTCTCTAATTTCCATTGTCTCTATATCTTCCTTGAAACAAGGACTTTTATGATACCACCCAGTTATTTTTGGAATGAAAGGGAAGCGCTTCAAGACCAAATAATTTTTTTCTTGAGAGAATTCAGATTATTTCTGTATTTCAAATCTCAAATTTCATCCTGAAAAGTGGATTTTCAGAATCAGTGAATCGTGGGGAAAATTCTGATATAAAATTTGGAATAACTTCAGAATTTCTCGAATTATCTGAAAATTCCAAGCTAAAATCTTCACAGGGACCTGAAATATCTCTAGTTGCCTGGTGTCTCTTCAATTTCCAGTGTCTCTCTCTTTCTGTCTTCCTTGAAGCAAGGCACGTTTTTTATGAGACCACCAAGTTATTTTTGGAATGACAGGGAAGCGCTATGAGACCAAATAAGTTTTTTCTGGAGAGAATTCAGATGATTTCTATATTTCAAATTCCAAATTTCATCTTGAAAAATGAATTTTTGGATTCAGAAAGTCGTCGGGGAAATTTTGATAACAATTTTGGAATAACTTCAATATTTCCAGAATTATCTGAAAATTCCAAGCTAAAATCTTCACAGGGACCTAAAATTTCTCTAGTTGTCTAATCTATCCTCAAACTATATACTCTCTCACCCGCTAGAAGTACTTTTGCATAAAAAAATGACAGGGAAGCGCTATGGGACCAAATAATTTTTTTATTCAGAAAATTCAGATAATTTCTATGTTTCAAGTTGAAAAATTTCACCTGAAAAGACGATTTTTGGAGTCAGTGAATCGTCGGGAAAATTCTGATATAAAATTTGGAACAACTTCACAATTTCAAGAATTATATGAATATTCTAAGCTAGATTCATCACAGGGACGGAATAATTCTCTAGTTGCCTGGTGTCTCTTCATATTCCAGTGTCTCTCTCTTTCTCTTCTCCTTGAAACGAGGAACGTTTTTTATGAGACCACCCAGTTATTTTTGGAATGAAAGGCTATCGCTACGAGACCAAATAATTTTTTCTTGAGGAAATTTAGATGATTTCTATATTTCAAATACCAATTATTTCTGTGAAATGTGGATTTTTGGAATCAGTGAATCGTGGGGAAAATTCTGATAACAATTTTGGAAAAACTTCAGAATTTCTCGAATTATCTGAAAATTCCAAGCTAAAATCTTCACAGGGACGGAATAATTCTCTAGCTGTTTAATCTATCCTCAAATTCTATACTCTCTCATCCTCCAGAAATACGGAAAATTTCTCTAATTGTCTGGTGTCTCTTCCATTTCCACTATCTCTCTCTTCCTTGAAACAAGAATAATTTTTATGAGACCACCCAGTTATTTTTGGAATAATGAATGAAAGGGAAGCGCTTTGAGACCAAATAATTTTTTTCTGGAGAGAATTCAGATGATTTCTATATTTCAAATTCCTGATTTCATCCTGAAAAGGAGATTTTTGGAATCAGAAAGTCGTCGGGAAAATTTTGATATAAAATTTAAAATAACTTTGAAATTTCTGGAATTATCTCGAAATTCCAAGCTGAAATTTTCACAGGGACGGAACAATTCTCTAGCTGTCTGATCTATACTCAAATTCTATACTCTCTCATCCGCCAGAAGTACTTGTGCATAAAAAATGAAAGGGAAGCGCTATGAGACCAATAATTTTTTTCCTGAGGAAAGTATCTTCCTTGAAACTCTATATCTTCCTTGAAACAAGGACTTTTATGATACCACCCAGTTATTTTTGGAATGAAAGGGAAGCGCTTCAAGACCAAATAATTTTTTTCTTGAGAGAATTCAGATTATTTCTGTATTTCAAATCTCAAATTTCATCCTGAAAAGTGGATTTTTGGGTTCAGTGAATAGTGGGGAATGTTTTGATATCAAACTTGGAATAACTTCAATGTTTTTGGAGTTATCTGAAAATTCCAAGCTGAAATATCCACAGGGACGGAATAATTTTCTAGTTGTTTAATCCATCCTCAAATTCTATACTCTCTCTCACCCTCCAGAAAGGTGGGGACATTTCTTTAGTTGTCTGCGACTTCTCTAATTTCCATTGTCTCTATCTCTTCCTTGAAGCAAGGCACGTTTTTATGATACCACCCAGTTATTTTTTTTGGAATGAAAGGGAAGCGCTATGAGACCAAATAATTTTTTTTATTCAGAAAATTCAGATGATTTCTACCTTTCAAATTCCAAATTTCATCTTGAAAAATGGATTTTTGAATTCAGAAAATTGTGGGGAATGTTTTGATATCAAACTTGGAATAACTTCAAAATTTATAGAATTATCTGAAAATTCCAACTTAGATTCTTCACAGGGACGGAATAATTCTCTAGTTGTCTAATCCATCCCTAAATCTATACTCTCTCTCACCCTCCAGAAAGACGGAAAATATCTCTAGTTGCCTCCAATCTCTTCAATTTCCAGTGTCTCTATCTCTTCCTTGAATCAAAGATAATTTTTTTAAGACCACCCAGTTATTTTTTGAATGAAAGGGAAGCGCTATGAGACCAAATAATTTTTTTCTTGAGAGAATTCAGATGATTTCTATATTTCAAATTCCAAATTTCATCTTGAAATCTGGATTTTCAGAGTCAGTGAATTGTGGGCAATGTTTTGATATTAAACTTGGAATAACTTCGAAATTTCTGAAGTTATCTGAAAATTCCAAGCTAAAATCTTCACAGGGACGGAATAATTCTCGAGTTGTCTGACCTATCCTCAAACTCTATACTTTCTCACCCTCCAGAAAGACGGAAAATATCTCTAGTTGTCTCCAATCTCTTCAATTTCCATTGTCTCTATCTCTTCCTTGAACCAAGGATACTTTTTATGATACCACCTAGTTATTTTTCGCTTCGACCATAAAAAAACCAAATATTTTCAGGTTTGCCTTGATCATGCGGAGACCGAAATTTTGCCGTGTATCGAGATCAAGGAATTGTTTTCGGTGTGGTTTTCGTATGCTACAAAAGCCTATCATCCGGTAAGTCTAAGCCCAAGCCTAGGTTCTAGGCTCAGCCTGAATATAGGTAGGCCTGCAGCTGAAACTAGACTAGAGTTCTTATTTGAATTTAGGCTAGCCTAAATTTCAGCTCAAATAAGTAATTTGAAAATTGAAAAAAAAAATCACTGTTTCAAAAATTCTATAAAGTTTTTGTTTGATAATATTTTTTTATTCTACACTCAGGAGATTTTTCGCAATTTTGCTGACCAGAATGCGCGATTCTGCTTGCTAAAACATGCGGTTCGGACACTATAGTGTTGCCGCGGAATCGCCTATCGTAGCAAGCGAAATTTTCTTTTTTCGTAATCGGCAAGAAAACCGGGAGTTGCTGAACAAATTTCGAGAAAAAAAATTAGAGGTTCATTCTTTTTTTTTAATGAAAGACAAAGTTTGTCGAGATCAAAATTAATTTAGTTATTGGTGGTACTGTAGCATTGTAATGCCATAGCAATAAAAAATACCCCTCAATAACTTGTGGAGATGTCCTCGGGACCAATTTATAATTATTTTCTGCCCGACAAAAAATGAGTTTTGCCTATTGACATGCTTTCAAAAGAAATGCTCCGCCCACTATCCATCTCAATAAAAATGGATCCAGCAAGAATTTCGCAACTTGCTGGACCAAATTCATGACACAAATTGCAACCTAAAAACGCAGCAAGAATCGCGCGAGTCGCTAAAAGTGCAGCAAGGAGATAGCAAGTTGTCGAATCGTTGCCCAAAATTTCCTGAGTAAATTTTGATATTGATATGTGAGATGAAAAATTATGAATTTTCAAAAATTCAAGCTCAAAGAATTTTGAAACGTAGAAAATCACTGTTTCAAAAAATCAACAATTTTTGTTCCCAGAGCCTAATTCGATCGTGTATGCAATCAATTGCTTTGGAATTCGACACTTTGCTCTCTGAAGAATGGGAAAAAAATTGGCAGGCTTTGGATCGTGATCAAATGGTCGAGATTTTGAAGTGCAATCAATTGCGATTGACAAGTAAGCTGAATTTCAATACTTCTCTGAAAAATTCCAGAATTTCCAGATGAATTCAAGCTATGGGAAGCGCTTCAAAAATGGCTAGCCGCACCAAATCATCCAGAAAGACGGGGAAATACTGCAAGTCCCCTGTTAACTCTAATTCTACCCCTGATCCGATTTCCTTATATGACAGCTGATGAATTGAGTCAAATTGAGCGCTCGCAGATTTCGGAAAATCATCCAAAACTTTTTCAACCACCGATTTTGTTGGCTTATAAATATCAAGCATTGCCGCTGGCGAGTCGCATCAATTTGAAGGAATTTTCGACGAAAACTTTTTTGTTGAGACAATATGAGGATGTTAGATGGGATCGGAGGATTACACTCACCAAACAGTTGTTGAGAGTTCCCGGAGTTGATCATACTTTTATGGTGAGGATTTCGGGGGTTTTTGGAAGTGGATTTGAAAAAAAGGCTTTTGAAGGAAATTTGAAGCAAAATTTAACAAACGATCATGAACAAAATCAGAACTTTGTGAAAAATGAGAAGTTTTGACAATTTTTTTGAAACAGTAAATTTTTGAAAGTAATCAAAATCGTTAAGCAGATAATTTTGCGAGACAATTATTTTCAAGAATTTTTTGAAACAGGAAATTTAGCGAGAAAAAAAATCACTCATTAGAAAATGTTCGAATAAAATTAAAAAGATTTTAGAAATGATAAATTTTGATAAATTTTTTAAATCAGCCATAAATGAATCAGTAATTTTTGCGAGACAATTGTTTTCAAGAATTTAAAAAAAAAACTTCCAGCAAACTTAAAAATTAAACAATTTTAGAAATGATAAATTTTGATAATTTTTTGAAACAGTGAATTTTGTCAAAAAATTAATTTGAAATTCAAAGAGTCGTTTGTTCAATGATCGTATTTGAAAACGTTCAAAACTATGAATTTTTTTGAAACAGTAAATTTTGTGAGACAAAATGAACTATTCAATCAGAATATTTAGCGAGGCAAACATTTTCAAGAATTTTTTGAAACAGTAAATTTTGTGAGACAAAAAATTAATTCGAAACTTCTGAAATTTGTAAATTTTTTCAAGTAAAAACTCAAATCACAAAATTAAAAAGATTTTAGAAATGATAAATTTTGATAATTTTTTTGAGTAAACTTTGTGAGAAAAAGAAACTTGTTAATCAGAATATTTACGGAGACAATTATTTTTAAGAATTTTTCGTGTGAATATAGAGTGTGGTATCAATGAATAAATAAGAAAATAAAATATTTTCAAGAATTTTTTGAAATAGTAAATTTCGTGAAAAAAAAAATAATTCGAAACTTTTGAAATTTGCAATTTTTTAAAAACTCAAATCAGTCAAAATGTTCAAATAAAATTAAAAAGATTTTAGAAATGATAAATTTTGACAATTTTTTGAAACAGTAAATTTTTGAGAGTGAATCGTAACCGTTTACAATTAGCAGAAAATTTCTCGAGGTAAATATTTTTAAAAGTTTTTTGAAACAGTAAATTTTGCGAGAAAAAGAAACTTACAATTAATAATCAGAATATTCAGCGAGGCAAACATTTTCAAGAATTTTTTGAAACAGTAAATTTTTTAAGAATTTTTTAAAAGATATCGAAAAATGTTCCAACCCATTAATTTTCGAGTTTTTTTGAAACAGTGAAATTTTGCAGCTCTCAACTCGTTCCTCAACATATCCAATCTCCGAATGGAAATGGACCCTAAAACTTACCGGTCTAACATATTCAAATACAAATAATTCGGATAACTTGCGAATAATTCTGATAGCTGAAGATATTGATCAAAGTCGAGCAGTTGAATATATGATCCAAATAGTTGATGACAAAAAAATCGCGCGATCGTTTTCCGGCAAGAAAACGTTCACAAAAACGCGATATTCATCCGAATTGGAAATGGAGAAGAAAATCGAATTTGGCGATTTGTTGAGCGACGAAAATTCGCAATTTTTGTGCAATGGAGAATTGATTTTACAGTTGGTTTTGAGACCTATCGATTGACATAATTTTGCATTTTCTTTGGCATGGCATAAATAAACTGGTAACTTTTTATGTGGGATTTTTTCCAGAGAAAATTGCAGATGACAAACATTTAAACTCTCCGAGAAATTCTTATGAAAAATTTTTGAAACGTATTTTTTCAGGGAAATTTTTAGAAACAGAATTTGCGGTTCTGAAAAAAATTTAGGCGGTGAGTTATGATGTGGCTTTAAAAATTTTTTTATAGTGAAAAAATTCACTGTTTCAAAAATTTCGTAAAATCTTGATTCTATTTAGACTTTGCTTTTTGAAGTTGTATTGTGAAAAAAACTTTAATTCAAATTTCGAAATCACTACGACACTCCGCTTTACGCTCAAGTTATTTCTGAAAAAATAATCTGTGCTCTGACGTGGCAAATTCAGCTCAAAACTATTATTATTTTCTTTTTCAGAGCAAAATTTCTATTGTTGAAAATTTCACTGTTTCAAAAATTTCATAAATATTTATTTAATTTATTTTTCTATTTGTAGTCGAAATCAATGTGGAAAATTCAACTCAAAAATTTTTTATAGCGAAAAAATTCACTGTTTCAAGAATTTCATAAAAGCTTGATTCCTTTTTGGTTTTCCTAGTTAATTTCTTTATGATTGTCGAAAAATCTTTGAATTTCAAAATTTCGTAATCACCACGACACTCCGCTTTACACGGCGAATTGAGGTCAAAACTCCCGTAATTATTTAAAAAGACCAAGATTGTTAACCAAAAAAACATATATTTTTTAATTTTTTTTAATTCGCCAATAAAAAATACAATAAAAAGCGTTCAAAGCATAATACGTGTCGATTTTTTCTCGCAAAAACCAATTTTCAACTATTTATTTCAAAAATCGTATTTGCACATCTGCAAAAAAGGATACAGTAGATCTGTTGATCAATTGTTTCAAAATTGAATTTTTTTCGAAATCAAAATGCAATTTCGATATTGTTTGAAAGTAATTCTAGTCATTTTTCCTATTAGTTTTCTAGTATTTTTAATTATTTCAAATGATCAAAATGATTATAATTATAAGTTCTTGAATTATAATAGTTTCAATTCCGATTTTGATCTCAAAAATTCCACCAAAAATGTGGCTGAGATTAAGCCTGGAAATAAATGGATAGTTGTTACAAGTGTCAGTTTTCCTACAGAAGATGTTAAGGTAAGTCTTATCATTTTCAATTTTTTTCTGAATTCCTACTTGAAAAATTTTTGAAACGTATTTTTCCGGAATTTTTTAACATTTTATTTTTCACTGTTTCAAATTTTTATTAAATAATTATTCAAATTTCAGATTTTTAATGATTGACACAATGACTTATGGGCCTATGCAGAATAATATTTTGTAATAAAAAAACATTTTTTTCCTATGCAGAAAAACGTCAAAAAAACAAAATATACAGTTTATTATTTTGAGTAGAGACAACGTGAAGTTGAGAGAGTGCAGAGAAAAAAACCATTTTATGTCTGCGCTCTCTCAATTTCACGTTGTCTTTATTTTGTTTTTTCGACGTTTTTCTGCATAGGAAAAAAATGTTTTTTTATGTTTTTTTATTACAAAATATTATTCTGCATAGGCCCATTAAAAATCCACCAAAATTCCAATTTTTTTATACAGAGTTTTCAATTTTAAAAATCTTACTTGAAATATTTTTGAAACGTATTTTTCCGGGATTTTGAAACACTTCTCAAAATTTGAAAAACATATTTAAAACTCTTCAAAAAAAATTTTCTGAGACAAAAATTTACTGTTTCAAATTCTTACCAAAAATTTATTCAACATTCAGATGTTAATTATACCGCGTTCATCATCCACTAAAATTCCAGCCAAAACAATTCCCCCTAGTTTTTGAAGCTGAAAACGATGGAGCTATGAAAAATTGTCTGATTTTTCAAAAATTACTACTCGAAATATTTTTGAAACGTATTTTCCGGGATTTGTGAACAGTTTATTTTTCACTGTTTCAAATTTTTATGAAATAATTATTCAAATTTCAGATTTTTAATAACATATTGCATTTCTATTATATTGTTACCCAAAATTCCAGAAATTAATTTTTAAAGATAAGACTCGTGATAATTTATCATTTTCAATTTTTCGAAATTCATACTTGAAATATTTTTGAAACCTTTTATCCGGGATTTTTTAAAACACTTTTCAAAATTAAAAAATAAAATTTTTCTGGGATAAAAATTTACTGTTTCAAATTTATACCAAAAATTTATTCAACATTCAGATGTTAATTAGATCGCGTGCATCTATTCACTAAAATTCCAGCCAAAACAATTCCCCCTAATTTTTGAAGCTGAAAACGATGAAGCTAACAAAGAAGAAAAATTGTCTGATGGAATTAACATTTTAATGTTTGAAAATTCTTACTTGAAATACTTTTCAAACGTATTTTTACGGGGATTTTTGAACAGTTTATTTTTCACTGTTTCAAATTTTTATCAAATAATTATTCAAATTTCAAATTTTAATATTTGACGTACAAATGCTTGAAAATCCACCAAAATTCCAAATTTTTTATACAGAATTTTCAATTTTCAAAAATCTTACTTGAAATAGCCAAAACAATTTCTCCTAATTTTTTGAATTGAAAACAATTGTCTGATTTTTCAAAAATTACTACTTGAAATATTTTTGAAACGTATTTTTCCGCGAATTTTTGAAAAATCATATTTTTACTGTTTCAAATTTGAGATAAGCAGAAATTTCAGCCAGAAAAGTGTCCAAACCCACATTTTTCAGCGTCTCGCTTCATTCAACGATTGGAACTTGGTGGTGGTTGCCGACACCAAAACACCCACCAATTGGCACCTCGAAAATGTTCATTTTCTATCAGTGGACTACCAAAAGTCTCTAGACTTCCGAATAATCTCCCAACTTCCATTCAAATCACAGCGAAAAAAAATTATTTTTTTGTGAACAAAAAATTCGTTGCGGAAATTCAAAAAAAATAGGCGGAGTTTTCCACGTGCAACCCCTGGCAGCGTCTTTCTGCAATATTATTGCATGTGCGCACGGTTTTTGTGTGTTCTCCCCTTTTGTTTTTTCTTTTTTTCCTTTGTGTGTGCAAACACTTTCTGTTTTGCGAACCGTACCACACGGAAACAGAAAAAATAATTTTTTTTCGCTGTGAAATCCTACACTCGCAAAAACATCGGATACATTTATGCGATTTCAAACGGCGCTGAATGGATTTATGACACAGATGATGATAATAAACCCTACGGTTTAGGCCTTAACCAATTTAATTTTAACGAGGAAATCAGTGGGTTAAGGTATAGCTCAGTGAATTCAACAAATTTTATCGAAAAACTATTCAATCCTTATCGATTTTTTGGGATGGATCAAATGTGGCCACGTGGATTCCCTCTGGAATTCATCAAAGATCACAATAATGGAGCGAATCGTCAGATTTTGTGTCAGAAAATGCGACGATCTTCAGTTCAGCAGGGTTTAGTTCATCACGATCCGGATGTTGATGCGATTTATCGATTGATTCATGCGGACACAAAAACCGGGCTCGATGTGGGATTCAATAAATATGCTCCAAGTATTTTGCTGGCTCCCGGCACATATTCGCCTTGGAATTCACAGAACACACTTTTCCACAAATCCGCGTTTCATATTTTGATGTTACCGATGAGTGTATCATTTCGAACGACGGATATTTGGCGATCGTTTTTTGCGCAGAAAATATTGCATTTGAGTGGCCTGACGGTTTCGTTTACACCTGTGAATGCGGTGCAATTTAGGAATTCGCATGATTTTTTGAAAGATTTTCGTGATGAGAGGTGAGGAAAATATATTTTTCATCAAATTTTTTGAAAAGCGATTTTTTGAAACAGTGAACTTTTTTGGATCAAAATTGAATTTTACCATAAATATTTCCCGCGACCATGAACTGAAAAATTGAATAATGTGAGATTTTCAAAAATCTTTTTAAATTTTTTTTTTTGAAACAGTAAATTTTTTTTGAGAACTATTCTGATTTTTATCGGCGAAAAGAAAAGCAGCTAAAAACTTTTTCATAAAAATTTTTTGTTCGTTATTTTTGAAACAGTGAACTTTTTTCTGAACATTTATTTTTTATGAATGTTATATTTATCAAAAATAGTTTTGTCTCTAAAAATTCATGAATTTTCTGAAACAGAGATTTTCTGAAATTTCTTCAGAAAATTCTTGCAAAAAATTGAATTTTTAAAGTAGTTTTTCAGTGGGCAGACCGAAAAATATAGAGTTTTCAAAAATCTTGTGTTACTTTCGAAACAGTGAATTATTTTTTGTATTTGAATTTTCTCATAACATGATAGTATCGATGAATCAGAAAAATGTTTAGACATTAAAATTTTGTGAAACAGTTATTTTTTTTTTTTTTTTCGAGAACTATGCTCATTTTCAAAGCATCAAAACTTTTTCATCAAAATTTTTTTCGCGATTTTTTGAAACAGTGAACTTTTTCTGAATATTTTTTTAATTTGTATTGTGGTCTATTTCGAACGGAGATATCAGAATTTGTTTAGAATCAAAAAATGTTATGCGATTTTTGAAACAGTGATTTTTTCTGAATATTTATTTGTGAATTTCTGTAAATTTAATATTTATCAAATATGGTTTTGTCTCTGAAAGCATTTTCTGAAACAGTGAACTTTTTTGGAGCATCTTCCCACTTTGAAATTGTGCATAAATTTTTATCAAAAATGAATTTTACCATAAATATTTCCCGACTTCATATGCTTCGAAATTGAATAATGTGAGATTTTCAAAAATTCTTGTCCTATTTTTGAAACAGTGAATTTATTTCTGAATTATTATTTTCATTTGTATGAAGATCAGTAATAGTTTTCTCTCTAAAAATTAATGCATTTTCTGAAACAGTGAATTTTTTTTCGAGAATTTATCTGAATTTTTGCCACGTGGAATTCTTCAGCCAAAAAAATCATCCAATTTTCAGCCAAGTCTACTCAGATTCCGGGAAAATCCTGCAATTTCTCGACGCCTGGAATTGCTCATATCAAAAAATCGAGGATTGTATGAAGGAATTGGCCAAGGATTTTGTGAAAAACGAATTTTGGGGAGAAGATGACGAGAAATTGATAGATCTTTATATTCAGGATTTGATCCAGGTCAATTTCAAGTTTCCCGGAATTCGGGAAAATCAGGATTCTTATGAAGCGAGTGAAAATGAAACAGAATTCAATGTGAATTGTAGAAGAGCAAATTTTGAATTTAGCCTAACTCAGAAAAAGTCGCAGGAAAAATTAAATAACTTTGGAGATATCTCAGATTGGTGTGAAGAATCTAACTTCACAAAACTGGCTGATTTTCCCTCTGCGCAAGATTTGAGTCAAGCTCACCAAAATGATTATGTGCTCCAAAAACATCAGCAAAATGTGCTGCTCATTGTGAATAATTGGCCATGGAAATTTGGAATTGGACACCTTCAAAGATTATATCAACCATATTTTGCCAGCGTGGTTTTTTGTGGCTCATACTATCCCGAAGAATATCAGAATTCAAGTCAACAGGGATTCGGAGAAACTCAAAACCCATTCAATTTCATTCATATAAATCCAACAGAAATCTATCGGGGATTTTTGGGCTATCATTGTTTGACACTTTTACACGAGGTTGGCCTGCAAAATATTGAGGGGTATATATTTATGGCTGATGATGCACATTTTAATATTTGGCAGCGGATCGATTTCACGAGGGTTTTTCATGTGGTTGGGATGGATGTGCCGACATCGAAGGGCTGGTGGACAAATCCGGTTTATGGTAAGGTTTTGGGCTTGGGCTTTTAGGCTTAGGCTTCTTCTTTAGGCTTCTCCTTTAGGCTTTTCTTTTAGGCTTCTTTTTCAGGCTTCCAGGCCTAGTCTTTTAGCTTAAGCTTCATCTTGAACCTTTCTATCAAAACGATTTGTTGAACAATATTTTATTTCCAAAAATCTAGATAAAATAATTTTGAAACGTAATTTTACCAAGAAAAATTTTTCACTGTTTCAAAAAATTCTATAAATCAAATAAATAGTTTTTACAAATGATTAACTTCAGTTTTTCAAATCTGAAATTGAGCTATGACGTGGCGAAATGAGCCTTCAGATTTCGGGTCTCGAAAATCATGTTTACACAGCTCCAATTTTTAAAAAATCCACAACAAAACCGTATATTTTGGAACAATGGACCTGTGTTTGTTTGGAGTTTGATCAGCTCAAAAAACGATTCAAAATTATTTTGAAATAGGGAGCTGCAATACTCAAAACTCAAAAAAAATTTCCAGGAACCCCTGCCGCAAAACGCATCATTTCTGAAATCCAAAACACCACTGACACTGAAAAACTGGAAGCCTGGAAAAAATTCGAAACCGGCCTTAGAACGTTTGGCTACATTTCGCCCAATCAAACCGCGGCTGATGATTTGCTGAGTGGAAAGGGAAGAAGTGTCTCCGATTTTTTCTACATTCCGAAATCTGAGATCGATTATTATTCAACGATTATGCGAATTTTCTTTGAGAATAAATTGTTTTTGGAACTGGCGGTGAATCGGTTTATTAGATCTGTGAGACATCAAACGTGAGTTGGGGGTTGTTTATTTTGAGGGGTGCACCATTCAACAAATTACATTGATTTCACTTTAATTTTTTCAGGGAATTTTTGAAACAGTGGATTTTTGTTACTTCACATTTTCATGATAATTATTCAAAAAAAAAAGAAAATTTTGATTTATAAAAATGTTGAAACAGTGAACTTTTTCTATAATTGATTTTGACGAAATTTCATGAAGAAGTATTCAAGACAAAACCATTTTTTATTTGAAAAACATTTTTGAAACAGTAAATTTTTTCTAGAAGTTTTTTTGTTTTCGCTCAAAAATGTTAATTTTAAAATGAGTAATGGGGTGAGTCAATCGAATTAATCGACGTGTTTTTTGCGATTAATTGACAAAAAAAGTGAGTCTTTTAGGGCGATTAATTTCACGTTTTTGTCAATTCATCGCTTTCATTTCTTGGCAAAAAATGCGATTAATTGCAAAAAAATAGAATTTATTTGACCCATATTTTAAAACGTGACCTATATGAGTTGGAATTATCAACAAAAAAATCATCTTCCTTCAATTTTCATTCATTTCGAAATGAATTCAAAAAATACGCAGTGAATTTGGGACACGTTTCAAAAAAGTGGTCAAATAAACAAGAATGAAACGACCGGCTAACGCCGGTCTTCATTCTTGTTGCTACGCAGCCTTCGGCTGCGTGCTGAAGTCCGTATCTACCTTTTTAATATCCTACAGTAATATCTCATAAAGTTTCATAAAATTAGAATTGTGAAATCCATGGATTTTTCTTGAAAAATGAACTTTTTGGAAGTTTTCCAACGTAATTAATTAAAAAATTTTATGTGAACTATAATGGACATACATCATTCAGGAATCTGTTACTTGGAAGTCGCCTTACTTTTGGCAACATTATGCGTTGAAAACTAGCTTACCTATAAATTTGCATTGTGTAGTTCCAGGATCTGAATCTGTAGTGTTCATTAAACTTTTATTGATGTATTTATCACAAACAAATAGCTTGTCACTTCAATTTTTCTATTAAAGTTATTTGTAATCCTACAGCCTTCGTTCTTCTATTTACGAAACAGTTTTCAAACCCATTTTGGTTTTAAAATTTTCCAAAGTAAAACACATTGTAGTGTTTTTTTTGGGCTATGAAATTTTCTCAAAATTTGAAAGAAATCTAATTTTTTTCACATTTTCTCTGACAATTCACTTTTCAAAATCTCAGATACTGAAACTTCAGATCTTCTGCATTTTTGATATTTTTTCTTTACAATTCTGTAATAAAACCCAGTTGGTCTAACGAACCTCCGCTAGCAAACTTCCCTTTGGTTAAATTGTTCATAGAAATGGGGTTTCCGGAAGAAGGAGGAGTTTAGACCGAAAAGAGGGGTTATGAACATTTTATGCTCTCAGATGTTGAATATTTTCAATGTTCATAAAACGTAAGCGTGAGATTCAAATTAAGCCCAAAATTCTAACTCTTAGCTACTTCTGAAATCAAATGTTATGATTTCATGATCTCAAACATTTAAATCTTTTGAAAACTTTTCTTTTTCCAAAAATCCAATTTTTTTGAAAACCTACTTTTTTTCCAAAACTCCCTTTTTTTACATAACACCTATTTTCCGTTCAGAGCCAAAACTATCTTTTTGATTTTTCCTAGGAGATTAATTTTCAGTTTACTTATTCTCTTGAAATCTGAGGGACTTGATTTTTTTCAAAGACAATTCTGCTCAAAAATATCAATAATTTTTGAGCTTCTAGATTTACGTATCTTTAGATCCTCGAAGGATCTTTATGTTGAAATTCGTCGAAATCCTTTGATCACCAAAAAGTGTTCATTTTTGAAGTTTTTTGAATCCTAGAGCGATTCTACAGGTCTTGGGTGAAATTTGCTCCCAAAAGTGAAAGCAAAATTCGATGATTTTTTTTAAATTTAAATGATTTCATAAAATGATAACTCTTCTGAAAATATATCGGCTGCAATCGAAAGAAAACATTTCTTAGGGAAAACCCTAGCTACTTGAGAGCAACTTTCAATGATGATTTCAAGTTTTCGAAAACCCCTCTTTTTTCTGAAATTATTTTTTTCCTCAATTCTTTCTTTTTTCGTTCAGAGCCAATATATCAATAGAAGATAGAGAAGATTTTGAAGATCCTGGAGATTCTCAAAAGATTTTAGAGTTAAAATTCTGAGAAATTCTTTGATCTCCAAAAAAGTGTTCATTTCTGAATTTTTTTGAATCCTAGATCCTAGAGCCTACAGGTCTTGGGTGAAATTTGATACCAAAACTGAAACCGAAATTCCTCATCTCCCTGAAATTCTAGGTCTACTACCTTTGGAGCTTTCCAATTTTCAAAAATGTGAATAAAACTTGAAAAAAATACTAATTATTTATCTTTTGATTCTAAATTCGAGAGTTTGTCTTACTCTGGGGAATTCAAACTTTTATTTTAGTAAACTCACATTCTTCACTAAATTTCAAAAAATAGTGTAGAAAGGAAAAACGGCAATCCGAACGTTTTGAAAAATCAGAAATGAGCAAAACGATTCACGTCAAATTATTTAAATTTAAATCTAGGGCACAAAAGTAGGTCAAACGGGACAGACACACCGTTTAATATATAAGAAAGATTATATTTCGTATTGAAATTCTTCTTTTTTGAATGCAATTAATTGCAAAAATAGATGGAATTAATCGGCAAAAACGTGAAAAAATCGCACAAAAATGACTCACATTTTGTGTCAATTAATTGACAAAAAATAAAATTGACTCACCCCATAAACAAAACGGTTTCTAATGATTTTTAATCAATTTTTTTTGAAACAGTGAATTTTTTCAAAAACAAATTGTATTATATTTTTTTCTGAAGGTTCTGAAGAATAATTTTTTTGAATTCGGCTTTAAAAAATGTTTTCTAACATTTTTTATTTTATAAAATTTGAAACAGTAATGGGGTGATTCATAAAAATAAATTGACAGAAAAAATGCGATTAATTTCACGTTTTTTGTCAATTAATCGCATTTTTTCTGTAATGAATACGATTAATTGACAAAAAACGTGAAATTAATCGCATATTTTTTGTCAATTTATTTTTTATGAATCACCCCATAATGTTTTCTAGAAGTTATTGATTCCTCGCTCAGCATCTACCTAAACAACAAAGTTTTCAAATCTCTCTCGATTTATTTCATTTTTGAAACAGTGAAATTTTTCAAATTTCCATTTCCAGCTCCAACCTCCGCGCAACTTCATATTTGTGGGGAAATCGTGGAAAATGGCCCGAAGTCTACAATGTAAATATGGTTGCAATGCATCCGCTGAAACTCAGCGCCTTCAAATTTCCAAATGAGAATCGCAGGAAATATTGTGAGAAGATTCTGAAGCCTTGGCACGAGATTTTGTTCAAAAAATCTGGAAATTACACTGTGAAAATGGACGATGAACCGGATTATATGAACGGTTGAATGAAAAAATTTTTTGAATAAAAAAAATTGTGGCAAAATACAAAAGTGTTTGTAGTTTGGTTTTCTGAATTTTTAATATATCAACATCTGATCAAACAATGAAAAATTAAGCAAACAAAAAATGTATCAATGGGTTTTCAGATCAGAAAATCAATTTAATTAATTAATTAATTAGTCAATTATTTCCGCTCATACAATTCTTTCATTTTTGCCAACGCATCAAATTGTTGAAGAGCAACCAATTTTTCATATTCATCCCGGCTTTTCTCAATTTCCGAAATATTCGCCATCAATCTAGCCTCGTAATTCCACGTGGCATTTTGTGGTCCGCATTTTTCCAGCTCGAAATTCCCCGCAAATGGATAATACCATCTTCCTCGCACCAATCTTTTAGCAGAGATCACGGGCTTTTCTGGAATTCGAGATTTTGTTCGCATTTTCCAGCCGTGCAACATAAAATCAAGATCGGGGTTCCATTTTCCACCGTATAAATAATCATCGCGAATCCAACTACGACCTTTTCGCATAATTCGGATTTTTCCGAAATCCGTTTTTGCGCCGAAAATTGTTCGGACGCAGGCTTCGTAGGTGAAGAGATCTGAGTAGCCACGCGATTTATTGTACATTTTTTCGCAGATTGAAAGATTGTGCTTCGGGAAGATGCGTTTGGCTAGGAAGAGCTGGAAAATTCTACTGTTTCAGAAAAAGATTTTTCCAATTTTTCTTTCGGGAAATTATACGTTTCAAAATATTCCCAAATATTTTTGGATCTTTGATAGAATTTATTCCGATCGTTTTGAAATTTTGAAATTTTTGCGCGAAAAATTACTGTAGATTACTGTGGAAATTTTTAATTTTTGAAATTATTTTGCAGATTTTCAGAATTTCAGAATTAATTTTTAGTAAAAAAAAATCTACTGTTTCAAAATATTCTCAATATTTCTTGAATTTTCAGAGAACCAATGACAAGAACTTTTTTGTACGAGAAATTCAAAATTTTGGCCAAGAAAATACGTTTACTGTAGATTACTGTAGATTTTGATTTTTGAAATTATCTCGCAGATTTTCAGGATTAACCTTGAGTCAAAAAATTCCCAAAAGCCTTGAAATTTATTTTTTTTTAAATTACTGTTTCAAAATTTTTTTTTAATATTTTTAAATTTTTGAAAAGATTATTGGAAGAATTATTCAAAATAATGTGAAATTCAGTAACGAAAATTTTTGCCTTAAAATCCACGTGTCAATTTTATTCATATTCGCCACGTCATAGCAAATAACTCACATGCAATGCTCCATTATCAGTTCCATGAAAACTTTTCGGCAACATTTTCTCATAATTCGCAAAATCGGTGAGCAAATCAATGGCGAATTGAGTATTTCTGACGATATATGAGCCAAGAGCAATTTCCCAATTATAAAATCGATCATAGAAAATTATATCGAATTCTGGTGTTTGGAAATCTTCGATGCGTTTTTTTGGATTCACAATTCCAACATCTGCATCGAGAAAAATTAGAGTTTGGAAAAATGGGAGAAGTTGAGCAACCACACAGTGACGACGGAAATATTTCTGGAAAATGAAGATGAGTTATGACGTGGCAAATTTGAATACATAGATCTAGGGACAGACTATTTTTTTTAACGAATTAGCATCAAAAACAATTCTGAAAACTGTTGTTCATGGATTTTTGAAACAGTGAATTTTTTTCTACACATTTTCTGTAGATTATTGAGCTCTAAAATCACTAACAAAATTTTTTTCCAAAAATTATAGCTATGACGTGACAAACTCACATCATTCTGTTCACAATCAAAATCCTGATCCTCCACAATAATAAATTGATATTCCTGAATCCTCGAATAACACTCAATCGAATCCACAGCCAATTCATAAGCCGATAAATTTGTGCCCTTCGCTAGAACCATCAAAATCGCGATTGGATTTTGGATTTGAATTTCGATGTGGGAATTTTTGAAAATTACATTTCTATCTGAAGTCTTCTCCAAAAATTTTTGAAAGTTAGCAGAACTCGTAGAAGATGATGATAATAATAACAGAAAAAATAAGAGAAACATAGGCAAGATTAGAATTAGGGTATATTTTTTTTTAGCTAGAAAATTCATACAGTAATCCTGAAATTAATTTGAGAATTTGGAATTTGCACATCTGGTTGCTTTTTGCATTTTCTTTGTAGTGTGAATCTGAACCAACAAAAACCAAACCAAAATCATTAAAAATTAAACAAACATCAGCCTTTTCAATTTGAAATCTAAAATTGTATTTTGAAAAAAGAGAAAATGAAGTGCTCAATTTTCCACATCAGCCTGTTTTTCACCCTATTTTTGATCTATTTTCTACTATTCAAAACTTTCATTTTCCAAAAAATCGAACAGAAATCGAGATTTGGAATACTTCAAAATTGGCTGGATTGCGCTCAAAAATCATTCAACTTCAATGAAAAACCCCAAGATTTTTGGAATTCCACAACTAAAAAAATCGATTTTTGCGGAAAAGTCTTCGAAACCCTGGAGATTCGCGGTTTCAACAATACCGACGAGCAAAAATTCGCAATCCTCCCCAAAAACCGCCTGAATCCTATCGATTCGCCAGATGTTTTATTGAGTTTGGGAATCGGGAAAGACATCAAGGCGGAGAAGAAGCTAAAGTTGGCCTATGGTCCGAATCCCATTCAATTTTATGGGGCCGATCCGATGTTTATGGATAATTATGAGATTTATCGGGAGATTGGCTCGTATTTTCCACTTGCCATAAGTTCGACGGATGGATTTTTTGATGCTGGTGTTCTGGTTGGAAGTGAGTGACTGAGCCTAAGCCTAGAAGATGCTAAGCCTAAGCCTAGAAGAGGCCAAGTCTAAGCCTAGAAAGGGCTAAGCCTAAGCCTAGAAAAGGCTAAGCCTAAGCCTAAGCCTGGAGGGGCTAAGCCTAAGACTAAGCCTAAACCTGGAAGGGGCTAAGCCTAAGCCTGGAAGAAGCTAAGCCTAAGCCTAAGCCTAAGGTTGGAAGGAGTTAAGCCTAAGCCTAAGCCTAGGGCTGGAAGGAGCTAAGCCTAGGGCTGGAAGAAGCTAAGCCTAAGCCTAAGGCTGGAAGGAATTAAGCCTAAGCCTAAGCCTAAGCCTAAGAAGCCTAATAAATCTACCAAAGCCCTCCCCCCTCAAATCTCTCAAATTTTCCAGAAGTTTACCGTAACCTCCGAGTCTACCACATCAATTTCCTCCACTTCATCAAAAACATCCTCAACCTCAAAATCATCGATCATCTCTGGATGGACAATGAATATTCCGAATACGGTCTCTTCCCGTATTTCTACAAAAATGGCATTTTGGACCAAGAAGGCATCACAGTATGTCAATTGAATATGGAAGTCCACAACGCAACGCTGGCTCAGAAATCGGAGTTTAAAGGATTTGTGAGACGAATCATTGATGATCAGAAATATGCGATTGTGAATAATTATTTCGAGGGAATTCACTATCGATTGTTTTTGGTGAATTTGGATAGCGATTATTGTTTGTACAAGTTTTTCTATCAATTATAAAATAAAATTAATTTTTTTTAAATTACAGTTTTTTTATTTGTTTAATTTTTTAGTGTATTTGATCAGATGTTGATTTTTATTAAATTGAATCAACTGAATCAGGATACATTGATTCTGTGGACGAATAGCTGAAAATGTCTGCACCTCAAATGCGTCAGTGTTTGTAACCTTGGCGCATATCACATAGAAACTCTCACATTTTCAGATAAAATAATTTTGAAACGTACATTTCCCCTGACAAATCCTCTGTTATCATGTTATTCATCTTTCAGCAATTGACCCAAGAAAAATATCAATCGAAAGTTTCATAAACAAAAAGATAAAACACGGATAAAGTTCAAAATGTTATCACACAAAAACTTATTATCATTGATTATTATACCTGTATGGACCCTTATATATATTTTGTATTATAGGAGAAGTTAGCCTAACTCAACCAACTTGGCGAGGCGAATACTGTTACCATCGCTCCGTCAGATCCCCAAGCTGGTGAGAGAGCATAGGGTGATAAGACTACAGCTGTCACATATTGTGGGGACAGAATAGTTGGTGACAGGACGAATGGTGAAAGCACCAATGGTGAAGCGGCCAGGGGATTCAGAATAATTGGGCCAAGACAGAAGGGCGATAGAATCAATGGGGTGAAAACCTGGGGTGACATGATAAACGGTGAGAGGACCAATGGGGACAGGACGAATGGGTTCATAGCGCCTGGACACATTATGAAAGGGTTAAAAGCCAACGGGGATATAATGATTGGGACCATTAGGAAGGGATTAAGGACGACTGGAGAGAAGAGACGGGGTGAGATGATGACTGGGACCATTAGCCAGGGTGACATAACCATGACTCCGTAGATGGCGGGGGATTCGATGAGAGCGGAAAGCATGACGGGGGAGAGGATGGTGGGTTGAGAGACGGACTGGAAAATATTGCATTTTTGGGGAGAGAGAGGGGGCGCTTAGCTACAAGCCAGGCTTTTTTCGGCAAAAAAAAATTCAGAATTTTCACAACTGAATCTGTTTCAAACAATTGAGAAATTGCAGGTAAAAATACGTTTTACAGAAAGCTGATCAGTGGATTGTTGAAACAGCTCCCTTATGAATCATACATGAACTAGTCGCTTCGAGGACCCTTGAGTTAACCCCCTTTCCAGGAAATATTTCCAAAAAGTTAACCCCCCTAACCAACTTTTAAAGGGTTTTTGGCCTCTAAAGTCAAAAGTTAAGGGCCCTACCTTCAATAATGCACCTAAAGTTAACCCCCTTCCCTCTGAATTCGGAGTCCCAGTTCATGTATACCTGGGTATACCCGGGTACCCGGGTTTCTGGGAATATTATCAATTTTTGGGACTTTACCTGAACCTTAAGTGATTCAGCTTAAATTTAGTAGATAAGACGCTGAATCACTTATGGATAAGGTAAAGTCATAAAAATTGATATCATTCGAATTGTCTGAGTCATTTTTATGATTCTGAACCTATCCCTTCTCTGAAAACACTCACCACCGGATCTCTAACAAACACCGAAAACGTGACAGGCGACAGCACAATATCCTTCTTCCTCGCCTCAAATTTCACCTTCTCCTTCGCAATATCCTGAATAGTTCGCATGATCTCCAAATCAATCTCGCTTCTCGACATATTCTTAACCCGCTTCAAAAATCGCAAATCCGCATGCGGTGATTGTTTTCCGTACACGAGATCCAATTGCTCGTGATTAAGGATAGTATATCCGGTGCGATTCATTTCGCGGAGCTGTTCTACAGTGTAGGTTTTATCCAGCTTCTCCAAAACTTCGATATGCTTTGCTTGCACAGGAAAATCTTTAGTGACATTTTGCTTGGTGAAATGTAATGGCTGTCCGTCAGGCCCTCGACCAACCGCGTCATCTCGCAATCTTCGATACTCACTCATCTTCTGCTCAACACGATCTACCGCCTCATTGACACCGGTGGCCTCCACAATGAAGTCAAGGAATTTCTGTGAATCTTTAGAATTTGTAAGAGCTCCAAGGAGATTGTTAAGCGATACTTTTTGTTCGGCATCGGTGCCATCTTCATGAAGCGCAAAGAGAGAAGGGCTTAGCAGATCAATCTCATTGTTCTGAGCTTCTTGATCCTTTGGGATAACACTCATGATCTTCGGGCTGATGATTCTCACAATCTTCCGATCGAAATCTGTTGTGTTATAGCCTCCAATAGTCATCCCGATCTTCGCAGCTTGTCTGATCAAATTCATCGGAATCATCATAGCCTTGTCTTGATCGGTCATTTTTTCCGATTTGTCGTGTAAAAGTTCGCGAATCTCCTCGTTGTCAATATACTTTTCCATTTCGCGCAAACTATCGTCTTTCGCCAACAGTTTTTTGTTCTCAACGTGATTCATGTTCTTGGCCGCCTTGTTGTACACATCCATCCGTTTTTTGAGCATTCGCTCGAATTTCTTCTGCTCTTTTAGCTCTTTCGCCTTTTCGGCAATTCGTTCCACAGTATCCTGCCATTTTCCGATGGTGGTCTTCTTTTTGAGCGAGAGCACAGAGTTGGTGAGATGTTTGGTGAGAATACCGAAGGGGGTGCTAGAAAAATGGGTGTTTGGGAAGCCTTGGGAAGCCTTGGGAAGCCTTAACAGACCTTGGCAGGGGCTTCCCAAGGCTAGAAAGCCTTTGGGAAGCCTTGGGAACCCCCAACTCACATATCATTTTCGCTCTGTAGAGTATACGATTTTTTGTTGTGAACTTCGATAGATCTTTTAGATCGTGCAAATCGGAATGAGCCAATCCAATCCTTCTCTTGCTCTTCAGCTGGAGCTTTTGATTCGCCGAACAATTTTTGGCGAGCAGCTGAAAAAAACATAATTGAGTTATGACGTGTGTCAAACAGCACCAACCTTTCCCGAAAAACCTCTTCCTATGCACCAATCTCGTATGATGCGCATCTCTCTCGAGCTCCAACAAACATCTCGAATGCTCGGGCAACGTCTCGGCCTGCGATGCACACTTCTCATGACTCAACTTCTGGTACTCTTCGACTAGCGGTAATCGTCTCATTGCGATCGCCGCAATAACCGCCGAGAATCCCTGATTGGCCCAGTGCTCCAGAAGTTCCTGACCGGATTCGGTGGACATTTCCACGTGGTACGCGTTGTTTTTGTAATGCGGACTTTTTTTTATCTCTTCCGGTGTGAGACCATATTCGGTTATGTTGATGGCTGGAATGTGCAGGAGCTTATTTGAAGATGGGAGGGTAAAATACGTTTCAAAATTTAAATTTTATAAGTAGAGCTTCTTAGCTATGTTAAGAGAATCCTATATTTTTGGTCAAGCCTCAATCAGATTTTTTTAAACATGAGCAATGTTATGAAGCTGTCAGTTAGGCTTAGCATAAACATAAGGATTCTTTTAACATGCTAGGGCTATTCAGGTTAAGCTACTTGAGTTAAGGTAAGGTCTTAAGCTCAAGTAGCCCTCCTCATAATTCAAATCCCAAACCAACCTGTTGATAAGCGCACAATGAAACAAAATAGAATTGGAATAATCAACATGATTATAATAATAATGAAGATATTATTATCCCGTTCAAAATGTTAATGAAACAAATTATATGCAACATGTTGGAGTGGGCGGAACTTTTGAATATGTATCAATATTGTTCCAAAACGGGCAAGAACGAGAAAACCACACGTGTGTTTATCCGATTTTCGACCTGTGTTTCAATGATAATTACCGGATTTTCGTTGATTGAAATAGATATATATGTGATGTGGTGGTTCAATGCGTTCAATTCGTGAAACTTGATAGGTTGGTTGATGACTGCATTTTTGCGGTTTTGAAACTATTGAACAGTTTTGAGGTGCTTCGTTGAGTGAACCTGGAAATCCTTAGAATCAAAAAATATCTTTAAAAATAAAAACAGATACAAAACTGATGAAGTAATTATGAAAAAAATCATAAAAATCAACGAAATCAAAAAAAATTTTCAAATATTGATGAATTAAACTCAAAATGCACTTACTTTACAAAAAAAAATTAAGTTGAACATAAATTCAAAAAAAATAAATATGTGGACGAACTATTTTGGTGGCCGAGAAATGTCGGGAATTCGGCCAAAGCAACAAACGCTCTCTAATGTTGCAAAAATGCTTATTGTTGGAGCGAGTTTGTTGCTTTGGCCGAACTCCCGACATTTCTCGGCCACCGGAGCAGTTCGGCCACATATATTTTTTTCAGTTTTTTTATTTTTTTTTCAAATTTATGTTCTACTTCGATTTTTTGTGTGCATTTTAAGGGTTTTTTTTCCAGCTTGGAAACATATTGTAGTTTCTGTAGTCCACAATTTCTAGTCTTCGTAGTCCAAAATACGGTAAACATTCCTATCACCAAAGATCAAACATACATCCAAACATTTATTTCCTACTGTAGCTATATATTATCACCTGACAAATCTCCAAATCCGCAATCAAAAAGTTTCATCTTTTTGTTGCAAAAACGCACATTATGTTTTTTTTTGGTTATTGTTGGATGGAGAATGTGTTCTCTGATAGGGGAACAGGAATTGAGGTCATCTCAATGTTTCTTTTTATCTACAGTATCTCTGCTTTCTTTGTTTTGCGAAATGAATGAAGAAACAAGAAAAACAGAATTAAGATTGTTGGAAAAGTGAAAATTTAGGCTTGTTGGTGTTTGATTTGAAACATTGTACATATTTTCAACTTTTTTTGCGAATAGGACCAGAAATCGAATTTTCTTTAGATTATGTCTGAAAATCATTAAAAAAATTGTTTTTATGACTTTCAGACAATTTCCCGGGCTACAAAAGCAATCCATATAGCATAAAATTCAAAAAAAAAATGAAATTTTCACTTTTTCAAATAGTATTCCTGACGATTTCGCCAGTTTTGGCTACACTAAGAGGTCCCAAAGCAGTTGCGTTTGGAACACCAGAAACTCCGCCACAGAAACCAAAGCAAGTTGATGGCAGGTTTCAAGCTTTGCAGCCAAGAAATTGTACGAGAAAAAGTTAGTTAGCAATTTGATTTCAGCTTGGAATTTTAACTTTAAAAATTTCATTTTTTTTTTTAAATACTACAGTAATCCGAACTGCAAATTATAGGAATATAGAATTTCAACTTTTTGAAAACACTACAGTAACCGAAACTGCAAAAAAATCTTTAAAAATTTGAATTTCTTGTATGATCTACAGTAACCCAAACTACAAATTCCGAAAACTCCTTGTTTGCCTTACAGTAATCTAAACTTCCAATTTTCTTAAACTACAGTATCCCAAACTGCAAGATAATCTGAAAATGTTCTGAAACCACTACAGTACCCTCAACTGCAAGGAAATCTGAGTCCCGAACTGCAAAAAAACTCTGAAAGACTTTGGCTTGATCTACAGTATCCCAAACTGAAAAAAAATTTAAAATTTCCCTGGAAAATCCTACAGTACCCCTTCAAATTTCGGCCCCCAAAAATATACAAATCGATTTATTTCCAAGTGCGAAAAATAAAACTAAAACTATACATTTCGAAAAAAAATTGTTGTGACAAAAAAATGTGTGAAAATTTCAGGGGGAAATTGAGATTTTGTGGAATATTTGGGGGTGCAAAAACTGAAAATTTTTAAAATTTTTGAAAAAAAAGTTAAATTTTGAGACTCGTAGAGGACAAAAAATGTAAAAAAAAAGGGGGCGAAATCTCAAATCACTGGAAATTTTTTTATTTTTCAACTGAAAAATCTGGAATGAATATTTTTTGATAAATTAATTTGGGTTCAAGGAAAAAATTTCAAAAAAAAAAAAGAAAATATATGGCAGTGTTGAGATTCTATGGAAAATTTTGGGAAGGGGAAATCACAAAAAATCTGGAAATCTTCCGATTTTTTGGTTGAAAATCACAAAATTAGTCGGAATACAGAACAACTTGGATCGGAATCGCTGGACACTTCGAAAATGAAGCAAATTACCATTAGGGTTTCGTCGGTCTCGCTGTTTGTCACAATCTGCAAAAAATACAGTAATTTGGGAGGTACAGTAGGCTACAGTATGCCTTGAAACTTTTTGGAATGTCTTTGAGAAGCTTAGGCTTGGGTTACTGTAGATGATCAATTTTTGAGCTACAGTACTCTGGACTGCAAAAGGGGTTACTGTAAATGATTGCCACGTAGATTTACAATCAAATTAGCCTAGATGACCTACATTAATCCGAACTGCAAGAATTTAGAACTTTCAGAATTTTCTAGATGATCTACAGTTCCCCGAACTGCAAAATTACAAATTTTTGGAAACTGAAACTTTACTAGATAAATACAGTACCCGAACTGCAAAACATTCTCTAGAGCTACAGTACCCTGAACTGCAAAAATTGAATTTTCAGAATGTTCTAGATAATCTACAGTAACCCAGACTGCAAAACTTCAATTTTTTTGAAAATCTTCATAAGGTTCTAAGGAAGGTACAGTACCCCAAACTGCAACAATCCAAATTTTTAGAAACTGAAATTTTACTAGATAAATACAGTACCGAACTGCAAAACATTCTCTAAAACTACAGTAACCCAGACTGCAAAAATTCAAATTTTTGAAAATTAAAAGCTCTAGCTAATCTACAGTAACCCAAACTGCAAAAATCCAAAATTTTGAAACTAAAAGCTCTGGGTTAACTACAGTAACTCGAACTAAATTCTTGGAAACTAAAAAGCTCTTGCTAATCTACAGTAACCCGAACTGCAAAAACCGAAAATAAATTACTCCGGAGAACCGAATTTTTAGAATTTTCTAGATAAACTACAGTACCCCGGGCTAAAAATATCCAAAATTTTCAAATTTCCCATCAAAAATCCCCCGAAAATTCACCTGCAAAACCGTAAAATTCTCCAAAACCGAATTCATCATCTCAATTGTGTCCACTTTTTTCAGCTCACTAATAAATTTCACCATATAATCGCACATTGGCGAATTATTGAGAATAAATGAAAAAGTTCCGTCAGCTTCTTCTGTCGGCGGATAAGCTTCGATTTTTTCGACAACTTGATTCCCAAAACTACACGCCATTGTGGAGACTTTTAGACAGAATTTTTCGCGCGACGAATAGAATGAATCCACTGCGTATTGACATTTTCTGAAACGAAATTTGAGTTGGAAATTTGAATTTTCAAAGAAAAAGTTGATTTTCATAGGAATTATGGAAACAGTACGTTGTTAACAATAATCATACCACACAAAATGTTTTGTGGAAATTTTGAAACAGTGAATTTTTTTCCAAAAAAAAATTTGTTGTCCAAAGTTTTGAATTCAAATTTTTAGCCACGTGGATATTTATTTTGACTCCAAAACATCCACGTGGCAAATTTCAGAAGTTCAAACATTTAAGAAAACGTTTAATTAAAATTTATTTCCACGTAGAACATTTTGTGAAAATTTTGAAACAGTGAATTTTTTTCCAAAAAAAAAATGTTCTGATTTAGGTGTTGAAAAAATTATATCCAAACTTTTTGGAAAAATCTTTCGAAATTTTGTGAAAATTTTGAAACAGTGAATTTTTTTCCAAAAAAAAATGTCTTGATTTTGGTTCCAAAATTTGACAAAAACTCACGTCACATCATCTGGCACATTAATATTCGCCCAACATTTTGCCATGAAAAATATATCCTTATTCGGCGAATTTTCGACCAATTCTCGCAATTTTTGCGGGTATTTTTCGTAGAAAAGTTGAATTGAGATGGCCTGCAAAAAAACAGGATTTTCGGGTTACTGTAGTCATTTGCCACGTGGCTAAAATTTCTAATTTTCTGGAAAAAAAAGCCACGTGGAAAACGTGACATCCAATTTCTAAATTTTCATTTAAAACTATACTCTAGTCTTTGTACATACCTCTTTCTCCAGCGAATTCTCAATCTTCACCAGCTCCGTCCTCTCTTGACTCTCATTATTCTGAACATAGGCTGAGAAGCCGTGAAAATTGAGTGATGACGTGGCAATTGGCAACACATCTGGCTCGATTTTTTGTTGCTGCTGTTGCTGCTCTGGTTCGGGTTTTGCAACGACGAGTTGCGATAAGTCCATTCCGAAGGGCAATTGCGAATTGGAGAATGTGTTCCAAAGTGGGTTGTTGAGGGCTGAAAAAAAATTTATGAAATTTTCGAAACAGCGAATTTTTTTCGAAAAAAAAATTAATTTTGGGAGCGCAAATTTCACGTGGATTTTTTTAATCATGCCAACCAACAAAATAAGAACGAAATTAAAATCCGACCAAAAAAATTATTTTAAATTTTTGAAACAGTGAATTTTTATCCCAAAAAAAATTAATTTTGAGAACGCAAATTCCACGTGGCAAATTTTCAGGCCTAACAATAAGCTAAGTAAATCGGGGGAACTAGACCTGACAACCTAATTTTTAGTCTTTGGTGCACTGTAAAATTTTGATGCCACGTGGATTTCTTTTAATGGTCCAGCAAAAAATGCAACGAAATTCAAATCCGACCACAAAAATTATGAAAATTCTGCAACAGTGAATTTTTTTTTCAAGAAAAAATTGAATTTCCACGTGGCAAATGAGCCTATAAAGAACGTTTGTGAGCTCGAGTCTGAAAAAAGGCCTGCGCTAACTTATTCTGAAGGGCTGGGCCTGATGAGCCTAGAAAAGTCAGGAAAATTCTAGAGCCCAGAGGGAGCTTAGGCCTATCTAAATCTGGGTTAAGGCTTTTTCTTGAGCTCAAATTTAGACAAGTTGATTAGGCCCAAGGTTCGGCCTAATCCTAAGCCTGAGACCCAAAAAGGCCCTGAACATATATATAATATTGAAAAACTCAAGCCTAAATAAAATAAGGCTAGGGCCTAAGATTGAGCCTAAGCCCAGAATCAAGCTCAAGATTTAATAAAGCCTATTTTTTTTTTAATCTCAAGCCTAACTCTTAGCCTAAGCCTATTAATCAAGCCTAAGCCTAAGCTCAAGCCTAACTTCCAGGCCTATAATCAAGCCTAAACATAAGCTTAGCAACAATATTTGAACACTGGGGCCCATTCTTAAGCCCAGGCCCACAAAAAGCCTGAAATGTCCTCCAAAAAACTCACTAGACAGCAAAATATGATGTTGTAAAGCAGTAGTCGCCGAATTCTCCTCCAATTTTGGTGTGTGAAATTGTGGGGCCGAGCTATTTCCAGCCGCATTTCCGCCAGCCACCACATTCAAAATCTCATTGCTCGAACTCGAACTACTTCGACTCGTCGTCGTACTATTGTTGTTATTATTATTGTTGAGATTTAGGCTAACTTGAGATGTTGGCAGACTGAATGAGTTGCCACCTTCTTTCTTTTTTGTCTGCTCGTCTCGCTGCTTTTTTCGTGCCAAAACTTGAATATGTGACGAGACTTGTTTTCGGGTTCGTGTTTTGCCGCAACGCAGTTTGATGTAGCGTGCGATTAGCTCGTTTCGACCTGAAAATTTGAAATTTTGATACTGTAGTTTTGATCTACCGAAAATTGGGAACTTTTTGAGGTACAGTAATCCTAGACTCTAGTTTAGATATAGAAACATAAAACCGTAAGAGAAACAAATTTTCCTAGATTTTCTAAAATATTTCCAGATTTTCTGAAACGTATTTTTTGCAGGCCGAAAAAATTCACTGTTTCAAAATATTTTCAATTTTTCGGAAATGAAAAATTCAGCGATACAAGCGCGAGGTTGTTTGACAAACTCTAGAGATTTTTTCTTGAATTTTTGCAGTTCGGGTTACTGTAGAAAATCTGACCAAAATCCCCTAATTATCCTCTGAAAATTTAAATATTTCAACAAAAAAATTCACTGTTTCAAAAAATTCTCAAATTTTCTGGAGGTGAAAAATTCAGCAATATATTGATGGTGTTTTAAAACCTCTAGAGATTTTTTCTTGACTTTTTGCAGTTCGGGTTACTGTAGAAAATCTGACCGAAACCCCTAATTTTTCTTTGAAAATCTAAACATTTCAACAAAAAAATTCACTGTTTCAAAAAATTCTTAAAGTTTTTGGACGTGAAAAACTCAGCGATGCATATAAAGGTTGTTTCAGAAACTCTAGAAAATTTATTTTCAGTTCGGATTACTGTACATCACAGTAATCCTAGACTCTCGTTTTGATCTAAGAACATACAACCGTGAGAAAATCAAATTTTCGTGAATTATCTAAAATATGTCCACCAAAACCCCCGAATTTTTCTCTAAAAATCTAAAAATTTCAACAAAAAAAATTCACTGTTTCAAAAAAATCTCAAATTTATCTAGTTTTCCCCGCTCATCGATTGGCTGCATCAATAATTTCGGACTAAAAAAATAATTTCGCAATTGAAAAAAAAATCTCAATTTTTTGCAGTTGTATATTGTCTAGAACATTTTCAGCTTCATCGAAAAAGTCCCCAGTTTCCCCCGCTCCAAAGTTCCTTTTCTTTTTCTTTTCAACTCAACCGCATCAGAAATAAAATAAATAAACACAACCAAAATTAAGCCTAACTCACAAGCCTAAGCCTAACTAATAATAATAAAATTACATGAATATTTATTTATTTATTTATATAAACTACTACTATTTTTGCTTGGGCCGGGCGGGCGGGCGGCAAAAATCAAAACCCAAAATTCTCCCGAAAATTTTTCGAGTGTTTATTTTGACACCTGCTGTGGGTCTTGACACGGGAGAGATTTTAGGGGTTACTGTAGGCATCAAGATTACTGTATCATATGAAATTCCCCGTCAAAAATCCCTCGAACTTCTCCAAATTTCTCCAAATTTTTGTGCAGATGTTTGAAAAGGCAGATGCAAAAAAAGAAGCAAAGAATGAAAATAAAATGAAAACAGTCACTTGTGACCAAAAAAAAAGACAAAAACGGCGTAATTATAGATTTATGTTGTTTAGGAGATTCAAGGTCAATGTGCACTTTAGAAATTGGCAAGCAAATTTCGGATTTTGAAGACAAAGAGAGCTCAGAAAAATTGAGAAAATCTTGGAAAATGCACATTTTCTATATGAAATTCCAGATTTTCAGAGGAAAAAATGGCAAAATTTTAATCTGGAGAACAATTTTTGACTGAAAATTTGTCTTGCTTCAAACTCTAAGGCTCTGAAAATCTACAGTAATCCTTACATTAGACACGTGGTTTTTTGGCTCCTTTTGAAATCTACAGTAAGCGACAGTAGTTTTAAAACAATTTTTTTGAAAATTCGAAATCCACGTGGATTATTGTGGTCATACGGTACTCCACAGTATTTTCTAGATCTCAAATTCTAAATTTTCAAAATGTATTCCACGTGGATTTTTAGCTACAGTAACCCACAGTAATTTTTCTTGCTAAAATTTTCCATATTTTTAAAATCACGCGTGTACCTAATAACCTACAGTAATCCTGGAAAATTTGATGCCACGTGGATTTTATAGAGATCTACAGTAACCCAAAGTAAGCTATAGTAGTTTTGAAACAATTTTTTCAAAATTCCGAACTTTTATTCCACGTGGCAAAAATTTCGGAAATGTAGATTTTTAGAAAAAAAATTGATGCCACGTGGACCTACAGTAATCCTAGAAAATTTTGGATTCCTGACGCCAGAAGTCTACAGTAACCTTTTGAATCAAAATACACAGTAATTCTTGATTTCAAGGCTCTACATTAATCCAGAATTTTATGAAAACTTCAATTGATGGATTATCTACAGTATCCCACCAGAACCCTACAGTAATCCATAGAAAACCCCAAAAAAAGCCAACTCACCATACATTTTGCCTTCCTCACTAATAATAATTTTACGTCTTCCGCACGGCGGATAAATTGTGAGCGCCTCTTGGAAAGCCTGATCAATATCCACACTCCAAACACCTTCCGCGTCTCCGGACAAATCATTTGATGACGTGGCTTCGGGAGCTGTTGAGGAATTCGATCCGGCTCCGTCGCCAGCTGGTGGAGAGAGCTGGAAAAAAATGAGGTTTTCTGGGGAGCCCTGAGGTTAGGCCTGGATTTCGAAGCCTAAAATTAAAGCCTTAAAATTTTTTTCTAGATCAAAAATGGCACAATTTTCCGGGCTGCAGTAACTTCAAGAAAAATCCCCCTACAGTACCCCTACAGTAAACTTACAGTCATCATTTGTCCGCCTCCGGAAGAAGCGGCTAGAATTTGACTGGCCGCCGCTCCGCTCATCGCCGCCCACTCTTTTTTGAAATCTCGAAATGGCGTGCCGTTGGCTGAGCTCAAAAGAGCCGGAAGGGGATTTGCCACATCTTCGGACATCTGGAAAAAATAAAAATTTGAATTTCAGAAAAATTTTAGGATTTTCAGAAAAAAATAGAGAGAAGAGGAAGAAAAATACAGTAGTTTTGATCAACCAGAAATTTGGAACCTTTTGATCTACATTTTGACTCTGGAATACAGAGTGATCTACATTTTTGAAGCTACAGTAACCCAGACAAAAAATGCCTTCTTGAGAAGCTTCTGTAGCACTAAAATTTTGCCACGTGGCAGCTACAGTAACCCTGGATTACTGTAGAATTATTCACTCAAAAATTCAAAAAAAGAACTCTGATTTTTCCCCGAAAAAAACTACGGTATCTCAGGTTCGAGCAAAAAAAGAAGTGTTCCAAAATTTTCGTTTTTTTTTCGAAATCTAAAATTGCAATCTTTTTTACTTTTTTTGCGAGCTCCGCCTTTTTTTTGTTGAAAAAGCTCCTGAGATTCGAAAAATCTCGATAAAAATTTTTTGAAACCCTCTTTTTTTTTCGCAGAAAAAAATGGATCGAAATGCGTCAAGCTACAAAATTTGCGTCAAGGAGAATTGCTGGGCCAAAAAAAGTATGTTTGATCTACTAGAAATGAGTCAAGGATTGTTGACGCATTTTTTGTAGCTCAGAAAATCCACAGAAAATTCGGAAAACCAAAAAAATTGTGATAAAAACTGGCAAAAATCGATCGATGACTCAGGCGCACACAGAAAAAATCAAAATCATTTCCAATTTTTTTGTGTTGCCAAGAAAAAAATCAGATGGAACAATTTTTGTTTTGTTTTGTTACAACAGAAAGAAAAAAAAGAAAAAACACAACAAAAAAATGTTTTTTTTTTTGGAAAAAAAATTCGACAAAATTTTCGCGGAACGGTTGAACAAAAAATTTTTGTGTAATATTTGGGTGATTTTTTGAATGATAAGGAAATTTTGATTATTTTTTCGTCAGGCTACGGGAAATGCGTCAAGGAGGAGTGCTGACGCGTTTTTTGTGGATTAAGAAAATCTTGAAAAACTTTTTGATCCATCAGAAATGCGTCAATCTTGATTGCTGGCACATTTTTGATAGACTAGAAAATTCACGCCAGTAAAAATACGTTTCAAAATTTTGGTAGATCAAAAAATCTACAGTACTTCCCTTTTGGCAAAAAAAAACTGCACTAATTAACACAAATTAATGAACATCAAGAAAAAATCAATAAAATACAGGATTTTTGTCCATCTACAGATAGAGATAGGAAGAAAATGGGAAAAAAAGATGGAAAAAATCGGGCGATAATCGAAGATGTGTTTCTCTGCTGCGTCTCTCCAAAATCCACACTCTCTAGCCTCAAATTTTTTGATGTTGTAAGGAAGGATGACTAAGCCCTAAGCCTAACTAACTGTGATTTTCATTTTTTGGGGTGGTTCCCAATGAAAAGTGACATTTTTTGGTTGAATGACAAGTGACAAGGACCACCCAAACAACAAGTTAATTAGGTGTCAATCAAAACACACAAAAAATTTGAATTTGATTTTTTTGGTGGAAAAAAGGGAGAGGGATGGTCAAATTCTCAGCAGACAAGTGGCAAAAAATCTTTAAAAAATTCAAATTTTTGTTTTGAAAAATTTCACTGTTTCAAAAATTTCATGAATATTTTGAAGGTTTTTTGAAAAACTGATTAATCAAATTCTTTTTTGAAATCCCAAAAATTCAAATTTTTGTTCAAAAAAATTTCACTGTTTCAAAAATTTCATGAATTTTTTGAAAGTTTTTTGAAAAACTGATCAATCAAATGTCTTTTTTAAACCCCAAAAATTCAAATTTTTGTTCTGAAAAATTTCACTGTTTCAAAAAATTTTTGAAAAGATTTTGATATGTTTCATAATATTACAATTACAAATAAAAAACATTTCGAAAAATTAAAATTTTTGTTCTGAAAATTTCACTGTTTCAAAAATTTCACATAAAATTTCAAAGGTTTTCAAAAAATTGATTGACAAAAATGGTTAAATCGAAAAAAAATTAGCGTCAAAATTTTGAATTGCCACGTGGATGCCAATAAAAATTGCTGTTTCAGATTTTTGCCTCGAAGTGATTCGAAAATCATTTTCAAAATTTCATAAAACATTTTTGAAACGTATTTTTCCCGGAAAAAACCTCTAGGCTCTTGAAAAAGCGCTCCAGGGCCATTTAGGGGCCAAAAATTCACGTCAAATCCTCTAGCCCCCAAGAAATCGCCCCAGGACCCCATAATCCCAATTTTCCCGTCAAAAATGACCCAAAAATCGCAAATTTTGTTTCGTTTCGCAGAAAAAAAAGATGGAAAAAGTGGATAAGTGGTGGAAGAAAAAAAAGATGATTTTCTTTTTTCTTTTTTGTTTTGTTCTGTTCTGTCGATTTCGAAACAGCAGGCAAAGAAGAAGAAGAACAAAATCAATCGATACATAATTATTTTCTGCTTGACATGAGTGAGAAGAGATAGGTGATAAGGGGAAAAATTGAGAAAATTTGTTCATGTTTTCATGTTTTTTGGGGGGAAAATTGGGGAAAAATGATAAAAATTTGGGAGTTTAGAGCAATGAAAATTTGCAAAATGTTTACCCGAAATACGGGAAATCCTAAAATTAAGGATGACCTTCAATTATACATTTTTATTGTTCTTCCTGTCTAACATAAGATAATTAATTGGATTATGGTACAAGTTTTGTGGTAACACAGAAAATGGACAGGAAATATTGAGAGATTGTCAACATGTTGAAGAAAAGGAACGAGAATTTGTGAATTTTTTGAAACAGTAAAAATTTAGATTTGGAAAAAATCTGGAATTTTGATACGAAGTAGAAATTCAGAAACAAGTATTAAAATTAGTGAATTTTTTGAAACAGTAAATTTTTTGATTTGGAAAAAATTTTCAATTTTGGAAGAAATCAAAGCTCTAGAAAATACAGAAAAATATATGAATTTTTTGAAACAGTGAGTTTTTTAGTTTGAAAACTATGGATCCTTATTGAAGTTTCTGAAAACCTCTGCAAATAAATACATTTTTTGAAACAGTGAATTTTTTTCTGGTTAGAAAAATTTTCAAGGTGAAAAATAAAAACTCTGATCAAAGCTCGAGAAAATACAGAAATTATATGAATCTCTTGAAACAATGAATTTTTCTGAGACAAAATCTGGATTTTAGAATCACCCAATTCAACTCTGACTGAACCCAGAATAAATACATATAAAAATATATGAATTTCTTGAAACAGTGAATTTTTTCTACAAGCTTCAGATAACAACAATTAGCAGAGCTAGAAAATTTCGAAAAAATTTGGAATTTCCTTGAAACAGTGAATTTTTTATGAAACAAAATCTGGATTTTAGAATCACCCAATTCAACTCTGACTGAACCTAGAATAAATACAGATAAAAATATATGAATTTCTTGAAACAGCGAATTTTTTTGAACGAGAATATGACTGACCATCAGAAACTCAAAAACCGCGTGAATTTCCAAATTTTTGGAAACAGTGAATTTTTTCTACAAACCTCCGGAGACAACTATTGAGCAAAGCTAGAAAATTTCCAAAACCTTATGTATTTACTTGAAACAGTGAATTTTTATAAGAGAAAAAAATCCAACCACCAAAAAAGTCATCCAACATACAGAAAAAACACAACACCACAAATAAATCCCAAAAACAAATACACCAAGACCACCCAAAAAACAGCAGGGTGCAAAAAAATGGTTTTTAGAAGCCTAGACCTAGTAGTTAGCCTAACTCAAGAAATCCAGCAAAAAATTATTTTCAAACACTATTTGGGAATCCTGAAGGCTTTCAGAAATTCACAGAAAATTTCTAGAATTTAGCAAAACTCAAAAATCTTTAAAATATTTAGAAAATTCAAAAATATCCCACTAAAAGCTAAATTTTCTTCAGAAAACCCCACAAAAAACTTCCAAGACTTAGCCTAACTAAAACTCCATACAAAAATAAATACACCATGCATATAATAAAATAGTGGCTGGGTGTATTATTTGATGGTGGTTAAGTGAAAAAATGCAGATGGCCCCCCGCCAAAAAAAAGACAGATGGTCACAGCCAAAAAGTACTGTAGACCAAGGAGGAGAAGAAAGAGGAAGAGTGTATTAAAAATGGGTGGAAAAATAAAAAGCATGGAAACAAGAGGGAGGAGAGGGATTAGAGAGAGGAAGAGAGAAAATGGCGGGAAATTTTTTTTGAATTTTTTCTTGGCGGGAAAACTGATATACCCACTTGAATCATTAAATCCCGTTCAAAACAAAATTTATTTATCCAAATTTTGAAACAGTGAATTTTTTTCGCGCGGGAGATCAGATTTGAAATACCTATATTTTCGAGGATTTAGCCTAACTTTTCCGGACAAATTTTCCACGTGTAGTTTTCAAGGGCTATAGGATTTTCTGAATCAAAAAATCAACTAAAGATCAAAACTCTTCAAAATCGATTTTATATACCCAAATTTTGAAACAGTGAAAAAATTTTTTGAATTTTTTTTGTTGGAAAAAACATTCGACTCATTGAATCTCATTCTAAATCAAAGTTTATATCCCAAAATTTTGAAACAGTGAACTTTTTTGTGGAGAAAAATTTTTTTTGAATTTTTTTTCGCGGGAAACCATTTGAATTATCAAAACCATCTCTAAATTAAAATTTATACATCCAAATTTTGAAACAGTGAATTTTCTCGCGTGGGAGATCGGATTTCAAGTATATTCTCGAGGATTTAGCTTAACTTTCAATGACGAATTTGCCACGTGTAATTTCTGAATTTTCCAAATTAACAGGATAGACAAACAAAATCCCTTCAAAAATCGAATTTATATATCCAAATTTTGAAACAGTGAAAAAATTTTTGAATTTTTTTTTGTTCGAAAAAACATTCGACTCATTCCTCGATCTAAACCAAATTTTATCTATCCAAATTTTGAAACAGTGAATTTTTTCGCATTTCTCATTTTTTGAAACAGTGAAAAAAATGATAAATGAGGATTTCAAAAACAAAATGAATATTAATTTTTTTCCCAATTAATGGGGATGGAAAAATAATTTATGTTCAATTTTGAAAATGGGAAGAAAAATTACAGTAATCCAGAAGTACTGTAGTTGGTAATCTACAGAACCTCCTGAAAAATGTCTCAGAACCCTTAGAGCTACAGTATTCTACAGTACTCGTACAATTTTAGCTTCAAAATGTAGGTCCTGAAGCCTACAGTAATCTACAGTACCTTTTCAAATTGAATACAATTTAGGTCTCAAAATATACAGTAATCCTAAATCTCTAGAAGCCTACAGTAACCCGGAACTCTCAAATTTTCCGGTTTATTTTTCAAATTTTGCTGCCCAACAGCCACACAAAAAAATGATAAAATGACGTTGAGAATACTCTCTTATCACTGATTTTTTGCCCCGATTTTTGTGTGTCCCAAAAAAAATTGCACAAAAAAAGTTCAACATTTTCCCACACGTATTATGATTCAAATTTTGTATAATATTTCTTTGAATGAATGAAAATGAAAAAAATCGAAAAATTGGGAGAAAAAATGGAAATTTTGATCTGATTTTATTGTTATCAGAAAGGAAAAGTGCACCTTTCTTTAAAAAAATAAAATAAAAATTGAAAAAAACAAAAATTTTTTTTGTTTGGGTATGAAATGTAAACATGTGTTTTTAAAATGGCGATTTTTTATTGAGAGAAAAAAAATTGGAAAATAATGGGTTCACTTAACAAAAGTGATTTTTCACTTGCAAAAAAAGCGTCAGCACAATCTAGTAGCTTCCAGAAACGCGCCAGCAACATTTTGAGCCCCCTCCTCTTAGCCTAAAAGCCCTGCGTGGGTTGTATGTAGATCAAAGTACCAAAATATTTTTGCGCAAAAAAAAATACCAATGAGAACGTTTTTTCTCGGAAATTTTTTTATAAATCTGATTTGTAAATTTGAACAAAAAAAACTGTTCAAAAAAACAGTTTTTTTGCTCTGTTTACCGACCAAACTAAACTCAATTTGAAAAATAAATTGAGAAAATCAGCACTGAAAATTTTCAACATTCAAAAATTCTTGAATAAATTTTGAAACAGTGAAAAATAATTATTTTTGAATTTTTTGAAGAAATAGAACAAAAGGCCTGGTACTATCCTAGAATTTTCGAAGAAACAGTTTATAAGCATATTTTGAAACAGTGGAAATTTTCAAACCTTTTCAGAAAACTAAAAATTCACAACCTTTTAAATTTCAAAAATAAACGGAAAGTTTTCAAAAACTCATAAATAAATTTTGAAACAGTGAAAAATAATTAGTTTTTGAAATTTTTCAAGAATCGGATGAAAATGAAGAATCCTGGATTTTTCAGTCAAAAATTTTAGGTCAGAATTTTGAAACAGTGAAAAAATTGAATAATGAAATTTTAGTTCTTCAAAAATATAATTATGAATTTGTGAAACAACTTCTTCCAACGGAAAATTTTGAAAATTCAAAAATTCTTGAATAAATTTTGAAACAGTGAAAAATAATTATTTTTTAAATTTTTCAAGAAACAGATGTCAAGGATCCTGGATTTTTCATTCAAAAATTTTATGTCAGAATTTTGAAACAGTGAGAAAATTGAACAATGAAAAAGTCTGTTCTTCAAAAATATAATCCTGAAATTTGGAACTGAAAATTTTCAAAATTCAAAAATTCTTGAATAAATTTTGAAACAGTGAAAAAAAAGTGTTTTTGTAAATTTTTGTAGTTTTGAGTGGTAGCATATCCTAGATTTTCTGATCAAAAATTGTATATTCAAATTTTGAAACAGTAAAAAATTTAGCACGAAAATGAAATCCACGTGTCAAAAAATTGTTTTTAAAATTTCTAGAAAATTCAGAAAAAATTCTAATTCAAAATTTTCACTCCCGCCTCAATCAATACAAAAAAAAGTTCGTGTACAAAAATGAAAAACGCCGCAAAAAAAGAAGAAGAGGTTAAAGTGTGTCTTTCTTGTTGTTTGTTGTGTTTCTACTAACAGTCCGAAACATTTGACAAAAACTAGGTGGAAATAGTGTGCGAAACGAAGAGAGTGTACAGGGTGATGAGACAGAGGAAAAGTCAAGATTTTTCTCTTTTTTCGCGCAAACCCGTTCTTATTACGATTTTTTTCGTGTGTGCGGGACAAAATTTATCGATTTTTTTACGAGAGGAAAAATTTGAAAAATCCCCCAAAAAGTTCTTTGAAAACTCAAAAATTCATGAAAAAATCAGAAACCCTGAAAAAACTTACGAAAAATTTGAAGGCCGAAAATGCTGGGAAAATTGACGACATTTGATTTTTTCAGGTTTGCCACGTGGATTTTTTGTGCTGGAAAAATTGAGCTACAGTAAGCCGAACTGCAAAGAATCAAAAAAGGCTTAAATATAGTAATTCGAAAATATTACAAAACTACAGTAATCTACAGTACCTCAAACTGCAAAAAAGCACAATAACCCATAATTATAGCTAAAGAAGACGGTTTTGTATACTACAGTAACCCGGATTGCAAAAAAACACGGTAATCTCAGAAAATTCAAACTACAGTAAAACAATCGAAGACTACTGTAATCATCTAATCTACAGTAACCCTAGATATTTTTGAGCTTCAGTAATCGCCATATATAATAAAACTTTACCTTAAGGTTATTAATCTACAGTAACCCTGTTCCTTAAATTTTACAGTAAACCAAAAACACGCTAAGAAGTACAGTAACCCCTTGTATGGAAAAAACATTTTCTGATCTACAGTAACCTTCTACGTTTATAGAAATCCAAACCCTACAGTAATCTACAGTAATTCAAAAAAATGCACTCACCAAAACTTTTAGGACACAAAATTTTTGCGTCACAATTGAGTCGAATTAAAATGGCTGATTATTTTGTGTTTCAGCTGCTTCGTGGCTTTTGTGAAGTTCGACTCGAAAAGTTTATTTGGAAACCGATTCAGCTGCCTAGAAAATTTGGAAAGATTTTTGGTTTTTTTTTGGGCTTTTTGGCGCGAAAATTTGAGATCTGAAATGTAGGGTACTGTACAAAATAGATTTTGATGAAAAATGTTCCTTTAAATACTACAGTAATCCTGAAAATTTTAAATCAAGATTCTATGTTCCTTTAAAACATTACAGTAACCCTGAAAATGTTAAATCACGCTCATGTGATCCTTTAAAAACTACAGTACCTAAAACTTGCCAAGTTTTTGTCCCAAATAAATTCAAAAATTTGGGCATGTTCCTTTGAAGACTACAGTATCCCTACAAATTTGAAATAGAGCTTCTTTTAAAGACTACAGTAACCCTACAAACTTCAAATCAAGGTTATTTGATCTTTCAAAATCCTACAGTACCCCTAAACATTCCCAAAAATTTTCTATGCTCCTTTAAAATCCTACAGTACCCAAAACTTTTCAAAAAAAAAAATAAATAAAAAATTAGAGCGTGTTCCTTTAAATACTACAGTAATCCTACAAACTTCAAATCAAGCATCTTTGATCCTTTGAAACCCTACAGTACCCCTAAAAATTCCCAAAGAATCTTCCATGTTCCTTTAAAACCCTACAGTACCCCCAAAACTTTTCCAAAAAAAAAAAGCAGCGCGAGCAAAAAATGCCCAAAAACAAAGAAAGGTATATTATTTTTTCCCCGCTTTCTTCAACACATTATAATTTCAAAAATGCATTAAAAAATAGAAGACTAGGTGGCTTTTTGGTGAATGAAGAAGCACAAAACCCCTTTTTCTCACTATGAATCTATGCATAATAAAAAAAAATTTCAAAATATTTTGTTGGTGTCATGCTTTTTTGTTTTGAAAAAAAACATTTTTCAGAGAATTGGAGGTACTGTAGATTTAAAGGAATATTCTAGATTTTTGGGGTTACTGTAGAAATCAAGAATCTTTGGTTACTGTAGCCCTAACTCTGAATATGCTTGTGGTACTGTAGGTTCAAATACAGTATATAAATTTAGGATTACGGTATGTCCCTTTGAGTCAAGTGTGAAAAACATTACAGTAACCCAGAACAGATTACTGTAGCGCCATTCAGTACTGTCCAGTAACCCAAAAACATGTTCCTTTAAAGACTACAGTACTCTCTAATAAAAAACAACACGTTCCTTGTAATTACAGTACTCCTAATCCAAATGATCTAGAAAAATCAATAAAAAATAAATTGGACAATGTCCCTTCAAAACCTACAGTATTCTCTAATAAAAAATGCAATTCTCATTCAAAAAATCTCACAACAGCAAAAAGCTTTTAGTAGCATAAAAATATAGCGGAACACCTTTTTCCGCCCATTCAAAAAACCTATAATTTAATTTTTCTCGAAAAATTCAATTTTTATGGGGTGTACTGTAATTATATGTGTGATTTCAGTTTTCAGAGTCGAAAAAAAATCTTATTTCACAAACAAACAAAAAATGGAAAATCAAAAAATAAATAAAAATGAGATCCGTTAAAAAAGTGAAAATTTTCCAAAAAATTATTCCTCAACTTCTTCTTCTTCTTGTTGTTGCTTGAATTTGGCGGCAGTCTGCAAAAAATTCAAAATTCAAAAAAAAATTTGTGGCGCCAAAATCGTCTACCTCCTTGATAAAAATCGTGCGTCGGCCACGTGGGAAATTGAGCATTCCGGGCACGGAGCGAAGTTGTGTTGGCGAGGCTTTCATGGCGGCTGTGATGCCGCTACGCGTACGCATTGCTGCAACGTGGCAATTTTTGAGTGAAAAAAATTTTCACTGTTTCAATAAAATGCTATTTCTCAAATATTTTAGGACTTTTTGATTGTAGAAAATTCCAAAAAAGTAAAAATTTTGTGAATGTTAAAAATACCACGTGGCAAAAATTTTTTTTCAGAGAGCCAAGAATTTTCACTGTTTCAAAAAATCAACTTATTTTTGACCAATTTTTGAATTTCGTTAGAGCAAAAACTTGAGAAATCAATTTTTCGTAAATTTTAAGATGCCACGTGGCTGAAAAACTCACAATTTCTCCTTCAAATTCATATTTTCAATCGTAATTTTTTTAATTTGAACATTAATTTTCAAATTTCCAACGTGGTTGCTCAAATTTTCTATAACACAATTTGGAAATTCTCAATTTTTCTCGAAACACAAACCCTCTAATTAACCAGTGGAAAATAGTATAGTAAAGTAGCATTTTTCGAGTCGAAAATTATTATAATTTTCAGCAATTGCGGAAAGGTTAAGTTTGAGAATTTGTCACGAGAAAACTGGGGGAAATGTTGATTTTTGACGCCAAAAATAAAAATTGCAGAGAAAACACATTGAGGGGTTTGGAATATTTCCACGTGGCAATTTTGAATCAATAAATGAATCGCGTCAATATTAAAAAATACAAAAAAAAAATAAAAATATTAAAAAAAAATTGAAACAGTGGATTTTTGCCACGTGGCATCGAAAAATGCAAATTTTGAAACAGTGAGAAATTTTTTCTACAAAAATTTACTGTTTCAAAATTTTCATATATTTCGATTTTTACTGAATCTCTTTGATGTTCTGATTTTTTTCAAAATTTCAAAAAAAAATCTTTAATTTCGGCTCATTTTCGTGGAATTGTTGAGCATTTTCCAGATTTTTAGCTATTTTTCCAATTTATGAAAATTTTGAAACAGTAAGAAATTTTTTGAAAAAAAATTTAGCACATAAAAAATTTACTGTTTCAAAATTTTCATATTTTTCGATTTTTCCAGAAATTCTTCGATACTTTTTTTTTCAGCTAGATCTTCAAATTTTCAGCTAATTTAGAGCTTCTGGGCTCATTTTCCCGCTCCCAAAAAAATCACTCACCATGCTGATTTTTGATGGGCGAACTTGTGACAACTTGCGATTTTCGTCGATATTTTTTCTCGATTTTTTTCGCCGCCGAAATTGTGGCCGATCGATTATTTTGTCTCGAAATCGACGGCGATCCGGACAGAATCGATTCATTTCCACTCAAAAATGACGTGTTGTTTTTGGTGGTGGATTTCGGTGTTTTGCGGGTGCGTTTCGGTGGAGTTGGTGTCGATTTTTGTGGCGAGTTTTCTTGATCTTCAGAATCTTCGGATGATTCTGGTGGAGGTGGAGGTGGTTGTTTTCGAGTTCCGCGACGTGGTGTTGCGGAAGAAGCGGAAGCGGAAGATGATGAAGCAGAGGCTGATGTGGAAGAAGCTGATGTTGATTCTGAAAAATTGGAATTTTTTGAGGAGAAATTTCGTGAAAATTTTTTCACTGTTTCAAAAAATTGATGAATTTTCAATTTTCAATTTTTTAGGGATACCAAGTGAGAAAATTCATCCAAATTTCAGAAAATTAGCCTAAATCAGGAAATTGAGCCAAAATAGCCTCACTGTTTCAAAAATTCGATGAATGTTCAATTTTTTGGGGATTCTATTCTTTTTCCTAACAAATCTTTTGAATTTTCAGTTGAAATTTGCCACGTGGCAAAAATACAAACTGTATTTTGTTGAACATTTTCAGATTTTTCAGAAAAAAGTTTCGTTCGAAAATTTTTTACTGTTTCAGAAATTTGATGAATTTTATTTACAATTTTTGGGGGGATTCCATTACGTCCTACATTCCTTTGAAAATTGTTTTTAATAAGAAAAAGAAGCCAAAAATCCTTAATTTCATAATTTCAGCCTAGTTTTCACATAAAATCTCTTACTTTTCGCTTCTTTCATCAATTTTCCAACAGCCACTTCCAAACTTTTTCGCAATTTCGAATAATCCACTTTTTCCGCATATCCAGTCTTGGCGGAACAATTCAACAATGTCAAAATGAAATCAAAAGCTGGCGATGCTTCTCCTTCTGGTGTCGATTTCAGGGCGGATTTTAGAGTTGCCGGAAGTCCGGCGATGAATTTTCGTTTCTCTTCAAACGTTTTTTCGGGATTCGTTTCGAGTTGCTGGAAAAAATGAGGATTTTTGAGGGTACTGTTTTCCAAAAAAAAAAATACGTTTCAAAAATTATATACAAGATTTTTAACAAGAATTTCATTCACAGGCAATTACAGATCAGCTTATTATTAGTCTATTATTGACTTATTTTGAAAATAGGTCGAATATAGACTAATAAGGTACATATTATTAGTCAAAATCGATGCAATTTTCTAAATCTAGCCCAAAATTAGCGAAAGCCGTTTTATAATCAATTTGAAAGTGAGAAATAGGAAATTACATTTATCTAACAATTTTAGACGTCCAGAGATCCCTAAAATTCAGACTTATTTTTGACTAATAAGTTACTAATAATTACTAATAAGCTTGTTATTAGTCAAAAATGAGTCTGAAGTTTAGGGATCTCTGGACCTCTGATTGAACTCTAGAATTGTTAGATGAATGTAATTTCCTATTTATCACTTTCAAATTGATCATAAAACGGCTTTCGCTAATTTTGGGCTAGATTTAGAAAATTTCATCGATTTTTGACTAATAATATGTACCGTATTAACCTATAATGAGCCAAATTTCAAAATAAGTCAATAATAGACTAATAATAAGCTGATCTGTAATTGCCTGTGATTGATTACTGTCACTTTGAAACTCTAAATCTGAGAATTTTCCGGTAAAATATCTGGATTCTCAGCCGAAATTTCAATTCAAATATATTGTGCCTCTATTTCAACATTTAAAAAAAACATTGCAACGAAATTTTTCAAAAATTATAAAAATTTTGAAACAGTGAAATTTTCCGGAAAACTTTCGGTGGCCAAAAAATTTTTTAGAGGTCTTTTAGGTGATTTTTTTTGAATTTTGCTAAAAAGTAATGTAAAATTGATAGTTTTCGACAATTATTCACCAAAAAAAAACATTGAAACAGTGAAAATTTTTCCAAAAAAAAAATACGTTTCAAAAATTATATACAATATTTTTAACAAGAATTTCGTTGATTACTTTCTTTCTTCATTTTCAAATTTAAGCTAATGTGGTATTGAACATTTTCCGATAAAAAATCTGGATTTTCAGCCGGAATTTCCAAATACCAGTCATCTCGAAAATTTTCAAAAATTATAAAAATTTTGAAACAGTGAAAATTTCCAGAAAATTTTCGCGGGCCAAATAATTTTTTGGAGGTCTTTTAGGTGATTTTTTTGAATTTTGCTAAAAAGTAACGTATAATTGATAATTTTCGACCATTATTCACCAAAAAATAATATTGAAACAGTACAATTTTTCCAAAAAAAAAATACGTTTCAAAAATTATGTACAAGATTTTTTAGAAGAATTTCGTTGATTACTTTCACTTTGAAATTCTAAATCTGAAAATTTTCCAGTGAAAAATCTGGATTTTCAGCAAAAATTTCTATTCAAATTTTGGCTCAATTTCTAAAAAAAAAGCATTGTAAGCAGCCATCTCAAAAATTTTCAAAAATTATGAAAATTTTGAAACAGTGAAATTTTCCAGGCCAAAAAATGTTTTGGAGGTCTTCTACTATCGGTGCGAAAAAATAAGACAGTTGGAAGAGAAACCTCTATGGCCTAGGACGCCAATTTGACCGTATACTCCGCCGCAAACTTTGAGATCAAAAATATTTTTTTGGAGACCCAATCGTTTTATTTTTTGTTTTCGAAAATTGTTTTTAATTTTTAGAAGAGAGAACATTGAATTACGTTTGAAAAACACGGTCAAAAACAGTTTCTGCTTGAATTATGAACATTCCATGTGATTCATGGGATCAAAAGTGGGAAATTTGCAAATTTAGCGAAACCTTAGGCAAATTTCTGAAATGAAAAAACCAAACACAAGTCCAAATAGACGCAGTCCTCAAGGCTGCGTCTGATAATTTATTAATATTATACATACAAGAAATACAAAATTTGAAAATCCTCCGGACAAATCTCTTGTTGTCGTTTCTCCAAATTTTGTTTGATGATGAAGTCTAGAGCTGAAAATTAATTGATTTTAGCGAAATATTTTGTTAATTTTATCCAGTTTTCAGATTTCATCGACAAATTGCAGCGCCAAAACATTAAGATTGTTTGAATAATATCAAAAATTATAAATTTCTGGAGAAAATTCTTCAAATTGAAAAAAGTCGAAATTTTCTCAGATTTCCGTTTTTATCGCCATCTCATTAACATTTGGTTGATAAATTTCAAGAGTGGCATGCGTAATTTCTGATTTTTCATTAAACACTAAGTTTTTTCGAAAAAATCTCACTTTTATTCGATAATCTCGTTGAACAACGGCGATTCGCGATTTGTCATCATTTTTTGTCTCGTTCTTCGGCGCCGCTTGATGAAAACCATTTGGAAAACTCTGAAAAATGATAGTTTTAAGATGTTGTTCGGAAAAATCCACAAAATAAAAAGAGAAAATGCGAAAAAATGAGAAAATTCATTATTATTGAGCTTTTCTTTCAAAAATATACTTATTTTTAATCAAAATTCAGTCTTGAAGTATGCTATACTTCGTTTCTCATTTGATTATCTATTTTAAACAAACAAAAAACCTCTATAAATGCCGTTTTCAAGAAAAACAAAACAGAAAAAAAAACAAATTTGAAAAATAAAAATAAGTTGGCTAATTGCCAGACAAAGTTAGACGAGCAGAGTCTTGCGGCGAAGAAGGGTACGGTCGCACAACACACACAGCTGTGTGGCGGGAATTCAAACGCAACTGTCTTATTTTTTCGCACCGATAGTAGGTGGTTTTTTATTGAAATTTGTTAAGATTGATAGTTTTCGACCATAATTCTCCAAAAAAAACATTGAAACAGTAAAATTTTCACCAGAAAAATATACGTTTCATAAATTATATACAATATTTTTAACAAGAATCTCGTTGATCAATCTTCAATCTTCATTTTTAAATTTAAGCCAAATAGTGCCACGTGGCATTGAACATTTTCTAGTAAAAAATCTGGATGGATTTTAAGCCGAAAAAAAGTTTTACATCAGCCAGTCATCTCGAGAATTATAACAATTTTGAAACAGTGAAATTTTCACTGTTTCAATTTTCGGGGGCAAAAATGTATTTTTCACCTTGATTTTGACGAAAATTAGTATTTCCAAATGTTTTTTTTTCCAATTTTGAACCCAAAAATTCCCAAAATCCTCACCAGCCATGGCAACGTGCCCGTCAACCAATACACCAAATTCCACGCCAAAATCTCAACATCAGCTCTGAAACTCGGATTACAGCCACGATGCGCGTCACAAGAGGTGAACAAACACGTTCCATTGTGTGCTCGCTTCTTTTCGGGTTTATCCTCAATTTTTCCCGAAAATCGCGCCAATCCAAAATCAACCAACACAGTCTTCTGGAAATCTCCCAATTTTTCCAGCAAAATATTGGCGGCTTTCAGATCGGCATGTGTGTAATCCATCTCCTGCACATATTCAAGTGAGTTCAACATTGATCGCGCAATTTCGAGCACATTTCGGAGTGCCAGAGTTTTCTGCTTCTCTCGGATATTTTCGAGTGACGTGGCATATTTGGGCAAGATCATGAAACGCATTTTTTGCTGATTTGTGTAGGTGAAAATGCCGGCTGAGATGATGTAAGGTAAGCCGAGCCATTGGAGTTCTGAAAGATGATTTTGGATTCGGAAATTGCATTTTTTTTCGTGTGTAAATTTCGTTAATAAAATTCAAGTCTTCAAAAAATTATAAAATATTTTTGAAACGTATTTTTTCTGGGAAAAAACACTGTTTCAAAAAAATTGTTTATGGAATAATTTGGTCGAAAATGATTTTTTTCATATAGGTGTTCAAAAAATTAGAAGTGGGTGTACAATTCAATGGAAAACATGGATTTTGAGCAATTTTGAGCCACTTGGCAAAAATTTCAGCTCATTTTTCGAAGATGGTGTTATCTCTGTTGATAATAAAATTCAAGACTTCAAAAAAATTATTAAAAAAATTTTTGAAACGTATTTTTTTCAGGAAAAAAATTCCACTGTTTCAAAAAAAAAAATTGTTTAAGGAATAATTTGGTCGAAAATGATAATTTAGATACAAGCTCTAAAATTAAATTTTTGTGTGAAATTCACTGAAAAACATGGATTTTGAGCAATTTCGAGCCACGTGGCAAAAATTTCAGCTTATTTTTTTTTAATATTTCATAATATTTTTATGTAATATTGAAATTCAAGTCTTCAAAAAATTCTAAAATATTTTTGAAACGTATTTTTTCTGGGAAAAAACACTGTTTCAAAAAAATTGTTTATGGAATAATTTGGTCTAAAATGATTTTTTCCAGATAGGTGTTCTAAAATTAGAACTTGCTGTGAAATTCACTAGAATCCATGCATTGTGAGAAATTTTGAGCCACGTGGCAAATTTCAGCTCATTTTTCGAAGATGCTGTTATCCCTGTTGATAATAAAATTCAAGACTTCAAAAAAATTATACAACATTTTTAAAACGTAATTTTTCAGGAAAAAATTCCACTGTTTCGAAAAAAATTGTTTAGGGAATAATTTGGTCGAAAATGATTTTTTTGATGATGGGTGTTCTAAAATTAGATTTTGTTGTAAAATTCACTGAAAAAAGTGGATTTTGAGCAATTTCAAGCCACATGGCAAATTTCAGCTCATTTTTTGTTGATAATAAAACTCAAGACTGCAAAAAAATTATACAACATTTTTGAAACGTAATTTTTTTCGGGGAAAAAAAATTCCACTGTTTCAAAAAAAATTGTTTAGGGAATAATTTGGACAAAAATGATTTTTTCCAGATAGCTGGTTTAAAATTAGATTTTGCTGTACAATTCAATGGAAAACGTGGATTTTGTGCAATTTCGAGCCACGTGGCAAATTTTAGCTCATTTTTGAAGATAGTTTCATAGAATTAGAAACTTCAAAAAAAATATAAACAATTTTTAATTTTTTCGGGAAAAAATCCACTGTTTCAAAAAAATCATTTTTAGGGAATAATTTGGTCGGAAATGATTGATTATCAACTTTACTTGAAAATTAGCTCAAAGTTATCAGATTTTCTCAAATTTTGGCTCAAAAATACACAATTTTCAACCCAAATTTTCTCAAAACCCTCAAAAACTCACTCATCCTCTTCTTATACGCCTCAATCTGTTCCAATTTCAAAATCTTCTGAAACACAATAACCTCACTAAAAAGTGGTCCATTATCAGCCGGCTCAATTTTCATCACCAATTCCGTTTTGGGTGTATTTTCCTCGTGACACGTGTGAATTCTACCAAATCCACCGGTGGCAAACTGTTTTCCAACAATATACGTCTTCTTTTTCGAGTCCACTATTTTATAGCCAATTTTGACTTCGGCTGCGAGTTCGTGTAACTTCGGCCCTTTTTTAGGCGGCATTTTGGCTGGAAAAAAAGCTGAAAATCTCGGGTTAGAACTCTTCAAAATCAGGTAAAAATCGATAAAAACCGGATTATTTTGGGGTTAAATAAAAATCAAAAATCAAAAAAAAGTTCATAAATAATTGCATAAATATGTGATTTTCTGTGGGGAAAAATGGGAAAACCGGGATTTAGTCTATATCTCTCTGTGTATTTGTGGATTTTGGGAAGAAACTTTTGGGTGAGAATAAAAAGTGAAACAAAATTGTACAAAAATAATAATCATAATCAATTGTAAATAATAAAAAAACAACTATGATATGAGAAAGTGGGAAATTGGGGAAAAATTGGGTGGAACTGGGAAATGGGCAGGTGAATATACATGAAAAATTTGGGTTTGGCGCGAAAATTGAGCTCAGGGCTCAAAAATTGACATTTTTAGCTAGAAATGAGCCTCCGGAGTCAGAAATTACGAAATTTTGAGCTCCGTAAAGCCAACAATTTAAATTTTAAGCTTCTGAGCTCAAAAATGCTCAAATTTCCGCGCCAACAACAAAAAAAATAATCGCTAAAAATCCTATTTTTTCGACGGCCGCGGAATTGACGCGTTACGTGATCTAGACCTTGGCGGAAGTGGACTAGTTGATGGTGGTTGTTGTCCGGACGGCCCGATAAAAGCCTGTGCCACATCCGGAACTCGCATTGAAGTCGACGGCGATGTTGTGGTGAGCGGAAGAACCGAGGAGGAGGCACCGCGTTCGCGGATAACAAGACGTTGTTCGGGACACTGCAAAAAAATGTATTTTTTTTGCCACGTGGCATATTTTTCATATTTATTCTCTTTCAACTATGAAGAAATCGTAAATCAAAGATTTTTCTATCCAAAAATTATACACAATTTTTGAAACGTAATTTTTTTCGGTGTATGTTATGAAAAAAATTAATTTTGAAACAGCAAATTATGAAGAATTTTGTAACTTCGTGAAATTTTTTAGATGCAATATAACCAAACTATCAAAAAAGGTTCTAACCAAAAAAATGTATATGAAAATTCCGAAACAGTGAATTGTTTTGGGTGAAAACTCTGTTTTTTTCGATGATTTTTTTCATAGCTTTTAGACATTTGAAACAGGTCAAATTTTCACGGAAAAACTAGATTTTTTCGTAAAATCTATGAGTTTTCAACTTTTTGGTTAAAATAATGTATTATTTGTTCCAAACAAAAAAATTATATGAAAATTTCGAAACAGTGAATTTTTTCAGATAAAAAATAGGTCAATTTGCTGACTTCTATCTAGATCAGTTTCATTTCAATTTTCACGAAAAACCAAACTTTCATAGAATTTATGAGAGTTCCAAGAAGTTTCAAATAAAATTTCTATAAATACATGATAACAGCAGGAAAACTAAAAACACTTTCTCGCCAAAAAATATATGAAAATTCAGTGAATTTTTTTGGGTGAAAATTCTGTTTTTCCGATGATTATTTTTTCACAGAAAATAAGTAGTTGGACTCAGAATAAAACATTTTTCAAACAAAAAAATTATATAAAAATTCCGAAACAGTGAATTTTTTCAGATAAAAAATAGGTCAATTTTCTGATTTCTAAATCAGTTTCATGTCAATTTTCACGAAAAACCAAACTTTCATAGAATTTATGAGAGTTCCAAGAAGTTTCAAATAAGATTTCTATAATTTTATCAGTTTAACAGCCCTACTAAAAAAATTTCTAGCCAAAAAATTATATAAAAATTCCGAAACAGTGAATTTTTTTGGGTGAAAATTCTGATTTTTTGATGATTATTTTCATATCTTTTAGACATTTGAAACAGGTCAAATTTTCACTAGATTTTTCGTAAAATCTATGAATTTTCAACTTTTTGGTTAAAATATTCTATGTTCCAAACAAAAAATTATATAAAAATTCCGAAACAGTGAATTTTTTCGGATAAAAAATGGGACTATTTTGCTTATTTCTAGATCAGTTTTATTTCAATTTGCACGAAAAACCAAAATTTTATAGAACTTATATGAATTTCCAAGAAGTTTCAAATAAGGTTGATGAAATGAGCAGAACTAAAAACATTTTCTCGCCAAAAAATATATGAAAATTCCGAAACAGTGAACCTTTTTGGGTGAAAATTCTGTTTTTTCGATGATTATTTTCATATCTTCTAGTAGCTAATTTTTGAAAATTTTTTAATTTTTTCAGCTGAAAATTTGATTTGAAGCAGAATATTTTGGAGTGAAAAATTCAATTCATGATTTCTAGGTCAAATTTTCACTGAAAATAAGTTGTTTCAAATAAGTAAGTACTTTTTCGTTGGGAACAAAAAATATTCCAAACAAAAAAATTATATAAAAATTCCGAAACAGTGAATTTTTTCAGATAAAAAATAGGTCAATTTTCTGATTCCTAAATCAGTTTCATGTCAATTTTCACGATAAACCAAATTTTTATAGAATTTATAAAAATTCCAAGAAGTTTCAAATAAAATTTCTATAATTTTGTGAGTTTGGCAGCTCAACTAAAAACACTTTCTCGCCAAAAAATTATATAAAAATTCCGAAACAGTGAATTTTTTTGGGTGAAAAATTCTTTTTTTTTCAAACTTTCAAACTTCCCACCTTATTAGTCTTCTTCACATAATAAGCCAACGCCGTGTACAAAAATTGATATTGTTGTTCGGTTTGCACCAATCCTCCGCGAAAATTCCGCGCATGTTTTGCCGTTTTCCAAACATCAATCGGACAACCGCGACCGCGGATTTTGATTTGAGTTAGGAGAACATCGAGAAGCATAAATGTACCAGTTCGACCAATTCCAGCCGAGCAATGAACTACGACTGGACCTTGTTGAACTTCGGCCGTTTCGAATTGTTTGTGAGTGGCGTCGACGGTTTCTGCAAACATAGATTTAGCTGATATTTTAGGTTTTTGCTCGAGATTTGATCAAAAAAATTCTCAGATTACATTAATTTTCCAATTAAAAAACATACAATAATTTTGAAACAGTTGATTTTCTAGGTATTCTCTATTTTGAATTGAAAAATTATCAAAAAATATCCGGACATCATAAAAACGCTAAACTTCAGAATTTCCTGTAAAAATTACGTTTCAAAATATTGTATTGTATTTTTCAACAAAAAAGGCTGTAGTTTTATTGTGTTCAATGTTTTTCCAAGAAATAGTCATTTTTGTGATTTTTAAAAATACAGTAACAAATCCTAAAATAAAAAAAATGATATAAAATTCCTGAAACAGTAGATTTTTCGCAAATGGAAAGTTTGATGTTTTACAAATTTTTTGTGATTTTTAAAGCTTTCTAGGTCATGTTTAATGTATAATTATCAGAATTCCCAGGTTTTCAGTAAAAATTGATCAAAAATAGATGGTTTTTCGATTTTTATCTGGAAAAAGTGCATTTTTCACAATTTCCCACTAGAATTGTCCCAAAATCTCACCTAAAAACGATATTACTTCATGCGGATGATATGGACAACCATGATCAGGCCAACAAACATATTGCAAATGTCTGACAATTCTCGACGCCGGCGATCCCAATTTCTTGATATTAAAAGTTCGAACAATATACGATACCTCATCATCATCATCATGAATCTGCTGCTCATTTTTCAGCTCATCCGGCAATTGTTTTCTCACTTTTTTCTCTTCTGTCGTAGTTATACTAATTTCCGAGTGCACTACTGTATCATTCAATTCCGGCCAATATCGCGAGCATTTTTCGCGTCGCTCATTTTCACGAGTTGGCATAACTATGACACGCGAGTCTTCTTGCCAAATCATTCGCCAGAAATCGGGAATTGTGGATTCGAGGCAGCCTTGAGTGGCGATGTAGTTGCGAACTGGGACTAGAGATAGCGCTGGGTTGGGTTGATCGAACTGCAAAATTTTTTGGGGATTTTTAGGCATTTTTTTCCAGCGAAAATTATGATTTTTCAAATTTTAGAATGAAATTTAGCTTTATGAATAATTTAAATATTTCTAGCCAAAAATTATGTGCAAATATTGAAACAGTGAATTTTTTTGTGTTGGAAAAATGGTTTTTCATGGTCTTGAAGGATTTCGCTCAAAATTTCAAATTTTCAAGAAAAATATTTTGGTCAATCATTTGAAATTTTCTCGCAAAAAGTTATATGAAAATATTGAAACAGTGAATTTTTTACGATTGAAAAAGTGGTGTTTTATGGACTTTTGGGTTAAATTTTCAGATTTTCAAAAATGTTAAAAATTAACTGTTTCAAATATTCTCCTATATTAAAAAATCCGAAATTTAACAATCCTCATACGGTAATGGTGAACAATTTTGTAAAAAATAAATAAGCAAAAATCAACAAAAATTTTGAAATGGAACATTATTTTACAAAAATAAATTGAAAAAACACTGTTTCAAAAAATTTTATTTCAATTATTACCCTTTCTAGCTTAAAAAAACATTGTATTTTCTCTATTCAAACAATTTTCAGATTTTTTTCAAATATCATTATTGAATTTTCGATCATTTGAATTACTCTACCCAAAAATTATCCAAAAATCTTGAAACAGTGGATTTTTTATGCTTGAAAAAAAAGTAATTTTTCATGGACTTAAAGGATTTGGGTCAAAATCATATTTTCAAAAATATTTAACATTAACTGTTTTAAATATTCTCCAATATTAGAAACATCCGAAATTTAACAATCAGCATACGGAAATGGTGAACAATTTTGTAAAAAATAAATAAAGCAAAAATCAATGAAAATTTTGAAATGAAACATTATTTCACAAAAATAAATTGAAAAATCAGTGTTTCAAAAAATTAATTTCAAGTTTTACCTCAAAAATCTGATTTCTAGCTCAAAAAACATCATTTTTCCCATTGCAATTTGTGTTTTCCAAAACTAAACTATTTTCAGATTTTTTTTTCAAGTTTGATGTGGAGAATTCAATAATTCACTATCATTTGAATTTCCCTACCTAAAAATTATCCGAAAATCTTGAAACAGTGAATTTTTTATGCTTGAAAAAGTTGGTTTTCATGGACTTTTGGGTGAACTTCAGATTTTCAAAAAAAAAAGTAAAAATTGTTTTTTGAAAATTTAGGAAAAAAATCACTGTTTCAAATATTCTTCGATTTCAAAAATACCTAACTCTGAACAATGATATTATAATTATTTTCGATTTAAAAATCAATTCAATTTTCATGATTTCTAGCTCAAAAAACATTAAATTTTCTATTTATACAATTTTCAGATTTTTTTTCAAATTGTACACAAGGAATATTCAATAATTTGACTTTCCCTACCCAAAAATTATCCAAAAATCTTGAAACAGTGCATTTTTTATGTTGGAAAAATGATTTTTCAGGGACTTTTGGGTAAAGTTTTCACATTTTCAAAAAAAAAATTAAAAAATCACTGTTTCCAATATTTTTCAATTTCAAAAATAGATAACTCTGAACAATATAATGTTTTCAAAACCAATTCAATTTTCATGATTTCAACATCAAAAATATTAATTTTCCCACATTTCCCAAATCTAACCTTAACATAACTCGCATTAATATAATCCGATCCAGCAATTCCAGCCTTATCCTTCAATACAACTCTAGTATGATCAAACGGAACAATATTTTTATATCTATTCTTATCCACATTTATTTCTCGTCTTCCCGCTCTTTTGGAAAACAATTGTTCAGCTGGTCCTTGTTCGGCTTGCAATCTCTCAAATTCTTCAGTTATTCCGGTCTTGCTCTTTCCTGGCTCCAAACTTTGTTTGAGAAGTTCAAGACGATCACTGATAATGTCGGCTGGGATGAAGGTTGAAGAGTTTGTGATGGGCTGAAATATGGGAAGTTTCTGTGCGAAAACATTTCACTGTTTCAAAATTTTTGCATATATTTGAAAAAAAAATAATTTTCCAGTGTTTGACGTTCCAATACATCAAAAATTTACTGTTTCAAAAATGTGCTATATATTTTTGAATTCGCAATATGAACATTTCGCAGAATTCTAGTATGGACTTGGCAAAAAAAACGCTTAAAAATCTGGATTTTGAAAACTATTTCCATGAGAAAAACTTCACTGTTTCATAAAAAATCATATAACTTCTGAAGGAAACTTATCAGTAATAATTTCTTTTCCGCGTAGCTTAGGGATTTTAGGCTTAAAATCCACGTGGCAGTAAGTCCGAGCTGAAAATTGCGAATTTCTACAAAATTAAAATCTGAAAACCCAAGATTTTCTAGAGAAAATATCATGATTTAGCTGAAAATCCACGTGGAAAAAAATCCTAGGCTTGTGAGGTGTCAAAAAATCACAAATTTCTTGAAAAATTCAAAAATACACGTAAAAAATTCAAGATTCAGAATATAACTGGAATTCCACGTGGCAACCACATTTAGTTAGACTTGTGGGATTCCAAAAACCAGGGTTTTCTAGAGAAAACTCGAAATTAGACGGGAAATTGCGAATTTCTACAAATAGTCATTTGAAAACCCAATATTTTAAGAAAATATCATAATTTAGCTGAAAATCCAAAAAGCCTAGGCTTGTGGGGTGTCAAAAAATCACGAATTTTTTGAAAAATTCAAGATTCAGAATATAGCTGGAAATTCACGTGGCAATTAGACTTGCGGGGTTCAAAAAACCAGGATTTTCTAGAGAAAACTGAAAATTAGGCTGGAAATCCACGTGGCCGTGAAAATTGCGAATTTCTACAAAATTAAAGTTTGAAAACCCAATATTTTTAGAAAATCCTAATGGCCTAGGCTTGTGGGGTGTCAAAAAATCACAAATTTTCCCGCGAGCTCCCCAAAATTCCTCACATATTGCAAATAAACAACTCGACTGCTGCTCGCCTTCTCAACAATCGGATTCTTATGATAAGTGGCAATCAATTGTCGAATATCACAATATTCAGTTCGATCTCCATCAATTGTATATCTTCCCGTGTCAACAGCCTGATGAATTGATAGATGAACGACGCTTGTCTCGGTCTTCGCCGAAATCACCAGACTTCCTGGACAATGTTGACTGAAGCGCACCAAATATGCGCCCGGTTTTTCGCGCTCCAAAAATGAGATGGCTTCGGTGGCGGTGATGTTGCAATGAAACCAGCGATTCATTTGGACGAGACGTTGCTCTTTGGCACATTCTTCGATTTCGAATGGAATGTACACTGGTTTTCTGCAAGAAAATATAGATTTTGAGGGGAGCTGAGGCTTTGAAAATGACTAGTGTGACAAGGGAAGTGCATGAGATTAGGTTATGAAATTTTGATGAAACACATGGCCTAGAAATTCAAATTTGGAGTTCTAGGCCATTTTTGAGCGCTTCCTAGGGAACTTTGAACTGAAAACAGTGTCTAAAACGGTCTAGAAATCTAAATTTGGGTTTCTAGGCCATTTTTTAGCAGTTCATAGTGGCCTCTGAATTCTAAATCTGACAAGGGTAGTGCATAAGGTCAGGTTATGAAATTTCGATGAAACATATCGGAATATACCAAATCAACCATGCTGTTCACGATTCCGAAAACAAAAATTGTCACAAATGCCTGTGAGCACTTTTCTGGAGCTCCAAACTTGAAATTGAGTTCTGGGTTTTGTCCATTTTCCCCGTTTTCCCGGGTAAAAAATCAACTTGGTGAAAATGGACAAAAACCAGAACTCAATTCCAACTTTGGAGCTCCAGAAAAGTGCTCACAGAAGTTTGTGGCAATGTTTGACTTCGGATTCGTGATCAGCATAGTTGATTTGGTATATTTCGATATGTTTCATCAAAATTTCATAACCTAACCTTATGCACTTCCCTTGTCAGATCTAGAATTCAAAGACCACTAGGAACTGCTCAAAAATGGCCTAGAAACCCAATTTTAGATTTTTAGGCCGTTTTAGATCAAAGTGCCTAGGCTCGAAAATGACCTAGAAACCAAGATGTCAAATTGTAGGCCATAAAACTCACTTCAACCATTTCCCCGAATTTTTAAATTTTGAAATGAATCTTTTGCGTTGGTTTTTTTCACGTAAAACGTGTCCAAAATTGATTTTCATTTCTAGACTTTCGATTTATCATTTTCATAAGGTTTCTAGATATCATTTTCTATAGAATTTCCAAAGGCTTCAAGATGACTTTTCGGATTTACGTAATTCGTCATCAAAAATTACGAAATTTGCAGAAAAATCATCATTTATATCAATTTCCTGGTCAAAATTTTATCGTGGTGAAGAAAACTGTGCCAGGATCGTTTTGAGACCCCTCCACCTATTTTTCATGTTCCTTTAAAATCTGCACACCTCAATTGCACAAATCCACCGCTCTTCTCCTGCAATTTGGTCGGATTCTCAATATAAAACTCCAACAACTCAACAATCGACGAAAATTGAATAGTTCCCTGACTCGTACCATCAAAAATGCTAACACTATCCTGATTTTTTTGTATTTTGATATGTATCAAGCGATTCGAAATACGAATTGTCAACGAAAAGTTCGACGGCGACGATTCGCTGTATCGCGCCAAAAAGTCGCCGTCGTCACCGTATTCGTTGAGCAATTGCTCCGCTTTTTCGCCCGTCACACGAAAATAGAAGTTGAAGCACCTGCAAAACATCTCACGAGGTGTTTTTTAGGACGTGACGAAAATTGTCTTACCTTAAACGTATTCCCATACCTTGTGTTACCACTGTTTGAGGTCCCAATCCTAAAGAATTTTTGATTAATATTAATTTTTTTGTTAAGAAAAGTTTATCAAAGAAAAAAAGAAAAGTGCAAAGGCGCGAAAAAACTGTTTAAAAAGGGCGGCAAACAACACTCCACTTTCACGCTTGCCTCTTTTTTAGCTGTGGTTTTGTATTTCTTTTGGACAAGAGAAGAGATTCATGGCATGAAATGAAACGAAATATAGCAAAAAGATAAGATTATGAACTAATCCGAGACGAAAACGATTAAATATGTTTGGAAAAATCGATATTATCATTGGGAAAAATTCGACGAAACTCTTGAGTCAGCAAATCGTCCAAATACACATTATCCGAATGATAGAGCCATCTGAAAATGAGCAATTTTCAGCGGCGAAAAAAAGTTGGGCGGAGCAAGTGTTTCAGACTTTTTTTTCGAGAAAACGTTCAATTAAATTTGAGCGCGCACGCGCTCGCGCTTATTAGAAAAGGGGATTATAATAAGATTAGAGTTGTACTTTGTATCAAATTTCGCCGCTTTTTAGCCGTCTGCAAAAAAAACTTGCAAAAAAAAAAGAAAGTAAAAAATCAAAAAACGAATTTCCCGCCAGCGCATCGTGGCGAGACCCGTTTGCATTGGAGCGCACTTGCATTTCTACTTTCTTTTTCGAGCAAAAAATTTCGTTTTTCACAGCCTCCACACCTGCGTGAAGTCTGCGTCTCACTCTCTCGTCGTTCGCTGAGTGAGATGGGGCGCGTTTGCTGCACTCACTTTTTTCCATTGAAAAAACACTTTTTCTTTATTTTTTCGTGTTTTTTGGTCGCCACGAATTTTTCCTGCGCTAATACGAAGCTAAACTTGAAAATAGAAGAGATTTGGAAGACAGAGATATATAAAACATCTCAGTTCGAGTTAAAATTCAAGGAGAACATTCGAGCGGAAACTAGGATCTTTTTTGTTCAAAATCTCAGGAATTTTTTTGTACGAGTTCAGCACGTTTTGTGCATTTGTACGCGTTCAGTCCTATTAAGTACGCTTTCAAACTTATGCGTGTACACGATCAGTCTTTTTAGCTGTCTTATATCAGGAACTGAACGCGTACAAATGCAAAAAAGTGCTGAACGGGTACAAAAAAGGTGCAGAACTCGTACAAAAAAATTCCTGAGGACTTCATGAGTATTTCGATATTTTTGTGTAGTTTGAAGCTATTTCGATATATTTCTCATGATTTAGCGATTGCGGCGTAGAAAATTAGTTGAAGTGAGCATGGAATTCAGGAGGGTATTCGCGCAGGTGATTTTGCCGCACAGTTCTTTGAGAAACTAATTAGTTCGTACAAATTCCGAGAACATTGTTGAAAATGTTGTTATTTTTAATTTTGACAACACTTTGCTTATTTGTAAACGTTTCTTCTGCTTTTTAAAGATAACTATCTTCTGAAAAATTTATTATTTGCAGAAGCTACAACCTTCGTGTTATCATCACCACGGCGCCATTTTGGCCAATCCTTTTTATTGGTAAGTAATTTTGATGCAAATTTTGGTACAATTATCGATTTTCAATCAAACATATTTTTAGGATCAATGATGGTTGTTGGAAAAAGATTGCGATCAAGTCGAGAAAATGCTGGACAAAGTGCTTTGTCCAGAGAAAATATCAAATTGAAAGAGGAAATAAAGGAGAAAACATCAATAATCGAGGTGATAGAAAATGACAACAAAACCTGCAAATACGAAATAACCGTGAAGGACAGAGAAATATCATCAGAAAAAAAGCAGACAAGAAAATTAAAAGATGAATTACTTGGCAAAGATTTAGAAATCGAAAGAATATGTGTGAAGTTAGAAAAAGAACGAATATTACTGGTTAACATGGATATGGATCAATTTTTTCGCATGAGAAAAACACCACCGCGAAAACCTTTCTCCACCTTGTCACACCAAACGCAAATGTTGCGATCAATTGAAATTATGGAAATGTCGAGAAATGTCACCGGCGGAGAAGATTTTTATACCGTTTGGAAGTTTATGGGACAAAATTTCGAACACGAAAATGGTGTGAGATGGTGTAAAATGTCGGATGTAGATACTCTTCTTTTAATGTCAAAGTTCAATTTTGGAGATGGGCTGGTTAAAGCAATGAATCATTACTACAATGCGAAAGTTGGGTTTTCCATTTTAGCATCTCGAAGAGCTATTGCTAAATTAATGAAACTTCTCGATATTTCTGATTTATACGAATTCGAAGTTGTTACTTGTGTGATCAATAAAAAAGAGGTTCAACGAGTGGTTATTAGATGTCGAAGTGTTGAGCATTTATTATCAATCAGAGCCACGAATCTCGCCAACGCTGGAAGATTGCAATTGAAAAACGGAAAAATTATTCCTGTATTAAGTGGTGATCGAGGTGATGAAGAAGCTAAAGCTGTCATTGGTCTGGAATGTTCACCTACTCCTAATTCTCCATATTCCTTGTCGTTTATCTGTAGTTTTTGTGGCGAGGATAATTATGCGAATATGCTGAAATTTATGGGAAGAACCCTTTCAACTTTAGACAACATCAAATTTATTGATTATAAATATGGAGATGTTGTTTTGCGAGCAGAGGTTGATTGGAAAAAGACCGGTAAATTTTTATTTTCAAAAAATCAACAATTTGATTTGTTTTTAGGTGATTTCAAATTTTTATCTTCGTTATCCGCCCACACCGGCCAATCTTCAACTAATCCTTGCATTGGCTGTATCATCCCATTGTGCACTCACGGAGATCATCGAGATACAATCGGATTGTTCAATTTCGAACTAAAATTTGATGATCGGACCGAAGCAAACATTTTGGAACATTGCCAACAAGGAACTCATTCTATGAAAGAAGGTGCAACACCGCTAGTCCAAATCCCACCTAAAAAAACAGTTCCTCCAACTGTACACATTGTTGCTGGAGTTCATGAAAAATACGTTGACGATCAGATGAAAGCGAAGACAAATAAAATGGATTGTGCACTTTTTGGAAATGCTCGAACCGTTCCTCATCAAAAATCAATGCTGAAAAAGAAAAAAGAAGAGGAGTTGGTTTTGAAATCAGCTATTAATTTTTTGGAAGCGGATATTGCAATGGGTAAAAATATGATGTCAGCCTTCAGCAACTACACCGTGAATCCCGAAGATTCCTGCGACTCTCAATATTGTATTATCGATGGATGTTCTTCAAACACTTTGGATTGGGTTAAATGTGATTTGTGTCAACGGAATTATCACATTTTTTGTATGTGTATTATGTCGGCGAAGATTGTTCACAAGATGAAAAATAGTAGTTCACCATTTTATTGTTGGAGTTGCCGTGAATTTTCGCATGAAGAAATGATATATAATGTTGAATTCGAATTGAAACAATATATTGATGAGGCTGAAACATTGAAAACTAAGTTATCTTCGGTCACCAGAGATAAGAAATCAATGGAAGCTGTTCTTTCGGGAGAAGGTGGACCATCGAGAAAGAAATTGGATTCGGTTTTGAAGAAGATTGGGTGTCTTGGATCTGCTTGGTTTGGTAATCCCGTTGGTAATCAAATTCGAAAGCTATTACGCCCAAAATACATTGAAATTGTTTTGGAGGTATTTCCAGATGATGAATTCAAATCGAATCTTCGAAAAGTTATGATTTTGCTAGGAGAGATTATGACAGCTTCAGGAAAACAAACATTCAACGATTTCGAAAAACTTGAATTTAAAGATACAATAAGCCGCTTCGTCAACGCTCTTCGAGAGTTTTGCCCTGAGGAGAATGTTATTCCGAAGCTTCATTATTTGGTCAAGCATGTCCCGGAATATATTGATATTTATGACACCTGGGGTGGCGCATGCTCCGAACAATCCACCGAACACTTTCATGTCGTTTATCGAAAAGTAAAAAAAGCTTTTTCATCTATCAAGGATCTCATTTTTCAAGCCAAACTTATGGTGCGCCGATTTGGATTTTTGAATTATTTGAACGACATTGGCGAAAATTGTAATGATCCTATGATCGAAATCCCGGTTAGTTAAAAAAAGAAATTTTTTAAGTGAATTTTCAATTTTTCAGGACGAATATCGAAGTTAAAAATGTTCCCTATACTCTCCAACTTTCAACGTTTTATATATCATCATCCAACTCTTCCATATGTCATAAAAATCTGTAAATATACTTGGAAGTGCTTTTGGCTATTCACGGGTTTCGTCGATTTCAATTAATAATTTATGAGTGAGTTATTTGAACTGTTCTCTATTAAAAAATTATTCAATGTTTTAATTTTCCAGGGTATTTTCAATTGTCTATAATATCTTTTGCATATTCTTCTCGCGGGTTATCACTTGCCATCCAAAATGCTTCTCGATGATGTACAATTTGTTTAATTTTAATTATTTTTGTTGATAACTTTAAATAATAACATTTTCATGCACTACTTTTGAAGTCTTTAACTTATTTTCATTTTCTAAAGTTTGTTTGTTTCTTACTGATTTTTTATTACGCAAAAAGTATTTCTCTGCTCTCGTGAGATTCTCCTCTTTCCCCTCGTATACAATTCCTTTGATGAAACCCACGATTTTTAGAGTATTCAATGAAAAAATGCTGAAATTTTTTTCAAAAGAAAAAAAACGAGAAAAAACGGGAGAGCGCCTTCCACTGAAGAGACCGAGAGAAAAAAAGATGACGAGAGAGTGTTGCGATCGAAGAGAGCAAACAGACACACACAGTTTTGTATGTGGTGTGTTAGAGTGCAGACAAGGCAGCGTTTTTTCATTTGTGGACAGCGTGTTTTTCTTCGTTTTCGCCGGGATTTTCGGGTTTACCTCAAGTTCTCCGTTAAATCATAGCGTTTCGGACCGGAAATCGGGCTGGAGAGCCAAATTTGCTTATTCGGCGATTGCTTATTGATGACATAGGTGCCGATTTCTTTGGAAACCGCCACAGTCAAAACACCATATGAATAGGCGACGTCAAAGTTTTCCGAAACTTTGAAATTGTCCGAAATATGATCGAAATATTCGGAAAGCCTGGAAATTCAGGTATTCGTAGGGAAATTCATAGGAAATTACTGAAATTTTCAAGTTTGCATCATGTTTGGGTTCAAAATGCTTCAAATTTCATGAAAAAATCCGAATTTTGCCTCTAAAACCCACCTATCCAAAGATTCATCTGCTTTTCGATCATACTCCTTTTCGCTGACCGTAAAAACCGTGCGAATTCGCGGCGAAAAAACGCGCGAAAATTGTCGGAGCATCTTCAAATTTCTTTCAATTTTTATTTGTTTTTTTATCATTTTTCATATAAAAACTTGGCCTGAAACCTCGAAAAACTCGGCCATCAAAACAATTGCAAAAAATATTTATTATCGAATAAAAAAGCCTGTAAAATCCAATAAAAAACCCGTTTCAAGAGAAATTGTAAATGTTTTGAGATAATTTTTCAATAAAATTGTTGGGGGAGAAGAAAACTGAGTTTGGTCAAAATTATCACAGGGAAAACCATTAAAAAATAATTGAAAAATCCTCTATTTTTGGGGCACAATTCGTCCACCCCACGCCAATTTGAACACATTTTTTCGCCATTCGATTTTCGGTTGGCAAAGTGCCATTAGGAAGACGAATGGAGCCGAAATTTCGCGTAATAACCAAAGCGCCAAAAATTGCCACGTGGCAAAGCAAAGTTCACCGTTCTGTAAGAAAAAATTGGTGTTTCTATGACGTCATAGCTTTCTTTTTTGTGCTAACTAATTAATTATATATTCTAGATGGGGAAAAAGGTGATTTGAACTATGATGTTGGTTGAGCGCAAAATTTTATTAGTCACAAATCCGAAAATCCGATTTTCGGGTAGAAAATCGGATAAAAGCTCAAAAATTCAGATTATGACTCACAAATTTTCTGCCTCAAAAATTAAAACTGAACTTTTGAAGAAAGAGCAAAGTCAGAGCTTAAAATTTTGATAAAATTGTTTAATTGCTCAAAATTAGGGCATGATTTCAAGTTTTCTCTTGAAAATTAATAGAATTTAGATACAACATCGAATTTTTTACCAAAAATAGTCAAACTTCAAGGTTTAGGGGTATTTAGGGTCAAAAATATCATTTGAAATCATCCAAAACTCTAGAAAAGTGATAAAATTACTTTTTCAGGTCAGAAATTCGGGATTTTTGACTCTAAATGGCTTTAGAGCTTGAAAATTGACAATTTTTGGTGAAAATTATGCTGTTCTATTTAAATTCCATAAATTTTCAAGAGAAAACTTGATATCATGTTTAAAAATCACATTTTGGTCTAAATTTTGATTATGTCTCACAAACTTTCCGCTTCAGAAATTAAAGCTCAAATTTTCAAGAAAGAACAAGTCAGAGCTCAAAATTTTGATAAAACTTTATTTTATCAAAATTATGAGCTCTGATTTGCTCTATTTTCAAAATTTGAGCTTTAATTTCTGAAGCTGAAAGTTTGTGAGGCATAATTTGAAGATTTCATGCTCAAATTTTGAGCCAAAAACAAGAAAACATGATTTTTTCACCAACCTGCATTGTATGCATCAATAAAAAATCCACCGTCACCCAAAACGCAAACATGCGCCGCAAAAATCAAAACCGGATTGTATCCCATCAAAAAGTTGGCGCAAGTCGCAATAATAATTCCAGCCGGGAAGCAATCCTGAAGCGGTTCTACCAGAATAATATGCGGCAACATTGCGATTCGCAATTTGACCCATCGACAAATTCTCTCCAAAAATGTCGAAATCTTCGGGTTGGCCGCATTTTGAAGTGCCGGATTGACAGAGATCGCCGATTTCCATCCGCGATTCGCCAATTCTTTGCCGAAAAAGAAATCTTCGGCGAGATATCCGCCGAAAGCCGCAATTCCGCCGCATTCATCCAACGCGTCTTTCCGCATCATCGACGACATTCCTGTAGAGCAAACAAATTCCATACAATTTCCCGCGAGATAAATCCTTGCGTGAAATGTGCCGAAATAGATTTGCTCAAAAGCCGCGGCTAAACCAGGCCGATTTTTGCAGTATGGAGTTTGTGTAACTATCGCCATCTTCTCGTGTGATACCATAGTTTGAACCATATCCAAAATCGCGTCTTGTCGCATGAAAATCGCACTATCACTAATTAGAATAAGTGGATATTTAGCAGATCGATAGGCTGGCATCATATTGTTGATTTTCGGGTTGAGACCCACTTTTTCGCCGCCGAAAAATAGGCGGGCATCGATTTTTGGGTATTTTTCGATGAGAGATTTGACGATTTTCACTGCTGGGTCGGTTTGATTGTGAAAGCAGAACAGAATTTCGTACTGAAAATTGATCTTTAAATTGAAAATCATAGAATTTTCAAATTCCTAGCTGAAATTTCGCGCTGGAACTCAAAAAACCACTGAAAATCAAGGTTTTTATGATTTTCGAGAGGATAATTCGAAGTTAGGCTTGATTCTAGTCGATTCAAGCTGAAATTTCTCGCTGAAACCAAAAAAAAAGTGAAAATCGCTGAAAATTAGGGTTTCCATGATTTTCAGCACAAAAATTGAGTCTAGAAATTGGCTAATTCAAAAGTTTCGTGGTGAGACCAAAATTTCGGCGCGAAAAATGTATCTCACTAGGTTTAGCCCGTCCCAAGCTGAAATTGTGTGCTGAAAATTGATCCGATGTGATTTCAGCTTGAAAATCACTGATTTGAGCTAAGCCTGGTTTGTTTTTCAAATTCCTAGCTGAAATTTCGCGCTGGAACTCAAAAAATAGTGAAAATCAAGGTTTCCATGATATTCAGAGGAGAATTCGAGCCTAGGCCCGAGTTGATCCAAGCTGAAATGTCATGCTGGAACTCGAAAAACTACTGAAAATCGAGTTTTCACGATTTTCAGCAAGAAAAATGAGTCTACTCAAAACCAAATTTTGTGCTGAAAATTATGAAAATCGGATTTTTCGGTGATTTTCAGTAATTTCACGAGCACCAGCACAAAATTTCAGCGAAATAGCTTGAAAGTCGTAGGAAACAGGATTTTCAGTCGGATTTTCTCTTTTTAGAGAAATTTTAGCCCCAAAACTTGATATCGGCCAATTTCTAGACTCAACAATCATGCTGAAAATCGTTGAAAACAGCAATTTTCAAGCAATTTCCCCCGTACCTTATGATAATCAGCAACAAAAAACGTCTCCAAATTCTCTCTCAAATTCTCATCAGCTCCAACAATCGGTTTAATAATCGAAACACCGGGCAAATTCGAATTCGGTTTCACTTTTCGATGCAATCGATGTTTTCCATACAACAAGGCGATTAGATGTATCAAATACAAACAAATCACAAAAATCAATCCGATGAGGGCGAAAAGTGTGACGAGATCGATTTCGGCCGCCATTCGACGCGTTTCGGCAATCAATAATTTGGGCGGGTGGACGAGGAAAAACCACGTGGAAGATGTTGAAGCTGATTGAGATGAAGTTGAGGCTGACGATGCAGCGGCAGCCGCACCGATTAATCGAGATGTTGCTGATGACGACGCCAGAGCTGAAAATTCTTGGTTTTCAGCATGAAATTCGGGTCTGGAAGTGTGGAAATTCGAGATTTTCATCAATTTTCAAGATTTTACGCGGAAATATGATTTTTCTGGGCTTTTCCAGCTTTTCAAACAATCCTGGCTGGAATGCTGTGCTGAAAATCATGAAACGCTCAGTTTCCAGCTATTTTCACTGGTTCAGTGATTTTCAGAGCAAAATTTCAGTCCAGAAAAATATATTTCTAGTGAAGTTTTGTGTGCTGAAACTCGGAAAATTACTGAAAATCAAGATTTCTAGCGCAAAATTTCAGCCCAGAAATATATTCTATATTTCCTAGCTGAAATTTAGTGCTGAAACTCCTGAAATCCTCCCAAATCACTGAAAATTACGATTATCATGACTTTCAGCGCTAAATTTCAGTCCAGAAAAAATATTTTCAGTTTCCTGGCTGAAACTCATGAAAATCGCTGAAAATCAACCCCAGAAAAATATTTCCCATTTACTGCCTGAAATTTTGTGCTGAAAATCAAGTCTACCCTGATTTTCAGCGGAAAACTTCACCTAACCAACCTTTTTGAACATCCAAAAATTCTAGAAATACTTTTTTTCCTCAATTTTTTTCTCTTTTTTTCTCGTCTCAATAAAGGTCACGTCAAAAAACAAAAAGTACAAAAAATCGTGCGATTTTTCGAAAAATTTTCTTATCAATGTACATTTTTTGGTGCAAAAATGTGCATTTTTGGGGTTTCCAACTCACTTCAGCGAAAAATTTCGAGTAAATTAATAATAAATTAGACTTAGGTCGAAAAAAGTGGGGAAAAGGGCGAATTTTTTTCTTTGATTGATAAGAAAAGACAAAAAGAGCACAATTTGTTGGTGCAAAAAATCGATAAATTGAGCATTTTTCTTTATTTTGGGATGAGATAAGCGAGATTATCTTTTTGCACTATTTTTTATTTTTCAGATTTTTTTCTGAAATTTTCAGCTGTAACTTCAAAAAATATTGTTTTTCAACATTTAAAAATTAATGGAAAATTCATGGAAAAATTTGAATTTCAATCACATATATTTTCAAAAAATCAATATTTTTGCATGTATACATAAACTTTGTGTTTTTCACCAACAAAGAGTGTGTAAACATGCAAAAACGAGTAGAATTTCCCCGTATTTTTCACGAAAAACGGATTAGTGTACATAGATTTTTGATGTGAAAAATATGTGAAAAATGAAATAAGCAGAAAATCAGGGTTACTATGGAAATTATAAAAATTAGTGAAAAATAAATTTTCAGATCGATATTTTTCCCCGAAAAATATTATTTTTCGGCGGGAAAAAAACTTTCTAAAACAAACAAAAGTGGAACTATCTTATTGTTAACACAAAAAAAACAAAAAAATTTTGGAACAAAATGTTTTCTAATTTGCCACGTCACAGGTTTTTTGGGCCTAAATAAAAAAGATAGAAAACTGAGATAAAAATTGTGTTATTAAAAAAAAAATAAAAATAAATATTCACTGTTTCAAAAATTTCATAATTAATTTGATTTTGAAAAATCAAGGATGTGGGTTTTTTGACTGACTTGTTAGGATAATTTTTCCCTAATTTTTAATTTTCAAAAAATTACTGTTTCAAAATTTTTCTAGTTCAAAATTCATACAAAATTCCATAATTTTTTCATTAAAAATCCACAAAACCAACCTTCACTAAAACTTTGTGTAAAATTCGTCAAATTCTTGCCATCCAAACCCATTTGTCAACCAAATTTTGCGAATTTTCTGAAATTTTTTTTTTGATAAAAATTAATCATCTTCATCATATTATTTATATCGTATAGTTAACCAAAACCACGCCATTTTGCTCAACAAAAAAAGATGATAAGAAAATTGGAAATTTTTGGGGAGAAGAAAGAGCACGAAGACAAAATTTGTATATTTATTTTGACCCAAAATTTTTCACTCAAGTGAAAATAAAAAGTGCATCACAAAATTTGTGAGCAAATACTCATGTGTAGTTTTGGTCAACAGAAAAAAGTAGAGCGAAAAAAATAACATGACTCATGTTAATCATAGGTTATTTGGGTTGGAAAATTGCGAAATCATGTGATTTTCACACTGAGTCATTTTATGAAAATTTTGCGAATTTTTTCACGTCAAAAAAACTATGACTCACAGAGTTTTTTCTTATCATTTCATGATTTTTTTGTGAATTTTTGAAGAGAAAAATAATGTGAAAATTCAGAATTTTAAAATTTGGCCCAAAAAATTCATGTAGAATTCTCAGCTCCACCCTCTTTATATATTTCTCCAGCAAATTTTTGCACTCAAAAAAATCGCAAAATTTCTAGTCAAACAAAAACTTGGAAACTATAATCTAGTTGAAAATCTAGTTTTGAAAAAAATTCGAATTTTTTTCTGGGAAAATAGGAATTTTCCAGGGTTTATTCAAATTTATCAAATTTCGAGCATTTTTTGATAGATTTCGATAAGTTTAAATTTTGCGATTTTTTCACTGTTTCACATTTTTGTTATATTTTTCAGAAATACGTTCAAACAGTTTTCAAAATGAGTCTCACTTATGAAAATTTCAATTTTTCTGAAAAATTTCCAGAATTTTCGAACACAATTCTGCACTCAAAAAAACCGCAAAATTTCTAGTCAAATAAGAAAAGTTGGGCACAAAAAAGGTGATGAGTCATGAATTTTATTTATTTTATTTTCTCAACAAACAAAATTTTGTTCTTTTTTTCTGCTGTGGAAAAACTCACATTTCTTCATGTCATCAAAACCAACAATCCTGGAAAAAAATTTGAATTTAAAATTTTTGGCGCCAAAAATGACGCTGAAAGTATGAAAACTGCAGAAAACAGTTGAATATCGAGAAAAAATCGTTCGCAATAAATAATATTTACACCCAATAAAAATGTATGGCAAGAATATCTATATAAAAATAAAATTTTCGGGAAAAACTATCACAAAATCAATTTCAAAATCGGAAAAATCAATAAAATTATGCCTGCTCCTCCTCAACTTTTTCACAATCTTCTAAACTCGGAGTTACAGGAACTTCGTGTTTTTCGAGTTTCGCCAATTTCAGCCGTTTTACAGCGTCAGCTAATTGTCGTTCCAGAGAATCGGCTTCGGCTGACACGTCTAATTGCACGGCGTTTTCTTGCGTTCGACGCATCAATTCTTCGATTTGTTCGATGTTTATCTGAAATATTGGGTAAGTTTAGGAATAGTGTGGCTCTTTAGGTAATTTAGAGCATTTTGAGCCCAAACTTGCTGAAGGGAATTCTAGAAATCCCATTTTCAGCCAGAAATTGGGGGATTTTTCTCAAGAAGGTGAAAATTTTAATTTTAAAAAAATTTACTGTTTCAAAATTATGAAATAAATTTTGGTTGAATATCAGATTCTTAATTTCCTAATTTCCTGAATGGTTTTAAAAAATTCCACACAGAATACTGTGCATTTTGGCGCAAATTTGGGAGCATTCTGAGCCTAAACTTGCTAATGTTTGAGTTCAAAATGCTCTAAAATTCACGGGGATTCTAGAAATCCTATTTTTAGCTAGAAATTTGGGGATTTTTGAGAATTTTTGTTAAAAAAATGTACTGTTTCAAAATTATGAAATAAATTTTTATTGAATATCAGAGATTCGATTCAATGTTTAGTTTATCTCTTGTGAAAAAATTCCACTGTTTCAGAATTATCTCAAATTTTCGCCTTAACATGAAATTTTAATAAATAACATAATTATAAATCCACATGGCATTTTTAAAAACAAAAAGTTATCTCCAAAATTTCAAATTTTCTTTTTATTCCTACCCCCAAAAATTTTCGAAAACACAAAAAACAAAAAATTTGCATTTATTCACTAAACAACATGTGTTGTCAAGCAAAAAAACCAATTCCGGGGAGAAAAATGTGATTTTTGGTCGAAAATTCATGTTTTCGAGATGATTCTGAGTCAAATTTTCAGCGTTTTCAGCCAAACTCACCTCCTGACATCCATCCTCATAATAATAGGTGAAGGCCGAAAGAACAATGATGAATAATTGCTGTTGAACAACAGGCTCCAGGCATTCGGTGGCAATTTTCACGGCTTTCCGCAAAATTTCAACAACTCGTTTGCCTGCAAAAAATCGATAATTTGTAACGGCAAAAAACCACGTTTTTTCGCGCCAAAACTCACCATTTTTCAACATTTCTCCATTGGTTTCCTTGGTTTTTCCATGCCAATACAAATTGGCTACTGTACATAGAGATCGTACTTGATCAGGCTGCAAGAAAGGGAGGTTACTGTAGCTTTTAGCAGGGGTTTACTGTAAAATTGTGAAAAAAAAATATTCAGAAATTAAATTTGGTGCCAAAAAACCAAAATAATGAGAATTTCTGGATTTCAAAAATGCACTGTTTCATAATTTTCTCATAAATTTTTGGAGATATTTTTTTCAGTAAAACAATTCAATTTTTATTCGAAATTAATTTTTACGCAAAAAAAGCCACGTGGAAACTTTTTAGAGTAAAATTTTAGGGAAAATCAGAATTTCTGAATTTTATCAATTATCCCTGGACTTTTTTCTTTTAAATATTGAAAAAATCTTTGAAACAGTAAAATTTTGAAGTCAAATTTTAGGGAAAATTAGAATTTCTGGATTTCAAAAATTCACTGTTTCAAAATTTTCTCATAATTTTTTGGAGATTTTTTTTTTCAGTTAAACAATTTGATTTTTGTTCAAAATTTATTTTTACGCAAAAAAATCCACGTGGAAATTTTTAACGTATTTAAAATTTTAGGGAAAATTAGAATTTCTGAATGTCAACAATTCTCGCTGGTAAATCGGAACTCATAATTTCCTTCAAATATTCAAAAAATCTTTGAAACAGTAAATTTTCAGCCAAAAACGATTTAAAATTAATTTTAGGTTTTCGCCCCCCAGAAAAACCCACTTTTTTGAACATTTTCGCAGCAGCCAGTGCACATTGACTAGCCAACGGCGACCAATTTTCTTCGGGTAAATTCGAGGTTTGTAGGAGTGCTCCAACAGTCAATTGCAGACATCTTACACGATCTCTCGAATCTGCCACGTCATCTTCGAGAATTGACATGGATTTTGAGACGAATTCGTAGACGACAACGTGATTTTCATCGAACGGCACTTTGTCGGCTGTCATTGCGCCCTGCAAAAAACAAAATGGGGATCATTTTGACCCAAAAATCCCCGCAAAAACTCACATCCAAATACAATTTCAGGGGAAGTTCGGCTAACTCGGCAGTTGATACAAGTGCTCCAATCGTTCCCATTGCACACACGAAAATTTTGCGAACTTTTGCATTCCATTTTTCCTGCAAACAATTTATTGTAAATTTTTTGGTTTAAAAAAATTAATTTATATTTAAAATTTGAAACAGTGAAATTTTTGCAATTTTTGAATGGTCAAAAATTCACTGTTTCAAAATTTCATTCTAATTTTCTGTTTAACATAGTCATTTTGCTTCACACAACTTGAGGAATATTAATTAATGAGAATTGTAAAAAAAATCAATAGAGCAACAAAAAAAATGAGAAAAAATCTATACAAATTGTGAAAAAGTGAAATTTTCAATATTTTTTCATATATTTTTTTTCGGAAAATTAGTGCTTGAAATCATATTTTCGAAACCAATGTTCAGTAAAAATGAAAAAAAAATCACATAAGAATAGATCCGCAATCAAACAAAAAATTGCTAGAAAAATCTATACAAATTTTGAAACAGCGAAATTTTTTTTTATTATAATTTTGTTTGACATAGTCATTTTGCTTCACACAACTTGAGGAATTTTAATTAATTCGAATTATTGAAAAATTCAATCGAGCAACAAAAAAAATAATCGAAAAATCTATACAAATTTTGAAACAGTGAAATTTTCGAGATTAAAAAATAGAATTTTATTATGGGCCTATGCAGGATAATATTTTTTTTCGTATTTTTTAGTAAAAAAGGCTTTCGGATAAAATTCTTGGTTTTCTCACAATTTTAAGGCTATTTTTGATATAAATTGAAGGTTTATAGCCCATTTTCAATCATTTTTTAGTAAAAAAAACCCACATCTTCATCCTTTTGATCTCTATATCCCAAAACCAATCGATAAAGCTCAAAAACAATTGGTGGCAAGGTATATTTAATTCTCGATTTCCCTCCTTCTCCCAACATTTTCCTCGCCAAATTCAACAACAAAAACTGGCTATCCACATCATCGGCTCGAATCATATGCACCAATCTTGCCACCAAATTCTGCTCTTCCGCAAAGTCTTCCGCTTCACAATCCGCTTCCGCATGTTCCTTTAAAAGTGCCTCAATTAATTGGAAGACTGCCTGGATTTCTTGATCATTTTTAAGGAAAGTTTGTTCATCGAGAAGATTTTGGATGATGTATGAGCTGGTGTTGCATTTTCCACGATAATCGAAATAATTGAGGACTTTGAGGAATTCGGGAAGTTCGGATAATTTCAGCACATTTTTGTATTCGTCGATGGGAATGTGAAGGAGTTTTGTGAGCTCGCGACCGACTTTTCCGAATGCTTCGATGCTGGAAAAAATTTGGAATTTTTAGCTGAAATTTCCAATAATTGGAAACATTTCGGGACTTTTAAGCTCATGTTTTTGGATGAAAATTTCAGATTTTTTGGAGATAGAATCTGGAATTTCAGCAATGTTTTTATGGGAATTTTGGCTGAAAACCAACACTTTTATTTTTTTCAAACTGTTTTTATGCAGGATATTAACCTTGTAACAATATTTTTTAAAAAGAATAAATTTTCAAAACCAAATTTTGAAACAGTGAATTTTTTCAAAAAATTTTGAAATTTCAGCAATGTTTTAACTCATTTCAACATGGTTTTGGCTGAAAATTTCAGATTTTTGAGCATTTTTTAGTCAAATTATAGTATATTTACTTAGTGAACAACAACTATTATTTATCAAAAACCATCAATTTTTATGACCTAATTTTGAAACAGTGAATTTTTTTTGTTAAAAATTTTAGTTTTCAGTTTCAGATTTTAAGCCCAATTTTAGTTGATTTTTCATAAAATTTTTATAATGAAATTAAGCCTTTATTGAATAAAAATCCCAGATTTCTCAATTTTGATAACCAATATTTGAAACAGTGAATTTTTTTTGTTAAAAATTTTAGTTTTCAGTTTCAGCATTTTAAGCCCAATTTTAGTTGATTTTTCATAAAATTTTTATAATGAAATTAAGCCTTTATTGAATAAAAACCCCAGATTTCTCAATTTTGATAAACAAATTTTGAAACAGTGAATTTTTTTGTTCAAATTTCCAATTTTTCCCCAAAAAACTCACGATTCCACGCCTTTTTCCTCCAAAATATTCCGCAAACTCAAAAATGACATATTCGCGAATTCAACCCGATCCGAATAACATTTCACAGCCAAACTGACCAGAGAAACCTGAAAAAAATGAAATTTTTGCCACGCGGCAAAGTGAAAAGACTCACGTGAAGTGAAACAACATCTTCCATCGGCATATCTGGTCGATTTTTGATCAAATCTTTGGCTTGCGCTGAGAAAATCTCGAAAAGTTCCATTTTGCTCGGCGCCGCTGCACTTTGTCCCTCAATTGAAGATGTTGTATAGAGAGCGAGGCGATCGATTAAAGCGATTAGCACATTTTTGACGTTGACTTCCTGGAAAATGAGGGGTTTTTGGAGGAATTTAGGCAAAATTCAGTAGGAATTGGTGAACAAATCAAATTTCTTGGGGAGAAAAATGATAAATATTTTTAATTAAAAAAAAACATTGGAATATTAGTCAACAAAAATTTTTCAGGCAGAATTTTAAGATGCATTGAAGAAAGATTTATCAGGAATTTTCATTAGGAAAAAAGTAAATCTGTATTTTGAAACAGTATTTTTTTTCAATTTTCTGGTCAAAGTGCAGAAGTACCAAATCCAATCAAAAATTCTAAATTTCCATTAAACTTTGAAACAGTGATTTTTTTTTTTGAAAATAAATGAATGGAATTTTTAGTTTAATTTTCCAAAAAATTCGAGGAGCAATTAAATCTTGTTGTGAAAAATTAATTTTAAATTCTGAAACAGTGATTTTTTCAACAACAAAAAATCTGGAATTTCAATATGTTTTTGGATTCTAAATGTTCCATGTTCAATTCTGATCAACCTACTTATGAAAAAAAATCAAAAATTCAATTTCTCTCAACTTTTCCATTAAATTTTGAAACAGTGATTTTTTTCAAACAGAAAAAATTCAGAAATCTGGATTTTCTCTTGACTATTCAATTTTCTGGTCAAAAGAGTCCAAGTTTACAATCCGATCAAAAATTCAATTTCTCTCAACTTTTCCATTAAACTTTGAAACAGTGAACTTTTTTCAACAGAAAAAATTCAGAAATGTGGATTTTTATTTGAATTTTCAATTTTCTGCTCAAATCTATAATCGATCAAAAGTTCAATTTCTCTAAAATTATCCATCAGATTTTGAAACAGTGATTTTTTTCAACAAAAAAAAATCTGGAATCTCAATATTTATTTGAATTTTCAATTTTCCAATCAAAACAACCTACGAATCAAAAATTCTAATTTTCCTCAAAATTTCCGTTTAAAAACTTTGAAACAGTGAATTTTTTGAAGAGAAATAATGAATAGAATTTTTTAGTTTATTTTTTTAAAAAATTTCTAGGAACAATGAAATCTTGTTGTGAAAAACTAATTGTAAATTCTGAAACAGTGAATTTCACAACAAAAAATCTGAAATCTCAATATTTATTTGGATTCTAAATGTTCCATGTTCAATTCTGACTATTATGAAAAAAATCAAAAATTCAATTTTTTCTCAACTTTTCCATCAAATTTTAAAACGTAAATTTTTTCAGCTGAAAAAAAAATTTTTTAGTTCAAAAATTCGAGCCTACTTTTACAAAAATATCATCAAAATCTCAAGTTTTCTCAATTTTCTAACAACATATTTTGAAACAGTAAATTTTAAAAATACCAAAACCTAACATACCGGTACAAGTTGTCCACACGCTGCCAAAAACTCATTCAACGTCGACAAATGAAAATCATCGGAGAACACCTGAATGACGCATTCCATCAAATATTCTTGTGAAATCGGATCTTTGCACGACACAACTTGTTCCAAAATACTCGGCAAAACATCGCGAACATACATTTCTTCGTTCAAACTTTCCAATTGGGATAATCGAACCAAATTTGTGCCGACGAGAATACGCAATTCCATGCGATCTTTTTCGCGCTTCTCTTTTTCACGTGATGGTCCTTGATGTTGCATTCGAACCCAGAGTTTGTTCATTTCGGCGAAGTTTATGAGAACGAAATCGACGGCGTCAGAAACTGTGCCTGGAAAGATCTTGGGTTGAAAAATTTGGAGATTTTTCAAGAAAAAAAAATTTTGGGTTTAAAATTCTTAGATTTTTACTCTTATTTTTCGGCCTAGTATTTAGCCTGTTAGTTTAAGATCTTTTCAGGCCTGAATTAAGGCCCAACTTAGAGGCTTTTAGATATTTTAGGCCCTAAACTTGAAACCTGATTCTAAGCCATTTCAGCCCTAATTTTTAACCCTAATTTTTTAGGTCATTTGACAGAGATCCTTAGGTCTAATTTTGGGCTTTTAGGCCTAAAAAACTTTAGTTTAAGACAAAATTCAAAATCATATTTGAAGCCTAATTTTGAGCGCTTTTCCAAATAAAGAGCCTATGTTTCACAGTTTTCACAAAATTTACTGTTTCAAATTTTTTTTTAAAACTCGTTCTTTATCCCAAATTTAATCTTGTTTTTGTAGTGGAAAAAATCACTGTTTCAGAATATTTTTAAACAAAAATTGGAACTTTTGAAATAGTTTCAGAAGAAATAAATTGGAAAAAAATACTGTTTCAAAATATGCATTAGAAATGTTTTTTTTTTATAGAAAAATCGATGAATTTTTATCAAAAATTATACTTTCAATGAAAAATTTTGAATTTTACCCTATTTTTACCCTAAACCCTTGCAAAACCTCACCATCTCTCGCACTTTTTTCCCCAATTCCATCAGGCGAATCAGGCAAAAGTGATCTGGTAGACTGCAACAAATAATTCCTCAAAAACAATCCTCTCAATGGATGTTGTACACCTCGACACATTTCAACCATATCCTTCAACAGCTCTTTTTTCGAGCCCAAACCACATTTGATGAAAACGACGCCAAGTGTGACGAGCAAATATAATCGGGGAATAATTGTGCCCGCGTATTGAACACATTCATATAAATTATTGAGTTTTGAGGAGTCTTGAGTGAATTCGTCGATTAGGACGGTTTCGAGTTGTTGTAACTCGTTTATTGAATCCATGTCTGAAAAAATGGAAATTTTCAGAGGTTTTGAGCCATTTTTCATTATTTTTTACCTTTTATGAAAAAATTCATGGATTTCGAATCAGTTTTCTAATTTTTCGTAATTTTTTTTTCTGATTCATCCACTTTTAGTGAAATCTTATGCATTTTTGAGCTATTTTTCATGATAATTTTGATCTTTGAGACAACTTTTGCCACGTGGCATCTCTTTCTCTGAAAAGTTTTAAAGATAATCAAAAATGAAGCATTTTGAGCCATTTTTGGTGAACTTTCGTATATTTTCTGCTGATGAAGGCAATTTCTGCTAATTTCTATGAACTTCAATCTATTTTGAGTGAAAATTTCGAGTTTTCGATCGAAATATCATGAAAACCCAAATTTCACCAATAAAAATCAATAATTCTGTGCAATTATATCCCAAAAGTTCAAAAAACTCACACAATCTATAATAAAACTTTGGCGAAAGATCACCGGTCCGCAATTCGCCCAAAAATAAAAGTGCGTGCTTCAAAGCATCCATTGTTTTACCCTAAAAACCTTAATTTAGATCAGATAACTTCAACCAAAAACCCTACCTTATCCAAACATCGTTTCATCTCAAACGCTTCGGATTTCACGATTCGAGTCGCCTGTTCCAGCGCTTTTTCCTGTTCTGCCACATTTATCATCGAATTCTCCACCATTTTCGATATTCTGCAAAACACACTCTGCTTTTTTTCAATTGAAATCCGATGAAAATGAGTCAACAAAACAAAAAACGAGGCAAAATGCGAAGTGCGTCGGGACGAGAACAAAAAAATGGTGTGCGATGGGGCGCGTTTTCCTGTTTGCCATGAGATATTTAGTAGTATAACTTTGTTTATATTGAACCGAATTGGTTGGTTTCAATTGCCAGGCATCGAATTACATCAGAAATTGGAACGTTCGTTGCATAAACGAGGAAAACTGCGGAAAAAAAACCGAAAAAAAAGAAAATAAAAATTCAAGGAACATCGATGGGAATGCGCGGGTCTCGCGACGATCTGGAAGATTTTGTTGTGCGCCTTTGATGACAGTAACGCGCGGGCGGTAATTTTTATTTCTATTTTTTATTTTGGCCTAAAATTTTCGATTCTCTTCACTATTTCCTGCATTTTCAGATGCCGGCAGTCAAGTTAGCCCCAGTTGTAAATCAAGTTCCACGCCGAACTCGCCGAACAAAAGTGGATGATGTGGATTATGAAGAATTGGTGATGTCGGCAATCAATTTTTCGGGACCATCGAGTGAAGATGAAATTCAAATATTCATGTCGAAGACGTATCCAAAGACCGATGATATGGCGAAGAAAATTGAAGAAACCTTGAAGATGTTGGTGAAAAAGGGCGTGTTGCTGAAGATTGGCGAGATTTTCAAAAAAGCAACCGCCCCAAAGGAGAATCGAAGAGTTTCGCGAAGACTTAGCGACAAGAAAGCAGCTACGGCACTCCTTCCAAACGCAGTGGAGAATATGGCGCGATTGAACAAGAAAATGCCGTTTTGCCCGGTGACGTATGATGCTTTGGAAGTTCGCCAGAATACATCGAACGCCTCAAGTCAACCGGCCATTTTTACAAGTTGTGGACATGTGCAAAGTGTCACGACGCGTTGGAACAACATGCAATGCCCAATGTGTTTGAAGGTGTCGATGGCGGTGTCGATTTCGTGCGCTTTGCAAGGACATTGTGATAATGGAGATCTGGAATTGGTCTATAATCCTTGTGGACATATTGCGAGTCAGGAAACTGTTAGGTATTTTTTTCATGAATTTCACAAACCTTCTTGATCTTAATTCAACTCTTTTTCCAGGCGCCACCTCGCCTCACCAACCTCCAAAAACTGCCCATTCTGCGCCAGAACCTTGAACCCCAACAATCCCACCATCAAAGCATTTTTTCAATTCGAAAACTAGGATTTTTAGCCAGAAAAATATTTTTGTTAAATATTCATTTATTGTTTTTCTTTTTTTTTCGAGATCTCCTTTTTTCCTCCGTTTTTATTCAATTCGAAACTGTGAATAGTTGTTGTAAATAAGTATTTTATTTTATCATGAAACATCTCACCTGATTCTTGCGGCGGAAATATGGAAATGATTCATTTTTGAAGTGCGTGAGTTTAATTTTTCAAAAAAATTTATTACTTCCCAAAAATCACATCAAAATCCTGATTAGAAATCGTAACCGTATGACACGTCATATCACAAAATTCGCCATTTCGCTCCAAAAATCGACAAACATCCTCAAACTTCACCGATTTCGCCAGCCAAACGTAACAAAATCCACCGCCGCCAGCACCAGCCAACCAACCAGTTTCGATGAGATTTTCGCTGAAAATTTGGGGATTTTCACAATCAGATGAACATTCTGGGGAAAAAACCCACTTTTTCAGTTTGGCTAGTAGATTTTTGACGATTTTCGGTTCACATCCACTTGTCAGCAATTTTTTGGCAGCATAATATTGATTGATTAAATCGATTGGCATTTTTCCTGGAAATTTTTGAAAATATGAAGTTGCAAAAAAATTCACTGTTTCAAAACAAAATTTCCTCACCATCCAACAAAATCTCCAAAAAATCATCGATATTTTTGTACATTTCCATCAAAACCTCCTTCACTTCTCCATCCTTGTACCAATTTCGAATAACTTCTTGCAAAATATTTTTAGCCAATCGTGTTTTTCCCGTGTAAATTAGGACTAATCTGCAATTGATTTCAGTCTGGAATTTCTTGGAAATTTCGATTCTCTCGACTTTCAGGCCGAAATTCTGACTAGAATTTCGTTGCGCAATTCCTAATTTGATGCCTGGATAAATTGCTCCAATTTGATCTTGCCAACCTCCGCCAGTTGTCATAATTTGCTCAATTTTCAGCACACTATGCGCAATTTTCGCCTGAATTTCACGCTGAAACTCAAGATTTTCAGCCTGGTATAGCTCCCAAATGGCTCGCAAAATCGTGGCTCCCAAAATCGAACTCGTCCCCAAACCTGAGCCATGTGGAAGCTCAGAACATAGCCAAAATTCGAGTCCAAAACCCGCGCCGAATTTCGCACAAAAATCAGAGCATTTCGAAAATCCCAGCGATTTGATACATGCTGATAATAGGCATGTTGGATGGGTTGGTTTATTTGAATCCGATAGATTTTCGTCGAGGAAGATTGGTGATTTTTCGTGGTGGAGAAGAATTTTGGCGGGGTTTGTGGTGGATTTTTGAAGGCGGCAACTAATTGGACGCTGGAAAAATATTGGATCTAGAAATTTCAATTTTAAAATTCATAATCAGTTTTTTTTATATGGAAAAAACGTGAACGAAAACCACTACAATTTCCAGTAATTTTGAAATCTAAACTTTCCAGGATTTTTTTTCACAATTAAAAAAATCACTGTTTCAAAAATTCCATAAATAAATTTGAATATTTCAAAAAATCGTTTATATCAATTAAAGCTACGCAATTGATGAAAAGATTACAAAAAGTTAATGAAAGCCTCTAAAATTTCCAGAATTTCCAGAAATCTTGAAACCTAAATTTTCCGGGAATTTTTTTCACAATAAAAATCTTCACTGTTTCAAAAATTCAATAAATAAATTTGAATATTTCAAGAAATCGGTTAAAAACTTATTTGCATTAGTATAAAATTCTAATTCACTTTCAAGATGAAAATCCACGTCATAACGTATTCTTAGTGTTTTTAATTTAACAATTGGAAAGCGTTAATGAAATCCTCTAAAATTTCCAGAAATTTACAAAAATTTTGAAACCTAAATTTTGCAGGATTTTTTTCACCATAAAAACATCACTGTTTCAAAAATTTCATAAATAAATTTGAATATTTCAAGAATTCGGTTAAAAACTTCTTTTCATTAGTATAAAATTCTAATTTACTTTCAAGATGAAAATTCACGTCATAACTTATTCTTAGTGTTTTTAATTCAAAAATCGGAAGATGTGAATTAAATCCTCTAAAATTTCCAGAAATTTACAAAAATTTTGAAACCTAATAATTCCATGAATTTTTTTCACAATTAAAAAAAATCACTGTTTCAAAAAATTCCATGAAAATTTTTGAATATTTCAGAAAACTGTTTCATCGATAATCAATCCTAGACACATTTCACAAAAAAAATTTATCACATAACTGTTGTTGAAATTTTTTTTTACTTGGTCATTTTCATGGAATTTTTGAAACAGTGAAGTTTTTTATTGTGAAAAAAATGCCGGAAAGTTTGGGTTTCAAATTTTCTGAAATTTTAAAGGATTTCATTAACTTTTCCATTTTGACATTAAAAAATAAGTTAGACGTGGATTTTCAATCAATAGAATAAACGAATTTTTGAAAAACTCAAAGTTTTTATTGAATTTTTGAAACAGTGAAATTTTTTATTATGAAAAAAATTCCTGAAATATTTACATTTCCAGAAATTCCAGAAATCTTGAAACCCAAATTTTCCGGGATTTTTTATTCACAATGAAAAACTTCACTGTTTCTAAAATTCCATAAATGAATTTGAATACTCGGGCAAAAAACGGCGGGGTCGCTACCAATCGGGGCGGAGTCGCTACACGTTTCGGGCGACTGGCCCGAGCGTGAAGCAACTTGCCCACATCTCGCTCCGATCCACTCTCTCGGAGGGTGTCCAGAAGCATTTTTCAAAAATTGTATCTATGGAGCAAAAGTAGATCTACTTAAAGCTTTATTACCCTACATTTATATGGGCCATTTAATTAATGGATTACTGTGAAATCCCGAAAAAAAAGCATAAAAACCATGATTTTAAAATTGGGCAAAAATTGTAGCGAGTTGCCCGGCACTCGCCACTTTTGAGGCGCGTTTGGGGCAACTCGCTGCTCGGGAAAAATACGGCACCTTTTTAGCACCGAGGCGACAAAAATTGTCGAGGAATTTTGGCCGCCCCGGTGCTAAAAAGGTGCCGAAATTACGGCACCTTTTTAGCGCCGAGGCGACATTTTCATTAAAAATCCATTATTTTACCATACAAATGACTCTTGTTCTCTTTTCATCGAAATTTTCCGCACTAAAAATGTAGCAAGCTTGTCCGAGTGGATAAGAGGATGGGTTGTCATTGTTTTGACCCAGGTTCGATGCCCCTTTCCCGCACCTTTTTTTTATTTTTTTCGTCTCACTGGCGCACCATTTTAGCGCCGGTGCGTTCTCTCTGCGCACCTTTTTAGCGCCAAGGCGAGAGCACTTCCCGCCTCGGCGCCCCAGAATGTCGCCTTAGCGCCCCAGGATGTCGCCTTGGCGCCGTATTTTTCCCGAGTGCAAAACAAGTCTCGAAAAATGTGTAGCGAGTCGCCCCGAGCTATGTCGTTTTTTGGCCGAGTATTTCAAAAAATCGCTAAAAAAAAACTTCTTAGCGGTTGTATAAAATTCTAAATTCACTTTCGAGCTGAAAATCCACGTCATAACTTTTTTTTCTGATAAATTGTAAATCCTCTAAAATTTCCAGAATTTCCAGAAATTTTGAAACCTAAATTTTCCGGGAATTTTTTCACAATAAAAACTTTACTGTTTCAAAAAATTCCATAAATAAATTTGAATATTTCAAAAAAAAATCGGTCAAAAACTTCTTTGCATTAGTATAAAATTCTAATTCAACTTTTGGGCTGGAAATCCACGTCATAACTTATTCTTAGTGTTTTAAATTTAAAAATCGGAAGATTTTAATGAAATCCTCTAAAATTTCCAGAAATTTACAAAAATTTTGAAACCTACTAATTCCAGGAATTTTTTTCACAATAAAAAACTTCACTGTTTCAAGAAAAACATGTAAAAATTGCTAGATTCCGAATGAATTGTTACCATCATTGATCGTTTTGATTACCACCAAAAAAACCCGCCAATTCTCTCACCTTTCCATCCACCAAAATGGCCATATTAAAAACTCCAGCCTCTTCAAAATCGAAAAATATGGGCGGTGTGTCCAACCAGCCTCCAAATAAATCACAACGAGCAGGGGCGAACACAGTAACCTCGTTGAATTTTGAAGAAGATTTTGGATTTGGTTCGGGAAGAGTTAGGGTTTTCTGGAAATTTTAAATTTAGAATTTCTGGGGCCAAAAAACCATTTGTAAGTTTCAAGCGGTATTAGTTCGAGCATTGGGCTATTAGAATTTGGATAACCCCAAGTTTATTGAATATTTTTTGAAACAGTGAACAAATTTGTGAGAAATTAAGAAGAAAAATAACTGTTTTTCCAGATTTTTGCTGAAATTTATATAGCTGATCGGCTGAGAACACAGGGTGTAATTTACTACCTCAAATCCCTAGACCTCAAATTTTTCATTAATTTTTGGGTAGATCAAAAATAATTTTTCTCTAAATCTCTCGTTTTTGCGTTGAATTTCATCGATTTTAGTTTCACCCCTAAGATCGTGTCAGGTCTCAAAAAATGCGCGAAATTTTTCGGGTAGTAAATTACACTTTGTGAGAATTAAATTTCAATCACCCCATTTTTTTCTTCAATAATTTTTGAAACAGTGAAATTTTTTTTTCAAAAAACTCACCCCCTCACACATATTCTCGACCATTTTGGCGATCAAAATCTGCGCAGCCGCCTCCAAATGCCGTGCAGCTCTCACCATTCCACTCTCCGATCCCCGCCAGTTCCTCTGAATCTCCTCAAATAACCTCTCCGGGCTCTCCAAAAGCCCGAAAAGTGTGCGATTCGCAGCCGGGCCGCTTCTCAGCCCTCCAAGACCTTCAGATTCCAACGAGAGGCCGAGACTTAGGCTAAATAGAGTTTGTGGGGTGACCCGGAGATTGGTGATGGTCTCAAAATAATCACGGATGGTTGGGAGTTTCAGCATTTTTTTGAGGATGACTGCGGATTTTATGAGTTTTTCCAGATTGTTCTCGGGAGCTTTTGAAGGTCCTTCAATAAAATAGTCCTCCAGGCTTGCTAAAAGCATATTGTGGAGATAATGAAGGTCCTGAATTTGCCCAGAAAAATCAGAAAATTGATAGTTTTCAACTTCTAGGCTCCTAGAAATCGCTTCAAATTTCGAAAATTCTCCAAATATCAGCTTCCTCGCCTGATTCCTCAACTCCAATTTCTCGCCTTCAATCTTCCCCACTCCTTGCTCATTTTTATACACAAAATCCTGCTCTGTGCTCCAGGTTGCTTGAAGAAAATCGAAAAAAATCGATAATTTCAGGCCGAGAGTTCCGCTATCTTGTCCGTAATAAGTTGTGGCAGAGATTGGAAAAATGTTGATGAATCCCAGGAATTTTGCGGCGATTGTTGGTGGCAGATGGAAAATTGCCAAAATTATATTTTCGGGGTTAGTTGAGGGATAAAATATGTCAGAAATCGGCCCATTTTTTGAATCGTAGCTTCCAAAATCGCCCAATTCTAGCCTGGTTTCCGGAGTGAAACAGAAAGCCGAAATCTGATTTTCAGCCTGAAAATGTTGATATTCTGGCTGAAAATTTTCCAATTTCAGCTCAAAAAACGCGTCAGTTCCAATGATCCAAACACCTTTTCCTTGAGTATTTTCAGCAATTTTTCCAGCATTTTCGATGGCTTTCGAGAAATATGTTGGTTGGATGTAGCCATTTTGAACCTCTTGAATTTTTCCTTCACTTTTGGTGATAGCTTCGATGGAGCCCTGAATAAAATTTGAATTTTTGAATTTGGCGGGTAAAATTACAGTAATTCTGAAGAGTTTTGAATTTCAGAAATTTGGTGCCAAAATTTATGAATTCTAGATTTTGGGGCCAAAAATTACAGCATTCTGATTGAATTTTGAATTCTAGATTTTTTAGCTACAGTACTCTCAGCTTCCTACAGTAACCCACCACAAGAACAATCAAAATCCTCGAATCTACAAGCACATCATCCGAAAGCACCGTATACCCTCTCAAGGCGCATAATCTTTCAGCCTGGAAAAATCTACAGTAATCTACACGACCAATATCTTTCTACAGTAATTCTTACCGTAATCAACAAGGCATTCAACGCACTTCCTCCCGAGCCAACATCTTCACACGCGTCATTACAGACTAGAACTTCTTCAGGGAGGAATTTCAGATTTTTCAGGTATTTCAGATATTTTTGGATTTTCAAATCGTTCTTATTGATGTTTGCGGCTAGGGAAATTGTTACAATATCCCACATTCGCTGAAATTTTTGCTGGAATTTTTAAATTCAAAATTTCATAAGATATTAAGTTTCTGAGCAAAACAGATTGAATTTTAAAGCAAAAACAGAAAAAAAAACAATTATTGATTTTTTATCTAGTCAAAAAAGTCGTCTATTTCTACGCTTGGCTCTAAAAACGTCTCCTCAATGCCCCGTAAATCGACCCCATTCAAAATCATATTCTCCATTGTCTCTTCCAAATTTGTTTCGCCAATCAATAATGCGCCAATCATTCGGCCATCCACCAAAATACATCGGATCAACTCATTTTCACCATTTGTTCGCTCTACTTTTCTCCATTCTTTGTTGCCAACATTTTCTGGCTTGTAATCGCCAAGAAAAACGACCTAGAAACAGAAAAATAAAAAATATTATTCAAACCGCCGCGCAAACGCGTCACTTCGCTGTGAGACCCAAGGCTCCGCCCACACGACGCAGCTTTTTTTCTTTTCTTTTCCGTTCCGTTTTTCTTGCTCATTTTCCGTTTTTTATCGCGTTTTCTTGTGTTTTTTCTTGTTTGACCTGTTGAATAATATTAGAATATGCTAATTCTCCCGTTTCATAATAGAATACCATTAAAATTCCAAGTTTTAACGATGGAAAATGAAGAAATATCGAAATTTCGTCATCTGCATTTTTCTGCTTCGAAAATAAACAAATCGATTTTGAAAATGTTATTTAAATATTCCACGTCATCGAAGAAACGTTTTCCACGTTTGTATTTCTAGTTTTCGAATTGATTCGAATATGTATTTCTGAAAATAGGCCTTACTAATCGGGGCCTTAATTGAAAATAGGCCTTAATAGTTTCTAGAGTGTAATTATTAGTTTACACTTTGCTCAATCAGATAGAAAAAGATTTTTGGGATGTTAGGATGTGAAATTCAGCGTTCTCATTACTTTTGGGAAGTTTTGGACGCTTGTCCGTCATTTGTGTTTATATTTGGTACAATTTTGAATTTTCTCTCATTTTTCTGTCTCGAATTACCCTAACTGGCTAGTCAACTAGATTCGAACTCATATTTCTTATTACAGGAAAGCAAAGATGGAAGAGGAACAACTTCTCGACTACGAAGAAGAGCAAGAGGAGATCCAAGACAAACAAGAAGTCGGCGGAGGTGATGCCAAGAAAACCAAGGGTACCTACGCTTCGATTCACAGCAGCGGTTTCCGTGACTTTCTTCTCAAGCCCGAAATCTTGCGCGCCATCGGCGATTGCGGTTTCGAGCATCCATCAGAAGTGCAACACGAGTGCATTCCTCAAGCCATTCTTGGTATGGACGTTGTGTGTCAAGCCAAATCTGGTATGGGTAAAACCGCCGTCTTTGTGATCGCCACACTTCAACAATTGGAACCAGTTGATGGAGAGGTAATTAGTTTTGATTAAATATTTTAATGAAAAAACTTCAACAATGCCTTTCAGGTTTCCGTCGTTTGCATGTGCCACACTCGTGAATTGGCCTTCCAAATCTCCAAAGAATACGAGCGTTTCAGTAAATATTTACCAGGCATCAAAGTCGCCGTCTTTTTCGGAGGTATGCCGATCAAGAAAGACGAAGAGCGACTCGCCAACGATTGTCCACACATTGTTGTCGGAACACCCGGTAGAATGTTGGCTTTGGCCAAATCCGGAAAATTGAAGCTCGACAAGGTCAAGTATTTCGTGCTCGATGAATGCGACAAAATGATTGGCGACGCCGATATGCGCCGCGATGTTCAAGAAATCGTCAAATCCACACCACAAGAAAAACAAGTTATGATGTTCTCGGCGACACTTCCAAAAGAGCTCCGAATTGTGTGCAAAAAATTCATGCAAGACGTACGATTTAACTTATATTATAATTGTTGTTGTCCTTCTTCTCCTCGCACTCGATAACCTCTCACTTTCGATGTGTTTTTTTGACGCAAAAGGGTATCTCTGAGTTTGGTAAGCGTTAAAAGTCGCTGAAAATGGTGGAATATTGACCATTTTTACAGAACCTAATACTCAGAAGAATATCCCGAAACTACCCAACAACGCCGAATTTCGGGGTCAAAGTTGTCTGGTCAAACACACCACGTTTGTGAGCAGGAACCCCGCTATACCGAAAATGTGGTAGTTTTCAAATACCAATTCAATATTTTTCAGCCAATGGAGGTCTACGTCGATGACGAGGCAAAATTGACATTGCACGGTCTTCAACAACACTACGTTAAGCTGAAGGAGGCTGAGAAGAACCGTAAATTGTTGGAATTGCTCGATGCGCTCGAATTCAATCAAGTTGTTATTTTTGTCAAATCGGTTCGTCGTTGTGAAGCGCTTCATCAATTGTTGTCTGAGCAAAACTTCCCATCGATTGCTATTCATAGACAAATGGCTCAAGAGGAACGACTTTCGAGATATCAAGCTTTCAAGGATTTCCAGGTAAAAATTTGTGAAAATTCTGCAATTTTTCAAAAATCTCAACGAATATCGTTTCTAATGGGGTGATTCATAAAAATATTGTCATTCCGAAAATAAAAGAACCCCCGTTTGAATTGGCGGTCACGTACAGTAGACTAAAAATGACGTGACACATGCACATCAAACTGGTTGGCAAATAGCCAACGTCACACCTCGGCCAACATCGTGGTTCCCAAAAATAAAAAGTTTACGCTGAAGTTTTGAATGAGAAAATTGTGAATTTACCGGATCAGTAGAGAATGTTTCAGTCATAGAAATAAATTTGGACTCTAGAAAATTCAAACTGAGCAATTTTTATCAAAACACTCTCTAGCTCATTCTGTGAAAACCGTGGCCCACCACGGCTTGGCCGAGGTGTGGCCAACGTGTAAATTTCGCATTTTATTTTTCAAATAGACTCCAAAATTTTGCGAAGTCTACTGTAGTCTTGGTGTCCTAGGCCATTTCGGTTCTCTTCCAAGTTCTTATTTTTTCGGAATGACAATAAATTGACAAAAAAAGTGCGATTAATTTCACGTTTTTTGTCAATTAATCGCATTTTTTCAGAAATGAATGCGATTAATTGACAAAAAACGTGAAATTAATCGCACTTTTTTTGTCAATTTATTTTTATGAATCACCCCATAAATTTAAATCTTCCAGAAACGTATCTTGGTCGCCACCGATTTGTTCGGTCGTGGAATGGACATTGAACGTGTCAACATTGTCTTCAACTACGATATGCCAGAAGATTCGGACTCGTATTTGCACAGAGTGGCTCGCGCCGGACGTTTCGGAACCAAAGGATTGGCCGTCACTTTTGTCTCTGACGAAACCGACGCCAAAACTTTGAACAGTGTTCAAGATCGATTCGACATCAGTATCACCGAATTGCCGGAGAAAATTGATGTTTCCACTTACAGTAAGTCTTGAGCTTCTTTTTCTTTTGTTGAAAAAATACTCTAAAATTTATTTTTTTCAGTCGAAGGAAGAACCAACTAAAGGATGCCACTTCAAACCAAAAAATCCCCAAAAAAATGATTGTTTTTATCTGTCTATTATATATTTCTTATAACTTTTCTCCGAGTTTTATTTTGGTCTCAAAATATCCCCCCTTGTTTTTTTCCACACCACCCAACTTTTTCTCTCCTATTTTATATATCCAATACTTGTTGTAACTAAATATTATTCTTTGATTTGAGAATTTTTTGAATTTTCTAGAAAATTTATGATTCCGAAAGCTCACCTTCAATCCAAAAAACGTTGTACAATGTGCAAACAACTCCAAATGCATATTGAACATTTCCGCAGTCTCCCTGCCAAAAACCATCGACTTTGCGCAAGTCTCCGCAGCTTGCCGTGCTTGCGTCCACAATCGCATTGGTTTCCACAAATTTGAGGAAGTCGTCGCATATTGCGCAACATCGCCGCAAGCAAAAACAGCTGGATGAGATGTTTCGAAAATGTCATTCACTTGAATTGCTTGATCTTCTTCGCCAGCAGAAACATCGAGATTCTCTTTCCAGATTTCTGAATTTGCTCGTGTTCCTGTCGCCCAAATGACAAAATCACATGGGATTTTCGAAATTGTTTCTGATTCTAAATCTCGAACTTCTACAAAATCATCAGAAATATTGAGAACTTCAGTGGATTTTAGAATATTGATAGATTTTTCTTGATTTTCCCCAGAAAGATCAATAGATGTAGCCCAATCTGGCCCCAACGCTGGACCTTGGCCTTCTAGACTCTGGTCTGAGCCCAGACCGAATCTCAGTCTTTTTTGGACTCCTGAAGTCTTCTTTCTCTTCTCATTTCCAGCAAAGATTCGATTTTCAATGAATTTTTCGAGATCCTTCGGAAAAAACTTGGCACAAAGCCACGAATCCTTGATAATCCACGTGATTTTGATGTTTTTGAGCTCATAAATGAGCTCGGCGGCTATTCCGCCATTCCCAACTATGACGATATGACGCGATTTTGAGAGATGGAGCTGGAAAATTTGGATTTTTTATGGAATTTGGAGCATTTTGAGCTCAAATTTGAAGAATTTCGGGGGATTTCGAAATTTTCATGAAATTTCAGGTCTAAATTTTATAATTTTCAGAAGAGTTTGAGGTTTTGCTGAAATTTTGAAATTTTCAATGAAATTTCTAGCATTTTACAGTATAAACATGCGAATTTTTTGCGAATTTTAATAGATTCTCCGCAATATTTTCAAATTTTTCATAAAATTTGGAATATTTTCAATTTCATCGAATTTTCATATAACTTTGAGTTCGAATTCGGGAATTTTCTATAAAAATTCAAATTTCCAGCGAAAATTCAATTTTTTCGTTAAACTTCAAATATCCAACCTGTAAATCCTTTGCAGTATCAGTGTCTCTCAAAGTTTTCACATTTTTCAAATTCGAAAACTGGCAAATCGATCGAGCTCCAGTTGAAATGCACAATTTATCATAGGAAAACTCCCCATTCTCTTTTAAAATCAGAAATTTTTCGTCGGGTTTCCATGAGATCACCGTGTCATAAATCAATTGAAATCGTTTGTCTGAAGTTAGTGGCTGCTGGCTTTCAGAAATTTCGAAATTCTCCATAAATTGCCCAATTTTATACCAATTTGTGATTGTTTTCACGTGCTGATTCGCTGAGATTAGTGTAACTTGTATGTTTTTGTCTGGTGTGCTTCGTAGTATCTCCATTGAGCAATTAACCCCTGCGATTCCGCCGCCAACCACCACAAAATGCTGCATTTTCAGCTGAAAATTTGGTACTGTAGTTTGCGAAAAATAAAATATTTAGGGTACTGTAGACGAAAGTGTTTGCAGACATGCGGTGGTTTTGCAATGAAGTGTGCCGCACATTGCGAGATTTGAAATAGGCTCCGCCACATTTTTTATTTTTGCCAGGTTTTTTGCGGGCGTTTCGTTGAAACGCTGTTATCTTGTGGGGTTTTCGTGAAGTTTTTTGAGTGTAGTTGGTTTTTGAAAGTGCGTGCCATAGGTGTCTGTCGATTTACGAGGTGATAATCGTAGAAATTAGGGGGTAATCCTAAAATATCGCTTTTTTTCGGGTAAACTTTTTGCGCGCGAAAATTTTGTTTGCTCACCTATTTGGCATATTTCATAACACCTGTTATTATTGAGCTCATTTTTCGAAATGGTTTCTTTCCTATTTCACGTAACCTCCACTTTTTTCATCGAATCTAATCTCATTTCAAATTTCAGATCATACTAGAACATGTCGTCTTCGGATAGAATGGATACCTCTGAGGTGGAAGTTCAAAGCGATGAACGACCGGGAAGTTCGGCGGCGGTGGCGGCCCAAAACAAGCCGAAACAATCATCCGAAGTGGATGTGAATAATATCGACGAGGAGCGCGTCGAGACCGAAGTCGAGGAGAAACTCGAGAAAATCGATGTTGCCGCCGATGAAGCGGAAGATGCGGTCGTCGACATGGCTCCAAAGACACCGAGACGTGGACGCGGCGCGCCGAAAAAGATTACAGCGGCAAGTCCGCGCGAAACAGCAGTGACTCCGGGAAAAGCGGGACGTGGCCGAAAACGAAAGCCGAGTGTAACTGAATCCGCTAATACTACTGTTAATTCGACTTTTGGTGAACACAAGACCCCAGGAAGGAAAGTTCGTAAGTGAATTTTGACATTTTAGCGAGGAATTTCATCAGTCAAAATCCTTTTTCCAGAAAAATTGCAAGTTCTCACATACCAGCAATTCGCTCCAAGCATTGTCGGCGATCGTGTTTTGTCGTGTGGCGAAGGCGAATCCTTGGGTCATCCAGGACGAACAACCACCAAAAAACCGAGAAGAGTCGATATTTTCGAAGAGTTGAACGTGAAACCGATTCAAGTCGTTGCTGGCGGTGTTCATTCGGCTGTTTTGACCGACGACGGACAGGTTTTTATGTGCGGAATCAATGAGAAGGGAACTGTTCCAGCTGAAGGTGTTGAACGAGAAGGAAGTACCGATGAATTCGCCAAAGTTCCGTTTTCTGAGGATTTGCAAAAGGAGGGCAAGGTAAAGAGTTTTTTGAATAGAAAAAATTGAATTTTCCGTTTTATTTTCAGATCATTATGATCGCCGCCGGCGCCAGTTTCACAGCCGGTTTGACCGATCAAGGAACCGTCATCGCGTGGGGAAATTTGCGAAACTCGAATGGAAACGTCGATGTTCACCCACTTTTGCACAAAATGCAAGAGCAACCGGCGGTTATTGTGCATCACAACAAGCGAAAAATAGTGAAAATTGCGGCTGGTGAAAATCATTTGGTTATGTTGGATGAACTCGGCCAGATTTTGACATTTGGAGATGGAGAAATGGGACAACTTGGAAGAAGTGTTAGAACGAAGACCATTAGATCGAGTAAGTTTTTCTGGAGGAAAAATTGGTGAATTTTGAAGTTCTGACCTGAAAATTCGAAAATTCCGAGATTTTAAAAATTTCTTGAAAACTAGATTAAAAGTATACAAATTTTCTGAAATCATAAGAAATTTGCGTATTTTAATCTTAAAATTCTCGAGCTCCTTTGGAGTTTCAAAAATTACAATAAGAAAAATTCTACTGTTTCAAAATTGTGATATTATTCCTCAAGTTTATTAAATTTTTATTATGATTTTAGATGACCCTAAAAAGTTCCAAAGTATCATTAAAACTAACAAAAACCTTTGAATTCCCCCCAAAATCTTAAAATTCTCTAATTTCAGAATTCATGTGCGACGAATCCGGCGAACATCTCGTTGTTCCACTCCGTTTCCGTCAAAAGAAATTCTACGACGTGAATGCGAAAAACGTGTTTGCCAGCGGTTTCTGGACAATTGTTCACGGTGAAGACGGCAAATACTATGCGTTCGGTCTCAACAATTTTGGCCAACTCGGCATTAAAGTCGACGAGGCGAACAATGATAATGTCGGACCTGATGGACAAGACAATCGAGAATTGCGAGTATTTTTGCCGGCCGAAGCACCTGCGTTCGGCGCCGAAGACACTTTCACCTCGATTGAAGGTGTTCAACACGTTGTTGTTCGCACCGAGAATGGCGAGGTTTTCACGATGGGAAAGAATACGGATAATGCGTTGGGTTTGGGAAATTGGCAAGGAAAAGATGATCAACAACATTGGTTGTGAGTTTTTTTTGAGAGAAAATGAAAAATCCAACAACAACCATGTTTCCAGATACGATTCCTTGCAAAAACTCGACATTGACGGCAAAAAAGTGGCAGGCGTCAGCGCAAAATTGGCCACATCAGTTGTTTGGACAGAAGACGGAGAGGCGTATGCATGGGGATTTGATACGACTGGACAATTGGGTCTCGGATTGAAGGACGATGATGATAAGGTATAGTAGATTTTGGGTGGAAATTCGGGGTGAAAGCTACCTAAAAAGGTCAAATATATTAATCATTTTCAGCCTTTGTCTTATTTTTTTCATTTCATTTCATTTTCAAAGCCCAATTTCCACGCAATTTCCTCCCTGCTTCTTTCTTTCGTTTTTTTTTCAATTCAAATTCAAATTTTCCTATGAAATTGGAATTAAATTAAAAGAAAACGCGTGTGAGGTCGTTGTGTAATTTATGACGTTTTGTTTGTTTTTGAGAAATGTTTTTGAAGCGCGAAAAGAGGCGTAGATTGAGCCTACACTCTATTTTCGAATCATTTTTGGCTGAAAATTAGAAAACCTTAAATGTTGTTCCCAAAATTACTCCAAATTCATCCAATTAATTTATCAGATGGTCCCAACACCGGAACAAATCACATCAGCTCATCTCGACGGATTTTCGATCATCGGAGCCTCGGTTTCCGATCAGCACACCCTGATTTTGGCTAAAAAATCGGAAAAATAGGGGAATTTTTTATCATCATCATCATCATGTTTATCACTTTTTTCTCTCATTGTCAAATCTCTTTGTTATTATTTTTCATCTTGTCTGTTGAATATATTCTTTCTTTTTTTCTGAAAAATTCAAATTTTAAAACTTTTTTGTAGGAAACGATCTCTAGAATTTTTAAGCTCCACCACTCTTTTACCGCCCCCCCCCCCCCTTTTTGGAAATATGTTGAATATTTTATTGTATTTTTTGAATTTGTAGTAAGCTAAGCTCTCTATTTTTTCGCTATATTTATATTCTTGTCTTTTTTCTTCATATTCATATTGACATGAAAATTGTGGCTGTGAAAATGGTTTTTTACCGAATTTTTCTCTCATTTCTATTTTTCCTCCCAAAAAATGAGCATATTTGCTCATTTTGCTGCAGTAGTCTATTTATCAAAACCATTTGAGACCCCCTCATTTTTTTTGGAATAATTTTTCAAGAAAAAAAAAGATACCCACCAATTTTTCCCCCTTTTTTTCACATTTGCCAAAAAATGATGTGCTCTTTTCTTCTATTTTTAGGGGCTCCGCTTTCTTTTTTGTTGAATTGTCAGCTAATTGTGGGATTTTTTGGTGCCAAAAGTTTGACATTTCTGAAAAACCATGAGTTTTGACAACCAAAAACTACTGTAGGAAATTAATTTCCCCCTTTTTTTTGAAAAAAAAGTTTTCTTAATTAATGCCAACTCTACTTTTCTCAAAGTTAGTCTAACTCTAAAAATGTCCTCAAAATCTTTACCGAATTTCGAAGAGTCTAATAAACCTAACAATAACAATAAGCCTATGAATTCCACGTCATCACATGTTAGTTTTCTATTAACATCCAGTGCAGAACAAGAGGTTTGTTGGTGGAAAATCTGAAAATTTGTCTGAAATTTGATTTTTTTTTTTCAAAATTTCCAGACAAAAATAAACATTCCCATGAATATTCATTTTCTTCTTCCTTCTTCGAAATTTTTTTTGTTTTGATGTTTTTTTATTGCAAAAACGGAACGTTTTGTGTTTTTCCGGAGATACAGTAATCCAGGGTTACTGTAGATCAGTAAATTTTTGACAAGATCAACAGTAATCTATTTTTCTCAGGGGTTACTGTAGAATCCGAAATGTTTTTCCTTGTGTTTTAAATCTCAATATTTTCCACAGTACCTTTGGATTGCTGTAGTTTCTTTACTGGATACTGTATTTTTGCCAAAATATACTAACATTAAGAAATTAGATTTGTGAAAATGCAAAAATTATTATCAATTTTTTGAAACAGTGAAAAATTGAGAAATTGAATTTTTTAAAATTTTTCTACAGTAATCATCGATTCTAGGGGTACTGTATTTAGCACCAAAATTTACATCAATTAAACTACAGTAATCTTAAAATTTTAGGTGACGTTAGTTCAAATTGTACTCGACACCGTAGCTGATTTTGAGTAACATTTCAAGCTTGCAAAAAAATTTGTGAACTTTTTGAAACAGTGAAATTGTCTGATTCACAAATTCAAAGATACTGTAGCCTCTGAAAACACTAATCTATTTACAGTAATATGTTCTACAGTACCCCCTGGATTACTGTAGCTCAAAAATAATATACGTTTTCAATGGGTTCTCCCCTTGAAAAGGTATCAAATTTCCTCATTTTTTATTAGTTCATATTTATTTATCTGAAATTTCTTTTTGTCTGACGTAATAGGGAAAAAATAATGAGCTTTGAAAATTAATTGGAGCACATTTTTCTAATTTTTCAAAACTTTGCCAGATGCTTGAGATTTTCCGGAAAATTTTGAAAATTTCGATTTTCAGATGGATTATTTGTCGATTCAGGATGATGATGGATCAATTACGAGCTCGGATCGAACTTTGGAGCGAGGATTTTCGAGATTTGGAAGGAAGAGGTGGGAATTTTTTGTTGGTTTTTGGGACCCGGAAAAAATAACATTTGCATAATTTTTGTTGGCGCTGGAAAATAAAGTAGTGAAGCTTTTTTGAAACAGTGATTTTTTTAACAATTTTTTTAAACTTGTTTTCAAGTTAATATTCAAGTATTTTTCTCCCAAATGTTCAACAATTTTTGAAACAGTGATTTTTTTTACTTCGAATGTTTAATTGTTATCATATTATCTGGTTATTCAAGAAATTCAATGTTTTTTTGAAACAGTAAATTTTTGAATAAAAAAAAACTGGAGATTTATCACTTTTCCTCAGATCTCATAAAAAATTTCATAATTTTTTGAAACAGTGAATTTTTTAACAAAAAAAAATATGAAATTTTTTTCAAATTCTTATTTTCCTCCCAAATTTTCAACAATTTTTGAAACAGTGAATTTTTTTAATTATCATCATTTTATTTGATTTTTCAAGAAATTCAATATTTTTTTGAAACAGTAAATTTTTGAATGAACTACGCAGCTTTAACACTTTTCCTCAGATCTCATAAAACATTTCATTATTTTTTGAAACAGTGAACATTTTAACAATTTTTTTTTCAAATTCCTATTTTCGGAATACTATGGAAAACAGTTCAAGTATATTTCTCCCAAATTTTCCACAATTTTTGAAACAGTGATTTTTTTACTTCGAATGTTTTTAAATTAAAATTGTTATCATTTTATATGGATATTTAAGAAATTCAAGAATTATTGAAACAGTAAATTATTTTAACAATTTTTTTAAATTTGTTTTTTAAGTTAATATTCAAGTATTTTTCTCCCAAATGTTCAACAATTTTTGAAACAGTAAATTTTTGAAAAAAAACTGGAGATTTATCACTTTTCCTCAGATCTCATAAAACATTTCATAATTTTTTGAAACAGTGAATTTTTTAACGGAAAAAAATTATGACTTTTTTTTTTCAAATTCTTATTTTCAGAATATTTCGGACTATGAAAACAGTTTAATATTCGAGTATTTTTCTCCCAAATTTTGAACAATTTTTGAAATAGTGAATTTTTCTGAAAAAAATACTTTCGAGCCGTATCACCTCTCCTAGTTCTCATTAAACTTCTCATATTTTTTTGAAACAGTAAATTTTTGAAAAAAAAAACTGGAGATTTATCACTTTTCCTCAGATCTCATAAAAAATTTCATAATTTTTTGAAACAGTGAATTTTTTAACAAAAAAATATGCAATTTTTTTCAAATTCCTATTTTCCTCTCAAATTTTCAACAATTCTTTGAAACAGTGATTTTTTCAAAATATTGTTTTCAATTGTTATCATTTTATCTGGTTATTCAAGAAATTCAATATTTTTTGAAACAGTAAATTTTTGAAAAAAATTCCGAAGCCGTCACTTTTCCTAAAAAAATTTTTCTTTTTCATATAAATAAAAAATTAAATAAATAAAAAAAATATAAAATATTTCATAATTTTTTGAAACAGTGATTTTTAAAATTCGAATGTTAACTTTTTATCATTTTATCTGGTTATTCAAGAAATTCAATATTTTTTTGAAACAGTAAATTTTTGAAAAAATTCCGAAGTATCACTTTTCCTAGATCTCATAAAACATTTCATCAATTTTTGAAACAGTAAATTTTTTAACAATTTTTTAAATTCGTATTTTAAGCTAATATTCAAGTATTTTTCTCCCAAATTTTCAAAAATTTTTGAAACAGTGAATTTTCCTCTCAAACTTTTTTTTTCCAAAGAACCCATCCAAAATGTATAGAATTCCTAAAAAAAAATTAACTAGGCTTATTTGAAGTCTAGTTCTATTTTTTTCGTACCGAAAAAATCAAAACAAGGATTTTTCTTGCAAGAAAAAAGGAATACATTTTTTGTTCGAAAAAAAGAACAAAAAATTTTAATCCCTATTTTTCGTGGCTGGTTTTGTTGCCAAAATCATTTTTGTGGTTTTTTTTTCGCGGCCCGCGGGAAATTTTAATTTTATACATTTTTGGATGATACGGCAATATCTTCAACATTTGAACAGCCCAAGATAATTTTATCAATTTTTTTTGAAACGTACATTTTTTGAGTTGAATTTTCTGGTCGCTTGAATCACATTTGGGTTTTCACGTGGATTTTGTTGCACAAAAACATATTTTTTCAAAAGGAAGTACTTTAAACGAAAGAAAACTTCAAGAAAATACATTTTTTTAATTAAAAAAACCTTTTGAGCACCAGTTTTAGTATAAAACTATCGAAAATCAACTAAATTTGTGTTACTTGTACTAGGAAAATGGATAAATATGAATTTTACAACAAGTTTCATTCAAATTCATGAAAAAACAACAAAAATGAGAAATGTTTGAAAAACAAAAACAAGAAAATAAAAGTAAAAATGGAAGTGCGCCCCATTGATAAAAATTGAATGCCGCGCACTCTCTCAAAAATTTGTGTGTGTTTTTTTCGTCGACGCGTCGTTGTTGTTTTATTTATTTATTATATTAGACTAAAAGGGTGTGTTCCAAATCCACGTGGCATTCTTTCAAATGTTTAACATGAGCAATTCAATTTTTCACCTCTTCTGACGTAATTTGTTTTATTGCAAGCCCCAAATAATCCTTTTTGAAGAAATTGCAACTTTTCTGCATTCTGCTTCTGAAAAAAAATGTTTTTTCTATTTCTTCTTCATTCTTTAATTAAGGAGCGCGGGTTTTCTATAACAATTTCTATTTTTTCTGAAATTCTCTCTTCACGTCTTCTTGTTTGCACGCACTTTTAAAGTATGCTGTTATTGTTTTCGGGGGCAAGATTTTTCCAAAATTTCGAATTTTTTCCAGATCTTCTGTTCGAATGTTCTACGATGAGACGAATTTTGCGGACAGAAAAGCGGTTAGTTGATTTTGAGGGGTGGGATTTTTACTCTACATTATAGTTGGACATGAGTGGTTTTTCAAATGGTTTGAGCGAAACCAGTTTGATTGGTTCGCTCACTCATTTGGTTTTCGGATCGCTCATTTGAAATGGTTCGCTCACTCATTTGGTTTTGGTTCGCTCATTTGAAATGGTTTCGGTTTGGTTTTGGTTTTTGGTTCGCTCACTCATTTGAAAACCGGTTTTCGCTCAAATGTCAACTGGTTTTGGGGTATTAGGTATTGATGAATTTCGAGGTTTTCGGCTATGGAGATTCACGTGATGGACTTATTTTCACGTATAATCACTCTTAAAGGCACACACCAAGCAAAAAAAAATTTTTTTCGGAAAATGGGGTATTTGGGCACGTGAAAATACGCATTTTTGCTAAAATTTGCGTTCAAAAATTGATATTTCCGAGAAAAAAACGTATTTTTCACTCCTTAGGAGCAATATTTGAACTTCGGTCCAATGAGAAAAAATTTAGCTGACGACGAGCACGTCAAAATGGCTGTCGAAATTTTGAAAAAGCTCAAAAGATGGCAGAGTTATGATCGTTTTAGTTTTTGTGTCTCGAAAATGTATAATAACCTGGCATGTGTCTTTAAAAGTCTGTTTTGGAGCGTATACCTCACCAAAATTTTCCCCGAGCCCAAATACCCCATTTTTCGAAAAAAAAATTTTTGCTTGGTGTGTGCCTTTAAGAGTGATTATACGTGAAAATAAGTCCATCACGTGAATCTCCATAGCCGAAAACCTCGAAATTCATCAATACCTAATACCCCAAAACCAGTTGACATTTGAGCGAAAACCGGTTTTCAAATGAGTGAGCGAACCAAAACCAAACCAAACCATTTCAAATGGGCGAACCGAAAACCAAATGAGTGAGCGAACCAAAAAAACTGGTTTCGCTCGGTTTTTTTCGAACCATGTCCAACTATACTCTACATCTTGGTTTCTCTTTTTAAAAAATTCACTGTTTCAAGTTTTATACAAAAAATTTTCTGTAATGTTTTAATTTGATTCGTTTGCATTTTGTAGGTGAATTAATATGAGCAATGATTTTTCTTCGAAAATTACAGAAAATCTACAGTACTCTTAAAGGCGCATGGCTAGAAAAATTCAGAAGAAAATTAAAAAAAAATTCACTGTTTCAAAATTTCCGTATATTTTTTTGGTGAAAAGTAAGGCCTGATGTATTTTTTAAATAGATTTATTTTTTGGAATAAACATGAGCAATTATGATATGTGAGATTTTGAAGGTTTAATATGAGCAATGATTTTCAAAGTTCAAATCTTGAAGCGAATTACCTACAGTACCTTAAAGAAGCATGACTAGAACATTTAAAAATTTCAATCCAAAAATTATCCCAAAAAATCACTGTTTCAAAAAATTTGTATAATTTTTCTGGTTATTTTTTAATTTGATGTAGATGAGCGTGTATCTGGATTAAAATGAGCAATGATTTTTCTTCGAAAATGCCAGAAAATCTACTGTATTCTTAAAGGCGCATGGCTAGAAAAATTCAGAAGAAAATTAAAAAAAATTCACTGTTTCAAGTTTTTTGCAAATTTTTTTCTGTACATAATATTCTAATTTGATTTGTTTTTGCAATTTGTATGCGGATTAATATGAGCAATGATTTTCAAAGTTCAAATCTTAAAGCGAATTATCTACAGTACCTCTTTAAAGTAGCATAACTAGAACAAATTGAAATTTTCAATCCAAAAAATCACTGTTTCAAAAATTTTGTATAATTTTTCTGGTTATTTTTTAATTTCAATTGGTAACACGTATTTTACAGTACTCCAGAAAAAAGTTTAGTAGACCACAAATTAAAAGTTTGACATGAGCAATGCAATTTTTTCTTGTTAGCTGTTCTCATCAAAATAAAATGAATTGATCAAATGAAATGTTGTGTAACAATGAAAAAGACACAATTTCCCCTCAATTTTTTTCGTGTTTTTTTTCAAGAAAACTTTTTTTTCTTTTTAGTTTTTCTTTTTTTTTGCTAAAAAAATGAAAATAAAAATGAAAGTACCTCTGAAAATTTGTATTCTTTTCTTGAAAACTTTCTCCAAGAAAACATTGTTGTTATTTCCTTTTCGGAAATGTTCAATCAACCGAAAAGGATTTTTTTTCGAAAAATTTCGGGGATAAAAAAAAAGTTTTCCTCTCCTCCCAATTTCCTCCGATTTGAGAGTTTTCTTTTTTATTTTCGCCCATTTTTATTTTCAAGAAAAATAAGTGTGTACTTATGATTTTCTGTGTTGATGGAATTTTTTTTCGCCGGAAAAATTGAGATTTTTGAAGATATTTTTGGATGGAACCGAGTTTGGTGGCTTTTTTCAAGCCTTCCGAGATGGCTAATCATTCACAGAGGAGAGAGGTTGGTTTGTCTGATTTTGGCCAAAAATTTTGGGATAATTTCTAAAGTATTGCTCATGTTACACCAATTTAAAAAGAGGTACTGTGGATATTCTCGAGTTAACCGCATGCAACAACCAAAAGCATAAAAAAGTATGGAAAATTTTGAATTTTTAAAAATTTTATTTAAAAATTTGCAACCATATCAAATTGAGTTTTATCGAAAAATGTATATAAAAATTTTGAAACAGTGAAATTTTTTAAAAATTGATTTTTTGAGTCCTAAATTATTTTCGCACAAATCATGTCTAGTAGTGCTAGAAAAATACTATTAAAAAATTTTGAAACAGTGATTTGATTTTTGAATTTTTTTATTTTTTGCCCAAATTTGCACCCATACATATCAAATTGAGTTTCATCGAAAAATGTACATGAAAAATTTGAAACAGTGAAATTTTTAAAAATTGTTTTTTTGAGTTCTAGGTTTATTTTTTGCACAAATTATGTCTAGAAAAATTATAAAAATGTTTTGAAACAGTAAAAAAATTGGCGTGAATTTTCCAGTTATTGTAGCGTTTAATCATTTCAAATTCCACCGAAATCTAAATTTTGATATAAAAATTTTTTATATCACAATTTTGAAACAGTGACTTAATTTTTTGGAAATTTTTGTTTTTTGCCCAAATTTGCACCCATATCAAATTGAGTTTCATCTAAAAATGTATATAAACATTTTGTAACAATGAAATTTTTAAAAATTGATTTTTTGAGTTCTCAAGTTCTATCAATCATGTCCAGTCGTGTTGGAAAAATTATAAAATATTTTGAAACAGTGGAAAATTGTTTTAAATTTTTCAATTATAGTGGCTTATCATCATTTAAAACTTCACCGAAAATATTATATAAAAAATTTGAAACAGTGAATTTTTAAAAAATTAATTTTTTGAGTTCTCAGTTTTCTGCCCCATTAATGTCCAGTCGTGCTAGAAAAATACTATTAAAATATTTTGAAACAGTAAAAAAATTGCTATGAATTTTTCAATTATTTCAGAGTTTAATCATTTCAAATTCCACCGAAAACATTATATAAAAATTTTGAAACAGTGAATTTTTGAACAAAAATTCTGACTTTTTTCCAATTTAATTTATTTCCTTATGTTATTTATATTAATATTTTATACGCAACATGAGTTATTATATTTCATTTAGTGTCACTTTTCGCCTTCTCGCAACTTTTTCTCCTATTTTTTTCTCATAGTTTTCCCGATCCTAGAAAAATTCGTGCTCGATTTTTGAATTCCGGAAACGTTTAGAGTAGTTTGTTTGTTAGTCCAACAACACTTTTTTTCTAAAAAAAAATAGAAAAAAAAAGAAAATCTTGAAATTAGAAGAAGACTTTTCTAATTGAAATCCGGAGAAATTTGATAGTTTTTTTTGAAATTTTATTTTGGGATGTTTCTGAATTTGAGGCGAGCTTAGAACGTTGCTGGCGCATTTCTAGTAGCTTAGAAGTTTGCTGGCGTATTTCTAGTAGCTTAAAACTTTGCTGACCCGTTTTTTGTAGACCCACAAAATCCTCATCCATCCAAATTTCCATATTTTTTGCTCCGACCAAAAAAAATGCTCAGAAGAAGAAAAACCAAATTACCGCAAATATAATTCAATAAAAATCATATTCATATTTTTTTTCTTGAGAAAAACAACAACAACCGAGATTTTCAGCAAAAAATCTGAAAATTTTTCAATTTTCCATATGGGCGGATCTAATTTCGTTCAAGAGGCCACTTTTGTGAAGAATAGGAGGGGCTCAATTTATTTTGGCAATTTTTCTTTCAAAAATTGAGAATTTTTCGAGAAAAATGAACGTTTCTTTGTTTATTTTCGAAGAAAAACGTGTTTTTGTTTATTTTTTGAGGGAAAATAATTTGGAATGGCCTAGAAATCCAAATTGTTTGTTTTTGGTGGCCTAGGAACCCAAATGTCTTTGAAATTCAGAATCCACCTTCACCTATGTTAGAACAAATTGAATTTCTTTCCAAGCCCAACCAATTTTCTCCAAACAAAAAAAAAGAAAAAGATAATAGGTCGTTTACTTTGAACAAGTGGATTTTTCCTTTCCCTATAAATATACATTTTATTGCATTTTTGAACTTTTTCTTGGCGAAATCCCAGCAATGGGAAAATTTGCTGTTTCATCGATGATAAATGGAAAATTTTGAGATAGAGGCGCGTGCGGTTCCATGGTGTAGCGGTTAGCACTCAGGACTTTGAATCCTGCGACCCGAGTTCAAATCTCGGTGGAACCTATTCGCTTTTTTCTCTTTTTTTTTTGATTTCTACTAGAATAGCAATAATTGCTCTGTTATTTCCCCTAACTCGTTTATTTCTCCGAGTATTTTTTGCTATTAATGTTCCTGGTTTTCTTATAGAGTTATATATAGATATGGCTGCAGATATACATCCGAAAAAATTGCTTCTTAAAACCAAGGTTTGTTTGTGTTTGGAGCATTTTTATGGGCTCATTTAGCACCCTTTTAGGGACCCTTTTTAGGGGATGGAAAATGGGCAAAAAATGAATGACATTTTAAGCCGGAATTAGTTGTGGTTTGGTGAAAAACCAAAAAAACGCGCCGATTTTTTGCGCCCCCAAAAATGAGAGGCTCTTTGTTACGCCGTGCAAATGTCAACGAAACTTCGCTGGTGAGTAAGAATTTTGGGGAATTCTTTTTTCGATATCAAAAATCTTCGTTGGAATATGTTTTGCTCATCTTTTTGCCGGAGAAAATCGTGAAATTCGATATTTTTTGGGAGGAAAATCGGAGCGGAAAAATGTGCATTTAGTAGTTTTTTTGTGATGTTTGTGCACTTTTAGAAAGTTTTTTTTCTTAGAAAAAATAATTTGAAAATCTGTGGGTTACTGTAGAAGTCCGGGTTACTGTGGAATTGAATTTGAAAAAAATACGTTTCAAAATTTTCATAATTTTTGCTGGATTTTTTTTCGATGTTAAATAAACGTTGAATTAATCTCTGGATTACTGTTCTTTTTACAGTAACTCTAGGGGTACTGTAAAAATTCAGATTTTTGATCAAAAAAATAAAATCAAAAGGAAAACGTAAAATGTTCAAATATTTCTCCCAGATCCCTTTTATCTATCATTTTTTTTTCGAAAAAAGTGTAAAGTTGTCAAAATATCAAATCATTTCTTCACATTTGAGACTGAGACTCAAAAATTTGTGGCTCAAAATATATTCTTTTTTTTTCTGATATTTTTCCGTAGTAGCCTAAGCCTAAGCCTAAGAGAAAACAAAAAAAAAACGAACCTAACAAGCTTTAGCTAAAATAAAAAATCCAATTTTCACCCGCCTTTTTCTCTTAAGTTTTTTGTTCGAAAATTTTTTTATATACATATTTTGTGAGGAATTACAGATGAATGAATTTCGGGAGAGAAAAAGTTGAAAAAGAAAATTAGGTTTTTTTCTGGGAGAAAAGAAAGAGCTCATTAACATTGTTCTTGAAATAGCCTTTTTTGAAGAATTTGAAAATTGAATTTTACCGCTAAAAATTCACTGTTTCAAACTTTTTGTTCAGAAAATTGGTGAAAAAAACTAAAAAAAGTTCACTGTTTCAAAATTATTTGATAAATTTTGAAATTTTTAGAAATTCAATAGACGCATTACCAAAAAAATGGAAAAATCCAAATTCATCATATTTTTTTCTCAAAAAAAAAAAAAAAACAAAACTACATAGTAATCCTTCCTGTTGTTTGCAACATCATCATTACTTTTTCCTAAAACAAAATTTTTTTGTCGAAAAAATTCTTCTTGCTTTTTCTAGTCTAGCAGCAATTTCTTCTCTTTTTCACCCTTTTTCATTCATTTATTCTTCCTTTTCTTTTTTTTTTGCTTTTTTTGAGAAAAGAAAAAAAAAACCTTCAAGATTTATTCGACTCACTTCATTTCACTTTTTTTCGATTTAAATTTTTCAGCGCCGTCGTTTTTTCTGCTTTTGCTGAAATGAAATGAAGAAGCTTTTTAATTGGCAACATTTTTCTTTCTCTTGGGTTTTGTGAAATTAAACTAGAGAAAAATCTATTTTTAGTTTTGGTTGCAAAATTTCGAGAATCCACGTGGATTTTATTGAAATTTTAGGTTGAAAGAAAGTCACGTGGCATTTTTTCAGATCAGAAAAATTTGACTTTTTCTGAAAATCTAATAATAATTTCAAATGAAATTTTGAATTTTTGAATTTTAATTTTTGCGCGAAATTTTTGAGATTTTTTTTAACCCTATCACACACTTACCAATTCAGAATATAGTTTTTCTTATTTTTACAAGAAATTTGAAACAGTGAATTTTTTTTCTGAAACAATTTCGACCTAAGTCAATTTGTGACTATTTTCTGAATCTTCCAGAATTTCACAAATCTCAAAAAAGTCCCTTTTGCCACGTCATAACTAACATCATTTTGCTCCAGTTCTGAAAAGCCTTTTCTGGAATAATTATCCCCCGGGGTGTTATTTAAAATGACACAAAGTTACTGAAAAAAATGAAGAACAATGCTGAAATTAGTCCCAAAAGTCCCGGAAAAAATCCACTGTTTCAAAATTTTTGGAAAAATGAAGGCGAATTTGTTGAGTGATTTAGAAAAAGATTTAGAAAAAAACTTTTCAATTTTAAAATTCACTGTTTCAAAAATTCTTCAACAATTATAAACTTCATTCAAAAACCGATATTTCTTTTTTCAATTTCACGCTAAAAATCCACGTGTCATAATTTTGGCGCCAACAAAAAATGAAGTTTTCGCTCCCCCAGTAATTCGATCTCTGTTTTCACAATTTTTTTCGGTCTTTGCGACCAAAAAAGAAGTGTCAAATTCAGATATTTTTGAGGTGTGCGAAAATTTTTTGTTGTGTTGTGTCAGCCCTGAAATTTGAGTAAAAATTCCAATTTTTCCCAGAATCCCTAAACTTCTCATTTTATTTTTGCAGTCTTGGATGGACACAGAACATCGGGTGATATTAAATGTCGGTGGAATTCGTCACGAGACCTACACACATGTTCTCAAAAAAATCCCGGCCACCAGATTGTCGCGACTCACACCAAATTTGGCCAATTACGATCCGGTGCTGAATGAGTATTTTTTCGATCGACATCCTGGAGTCTTTTCGATGATTTTGAATTATTATCGCACAGGTTGGCCGGAATTTTTCGGGGTTTTGGGGGTTTTGGCGGGAAAATATTTTTGATCATTTTTTTATTTACAAGAAGTTTACTTGAGATTTTCATATGATTTTTTCGAAACAGTGAAAAATTACAACTTTTTTTGAAATAGGAATGTTGATTTATTCACTCGTCCAAATTTTTCAATAATATAGTTTTTTAAAGGAAATTTTATTAAAATAATTTGAAACAGTGAAATTTTTTCTTCATAATTGACAGATTCATTATCAAATTTTTCGAACATGCATTAAAAAAAAAATTTCGAAACAGTGAATTTTTTGAACAATTTTTTTGAAAGCTTCTTTTTTTCCTGCCAAATTTTTTCGCAGTTTTGAAATTTCCCGCCTTTTTCCAATAAATACCTGGCCTCTATTGAATTAAAAAAAACAAGGAAAACTTGAAAATTCTCTGAAACAGTGAAATTTCCCACCCAAAAAAATATCACAAATTTCATTTCCAGGCAAACTGCACTACCCAACCAACGTATGCGGTCCACTTTTCGAAGAAGAGCTCGAATTCTGGGGTCTCGACGCGAATCAAGTCGAACCGTGCTGCTGGATGACATACACCCAACATCGTGACACTCAAGACACTCTAGCTGTAATTGAAAGCCTGGATCTAGACGGAGATCCACCGACACAAGAGGAAATTGCCAAAAAATTCGGGTGGGAAGATGATTATTATTCGGGGAATTTGAATCGTTGGCAGCGATTGAAACCGAGGATTTGGGCACTTTTTGATGAACCTTGGAGCAGTAAATATGCTAGGGTAAGTGATTTGTGTGCTTTTGAGCTTAGGGTGCATGAAGTTGAGTTAATTTAATGCTTTTCCTGTCTCTAACCCTTAGGGTCTTGGTATTTAACCTTAACGCTTTTATTGTCCTAACAGAAATGTATCTTTATGTGCTTACCTTAACATGATTTGAGGACCTTAAGGACCCTAAATTTTTTTTATAAATTTCAGGTCTCTGACTAACTAACCCGTATGATTTGAAAATTTGATTATAATTTGCACGATGTTTAGTTTCTTAACAATTTTTTAAAGTTCTTAACAAGCATGGTAAAATCTTAACTAATCAAACCGTAAAGCATCTTATTTTTTGCTTGAAAATTTCTGAAATTTCTGAAACTACTTAACCTTAGCCTATCCTTAAGTTAACCTTAACTTATCTCTAACTTGGTTTCTTAGTGTGCTCCCTAATTTGCCTGCTCCTCTCCAATCCCAGGCTCTCCTCAACCTTAACCTTAACCTTAATCGGTTAAGCCAATCGCATGCCCTTTCAGCCTCTAAAAAAACCCTAACGCTTTTTTCTGTGCCTTTTTTGTTTGTGTCGAGAACCCTGAATTCAGATCATATCATCGCTATCCGTCTCATTTATCCTCGCCTCAACTTGCTCATTCATTCTCAAAACCGACCCAGATTTTCAAGTTCCATGTATCGAAGTGAAGATCAAAGAAGTGATTATCGATGCTTCTTATAAATCATTTGAACAATGGCATGATGCATTGAAACCGAGAACAGAAAAACATCCCTATTTTTGGTACGTCGATTGGATTTGTAATATTTGGTTTATTATTGAGTTGGTGGGTTTTTTTTGCCAAGTTTAAGATGAGCAATTGGTAGTTTGTTGCAGGCAATTCGCTCAATCTTCTGTCCCTCATTCCACAAATTCATTCGCTCTCCGCTGACAATCATCGATATTTTATCGATTTGCTCATTCCTGGTCGAATCCACCGCCAGAAATTCGATCGGCGAAGAGACTTTCATCAATCTCGACTTCCTCTCAATGATCTGTGTTCTTCGTCTATTTAAACTAACTCAACACTTTTCGGGCCTCAAAATTCTGATACAAACTTTCAAAGCGTCGGCGCAGGAACTGTTTTTGCTCGTATTTTTTGTGGTTTTGGCAATTGTCATTTTTGCCGCACTGGTTTATTATGCGGAAAGAAGTCAATCGAACAAGGATAATCAATTCACAAGTATTCCATTGGGTTTGTGGTGGAGTTTGGTGACGATTTCGACTGTCGGATTTGGTGATATGGTGGGTTTTTGGGATTTTTTGAACCTAAATTTGTGAAGTTTGAAAATTCAGCTGCTGAAAATTGAAAATTTCACAAAAAAAATTTTGCAGGTTCCAAAAACGTACCTAGGAATGTTGGTGGGCTCACTTTGTGCTCTGATGGGTGTTTTGACAATTGCTCTGCCAGTTCCTGTAATTGTCTCGAATTTTTCGAATTTATATTCACATTCACAAGCTCGATCTAAATTGCCGAAAAAACGACGAAGAGTTTTACAGGTTTGTTTTTTCTCTGATGTAAAATTCCCAAAAATTTTACGTTTCAAAAATTACAGAAAAATAATTTGAAATGTCCCGATATCAGTACATTTATAGTCTCCAAGGTCCAAACAAAAATCAAAATTCCAGGCTCACGAAATCAAGCCAGCGATGCTTGGCGTCAAACCACATCACGGAAAACATCGCAAAAAATCGTCATCGGCCACCCAAAACACACCAAATCTCCACCACAGTCATAATCATAATGGCGGAGCCGTCGAGCACAAATTGATGGCCTAGAAAATCTCTACATTTTTGTCCAATTTTTGAAACGGGTCTATATTATATAAAAATTTATTGATTTTTTTCGGGATTTTTTCCAGTTTTGCATGCGTTTTTCAATGTTCTAACAACATTTTCGGCTTTGATTTTTTCGACATTTTTTGTCCGTTTTTGAGAGTTGTCCATTTGTCCCGAGTTGTTCAGCAAGAGAGTTTTGAAAATTTTGTGCCAAATTTGAATTTGCAGGTGATTTCGGTGGTCAACATCATTTTCGTCATCATTTCGATTGTTTCGTTTTGTTTGAAAACGCATCCGAATTTTCGAATTCCGGAATTGCAAATGGATTCGAATTCGTCGACAGGAGCGTATAGTGCTATTGTGAAGATGGGAACGCAGTGAGTTTTTTTAAATCTATTTTTTCGCGCCAAAAATTCACGTGGAATTTTTCAAAATCTTCAACATTTGATACCAAAAGTTTAAGAATCATCCGGAAAATTGATATACTTTTTGAAACAGTGAATTTTTTGCAATTTCGAAATATTTTCCACACCTTTTTGGGCCCAAAAATTGAATTTTTTTTTGAAGACTTTGTACTAGGAACACACGCAGGCAGGAAACCCTTCGCCACGAGTTTCCTGTCTGTTTTGGGTACTTTTTTGACAGGAACCTGTGTGTTTTACTGAAAACCCGCGGGTTGCTTGCAAGGTTCTCGCAGGTTTTCAGCTTCGCCAGGTTTCTCGTCTGTTTACAAATGTGTGTGGAATATCGTTTTTTTCACGCTCCAACTTCTTTTTCACAATTTTTTGAAACAGTGGATTTTTTTTGGAAATTTGAATTTTCATATTCGGGGCTAGAAATGAGCCAATCTTTTGGTTGGAAATATTACTGTTTCAAAAAACATAGGAAGCTAAAAGTTGGGTTTTCAGAGCCCTAAATTTGAAAAAAATAATGAAAAATTCGAAATATTCAAATTTTAGAGCTAAAAAACTTCACTGTTTCAAAAATAGAATTTTCAAAAATATTATTTCTGGATTTTTAGTCTAGCTTTCTATGGTTTTCAGTAAAATGTGCCTTTTCCAGACCTCACCCCTCATTTTTCTTCGTCGAACTAATCTCCAACATCTGGTTCACCGGCGAATTTCTAACTCGTATGATTTTCTGCCCAAATGTCTTGGATTTCCTAACAACTCCAGTGAATGTAATCGACACAATTGCGACAAGTTCTTTCTACATCGAAACATTGACCGATATGTATATGCGACATCATATGGGTTCCATTGAATTCTTTTTCGATTATCCGTATTTTGAGGCTTTTCAAATTGACGCAACATTCCACCGGGTTGAAGATTTTGATACAAACTTTTAAGGTGAATTTTTAAAAGAAATTCAGACATTTTTAATATTTTTACTGAAGGCATCAGCTCAAGAGCTCTTCCTCCTTGTATTTTTCGTCGTTCTGGGTATCGTCATATTCGCAGCTCTGGTTTATTATGCAGAAAGAGTTGAGTCAAATGTCAACAATCAATTTACATCAATTCCAACTGGTTTATGGTGGGCTGTGATTACAATTTGTACAATTGGTTTTGGTGATTTGGTACCGCAAACATCGCTGGGAAGATTGGTGGGATCAGTTTGTGCGCTGATGGGTGTTTTGACAATTGCACTACCGGTTCCTGTTATTGTTTCGAATTTTGCAATGTTTTATTCACACGCACAAGCCAGGTATGTTTTAGAGGAGTTTCAAAAATTCACTGTTTCAAGGAAAAATTTTCATATAAAAAAATACCGTTCGTGGAATGAACAATCACAGAATCAAATATGTTTGGAAATTTTTGAAACCTATATTTTTCAGGAATTTTAGACGTATAAAATTTCACTGTTTCAAGGGTTTTTGAATTTTTAAAATGTTATTTTTGATCAATTTACTTGAGATTCAACCAAATAAATTTATTCACAATTTTTTTCACTGTTTCAGAAAATATAGAAATTTTTTTTTCATAAATTTCGGAATTAGAAAAATTTTCGTGTTTTTCATAAATCTAATTAGAAAACCAATTTCCAGATCAAAACTCCCCAAAAAACGTCGACGAGTCCTTCAACCTCACGAAATTCAAAAAGCCCCTTCAGTCGTTGGTCGAAACACAACAGCCACTCTTCTCAGCTCCCTAGCCCCAAAGCGCCCACCAATTTTGGCGCAAAATACACCAAATTGCGGAGGAGGATCAAATCCGATTGATGGAATTGGAATTCCGTTTGCTGATCAGCAAAATATGAAGAAAAATCATCGGAATATTCATCAGAGATTGAATAACAATAATAATTTGGCGAAAAATGGTGGAGGCGGAGCCAATAAATTGATATAATTAATTATTTAATTATATAATTCATTCATTTTTGTATATAAAATGTTTCTTGCTAACTTTTTATCTAATAATTAAAAAAAATCCAATTTTGATTTGTGGAATTTTTGAAACAGTGAATTATTTTTTGAAAAAATTTCAACTTTCTGCCTGGAATTCTAATATAATTTTTTTCACTGTTTCAAAAAAATCATGAAAATAGAACTGATTTTGAAATATCAATAAGTTGCTGGTAAATGTTTTTTAATTTTTTTGACTAAATTTAGACTTGGGAACTTTCATACTTGCCCTATGAATTTTAAAGATTGAAAATTTTTCCTTTCCCAATTAAAAATCCCCGAACAAATTTACAATCTAAATACAAAAATAATTATTTATCTTCTTCGTCTTGTTTTTCTCCATGGTGATATGTTTTTATATTTATTTTCGCGAATTTTTGATATTTTCAAGGTTATTACCTTGAAAATGTTTATGATAAAAATTCAATTTCCAAAAGTTCCAGATTTTCTCACACATCTGAAAATCCCCCAATTAAAAGACTAATAAATTAGGTAATAAGCACTTTTTTAAAGGTAATTTAGAGAAAATCCGGTTTTTCGGTTGATAAATCGAAAATGATTTGTCAAATCCTATACACAAAAAGTATGGGTGGCAAGATTAATTGAATCGAGAATTTATTTGAGTTTGCAGAAAAAATGACACTTTTTTTATGTCGCAAGAAAATTTTGAATACTTTCATGGTTTAAAAAATCTACTGTTTCAAATTTACTTCAATTTTTTTTGATTATCAATTTTCAAACTTTGATATTATACATTATTAACATCCAAAAATAGCCACGTGGAATTTACATCAAAAGTTGCGAATTCAACAATTTTAAAATCCAGAAAATCTACTGTTTCAAATTTATTTTAACTTTTTTCTCATGATTTTTGAATTGATAGAGCGGTGTCAAGTACAAAAAAACTGTGATGTGAAAAAAAAATGAAAAATTTGAAACAGTGTTTTATCTCTGGGCTGCTTTTTTCCCATGAAACTTTCACTGTTTCAAAAATATCAGAAAGAATATGACGCATTTTTTATTTGATATGTATATCTTTATAATTTCAGGAAAAAATTATTCAAAAAATTGCCACGTGGCAAAATCAAGAATTTCTACTTCTTCTATGGTTTCAAAAATCTTCTCTTTCAAATTCTTTTTAAAATGATTTTTGAAAACTTTTTCTCGAGGAAAATTCTACTCAAAAATTTCCACGTGGAAAATTCAAATAGAAAAATTCCACTGTTTCAAATTTACTTCAAATTTTTTCTAGGAAATTTAGGGTTGATGTGACGATTTATAATATCCAGTTTCACAGATTCAAAAATCTACTGTTTCAAATTTACTGCAACATTTTTTCTGGTCGTACGATCTTCGAAAAGTCTAAATCGAGTTCCTGATTCAGTGAGAAAATTTTCAAAAAATTTAAAAATAATTCTAAAATAAAATTGAAAACTGTGTTTTCGAAATGCCACGTCATTTTAATGCGAAAATTGGATTTCTCAAATTTCAAAACATTTTCCAAATTTTCCCAAAAAAATTCACGGTTTCAAAAATATCAGAAAGAATGTGAAGAATTTTTCTGTTCGATATATAGCCATATAAATTCACAAAAATTGTACTGTTTCAAAAAATCCAGCAAAAAAACCAGATCCCCCATAAATTCTCATTTTTCGCCACAAAATCAAATTCTCCATTTTATTCCTGATAAAAATGTCCCCATTTTCAACAAAAGGCAATAAATTTTGGCTTTTTCAACGCTAATCATCTTTCTTTTTTAGTTTCTCTTCCAATTTTTATTGCCTTTTTTCACTTTTGGTCACTTTTGCCATCTTCTTCTCTCATATTAAATGATAATAAAATCATAATGTGAAGTCATTAACCAATTAAAAATTGTTGTTATATAATAATAACTGGTGGCTTTTCAGGTTTTCACGCCAAGAATTGCGCCAAAACGTGGAATTTTTCTTTGACAAATCAATTTTGACATTCGTTGAAATGACACAAAAAAGTTATGCCGCCAAAAAAAAAAGATAAAATCTCATAGCCTAATTGGTGTTTGGAAAAAAATATATAATTATTGTGAGCGAAAAAAAAATCTACAGTAACCTGGAAAAATACAGTAAGAATATCTACAGTAACTTTGATATTTTATTCAAAAAAATTTGAAAATTCACTGTTTCAAAAAATCTAGAAATTTTTCTAAAATAGTTTGTTTCAATTAACGGTCGGATTGCCATAATAAATAACAGTATGAACAGTATACAGTACCTTGGGAAATCTACAGTAACCTGAAAGAATACAGTAAGACTATTAAAAAAGTGTTCAAAAATCTGAAAAACTTCCCTGTTTCAAAAAATCCTTTGAAATGTTTCTTGAATCGAATTTTTCAATAAGTTTAAATCTATCTGGGCAAAACCAAATAAAATACAGTAACCTAAACTACTGTAAATAGCTTGAAATCATCTACAGTAACCTAACTAAGAAGTCTTACAGTACCATTATCTGAAATTTTCGAGAAAAAAAAATTCCCGAAAATTCACTGTTTCAAAAAATCGTCATATGCTTTGAAGTTTATGAGAATATTGGTGCATAGCCTTTTCGCGTAATGATAAACTGTATACAGTAACCCTGACTACTGTACTGAAATTTTCTGGAAAACTTATCTACAGTACCCAACATCTGTTTTAAAAATCCCAACAAAGAATTTCAAACTTCAAAAAATTATAATGATTTAAAAGCTCAGAGCTCCAATCTACCTACAGTTAAAAATTTCTACTCAAAAAAATTTAAGGAATACTGTAGATGTCCTACAGTACACTTCGAATCCACAATTAATTTCAAAAATGTTTTCATGTTAAAATTTCCTTATCAAAAAGTTTGAAATCGCGGATGATTGATAGGTTTTTGTTATATTTCTATGTATGTTTATGTATTTATTCATCCATATCAAAAATATCATCATCACTGATTTGTTTTTGCATTAGGTTTTCAAAAAATATAATTTTTCTCGCGACCAGACACGAACCAACTTTTCTTCTTTTCAAGGTTACCACAAAAAAGTGTTTTGGGGTGATTTTATGCCAATTATCATATCATAAAATGCGAAATGGTGAAATCGGGTCAGTTAAGACAAAAAGTTGATTGAGTGATTTCGGCCCGAGACCAAAAATGATTAATTAGTTTTTTTTGGCAAAACATTTGGGAGAATTGGAAGAAACATTCGGATAATTCATGAATTTCTCAAACATTTTACAATTAAACCCTCAAAACCTCAAATTTTTTCAAAAAATCCCAAAAAACACTCACATTTCCTCCAGATTTTCTCGAAATTCACAAAACTTTGCTCGTTAATTGTTCCGATGCTTCCACCATTCCTCTGGCGATTTTCCTGTAAAGAAGAAATCTTTAAAAAGTGAACAAAAAGTAAGAAAAATTCAAAAAAGTCAATTTTTTTCATTAAAAAAAAGCTTTTTGCACCAGTATTTGTATAAAACTATCAAAAATCAACTAAAAATATGCTACAACAACAAATTCCATTCAAATTCATGAAAAAACAACAAAAAATACGCGAAAGAAAAATGTTTGAAAAATAAAAACGAGAAAATAAAAGTAAAAATGGAAGCGCGCCCTATTGATAAAAGGTTAATGTCTTGCACTCTCTCAAAAATGTGTGTTCTTTTTTTCGTCGACGCGTTGTTGCTGTTTCATTTTTTTTTATCGGACTAAAAGGGTGTTCCACGTGGATTTGGCTGAAATTCAAAATTCCACGTTTTCACGAGACCCAATTTCGCATCCACGTTTTGAATTTGGTTTTTTTTTTCGAAAAAAAACATTTTCGACATTTTTCGAAGCTGAAAATGGTGAGTTAAAACCTGAAAAAACCTGGAACATTCAAAAATTTCAGCGCAATCCACGTGGCAATGCGATTCCTGCTTGACTTTGCTGGAAAATGAATAAGATGAGCAATGTATTGGCGATTTTTTGAGGTTAGTTTTTTTGGGGAAGGAAAATTATCCAAAAGTTTCGATCAGATAAACTACGGTGTTTCCGCAAAAAGTTTCATTTTTACCTCATTATCTTCTTTTTGTCGGTTTTCAAATTTTTGTTTGAAGTTGTTTAATTAGTTGTCAAAATAATTAGGGTTTCGGGTTTTGACAGGAAGAAGAAATGCTGGAGATCAGAAATTTTCTTTGAAACATTATTAAAAATTAGTGACATGTGAAGCTAAATCAATGTTTTAGGAATACAGTTTTGATAAATGTAATTTTTGAAACAGTGAATTTTTTCCATAAATTTCCAGAATTTTTAGAAAAATTTGGAATGTTTCAAGTTTCCAGAGAAAAACAGGAATTTCTGTAGCTCTCTTAACTTCACTGTACTTTTTTACAGTTTCAGTTTTGTAGGAATACTGTATTTTCGAACTACTGTAGATCCAATTTTACTCAAAAAATGTCGAAATTTTTATTTTACTGTATCAAAACCAGACCAAATTAAACTTCCTGGCAAGTTTCCAAGTTCTTCATTCATCTTCTCTTCTGATAACCATAAATTTACCGCTGTTCATTCATTCCCTTTTTTTCGTTTCGAAATTTCATCTCTCTTCAAAATAAGCTCCGCCCACTTTGTCTTCATTTTATGTTTTGTTTTGAAAAACTGTCCCATTTCCATCTTTTTCTGTTCGTAAACGCAATTGTCATTTTTATCAAGTTTTTTTGCGATTCGCGCGCGAATTGATTTGATTTGTGTTATTAATCGGCTTGAATCGCATCGCAAGTGATTTTAATCGTTTTTTTTGGTCTCTGTTGATTTTTTCATGAAAATTGGGGTGAAGTTGAGTAGTTTCTGGTTTTTTTAGTTGGAAAAATTTAGATCTTTCGGGAACTTTTTGGTTTTGGAACTGTAGAGACTGTATTTCAAAATCTGAGAACTTTTAGAATATTCTTTAGTTAGAGTAACTCTTTA